CGTGGATGAGACGTTTGTATGGTGCCGGTAGTGGTTGACACCTGTTGAGGGGAGTCTGTGCCAAGTTAACAATATCTCTTGGCACAATTGGCTATTACGCGAGGACAAGACCACAGTGGCAACATCTGCGCAATTGTTTCTTTTCAATGCTGTTAAAAACTCTCCTCTCTCTAACGAAGAAAGCAATTGAATATTCCCAGACGGCTATCAAGATCATCAATGGAACGTGGTTTTGGGTTCTCGGCTGGTTCCTTTGCATCTTAACGGTGGTTGGAAATTGATTTGTCATCTTCCTCGTCTGTAGTAAGCGTCAGCTTCGCACCAAAACCAACACATTCATCCTGTCTTTAGCAGTGGCTGATTTTTGTGTCGGGATGATTGCTGTTCCGTCACCATTTCTGTGCAAAATGGAAAATATGTGCATCTCCGATGAAAAAGTAATATTACTTATAATAAGTCTTTGGGTATTCTTCATTTACGCTTCTGTAACAAACTTTTTTATTTTAGTATTAGAACGCTATGTCGCCGTCGTGAAACCTTTGAAATACTTGACTTTTATGAAGTGCCGCAGAGTCATTCAAATGGTTCTTACATCTTGGGGAATTCCTTTCCTTTTTTTTTTTTGACTGTATTGTTGCAATCGACTAGATTCAATTCAACTGATCGCATCAGGAATATCGCAGGCTATTTTTATTTGCTTTTCGAGGTAATATTGTGCATAATTTTAACATTTTGTCTTGCATCCATGTTTCGTGTTGTTTACAAACAGAACTCCAGAGATCGCACTTTAACTATGCAGTTGCAGTTTAATCAACGGGTCACTAGAGTTAAAACTCGGAATATGTCAGCAGTAAAATGGGTGGCATTGGTAACGTGCGTGTTTCTATTGTGTTACGGAATACTTATGCGTTGTAGTTTTTTAGTTTTAACTGGTCATAAGTGTACTGACGATTTTCATTACAAATTACCTGTACAAATTATTAACTCTGGATTAAATAATATTTTTACATGATAAACACGAAGAATTTCTCGTTGAAAAGAGTTCTTCTATTTCATGTACATTCGTACACCCCCGATGTTATGATCGTCTGAAATATGGCAAAATTCAGCGTACAAACAGAATACAAAAGATAGTGTACTTTACGCGGGTGGTTACAAACGAAAGAAAGTTTAGTTGGAGATGAAATATAGTTGGAAAGCTATTCCAAGGGATGAAAAACATGTTATGAAAAATGAATGCAAGATAATTTTTCGTTGTCTTGTACGAGTGTTGTAAAAATTCACTGAAAGCCCGATAGAAATTATTTATTGCAAGTATTCTTGAGATGAGGAAAGATAATGAAGAAATATATAGCATATTGTAATCTAAAGACGAGAAAATTGAAAAAAAAATTTACATAAAGAATGCATATTATTGATGTGATTTTTTTAGCTTTGTATCTCCCTCTGGTGATTTTACTGGACACCTACGCTTTTGACTGCAAAAACGTTACGTGCAGAATTGGCGGGAATTAATTTACAAGAAAAAAGCTCACCGTTATTATTTTTAGAAACTTTGTGAAGTTGTCACGGTGAGAGCGGAAAATGAAAATTTGAGAGAACTGTAACGCTATTGAGAAGATAATCTTGATATTTTCAGGTATGTAGAATTAACAAATGACATCGTTTGGAGAACAGAAGGATTCAGAGGATAGCAGTTTAACAGGTACAAATCAATTTTCATTCTCCAACTGATTAGAGCTCATATTATTTATTATGAAAGATCGCAATTTTATTTTTCTTGCGGCTGATAACAATCAAATTTAATTTCAGTCGAATTTTCCCGGTTTATTGTTATCAGATGTGTACATATTTCAATGGTTTCTCTTATTTGACTTGTGGTTTAATAATCTGCACGCGATGCAATTTCCTTAAGCCTTAAACTCTTAGAGGTGATATAACTTGTAACTTATCCTTTAATATCAATACTAATAATCAGAATACTCCAAGTTTTATCAGGTAGAATTCGTTCTCTTTGAACTAACACCAAATTTCTGTATCTACTTTGAAATGAAACATTTAGCAGCTAGAGAGGAGACTTAACAATTAGATTACGAGAGTTGAAGGTTTAAATGTGCGTGATAATTATGCGGCAGAAGCGCGTGATGAACATTTGACAAAGCTAAGTATCGTGCTGTATATAATTATAGCTCTCGTCAATATCAAAACCAGCAAATATCTCTCGAAAACAAACGAAGTTGAAACAATGCTCGAGATTGGGGAAAAAAAAAAACACAATCCCTACGTTTCTTTTGATATCGTGAAATTCGCGATATATGGTAAGAATAACGGTAATATGGTTGTCGGTGAAATACCAGAATTTTTTCTGTTTCCAAAACGTGACATCTCCACCGAACGCTATAAATGTACCATTTATATCTTCAGATATAAAGGTCGTCATTAGAACCGTATTTACCAACACGACAGTTTTACTTTCCATGTGGGCTGGTTTTTTTTTTTTTTTTTACCTGAAGCTGAATTCAATTCTTTTTTAAAGGAAATAGTTCTTGTATTGAGAAATTGTTGTATTAGGATGTCCGAAATTGAATTGGTTTTCCGGCAAGCTGAGTTTTGGTGTAGCGGATCTCTGTATTCGATGCTCCTATTTAAAAAATTGTATTTGATTCAAATTTTCAACAATATCTTTTAAATAAAAAGGATGATACATGTCGGCCTATGGATACGAATTTATCTGCTCGAATTGAATTATCTATTTGAAGGAGTAAAAGATGTCATGAACACTCGATGATAAAATTCGTATCCACGCGCGGTTATCTAATACCTCATATATACGTGTGCATTACTGAACAAGAGTGAGCTTAAGACGGCTGTACATCGGCCAATTTCCCTCACTACATTTTAAGCCGAGACCGAGAAGAAAGCTTCGTCAGCAACGGATCAAAGGATGTATCACACGATAACAAAATATATTCGTGCACCATGGAACTACCAAATAAATCTGCGAGTTTCGTAGTGATTTTTGTTTTGTTTTGTTTTCATTTAGGACGAATCTGTGACCTCTGTTTTAGCCAAAAATGTGGAAAAGCTTTCATTCATAGGACAAAAATATACTGTTTAGCTATGACACTATACGAGGCATTCAACAGGCTACAAGCATTCCTTTTTACCTTTTGTGGGGAATCAAATTGGGAATCGAAAGAAAACACATTTTGCACTCTTGGGTAGCCGTTCAGAGCACAGATTTCCTGTTCGCTCACGGGTCCCATCTTAACGTATAAATATCAGAGGAATTGGGAAAACCTGTCCACAAAAGTGAAAATTTAATTTTAAACCCAGAACCACGATGACTACGATTTCTTGATCACGTATGAAAACGAAACCTCGTCAACGACATGATTAATTATTCTGGTTTTTAAACGCTTGGAACATCAATCCACCTCCTCGAAAAACTTGACACGGTAATCGTCGACGGTGAATAAATTTCTGTCTTCAAATGTTTGAACTTCGTATCCACAAGGTGTTCAGTAGTAACGTTTCTAACTGGTTACCAGTCAGAGTGAGGTTTTAGTAGATATACCTTTACGCGCGATGACGGACTAAATGGGCACATTGTTTGCGTGTTTTACTTCCTACGATGGAAGATAAAACTGTGGACTCAGTAAATGCTGATATTGGAGCAGAAGCTTTTTCTGTAGGGCAAGACCTCAGCAGCTTCAGGGAAATGCCCTAAATTTCCCATTTACAATAATATTGCAAAAGATTCCTTTTTGATTGGCAATTCTTTCACAAATAATTTTTCAGTTTCATTTCGCTTTCAGTCTACTTCCTCCGCCAAATGCTCATAGCCTGGCAGTGAATTCATTCGATGGAATACAAGATTAAGCTATGCAGGAGTCTTTGTGTTGCACATGGCTTTCAATTTGTTGTAGATGAAGTTTCTTGGTAACAAGTGGACACTTTCCAATGCCATCTTCTCCACTCCCTAAAAATAACTTCGTATACAGTGCCTTTTTTTAATTCGAAATGAAAAAGTCGGGTGCTTCCCAAACATATTTTGGAGAGGGACAAGCTCTTCCAGTTATCCTAAATTTCCTGCTTCCTTCAAAAAAAATTTAATGATGGAATTTATTGACTAGAACTTATAATTATGTTAATAAAAAAAGACTTTGTCTAGCATTTTTTCGATAGCTTTGAGGGACATTTTACACATGCACTTTGTAGAAGAACAGGGTCGATAAACGTGTTTCTTCACGCAATAATCTCGCGGGGTGTTGGTAGAATTCGTGACGGAAACGCAAATCCTCGAAGGTGTTTCGGTTTGGAATAAGTTTCGCGATTCTCCCAGCCCCATACGCGATAAAATGAAGGAATGAGAAAGAGTCTTTTATTGGATTAGTTTTGATCCATGCTTATCCATGCCTACCGGGTACAACTAGGTTGTTTATTGCAACTCACGCGTTTTGATAAGGGACAGCCTTGAACGACGTTTCATCAGATGAGACTGCGAAAACAAACAAACAAACAACATGACACAACCCGCCGAACTTAATTGGAGCTGTCACGCAATCACAATAGCGTGACGGAGGAAACCTTGAGATTCTCCGTCTTTCTCTACGATTAAGTATAAAATGTTTTCTGTAGGTTACTTTCATCTGATTCTCCTCTTCTGATTTTAAACAATGTAGTGCAGTACAATCGATTCAATTTTATTTCTAGCTATGGCAGAAAGCAACCTCCCAACAACGGGAGAAGAACTGGAGGTGAAAAATGAGTTTCCAGCCACAGGTGAGAAAAAGCAAGAGGGAGAGACTTCGTTGTGGTGATTTTGTACTGTTTGTTAATTAATATAAGTATATCTTAATTCTGGTGCAAAATTTTTTGGATCACTTCGAATAAAGGTTTTTAAGGAATCCACTAAATACTTCAGTATTGGAACGCTAGTTGTAATTGCAAGTAGTTGTTATCACTAACAAAGTTGAAATATCTTCTCGATAATTTCAGCAACAGAGGAGAGTCAAGTTACGTCAAGTGACGCTGAACTGGATGTATACAATGACCCTTTAAGAGGTAAGAAAACCAGGTGAAGTAAGATTGTTTGAAAGACGTCCCAGTGAAGTTTTTTTGTCCTATTTACATCAAAATTTGCGTATGTTTTGTGAATGAATTTTTGAAGCAGCAAAAGATCTTTAAAATTCAAACTTTGCAACCAGTAAAATAAAAAACAAAGAAAAAATAATTTATTGCCCGATTCGATGGAGCAGAATGCGTAGACATCATTAATTATTTATAAGCCACAAAGCGGCAAATTTGAACGCGACTTCGCTTTGAAGAGCCCTAAATTAAAGAAGAATAGGTCAAACTTGGCCCACTAGGCTTTGTAAAACTCAGTTTTCTGAGTTTTAGAGTGCTTCCTTCTAAATCGACGCACGGCGTTTTAAAGATTAAAAATGTAGCTAAAATTTGAACCTAAAATGAATGATATTTGCGAAGCAGAAGTATTTTCCTTTTAAATTTGAAGATACTCAAAATTTGGTCATTTTTAATGTGAAAGTCATTTTCGGCGAGCTGTTGGCACCAATAGACCTATTAAAGTCGAGTATTAAAAAATTTGCCAACGGATGACTTTTTGAGGCCGCTACGAGGAAATTATTTGACCAAAAGTTTCGCTAACACCTGTTTGTCGGTTATTGCTCAAAACATGTTTGGCAGAAATTTTACGCAATTTAAGAATTCTACAGAGAAGAGGAGGCATTTTGTCATCGCCGTATCACCTATTTCGGTCTTCTAAATATTTCACGCCTCTTTAAACAGTTATGTCAACACCAGGCCCACGCTGTAAACCACTAGTAAACAAAATGTAGAACCCCCTGACTTTCACAACAGCAAAATGGCACTTTGCGGTAAAATGGTACTTTCCCAATCAAATTTTTTTTCGGGTGAGCCTCTACGAGCACGTTCTCAATAGACAATTACAAGTATGGGAAAAACCGAGTACTAATTAAAAAAAAAAGAGAAAAAAAAAATGTCTTCCGGCGCTCTTTTCTGAAGGATGGGCAAACCAGGAACTCTTGTCACTCTCAGCACGATGTTTCTTTTGTTATCAGAACATTAAAAAATTTTAACTTTTTTTGGTCCTGGCTTTGCTTTGCTTTATGCATTATTTCTCAGTAAGTCATGGGATTTTATATTCTGATTTGATATTTTGGAAAGCGTGACGTAAGTGTAAAAGGAACTTTGGAAACCTTCTCGAGCTCAATGTAAACCGAACAGACTTGATCTGGTTATAGCCAAGCTACAGCTAAAACTCCAAATAGCTTGCATATTTTAAAGCGCACAGATAAACTCTCCTGAAGGGCGACTGTAAAAGAAATTGAGTTGAAATAGGATCTCCTGGTGAAACTTGTGACATTTTGGAAAACGTAAGCCGGGTGTAAAAGGAGTTTGCGAAAGCCTTTCGAACTGAATGCAAACCGATAAACTTGAAATTGTAGTAGCCAAGCTACAGCCCAGACTCTCGACAGCTTGCACACAAACAAAATGAACAGATATTAAGCTTTTCTGATTTTCTGTTTTGCGTAACTCTAAGCTCCTTTAACCTAAAAGTTCGTTTGGAAGTATGAAGTTGTAGTATGAAGTCGTATCACTCATTACTATATCATTAACACCAAAACTGTGTGCTTTCAGGGATAGCGAAAGTATGTCTCGAGGAAGGTAACAAAGAATACAGACAAGGAAAAGCTAATAACGCGATAGACTCCTACACGGAAGGACTTCAAGTCAACTGCAAAGATGAACGGCTGAACGCCAAGCTTTATAGCAACAGGGCAACAGCTCATTTCCGTTTGGGTAACAATTTTATTTTTAAATATAAAAATCTCTCAAGCAGAGTTACAAGATAGCGGAATACACAATGTGCATCAAGAAAAGGAAAAAATTGAGCAACTGCAGAAAAGAAGCATAGAAAGAGATATCACCCTTTAGCAGACCAAAATTAAGCAGAGAAATTATTCCCGTAAATGGACTGCAATTTATGCAGTTGTAAGTTTTTTTGGCGTCTTTGGTGCGATTGCATGCGATGACCACTTTTTTTAACATTATTTCTTGAATTTCACAGCAAACTACGTGGAATGTCTCGATGATGCAACAGTTGCCGTTCAATTGGAACCCACTTTAATCAAAGCTATTAAGAAAGGTGAGTTTTTCAGACATAAGCCGTCAACATTATATTCTCTGATTTCGTCAAAAGAGGATTGTGTGGTTTGTGGCAGGTAACTGCACCCCAAGTGTCAATTGTATCTGGTGTGTCAATGTCTGTCATATGGGTAAAAAGCATAAGATAAAGTCAATAACCTCTCCAATACCACCGCCTGTTTAGTTCACGTTGTAGAGCGCCAGAGGTCGGGGGTTCAAGCCCAAGACTGGACCATCACCCTGAGTCTTAAAATATCTGAGGACAATGTGCTGTCGCCTAAGCTGTGACATATGCAAATGGTTCGAGATTCTTATCCCGGATAAGAACTGAAATCCGTAAGCCCTGTTTCTTGCATCTTCCCTGTAACTCAAGAGACACCTGAAAAATTCCCTTTCAAAAGTTGTAAACTGCTCAATGCAGTTTGCCCGAAAAGTTCCCTGGAAAGTGCTGAAAAGCGCATTAGAGCACATTAAAAAGAAGAATTCGTTATATAAATTTATCGTTATCATCATCAATTGAAGCTTAATTGGTAGCCGCTTTGCATTAGCTCATTAGTGTTCATTTTCAATTCTTCCACAAGTTCAAATTTCCTCCATCATCACAATTTTTGTTCCCAACTAAATGACAAATTAAGTCAATTTTATCAATACGTTTATACCTTAACAGTGATAAATTACCTCGCTCCACCAATTATTCTCTCCTTTTCAGGGTCCAGAGCTTGTGTCGAACTTTGCCGGTATAAAGAAGCAAGGAGCTGGTTGCATATGGGATTGGCCGTATCCTTTAACGAATGTTTCAAACGTGATACGAGATGCAATGCGAGTAATATTTCAAGGGAAATTAATGCGTTCCGGAGAGATTCTTCAACACATAATGCAAGCAATGTTCTCTTACACTGCACTGATCAGTTTAAAGAAGCTGAAATATTCTTAAAGAGTTCTTTCGATTATTCCACGAAACCATACTCAAAAAAGAGGCCACGTTAATTAATTCTCAGAGTTAGAGTTCAATACCCCTCGTTTTGTCTTCAGACGAGCATCACCATAACTACCGAACCTAAACCGACAAATGCACTTCAGGGCTAGTTAAAACACTCCAAAAACTTGAAATCAAATCTCTAAGAAAACCCACGTTCGAATCATCATTCCAGTTTTAAGGTTCTATCTAATACTCTCACTGTTTTTTTTAAATACACATTTCCACTGCATTTTCGCAAATCTGCTCATAATTTATCAACTCTTGACACGTTTTAAGATTGAAAATAACAACAAACGTCTGCTTCAAATACTAAGGAAAACTAATGCTGAACTAATAGTCACAGCAAACAGTTCTTCCATTCTCGGCAACGCTTATCAAGGTCTAGGACAGTTCAAAACAGCCATCCAGTACCATCAACGTCATCTAGAAATTGCTAAAGAAGTGGGAGACAAGGCCGGAGAGGGAGCAAGTTATGGCAACCTTGGCAACGCTTATCACAGTCTAGGACAGTTCAAAACAGCCATCCAGTACCATCAACGTCATCTAGAAATTGCTAAAGAGGTGGGAGACATAGCCGGAGAGGGAGCAAGTTATGGCAACCTCGGCAACGCTTATCACAGTCTAGGACAGTTCGAAACAGCCATCCAGTACCATCAACGTCATCTAGAAATTGCTAAAGAAGTGGGAGACAAGGCCGGAGAGGGAGCAAGTTATGGCGATCTCGGCAACGCTTATGGCAGTCTAGGACAGTTCAAAACAGCCATCCAGTACCATCAACGTCATCTAGAAATTGCTAAAGTAGGGGGAGACAAGGCCAGAGAGGGAGCAAGTTATGGCAACCTCGGCAACGCTTATCACAGTCAAGGACAGTTCAAAACAGCCATCCAGTACCATCAACGTCATCTAGAAATTGCTAAAGAAGTGGGAGACAAGGCCGGAGAGGGAGCAAGTTATGGCAACCTCGGCAAAGCTTATCGCAGTCTAGGACAGTTCAAAACAGCCATCCAGTACAATCAACGTCATCTAGAAATTGCTAAAGAATTGGGAGACAAGGCTGGAGAGGGAATAGTTTATTGTAATTTCGGCAACGTTTGTCACTGTCTAGGAAAGTTCAAAACAGCCATCCAGTACCATCAACGTTATCTAGAAATTGCTAAAGAAGTGGGAGACAAGGCCGGGGAGGGATTTAGTTATGGCAATCTCGGCAGCGCTTATCGCAGTTTAGGACAGTTCAAAACAGCCATCCAGTACCATCAACGTCATCTAGAAATTGCTAAAGAAGTGGGAGACAAGGCCGGAGAGGGAATCAGTTATGGCAATCTCGGCAGCGCTTATCGCAGTTTAGGACAGTTCAAAACAGCCATCCAGTACCATCAACGTCATCTAGAAATTGCTAAAGAAGTGGGAGACAAGGCCGGAGAGGGAATCAGTTATGGCAATCTCGGCAGCGCTTATCGCAGTTTAGGACAGTTCAAAACAGCCATCCAGTACCATCAACGTCATCTAGAAATTGCTAAAGAAGTGGGAGACAAGGCCGGAGAGGGAATCAGTTATGGCAATCTCGGCAGCGCTTATCGCAGTTTAGGACAGTTCAAAACAGCCACCCAGTACCATCAACGTCATCTAGAAATTGCTAAAGAAGTGGGAGACAAGGCTGGAGAGGGAAGAGGTTTTGGTAATCTCGGCAACGCCTATCGCAGTCTAGGACAGTTCAAAACAGCCATCCAGTACCATCAACGTCATCTAGAAATTGCTAAAGAAGTGGGAGACAAGGCCAGAGAGGGAGCAAGTTATGGCAACCTCGGCAACGCTTATCACAGTCTAGGACAGTTCAAAACAGCCATCCAGTACCATCAACGTCATCTAGAAATTGCTAAAGAAGTGGGAGATAAGGCCGGAGAGGGAGCAAGTCATGGCAACCTCGGCAACGCTTATCACAGTCTAGGACAGTTCGAAACAGCCATCCAGTACCATCAACGTCATCTAGAAATTGCTAAAGAAGTGGGAGACAAGGCCGGAGAGGGAGCAAGTTATGGCAACCTTGGAAACGCTTATTGCAGTCTAGGACAGTTCAAAACAGCCATCCAGTACCATCAACGTCATCTAGAAATTGCTAAAGAAGTGGGAGACAAGGCCGGAGAGGGAGCAAGTCATGGCAACCTCGGCAACGCTTATCACAGTCTAGGACCGTTCGAAACAGCCATCCAGTACCATCAACGTCATCTAGAAATTGCTAAAGAAGTGGGAGACAAGGCCGGAGAGGGAGCAAGTTATGGCAACCTTGGAAACGCTTATTGCAGTTTAGGACAGTTCAAAACAGCCATCCAGTACCATCAACGTCATCTAGAAATTGCTAAAGAAGTGGGAGACAAGGCCGGAGAGGGAGCAAGTTATGGCAACCTTGGAAACGCTTATTGCAGTCTAGGACAGTTCAAAACAGCCATCCAGTACCATCAACGTCATCTAGAAATTGCTAGAGAAGTGGGAGACAAGGCCGGAGAGGGAGCAAGTTATGGCAATCTCGGCAACGCTTATGGCAGTCTAGGACAGTTCAAAACAGCCATCCAGTACAATCAACGTTATCTAGAAATTGCTAAAGAAGTGGGAGACAAGGCTGGAGGGGGAATTAGTAATTGCCATCTCGGCGGGATTTATCTCCGTCAAAGAGAGTTGAAAACGGCAATCGAGTGTTATGAACGTCACCTAGAAGTATCCAAAGAAGTGGAAGATAAGACCGGAGAGGCGTGCGCACTCTGTTCCCTTGGAAGCAGTTTTGAGCGCCAAGGAAATCTTATGAGGGCCTTTGACTGTTATTACTCGAGTGTAGAATTGTATGATGATATCAGAGCCAGTCTTCAACTCAACGATCAGTGGAAGATTTGTTATCGTAATCAGCACCAAGTTGCATACAAAGGTTTGTGGCGTATAAATCTCAATCGAGGTCAAGTTGTGAAGGCTCTGCTTGCCGCAGAGAAAGGACGTGCTCAAGCTCTGAGAGACCTCATGGTCACAAAATATCGGCCTGGAGATTCTTTAACGCCCAGTGCATTCCGCATTTCTCTGAGGTGGGTTCCATTGAGCACAGTTTTCATAGTTATTAGCGGACCATGCGTTTACTTCTGGGTTTGCCTTAGTGAAAATAAAGTCCAGATGAGAAAAGTACACGTGAACAAATACAAGTATGAGGAGGAATTGGAATTTTTCGTCCAGCTACTGAACAAATCTGCTCTTAAGGAGATCGGTGCAAGAGATACAGTTACCAGCGAAAATCCTCCGCTTGACTCGCCGATAGATGAGAAAGTGGCCACTGATGTGATCCGAGTTGATGTGAGGCACTCCCAATCAAGTGCTTTAAAGAAGCTGCATGACATCATCGTTACTCCTATTGCTGATCTGATCGAAGGCAACGACGAGATCACATTCATTCCTGAGGGGCCATTTTGCCTTGTACCTTATGCAGCGTTGCAGGACTCCAACTCATCATATCTGGGTGATTCTTTTAGAATTCGTGTGCTTCCCTCTCTGACGACCTTGCAACTAATTCATGATTGTCCAGCTGACTTTCACATGAAGACTGGTGCATTGCTTGTCGGCGACCCATGTTTCAAACATATCATCTATCAGGAAATACTTTTGGTGCAACTTCCAGGAGCAAGGAAAGAAGTAGAGATGATCGGACGTATCCTCAATGTCTTGCCTCTCACTGGAGAAATGGCAACAAAAGATGAAGTGTTAAAACGAATATCATCAGCGGCCTTAGTTCACATAGCAGCGCACGGTAAAATTGAAACTGGAGAAGTTATCCTAGCACCAAACACCACAAGAGATAACCCTCAGCCGCAAGAGAAAGACTATCTACTGACGATGAAGGATGTGATAGAAGCTGGGTTGCGAGCACGTCTGGTTGTACTTAGCTGCTGTCACACAGCTCGTGGGGAGGTCATGGCCGAGGGTGCGGTAGGCATGGCGCGTGCACTTTTGGGTGCCGGTGCTAGATCGGTTGTGGTAACCTTGTGGGCGATTGGCGACGAGGGAATCCTGGAGTTCATGAGTTTCTTCTACGATGCACTTGCCAAAGGCAAGAAGGCAAGTGAAGCTCTCAATCAGGCCATGAAGTGTATGAGAGAAATTGAAAAGTTCAAGGAGGTGATTTACTGGGCACCATTTGTACTCATTGGTGACGACGTCAACCTGGATTTCAAGGATATTTCGAAGCTGAAGCAAGTAGATATTCTGTTTACACATTCTATTCAATGCAAAGTTACCTTAAATCATAATTATAGCTTATGTTTGAGCACTAATACTTGCGTGTTATTTTCCCCTCAGTTGGGTGATGAATTTATCTTTTGCTCCGACAAATTGAGATGCAGCACAATCAAGTGGACACATTTACGATGATAACATTCTTTTTAGGGAAACATGATAGGAGTAAAACAGCAAATTTCTTTTAAAACAATCCTGTTGTGCACTGTATCGTTTCATGTTTTAAGAAATATTTCATGGCGACTCAACTATCCTCCCTAAACTTAGATTCTTTTATTTTTCATTTAAGGCAATGAGCATTGGAATCCCAGGGAGTTTCCGGATACCTTAAAACGCTGATATTTGGACCAGAAACCAGTAAGCTACGGCTGAAATCTTTGCCAAGAGCCTTTTTTTCAAAGCAGGAAGAAAAGACGGCCAAAAGCAAGTTTGACAAGAGAACGGATTTCCTTTGATTTAAAAGCTGACTTTTTGTTTGTCTGAACTGCTCTTCCGAGCTTCATCTTTGATATCCTACTGAACCTGCTGTTTTTTTCATATGTCTTGAAATTATCATGACTAGCTATGTAAAAAATTATTTTTGATCTAAGTATTACCTACTAAGTGAATTTGGGCGAAGTTGAAACGTCTTGAAAAATGTTTCCCAGTGTTTTTTCAGACTTTTCCTCAATTTGTTTTTTTCTCATGATCGATGTAAAACTGTTACAGCCATGTGCGTGTGTGGAGAATTTCCATGGAAATTGGAGAATAATCAGTTGTCCGATTGCTCGATTATCTTTTTTTTTATGTCAGATGGAAATTTTGATGAACTTTTCGAGGATTTGTACCCAATCATCGGTACTTAAAGTTAGTTTCTGCCGATCAGAATTTGGTTTACCTGGCCTTAAAGTGACAGATTTTGGCCGTAATGGCCAGGATTTAGTCTTGGTATTTGTTAATATTCTGAGATTTCTCCTCTAATTTTGAAGGCGATGAAATGTGTCATTTTTATACAAGAAAAATGATGCCTTTTAAGTAAATTGTTTGAATTGATCAGTCCAAATATTGTGGCTTTCTATTTCGCTAATTTTCTAACTTGAAGGTAAAGTTTTTCCCTCGTCATTTTTACCTTTTCTCCGAGCGGTTGCGTGAAATTAACAAGAAGTTTTTGATCAAAACACGGCCGAGCGAAGGGTCTCGGGCGATATCTATACAGGCGCAAATTAAAAATGTACCGCCAGAATCAAAAAGAGGAACAAATTTCCTTTGTTTTGATATGTAAAGTGTCTAACAAAAAGCAGATTTACCCTCGTCAAATGGCCTTTCAAAACAGCTGTATCTTCTACCTTTTGATTTTTTCCTGTTTTGTAAGCGTGAAAGCAGTAGGAGAGGGATCAGGAAACTAAAAAAAGCGCTTTGGGAATTAATCTGCCATCGTTTACTTACGAGATAAACAAGTAAGAGTTGTGAAGTTCGTCGAAGTATGAAGTCTAAATAAATGCCTTTTTTAAGCTTGTTTGCTGGATTTTTCGTAAACTTCCCAGGTTAATTTTTCGTTTCAGCTTACTAATCTATACTATTTCAAAGCAATATAAAGACGAAGACGGAGAACCATGAGTCGGTCCTTTCAACAATCGTAAACAAAGTGTTTGAGCAATCAGGTATACGAGGTGTAATAATCAATAGCCGCATATCAGAAGTCTTTAGAAAGAAAGTAATCTGTCCTCAGAAAGCTGTCAAGAAAGCGAGTAATCGTGGCGGAAGGCAATTAAATGCACTTCTTAGCAGAAACGGGCCCTCGGTATCGATTTAATATCATATCGATCTCAATATCATACAGTTTTGTATTTTTCTTCCGTGAATTCGCCTTTCTAACGGGGGTGTATGTTGAGTTTTCATTGCAAAATCGCTTGTTTTTTTATTTCCCTCTTTGGCCTGTCCGCCATTTTAAAAATTCGCAACGGAGAGCATGCGCATGGTCGCGTACACCTGGAACCGAGAAAAACAAATGTTCGTCGCGCTGGGGAAAGAGTTTGATATGCGATATTTTCAGATTTTATAACTGCAGCCGTTCCTTAGGATGTCACGCGACACGCTTCTTTAGCATGTAAAGCGACATGATGTTTTGTCATATATGGTTGAAAAGGCAAGAAAAAAAAAATTACCTTTGACTTTGGAAGATGGTGCTTTATTCTGTTTATAGAAAGCGTCCTCATCATGGGAGGTACCTTAGGTCGGTGTGCTTTCTCGAGTGTAGGAAATATTAATGAGCATTGTCCCTGATCACTGGGCATTCCTGTTATGTTCAATCTGTAAGCCCCGATATTTTGACTTCACCCAAGATTTAAGAAACTGCGACGACGTAGATGTTTCAGCAGAACATGTTTACTGACGATAGCATATATTATAACCATTTTCTAAAAAGAGTCATGGGGGAGGTTCAGTTTATCCCCTTTGGGCTGGGAGTGTAAATGGCTACGTGGTTTCAAGGGTAGCATCACAAGACGGATTCTCAAGAATCTCAGAGTTACGGTTTCAGAAGGTTATGATGAGAATTTCCCTGAGAAATTGCTAGATTTTCTCTTCGTGCTTCATAATTCTACTCCATCTACTCACCTTACGGCGGTTTTTACTATATACCACATAGGTGAATAATATTTTTTCGCGTGGCCTGATTAGCTTATTCGGAATAAACAGTCGTTCCTTTGTCAGTTGGTCCAATTTCTTTCCGAGATCCCCGCTCGGATAAAAAGGAGCACACAAAATTAAATGAAATCCAGTTTCGCCGGTAGTCCCACCAATCTAATATTTCACTTCGACCTCACTTTCCACTTCCGCTGGTTTTTTTCCGAGAAAGATCAGAGGTCTTCACTATGTTGGAGCTCGCGAACTGTACCAAGCTGTCAGACAAGGGAGACTGAAATTGAATCATATTCAGTTTTCTTTGATTTATTCTAAAATGGCAGATAGTTCAGCGAACAACACTTTGCAGGAGTAATTACAATGCTGTCGATATTTTCATGAAAGCGCTTCCGAGACGCGTGCAAGCCTGCCCTGAGCTCTTCTTGTCTGGTTAATTGCGGTTTGTCAACCCTTCGCGCAAAGTCTCTCTAAGTTGTAGCCTGCAAGCCAAGAATCCTTTTTTTTTAGTCCATGTCTGATTCAAGACTTGTATCGAAATATGAAAAATTCGCAAGTGTGAAAAAACATTGTTCCGATATTTGCCTTCGCTAAAACATTTGTGTACAAAGTGCTCGCAATTGACCGTCAACTACGTATTCTTTCTTACCGCTGGTTCTTTGCTCCTCAGTTCCAAACCCACACCTCCCTTCCAAAATCTTTCCCCTAATCACCGACCTCATTAATTCACAACAATTCTTTGTCTCGTGCAACAACGTTTTACTTTTCTTATTGAATATCTTTTAAAGGTGCTCTATAGTAACAGAGAATGACAATAATAATAATAATGACAATGATAAACCTATGCTTAAAACACCTGGGCAAACCGTAATATTTATTTGCTATATTTCTCTTGTTTTTTTCCTATATACCTGACTTTTTAACCTGACGTAAACTGCCTGCTCTTTTTTGTACGTATAACTTTTCAGTACTTAATATATTATCTTAAAAAAAAAGAAACATGACACAAATGTACCAAACAAAATGAAAAAATATATAGAATCCATCATCGTTTACAGAGAAATCGATTTACAAAAAAATTTAGGGCGGTTTCCATTGGAGGAGTAATATTATGACTCAGCAAAAATTAAAAAACAACAAAAACCAACAACAACAACAACAACAAAAATAACAACAACACCCAGATACAGACTGTATCATACTGTGGTAACAAACGAGGGAGACCCCTACAATTTTTTTATCTGTACCCCAAACTGTAGAAGATATTCGTAAAGAGCGAACAGTGTTCTTCCTTTTGGGTAAGTTTAAAAGTTTTACACTGGAACGTCAAAGTTGACGCTTCTAAGAGTCACAACAGTCGCCGTGAAGTGGCGGCCTTGGCGGCAGTACTTGACAAGAGATGGGTTGCGTAGGAGAGTCACGGCTAGGAACTAGCGGTTGACAGCCTTTAGGGACATGTGCGGCTGAAGGGGATCCCTAATAATGCCTGAAAGACATTTTTTTCTTTTTCATCGAATACTTAGTCACAACCGGAAATGGAAATGTTTAATCTTCGTGTGGTCAATAATCGTTTAGATTTAACAGGCTTCTCTGTAATTGGCTGAATGTCGAGATGCTAAATGATGATTCATATTATTAGGAATTTCACTTTTTCATTTTCTCGAAAACTTAGGATACTGCTCTATAATGCAGCTTCCATGCTTCATCCTCTATCAAACTTCATTAGTAAAACCTCTAAAAGGGATCCAAAACCTCTTTTTGTTTCCGCTTCAATTACCTTGAATTACTGGAAATTCAGAGCTGTGATTTGTTAATCACGAGCATGATTACAGACAGAATGAGACGACACGAAATCCTGTTATCAATTAATCATAACCATTACAATTTCCGAAAAAACAAACACATCCAGAAAAAATATCTCCGGTGGAGACAATGCTTAATGTTAAAAATCCCTCCATCCTGGAAATTCCCAGTTTTCCTTCAAATGAGTGGTTTTTGTGATCAATTCTGTGATTGGTGGATTTAGCTGAGTAGACTTGGTATGATTGACTGCTTTAAGTGTCCGATCACATTGTCCGATGACATCTCTCTAAAAAAAATAGTGAAAATTAAAGCAGTTACCGCACCAGTCACATTTGAAGAAATTGTAATGGTTATGATTACTGAAATAATTTTAATCAATCATTCTATGCAATGATTTCACAGCAATGTTATCATAACCTGACCAGGTCCATCAGATTGGTAACAACACTCATTTTTCTGATCCTTTCCTGAGTTGAAAGAGTCACCCCCCTCCTCCACAAGAATCGTCATTCATCTCTCCGCCACCTCCGTCAGAATACCCACCCCCACCCACTCTTCCCTTAAGAAATCCTCTGTCACCGTCTGCGTTCTCATCTGTTACGTGGGATAAAAGCCTCTACTGCCTCCACTGCTACCGCCTAAAAGAATGAAAAGAGGATTCAACTTCAAAGGACAAAAAAAATGATAGAAAAAAAGACATGAATAAGTCACTAAATGAATTAAATGACACCAATTATACCAAAAAGGTTTTTTTTTAAAATAGTAATCGGTACTACCTTATTTAAACGAATCGTTTGGTGGGGGGAAGGTCCTCCCTGAATTTTACAATACGGATGTCAATTTCTATAAGTAAGAATCGAATTTTTGATTCATCTAGATGTGGTGTTCCCATAGCCTACGAGTAAGCTTTCATAAATGCTGCTGCTGAGACAAGTACACCTATGGCTTTCCAGAAAGTTTCCCGAAAGTCGAGGGGTTTAGATTTGGGGCTTTTCTCTAGGTGTCGACTGTCGAGATGCCTAAATGATGATTCATATTATTAGGACCTTTTCTTTCTCGCCTGTTTACTGCTCTATAATGCAGCTTCCATGCTTCATCCTCTATCAAACTTCATTAGTAAAACTTCTAAAAGGGATCCAAAACCTCTTTTTGTTTGAATTATTAAATGGCACTCTGCCCGCTAAGACCACCGATTCCGCCTGACCCTGCTGATCTGTACCCAGGATTCCCGTTGTGTTCGTACTAGCGTCACACCCTGCATGCCGCTTTGTCAAATAATACAGACCTCCTCCACCTCCAGCTATTATCAAAGGCGTGTTGTATTTTCTGACGACGAATGTACCTCCACCACCGCCAGAACTCCAGTCATGATCTTCAGAGCCCCCTTCCTGTCCCACAATGATACGCATGATCTCATCTTTAATCAGACTGAACGTTCCGATCATTCTCGCTCCTCTTCCTCGATAGTGAGCGCTATTAGGGTGTGAATCGTACCCTTCTACTGCTCCTATTGCTTCTATTCTGTAGTCACCAGTGTACGTGAGAAACAGTCCATTGTTGAATACCACTGGACAATGTAACTTGTCCGTCATGATCCTGACCTGTTTAGTGACTGCCCACCGTTGTTGGACTATATCTTCCAGTGGCACTTTGCCGCACCCGTTGATTATAATAATAATTTTTATACTATATATATCTTCCAAATTCTTCATTCACTTGGATGTTTATTTGAGAACCAGCTCCCAGTTGGCTTGTTAGCTCAATTGGTGAATGCACCAGAAAATGAAAATGATTTTTTCATTTAATAATTTCAATGTTCTTAGCTCCGAGGATCTCCTAATTTCATCTCTCCACCGCAGTGCAAATATGTGAATTTTCATATATCTAAATTATTATAATAATAATTGTGATAAAAAATAGTAATAAAAACCATTACATCATTAATGCCGTACTTCAGTGATGTGCTTGTTAATTCGTAGTCCGTTAAGAAAACATTCGATGCTCCGTTAAGGTTGTCGACATTGTCATTCATCTCTCACCTAGACAACTAGATGACACAATCACTAGCTTGAAGGATGTTACAAGAGGTAAGCACAATATTGGCTCTGAGTGCTCTTTACATATTTATGATATTAACGTAGAATCGTCTTTTCTGAAGGGTACTGAGTCTGTTATGAATGCCCACTTAACATGCATTTGTCCTAAAACCCGACAATGGAGGCAAAATCATCAGTCATGAATCCTAAAGGTATCATGAACCTTCGTGTTCAACCAAAACCATGAGAACATGATATTCTTTAGACCGTAGCCTTACCCTAAGTTTGTACTCGTCAATGATACAAAAATAAACATGTAGAAAAAAATTATGGATCACTAATCAGTGGGCGAAAAAAAAGAAACGGATGCCATGGATTTCATGTTAAAATGATTACGCTTCTAAACCTCAACTACAGATAATTGTTACAATGTTGCTTACAATTCTCGCAGTTTTCATCTATGGCTTTAGGTGGACACAGGCAAATGTGCACGTTTAGATTCGTTCTCCTGCGCACTGAATTTATAATCAGTTAACTTGCGTGAATGGCGGTAGAACAACAGGAATCAAAGAGCGATTCAAACTGTCCCAAAATATGCCCTTTTTTTCTTTTCAATATTGCGACATGAAAAAGAGACAAAGTATTCAATCCTCAATTGAAGATAAGTTTAAAGAAAAGTACTTGGGAAGTAAGCAAGAAATGATTTTAAGTCGAAGGGAAGTCTTTGAACTGATAGATTCTAAACAGTTTATAAGCTCCTGATTTGTTACATCGTCCTGAACGAGGAACGTACTAATAAGTCCCTTTGATATAGTTGACCTTCATGTCTCAGCTTAACAAATAAGCCTAAAAATATTCCCCTTCCGCCAGCTCCCCCAGGAAAATTGGAAATCACAGTTTAAAATACAGTATGTCTTGACAAGAGAGAATTCGAGGTTCGTGTTCTTTCGTCGTGACCGCATCAACATCACGGAAAGCTTGCGTTATGTAGCTTTTGTCATGCAAATTATCAAGTCACCTGATCACGGTGAGCCGGTTCATTTACGCTGTGGGCTTTGTGAGCTGTTGAGGAAATGGAAGGAATTTATTTCTTCCTCACTCTCTGTTCCTTTCTGAATTTAGCATCATCGCATCAAGCAGTTAAACACCTTTCCATGTCTGATTTGGCACCGTATGACTCTCCTCATGGACCCGAGCAAATTCACATTTCCTACGGAAATATTCCGAGTGAAATGACAATAATGTGGTCGACCTCGAATTCATCGGAGTTTGCCAGTTCGGTCGTCCTTTATGGCTTAGCGCCGAAGAATTATTCTCTTGAAGCAAAGGGAAAATTTGTTTTATTTACCGAAGGAAATCCGGATGGACTGAAATACATCCATCGCGTTGTTCTCCAGGTAAGAGCCACAGAAGTGTTTTAAAACAATGGTGACTTGATTCCCAATCGATCGATCATGGAACGTAATTTCAAAGTTTTCAGTTTTGAAGCGGTTTTCAAAAGCCTTTGATGGTAACTGTTTTTAGTCACAAAGTATTGTACTAGCTCTGCCAGAAGGTTTTTTACAGTCAGTTAGTTTATTTCGTTAAGACTGGCCTCAACAGGAAATGGACCAGTTGTTGACGATTCATCAAGCGATAGTTAATTGCATGAAGTAAAGAAGTGATTGGTGATCAAGTCACCAACACCTGATTTAAACCATTTTAGTACAGATATTGCTTCTTTGAAACAGCAGTTTTAAACATTCTGCTTGTGGCATGGTTCTGATCAGATTCAATATGAATGAGTATACATTTAGATGGCCGCAAAGAACATTGTGTAACTCGTACTTGAACTTGGCGAATTTATCAGGCTAGTGCTGGCTACGTATTGGTAATCCTATTTTCGGTTTTAAGAAGATTTATTACCAATGTCAATATAACAAGTAGTCAAATGAAAAAAAGGGGATGAGTTTCTAAAGAAACTGTGTTTGATCTGTGTAGCAAAGTTGGGTTTAACAACCGAGTGAATAATGTAAATTGGCCACCGTAAAGAGTTTCTCAGCTAAGAAACTCTTTACGGAGGCTAAGTTGCAGTAATACCTCGTTTGATAAAACCGAAATACTCAGATCCTTCCTTACAAAATGGTTGTGTAGAGTAATGGTTGCGTTGACTAAAACTCCAGGTTAATCCTACATCAGAAAAAGTATCATTTTAGGTAAGGTATGGGTTGCACCTTGAATATTTTTGAAGGATTGTATTTATTGTTTAATAAAAATCTGTTTTCAGTTGTTCCCCAAATTTCCAGTCAGCGAAAACATTAATGGTGTTGTAATGCTTTAGAGGGGCAAATTTTGAGAAAATTGAGCTAAACAATAGCAATAACAGCAGTAACTGAAAGTGCTTGCCAGAAAAGCATTATTGATATAACCCTTTAACTCCCAAGATCTGATTGTTAATTTTCCCCTCTAGCTGTTACACATTTCCTTGTAACTTAGCTATGAGAACTTATTGCTAGATCAAGATGGTAGCTTCTACGCAATAAGTTGGATTATTTTCATTACCTGTTTGCTGAATAGTGTATGGATATTATAGGAAGAAGTTTCATGTTAATCACTTCTGGGAGTTAAATGGTTAACATGAGTGGAGGTCAGTTTTATTTTGTCTGACAATGTTGATGTTTTTACACAAATTATGTCAATACTTGAATGGGGAGCTAAATAACCCAGTCGTATAAAAAAGGTAGATAACAAGCCAATTTTTTGTCTACAGGTTTTAAGTTAGATTTTCCACTATTACCTCTCTTAAAGCTACCAACTAAATGCAGGCTTCATTTGCTTATCTTTTCTACACTAAACAGAATATAATAAACTGCCTCTGATTGAATAAAAGGAGTAGTGCAGTGGTTGAGCAAACTGTTAAATGGGATACAAAGCCATGATATCCTATCTTTGGAGAACACGACTATTAGCCATCGTGTACTTACTTTCTGGTGTACTCCAGCTTTCATTGTGTCAGAACATTTATAGTTACCTATAGTAATATAACCATTAGTGCAACCCTACTTGGTTGACTAACGGTTTTGGCATTTTACTCAGCAGAGTAGAAAAATCTTCTCAAGTAAGCCCGATGTTGTAATTTAACAAATATTTCTTATTTCAGTAAATTACAATAAGGAACTTATTTTTGAACTTCCTAAGTTGATGTTTTGTCAATTCTCATCGCATGTTTGCTGAATGTTGTATTGAAATTGTTGTGTGGAATTTACGTGTTGATCATGATGATCATGATTATTTTCTTACATCTAATGTTGATATTTATTCATTTTTTCAGGGTTTAATTCCTGGGATGAAATACTCATACCGTGTACAAAGTGGTAGTAACATTAGTGATGGGTTTGAATTCACTGCTAAAAGAGATGATGAGGTAAGGTGCTACATTTCTCTTGAGCCCCCTCGCTCTCAAGATCTCATTAGTGATTCTCCTTACTGAATGCCATTTGATTCTTATGATGTTAAGGCCGAGAATTTGGTATTCGATCAACTTATAATCCCCTTATTGATGTTTTTCTTTATTCTCATTGCTTATCAATATTGATATTGTAAGGAGAAATTCTGTCTTGGTTACTCAAGAGAGGATTTATAAAAATAAGTAAACAAAGACAACTAAATAAAACTTTATCCTATTTGAATTGTCTTTCAAGAAATCTGAATGCCATGCAAGTAATTGACTTTATCCACACGTGTTTGAAATGAGATTTTGTAATTTCTCTAAAACACTAACCAAACAAAATGTTTTGTGTGATTTGTCATTTCTGGTAAGGATAAACAACATTTTATTAAGAACGTATGTAGGAAAAAAAACTGGTTGCAACAAAATAGTTTTGATTGGTGATTTGTGCATTTTTAGATTTTTTATGTGGTGTGTCCAACCATTTAACAATGTGCCCCACTGAAAATGTACATGTATTTCTGCCTTGTATCCTTGAGGCATGAATTTTTCAAGAATCTATGAAAAGTGGAAGAGAGGGTAGATGTGTTAGGGTAGATATGTTAGTGTGGCACTCATCAGAGCTCTAGGTGACTTATGGAATCCCTCTATCTGCCATTGTTGCCTGAACAATTGGAACAAGTATAACCAAGTTATGGCTGCTTCAAAATAGTATAGCAAATGGCTTATAACCTTGTAATTACTGTTTGGCATGATTTCCTTTTGTTTGGCATTAAAACAGCTTTAAATTAGACAGCTGTAATTTTGAATTGATAATTCTCTCGTTTGATTTGTTAAATAGGAAGAATACTTGACTTTTGATGTCTACAGGCTTGAAAAGAAAATTTGTAAACATCATTTTGATAAGTGGCAAGAGTTGCTGCTGCTTTGTATGAAACTTTTTTCCTTCCCCTCCCATCAGACCATTTTATTATGTATTATTTTTAATTATTATTATTTATGTAACCTTCATCAGTCAACAGATATGATAGTCAGAAAGCTTCTCCATGAAGATTTTAAAAAAATTGAGTCTCATTTGCCGTAAACATTTCTATTGTTTGTATCTATTTTAAGTGATAGTTCAGGCACTGTTCGTCAGCCATCACCGACAAAAAATTGAGAATTAGCACCAAACATTTGGAACCAACCCGCTTTCGATACTTGATGCTGAGAATGGAGCGTAATGAATTGCCTAAGCTTAGGTTAACTTTTCATTTCTCACCACTAGTAAACTCTAGAATCATCCCTAAACGCATACCTTTTATTATTGTTATCATGAATTTTTTGGTGGTTTACTCATTTTTTATAAGATTGCATTACTTGTTTTATCATAACCATTACAATTTCCTCAAATGTGATTGGTGCATCAGCTGCTTTGTATATCACTAATCACTTTGAACAGTTGTAATTGATCAGTGTAATCGGACAGTTGCCTGTAATCGGACACCTGTGTTTGGACAGTCAAAGCAGCCAATCATACTAAGCCCGCTTAGCTAAATCCACCAATCACAGAATTGATCACAATGACCATAGCAACAATCACTTACTCTGAAAAAAAATTGGGAAATTTCCAAATTTTTTGCTTTAAACAGTGTTCCTACAGATGTTTGTCCTAAGTGTATTTTTTTTTCGCTTCGCGGTCGTCCGATTTTATTAATCACTCGTATGATTATAGACCGAACTGGACACCACACAATCCTTTCACCATTATTATAATTAGTAAAGTAGAAACTTTCGTGTGCGCTGTACTAGCAACAGCAAAGTGACCTAAGTTTTGTTTTGAGGCGAATGGATATCTCTCTGTCGATTTCACGAGCACGTGAGTAACACCTTACCCAATCACGAGCGAGAGTTTTTATTTTACGGACATGTGTTTGTCAGTGACTTCGTAGCCACCTTGGTAACACATTTCGCTCAATTTGCTCGGCGACGATCGAGGCATTTAGGGCGTCGTCTCCAAGAATGTGTATATGACAATCGACCCTGGCACTTCTTCCGTTGTCGCTTCCTCGTCTTGTTTGGTTGAACTTTTGCTTGCCATTCTCGTTGTCGCGAACGAAAGAGGTTTTTTTTATGCCTCTTCAAGAATTTGTAGTTCATTTCAAAACAGGGAAGAACCTCTGGCTCACTTTGAAAAACGCTTTTGTTTGTTTCCAACTCTTCAAAAGGTGATGATGGTTTTGAAAGCACTTTTGAATGACATTGTAGAAAACTTTGTTACAATATGACGATAGTTGTTATGAGCACGTAGATGCGAAACAATATCACTTAGCCTCCTTTTCAACTCGCAATTCCACGCTAAATCCTTTGCTTCGTTGACCAATCAGAATGCGAGATTTTATTTAATCATGCGATTCCATTAGATATTTTTATGATAAAGTTACGACGTAATGCTGAATATTTCTTTCAGACAAGTATGATTGTTTACCTAATTTGAACCGCAGCACTGTCTTCCAACAAACAGTTGTTGACTTTGTTATTTGCTATTTGTTTCTGCCTTTCAAATGGAAAATTTAGTCTTAGTTTTAACCATTTCTCCGGTAGAGAATGCGTCAACTGATTTTTTACTTTTCTTATAGATTATAGGCGAGAAATTTCGGTTTATAACGTTCCCCTTTTTCCCTGGGAACAGACGTAGACGATTACTGACTCTTGGCAGTTTCGCGCGACCCTGGAAATTAATATATGTTGACATGTTCACATTCAACCCAAAATCAACGATAAACAATCCTCACGTTTGTGCAAATATGTTCTTTGTATGATGCAATCTTTCAATGCGGGTATACTTTCTCCAGTCAGACCTCAAGTTCTGAGTGATACGAAGTGCTCGTATTTCAGTTCCCACGAACAGCTCAAGACATTAAGAGATCGCGCCATTTGAGTACCATAATTTTAGTGTTCTTTATTCGTAGTTTAACCGGATTTCCGAAAATTTATATGCAGTTCTGTTTGGAAAGTTAAAATTCAGTTCCGTTTGTAATAAAAACAAACCAGCTAACAATTTTACCCTTCAAAATTAGAAAGGGGCAAGGAACCAATCAGTTAGTTCTTCCTTGCTTCTTCGTCCTTTCAATTAGCATTTCATTTTACAAACGGGAGTGCTAATTGGAAGTACGGCACTGAATCTGGGAAAGCCTTTCTTTTACACGTGTAACAATTAGTTAGAGCTAGGAATCGTTTGAGCAGCTGAACTTGCAGCAAGTGCCATAAGGTTGAAGAAATTTGAGCTTGGTTAGGACTGGAAATAGCAGGAAAATAGCCGGCACTCCGCTGTAATTAAACATTTCTTGCTCTTCGGCTTTAACTCGGTCCCGCCTAAATCGAGGATCTTTGTATCTCTTCTTGACAAACTTAGCAATTCAGTAAAAGTTGTCAGTTAATAGATTCGCAATTTTTGTAAGGCTCTTGGGGTGAGTATGGTACAATCAAAGCCCCCTCCCCTGAGGGAGGGAAATTGGGCTCAGTCGAAATAACGTAAGAAATTTAGCTTAGAAAGTGGCGTATAATTTTAGCGAAACCGGAGCCCTTTGAGACTACACACTACACATATTAAAAAGTAGTTAAAGGTGACGATAATTTTTACCAATCTAATCTGCGAAGGGAACTTAGTCTGATCAAGTTGGTACTAGACAACGATGGTGAAAGAAATTTGTTTCCACAATTTTTTGTCCTTTGCAGGATTGGTCGCCGCAGTTCTTGGTTTATGGAGACATGGGTCGAATTGGAGGAGCACCCAGTCTCAAACGGCTTATTATGGAAGCTAGGTCCGGACACAACACGGCCGCATTGCATGTTGGGGACTTCGCCTACGACCTTCAAACTGATGGAGGACTTGTAAGTAATGATGCAGCTTTTTCTATTCCTTCGATGTAGTGCCCATAAGCACCCTAAAAGTACACGGTGCCAGTGGAATTCAACAATAGGAAATTGTCAGCTTAAAGGTCGGAGAGTTTCTAATAAACTGTTTCAAACCAACACCATATGCCTGCCAAGGCGCTGAGGTATCAAATTATTCTAATTAAATGTTATTGATCTCTTTTTAGTTTTCCCTTCCTTTTAAATCTTGTCACCTCTTTCTAGAATTTTTTCATCGTTCACTTGATTTTTTTCGGCTGATTTTGTCTTGTTTTGTGACAAACAGGAATAATATGGACAATTAAAGGGGCAGATTCATGTTGTAAATCTATAAATTGATACCCAATCGAGGCGCACTGATTAAGATCACTGTCATGAAAGTGTAGAGCAGCGGAAAACTGTCTGTCGTAGTTCAAAGCTTTCCTTGGCTACCGTTCATGTGGCTTGAAGCCTCAGTTTCAAGCCTTTCTCGGCAATTTCGTAGCCTGAGATCAGTAGTTTCTCTCTTCGGTTTTTAGTTTGTGACACGCTTACTTGAAAATTCTTAGTCTCTCTTATTCTTTGCCTACCTCAGAATGGTGACGCTTTTATGAACAGAATTCAGGACATGGCCGCGTGGATTCCTTACATGACATGTGTTGGAAATCACGGTAAGGTTTAGTTTAGTTTCAGTAGGAAAACTTCTCAAATTGTAGATTGAAAGAGGCTCAGGAAGGTCAAATAAATTCATAATTCTTAAAGGGAACGAACGGCGTCGTATCGGGATGAGTTAGCGCGGTTACAAGCTTGCGATCGTTTATCGGGCCGGCCATGTTTGCTTTAGAATTAGAGAGGATAGGTGAGTGGAGAAGGTGGAGAAAGATGAGACTGCCCTCTTTTGACCGTCGCGTAGGCCCTTGTGACAAACTTCTTTCTCTCCCCTCCTCCCCTGTGAAAATCAAAGCTCTAAAAATGGCAGCTATAGTTTTCATCAAGAAAATACTGAGCTCTCACTCGCCAAAATCACGCTTTCTCTGCAGTCTAAATCAGTCGCTATGAGATCTATCTTAGTTTTTTCCTTTTGTTTCAGAGATTCCTTTCAACTTCAGTCACTACCGATACAGGTTTTCCATGCCGCAACTCCAGTGGCCCACTGAAATCGACAGAATGTGGTACAGCTTTGACGTCGCCAGAGCTCACTTCATCGCGTACGTTTATCTCATATTTTGCATTACTTTTTGAACCCGTCAAGGTGAAAAATCATGGAGTGGTTCGTGCGTTATGTGCCTCATAAAATTCAGCGCCGAAAAGGCGACTGAGGTCGTTGTCAGGTCATGGAAAATGTCCTTTCTGATCAACCTCACCAGAATACTGAAACATCATGACAGCTTCTTTTTTCACGGACAGCCATTTCATTTCATGTGGTAGTCCCCCATCTTTATTTTCCCCCCTTTCCCCCCCCCCCTCCCTCACCAGGTACAGCAACTTGTGCTGAGTTGGGAACTCTAAACCATAAATCAGTTTCATTGGATGGAATTCGAACGGACTTTATTTCTATTTTCTCTTGATTTTTTATTTCCATTTGTTTTGCTCACAGTTACTCGTCTGAAGTATACTTCACCAACGGCTCCATTCAGGGTCAACTCGAGTGGTTAACCAACGACCTCAAAAAGGCGAATCAGCCCGAGAACCGTGCCAAGCGTCCTTGGATAATTGCATTTGGTCACAGACCAATGTACTGTTCAAATATTGATAGAGATGATTGTACCACGCTTCACTCTGTGGTTAGACACAGGTTGGTTGGCAAACAGTTTCCTTATATGAAAGACCGACATGTACTTACCGTCCCCCCCCCTTTTTTTTTTCTCTCTGCGACATGTGAAATAACATTTTAGAACGAGGTCCCGGAAGTCTCCAATGCGATATAGTCTTTAGGCATATTTTTTTTCAAGATGTTAAAATCCTGAACCAGCTCCTTTTGAAAAGAATAATGGAAAGTTGGGACAGGTTAATCCAAACAAGCGTAAATGAGGGCTAAGGTTAGCGCAGAGGACAAGGGGCGTCGATGATATTGCTGACAGAACAGCGTGTGAATATGCCATGAATATATTACTGAAAATAAGAGAAAGTCTTCAGAGAGAGGTCATCAAAGAATCCTACAGCATAGAAGGTACAAAGTATGCGTGCAAAGAAAAATAATTTTGAAAAAAAACGAAACGGTAAGCAAAGTATACGCGTAGAAACATCTAACGGGAAGCAAGCTTGGAAAACACATTGATCATGGCGACATCGGTGAACTTTTAAGGCATCGAATTGTCCCAAAAAAACAATTTTATGGGCCAAAAATTTCCCTTGCTTGACGTTGCTTAAGTTAATGTAATGCTCAATACTTCTACGATAAAAGAGAGCGAACAGTTAGATGATGAATTCAAACCAGTTTTTGTGTTTGTGTTTTTCTTTAGCTTAGAGCCGCTATTTTTCCAGTACGGTGTAGACATTATCATCGAAGCGCATGAACACTCGTACGAACGCCTCTGGCCAGTGTTCAACGACATAGTAACAGCTCACAACTACAGCAATCCTAAGGCCCCAGTCCACCTGATATCGGGCGCAGCGGGCTGCAATGAGGCTTATGGAATATGCGTGAGTCCCATGTTAGGACCTAGAGGTATGCAATATTTTATTAGCTTATAGGGACTCATAAATGACTGTGTTTTCCTTGGTTGTGGATTTCCAAAATCAAGGGCGGTTTAAAATGTAATAGTTAGCACTATTGCCCTTCAAGAAAATCGAGGGTCGCCGTGCTAAATCTTCATAGTATAGTCTCGCTATCCAGAACTTAAGCCGCTGCTTCTTTTTGCGGTCGTAAATTTGTGGTTTATTCTAAATAATTCCCATCCTTGGTACTTCAAATCGTTTTCACCAGCTCCACTGCAGTTTCCTAATAATTATACTATCTTAAAATATGCTTCGGTTTCTAAATTTAGAAAGAGTCTCATGCAATAAAACCGCTCGAGAAGCCGCTTTCTATTTATTAAAGGCATCACTTCAAGAACGTGTCAGGCTTTAGTCAAGAGCGTCTGGTTATTTGCACTGCTAGGAGTCAAGATCTGAAATCCTTGTAAACCTTGTGGATCCAGCTAATACAGATTAGACGTAATACGTTTGGTAGAGTTTTTTCTTGTTTGTTAAATTTAGGACGCGGCTATTTCGTTAGTTAAAGAATATTACTTTATCGCAGACTATCTTGCTTGTAAAACTTTACTTCGGAGAAGAATTACCACCTCAATAGTCTATATTCGACAAGAACTTTCGTCGATAAGCCGCAACCCCTCTGTATTCGTGGTTCTTCGAACGACCACCAGTACATTTAAAATGGTGGTCGTTTAATCTTAAGGTTAAGGTTTAATCTTTCTTGACGAGGAAATCAACAGTTCGCTGAGTTCTGCCTCTAGTTTTTTTTTTCAAGAAATAAACTCAGCAGAAGGCATCTGGAACGTCATTTCGCGATTTGCTAAAGCTCTACCAAAAAGGAGTGACAAAGCGTCTTTTGTTGAAGATACCATGCGCCTGGTTGGTTCTCAACCTCTGTAGAATTTCGGGAGAAGTGACTTCAAAAAGTGTGGGATAACTTACTCCAGAAAAGAATCGGCGGCGTCTGCATTTGAAATGCTGGACAGAGGAAGTACCTTGGTAATCTTACCGTTCACTTGGTCACCACACCTTCCACTTATTGACAAATTAATCTTCCGTGCAGTGGGGGTCTGGTGCCAGCATTCGTTTACCTTCAAAACTGCATCGTACTGTGATTTCTGTTCTAGATTTGTAGGAAAGTACAAGATATCGATGAAGTCCCGTGAAAATTTATGTTAATCATCATAGATTCCGGATTAGCTGAACCACTCGCAGGACAACGTGCTGTTTTTAAAACAGATTAGAACTGGCACCATTCTTGTTTTGTTTGTTTGTTTGTTTGTTTGTTTTTTGAGCAATTTTATACATTTTATAAATATGTTTGTGATTTCATTTTGACTCCAGTCTCAGCCTTAATTTCAGTTTGAATTATGGGTCAACTGTAGATTCAGTGTTAACTATAATCGACGCATTTAACGTAACTCAATCTTAAGAAGATGTCTACTCCTTGTTCAATATCAAAACAAAAAAATATCCTTTCTCTATTTTAAACAATTGTCCGAGTTAACGTGACTATGGAATGAAAAAAAGGTTGCAAGGTGGATTTATTTCTTAGCAGATCACCACTGCTTGCTTCTCGAGGCTTTCCTCATTTTTATATTTCTAGATAACATTAACTGATTTGTTATTATCATGGTGCCTTAAGGGTCTACATCGTAGATTGTTCCACTTGAAAATTGTAAATTTCAGTGCATGGTCCTCGCTCATCTTCCCTCTCTAACATAATAAAATGTCCCGGCGTAGATTCTTGAATAGATTACAAGTGTTAATCGTCGTCTTTTGTCAGGTCCCTGGTCTGCCTTCCGCGAGTGGTTCCCGGGCAATGCTGGTTACGGTAAACTTTGGATTGAGAACTCAACTCATGTATACTGGGAACAAATTGAGGCTTATGATGGTTCGGTTACAGACAGTATATGGATAAAACAGGAACACCACGGACCTTTCAAACCCCTGGATCCGTGGTTATAGTGGGAGACAGAGGGTAACAGCACAAAGTACAGGACACTGTGAATTTAACTTAGAATTTCGCTGACACGCTACTTTACGAGGAATCATTCAATATGAAGTTTAATTCAGCGCCTCCATAATCAATGGAACTCCAAATGTTATCTATTCCGAAACATATAGTATAACTTTTATATTTTTAGCACTCTCTAACTGCTTTTAACATGATTTTTGAGAGATTTCGAAGTTTCTGTTTTTCAAAAATTTTAGCACTGAATGTAATAAAATTTAACACTTTGAACTGGAGCTCATAAGGTCATCTGGAGGGTGTCAGATTGAAGGAAAAATATTTCCTATTTAAGACTGTAATCTCAAACTGCTACGATCATGTACAGGACTCTTATTGTAAGAATTGAATTTTGAATTCATTTAAGATTCTCTTTCGGCTTTGTATATATATGTAACCACCATCCCATCGCCTTAGTGCACTCTTGTGAGGGCGTTTGATATTTTAGATATGTAAGACGCGATGCATTACTTCGATGTGTGTTGGTAGGTCGAAGGGGAGCAAAGTTATTTGACGGGGGAACTAATAGTTAATAAACACGGAAAAAACTTTGCTTAGTTAGAGCTCAGAAGCCATCTTCATTAAACTAAAGAACATAACTCATTTCAAATGCCGCCACGAGAATAAGTTTTACTTAGCAAATTTCACAAGCCGCCAACAATAGCTCTATAGAATCTTTATTTCACATATAGATCAGATCATCACACTACTGAATTAATTAGCTACTTATCTAATTTGTATCTAAGGAGGTATGTTCTTCATTGAATAAAGTTCTGTCTGACGAGCGCTTAGGCGCGAAACTCAGAGTCACAGAGAATCGATGCGTCCTCTTTAATTCTTTGACTTATGTATATATATATATATGTGTGTGTGTGTGTGTTTTTTTTTTTTTTTTCAACAAACGCAAAACTGCGAGGAGTGCCATTTCTAATCTTACTCAGAATTATGTTGTTTGGAGCACTCACTTCCAGGGATTCTTATAATTGCCTTTGTAGTTGGTCTCGACTCGGGTGACGAAATTTTATAATAATCAGAGTAGCACTCATCACTTTCTGATTGGCTATACTCGTGAAAAAATATTGAATATGTAAAACTGTGTGCGTAAATCTGAAAGCAAGTTTTAAAATTTGAAAGTTTAACCGTTTTTTTGTTCCAATGATGTGAATTGTATAATGGTTTTGCTACAGAACTGAATGCCATTTGGAACGATACATTCAATGATTTTTTTCTTCAGTCATAGAAATTAATCTGCCTTAAGCAAACCAATCTTTGACCAGCTGAATGCTTTGAGATATAACAACAATTTTTGACCAGTTGAAAACGTGCTCCAAGATATAATTGACGTTTCTATTTCAGAGCGATCGCTTTACGGTGGCTAATTTACGTTTTCAACCCAACATTCTTCTAATAGACGTTAAAAGCTATTCATTTAACATTCTAAACAATGAACTAACTAGTTCTCATAAAAAATGCATGCAAATGAAACCACTTGGGTCAATAAAATAACTAGCGCTTCGTTAAAAACTCAATCATACCTTCCTACAGCTTTGAAATTTGCTCGGAAGCCAGAAAGAAGGAAATTTACGCAATGGAAACGTGGTTTTGGGCTCTCGCCTGCTTCCTTTCCATGCTCACGATGGTTGGCAGTGGATCTGTCATCTTCCTTGTCTTCAGAAGAAGTCAGCTTCGCACCAAAACCAACACATTCATAGATCTTGGGCAGTGGTTGATTTTGTGTTGGGATGATTGTTGTTCTCTCACCTTTCATTTGCAACCTTACAAAATGTAACCCACCAAATATAGCAGGATTGCTTGTGCTGTATATGAGAATATTCATTGTCTATGCATCTGGATCAAACTTGCTTAGTTTAGATTTGGAGCGCTATATCGCTGTGGTGAAACCTTTGAAGTAGTTGACTTTTATAACGCGTCGCAGAGTCACTCAGGTGGTTGTTATTTCTTGGGGAATTTCTCGTTCAGTGATTGTCGTAGCATTGTCGATCGACAGAATACTAAAGAAGTTCCATCGATGTTTCCCTTCTTATTATCAGCTTATCATTTATGTCTTTCGATGTTATCCTTTGTATTATTTTCCTTTTTTGCGTTTTGTCTACGTTGCTAGTTGTTTATAACAACCGTCGAGGTCGAAGTGTAGTGAAACAGCTGCAGCATAACGTCCTCAACCAGCGGATCAAAATTAAAACTCAAAGCAAATCGAAGAGATCAAAGGTTATAATGATCTAGAAAAGAAGGGAGAAATAGAATTGATTTGCCTGAAAGCAGTATAGAGATGGTAGATAAGTCTCCCCGTAAAATGACTAAAAGTGCCGCCCAAAATGCTGTTGAATATTTATGTAATACTCCCCTAAGTAATCAATGTCAGAAATCAACGCAAAAAGGAGAGCATTTTTTTCTCTTGTTTTCTTTAGTATTTTAACACCACGTAAAGTTTCCTTGTTGTTAAAGAAGAAAAAATAAACCTCCTTGTTAACAAAGCTGACATTTTTCTGGCAATGGATTCGGTAATGGATTCAGTAATCAGGGAGATTTACAAGAATTATTTAACGCACAGAGAAGCCTTGCCTGTGCTCTTTTCTGTTGTAAAGCACTCGACGAAAAAAGCTAGTGAGAAGTTCGGAAGATGATCAGACATATTACAGTTTCGCAGATGTCATCACAGCTTTAGCTCAGTTCTATGTTTTGTACTTTGATAGAGCACGCTCTCTCAACCAATGACAGCGTGCGTTATATCCGAACTTTATTATAAAATTAAATGACCCATGCAGTTTCAATTTTGTCCATCAGTCAAACGATATGATAAAGCCCACCAAAGGATACACCAAGCTAAGGCAGTTAACAGGTTCATCTTTTTGAAATGGGTCTCTCGAGCAATAATCATGATGAGAACCTGAAAATCGAATTCCATATATATTGGGTTCTTGCGAATTTTAAAAGTTTTATACGTGCAGAAAAATTACATGGACTTTTGATTGATTCAATGAGCATTTTGAAGCGTAGAAATCTTCATGTCCAGAATTCCTTTTCTTTTCCTCAATGTGGTATGCATCGACCTTTTTAAATTCCTTTGGCCATCTTATTTCGTACTGCCCCACCTGTTTGGGCGTAGCCAATCTGCTGACAGCTTTGGTTGTCAGTAGATTGGCTAATCTTGAAGCTAATCTTGGGGCACTTGCCATATGCTCTTGTACCTTCCAAATCTTGGAAAGCAACTTGGTTAATGTGTTCCACAATTTTCCACTTAATATGGCGCTTTGCTTGAAAGTATCATTTTAGCCTTTAAATCAACTCAATACATTGTTATCGTGTCTCCTTTTAAGTACTACCGTTCAGTCACATGACAGAGAGCTGACTTTCATTTAGCGATGATCTGGTGTCTTGATTGGGTGGTGATTTGGGTTGCATTCTTCTCATCATCCAACACTACGTTTTTATTGTAATCGATATCAGTATCTAAATCACTTTGCATCTTGTACAAGGAAAATTAAAATAGCCGAAAGATTTTCACTTTAAGGGGAAGCTCAAACATCAGAGAGAGGAAAGGTTTCCAAATCAATTTGTTCAATGGGTGTTATCGCCCACTGTACAAAATACTACTTGTACTATATAACAACCCACATGCTCTTTCGGTGAAGAGCTTTATTAACAATTTGATTTCAATTAATCTGCTCTTTATAAAATCGTAATGGAACTATTTGTCAACGACTTGTACAGAGATTGTTCCAGCATAATTCACTGGCCCTGCTGACGAACTGTTCAGATATCACGTCGAGCTGAAAAGGGCAATCTAGAGTTCCAATTAATGAATCCCTGCCTATAAGACTAGAGGATCTCCTGTAACCATTTCGAAGAACTTTCCTCAACGAATAAGAACGCATGCTTTGCATGAAAACGCGCCGGAATAATTTTTGTGCTATAAAATTGCGAAATCCTAGCTTGCACCTGTGTATAAGTTTCTGAGCGCTGTTGAAACAAAAAGGGGCTTCTTTTCACATAGTCATGACCAAAGTTTATATTTCAAATCATGGCTATCTATATTTCGTGTCTATATATATTTCAAATCACGTCTATGTTATGATGAATTCTATATTTCTTCTCCTGAGGGATTAGTATAGGTAATCACATGATTTCGAGTGCAATTTGGCATAAATAAGCATGAGTACATTTTTTTAAAGACTAACATAATTGCACGAGCCTGTAGGGCGTGTGAAATTTGTGGTCTTTGAAAAAATTAACAAGTACTTGTTTATTCCAAATTGCACAAGAAAATCACGTGATTACTTGTTAATAATAACCATGGAAAATACGAGATGGTTTGTCATAATTAAGCATACGCAAAGCGCGCGCATCAAGTGCAAAAATAATTTATCAAACCGTGCGTTCGGTCAAAACAACCGCGAACGATCAAAAAAATAATATGCAATGATATCTTCAGATCTTTAAGGCGGAAAAAAGTTCAAAGTCCGGCTAAACAGTTCAAGGAATTGTCCAGTCTGTGTCCGAATCACTCTTGATGAAATGGAATCGTCGTTTCCGAGGTTTAACCATGTTTGTTTTTAATCTCGGCATTGGATCGCTCGAGCAAAGTGTTAAGCTGGGTCAGTTTGTAATTTTCGATTTCCTTGGCAATTCCCCTCTCTAAACACCACTTTTTGCAACCAGACAACCAAAGAGCAGTGCTTTTTACAGTGTTTTCGTTCTTTGAGCTGTTTTTCAGCTGCGGTGGCGAAAGAAAACCTACTTAAAACGCCGGCCATTGTTTCGCTCGCAAATTTTCAAATTTTGTTGCGACATCCAAGGCTCGCATTTGATTGGCTATGTGTGAGTTTCTGAGATTATTGACCAATCAGAATGTCTGATTTGCTACTTTCTTTGTACTGAATTAACCCTCTTCTGCACTGAATTAACTCTTTTCTGCACTTAATTACCTGAAAACTGCATTTATCTTAACCAATCAGAACTGAGTAATTTCTCTATGTATATTATTAGAAATAGGAACTGTTAAGAAATATCCTCGTTTTGTTCAGAATCCGCTCAATTTATTCCAAATCTACCCTTACTCAAAATACTCCTTCCATTTTTTAAGTTGCAATAGGGAAATAATTAAAGCGTCCGCTGTCACTTAAGAAGCAACATCTCTCAGGCTTTGTTCCGTTGTGGTTCTCAGGTCGAGCCATATATAAGAAAAATAAACAATAGAAATATAAGTCTGTGTCAAATCATTTGGTAAACATTAAACGGGTAACTCACGTTTGCAGTATTGCATGCGACAACTAAGTTTTTTTTTCGTAAAAATAGAGAGAAGTGAAAATGGCTTTAAGGTCAATCATTCTGAAGATTGCAAGTGCTTGACATAGTGTGGGACCGATGATAAAAGCCATAAATGGTACTCATGTTTAGCATACTGTGACAAAATAAATTCTCCATTCTCTTCCTTAAAAATTACAAGTTTTTAAAATATGTATAGTAGAGTGCTATCTCCGTTTTATTCAGAATCCCCTATAAATATTGCCCCAAAGAAAAATTCCAATAACTGGTTCCTTTCTTCCTTTTGTTAAAAAAAAAAAAAAAAACAAAAAACAATCAACTTCCGTAGAAATGGAAAATGGTCGTCCCATACAAAAGGAAAATTAATAACAGATATCAAATTATTTGTTTCAAGAAATATGTATAACATATAGCGAAGTAAATCGCGTTCACAGCCTTCTAAGTGACTAATACCAAATTGAACAAAGGCGGCAATTTTCTAAAGAAACTGTGTTGCTGTGTCCATGGTGGGGTATAACACAATAATGTGGTTTTATCAAGAGATCATGGGGTCCTCATAACTATGTTGATGGTTTTCTAAAGCTGAGGTTTCGAGCGTTAGCCTTTCGTCTTTTCGCTGTGAAGAAGGGCTAGCACTCGAAACGTCAGCTTTGAAACCCTCCACGGTGGTCGATTGGCATTATCAACTCAGTTGATAAAACAAAGCTATTTCACATTGAAACTATTTTGCAGAATAAAGAGAAGGAAAAATGGTTTTGTAATATTTTTGGACTAATTTATTCTTTGCGAGAAAACGAATCGGCTTAGTCTTCAGGCTTATTCAGCCTTTAAGTGAGCTAATACTTGACAGATTGTTGGACGAATGATGAGATTGCTACAACAAAATAAACTTCATTAATGGCTTGATAAAGAAGCAACTTCGAAAAGAAAAGTGAAGGTTAAAGAAGAGTTTTGTTAAAATTGTGGGTCGAAGCAGCTGGTTCTATAAAACTTGTAAGAATGTGAACAAACGTGAACAAACATGAATTTATTTATCTTCTACTCCTCACTTCTTTGACAAAGAATAACAGCATAAATTAAATTCCAAGGGTTTGATTTCTTGGCGGTTTCCTAACGTAAAGACTGTAGGATACTAGTTGGTCGATTAATATATCAAAATTCAGTTTAAATTTCTGATGTTAAGTCAATCATTTGAAATCAAAGGGGGCGAGTTTGGCTTTAAGTTGAAATAAGGTTCGGTTCATTAATTCGCCTCTAATTTGTTCTTCTATGTGAAACTATTGTTTCAAAAGAGCGCTATGTAGTAATTTCCTTTTTTGCGATGTAAAATGTTAATGAAGAAACGTTCCGGTCTTTTTTAAATTTCCGATTGGCCTATGCTTCTTGAAAACCAATAAACAGGCTTCAAACTCTGTTCGTCAAAGCGTCTGACAAAAACATTTAAGGGTGGTCGATGTTTGCAGCCGTAATTGTACTTAACATAACAATATCTTAACATAACAATATCTCTTGGCCCAATTGGCTATTGCGCGAGGGTAAGACCTCAATTTCAACATCTGCGCAATTGCTTCCTTTAAATGCTATTAAAAACTCTCCTCTCTCCGACGAAGAAAGCAATTGAATATTCCCAGACGGCTATCAAGAGGATCTTCAATGGAAACGTGGTTTTGGGTTCTCGGCTGGTTCCTTTGCATCTTCACGATGGTTGGAAATGGATTTGTCATCTTCCTCGTCTGTAGTAAGCGTCAGCTTCGCACTAAGACCAACACATTCATCGTGTCTCTAGCAGTGGCTGATTTTTGTGCCGGGATGATTGCTGTTCCGTCGCCATTTCTGTGCAAAATGGAAAATATGTGCATCTCCGACGAAAAATTAATATTACTTATAATAAGTCTGAGGGTGTTCTTCATTTACGCTTCTGGAACAAACTTGTTTATTTTAGTATTAGAACGCTATGTCGCCGTCGTGAAACCTTTGGAATACTTGACTTTTATGAAGCGCCGCCGAGTTATTTAAATGGTTCCTACATCTTGGGGAATTCCTTTTCTTTTTTCTTTGACTGTATCGTCGCGATCGATTGGGTTCAATTCAACTTATCGCATCAGGAATATCGCAGGCTATTTTTATTTGGTTATCGAGGTGATATTGTGCATAATTTTAACATTTTGTCTTGCATCCATGTTTCGTGTTCTTTACAAGCAGAACTCTAGAGATCGCACTTTAACTATGCAGTTGCAGTTTAATCAACGGGTCACTAGAGTTAAAACTCGGAATACGTCAGCAGTAAAATGGGTGGCATTGGTAACGTGTGTGTTTCTATTGTGTTACGGAATACTAATGCGTTGTAGTTTTTTAGTTTTAACTGGTCATAAGTGTACTGACGATCTTCATTACAAATTACCTGTACAAGTTATTAACTCTGGATTAAATCCTATAGCTTACGCTCCGTTCAAAAGAGATATAAAGCAAGAATGTAAAAGGTATCTTTTCAAAAGGAGTCGATGTCTTACCACAGAGCAGTTGCTATGCTAGAGAATCTTAAGCTGATGTATAAACTTTGCACTTACATTAGTTCCCGAGGATTTCCGAGTATGGATCCGTCTGCATCATATTGATTATTATCTTAACTGATATTTAATGCACGTTACGCTGAACGATGTATCATTCGACAAATTATAAGTCATTTTATGTACTGGATGACCGTCAAGGGACTTTTTAATGAGAGGCGCGGGTAACTTCAAACCGTTAAGTTTTCTTCATAAGCCATTGCGGGAGGCCTTAAATTTTGGCTACTGTGTTTGAAAAGTGGCGCACTTGTGAAGGAAAAGATGATAATGTATATTAGGGCTTACAAGAAGGCAAGCTCAAGTGTATTTGTCATAGTTCAAACAGAAAGATGGATAAAACTTTACCCTCAGACGTAAATGCAAACTCATACGCCTACCGTGGTACAGTGGAAGGAAGGGAAGGGGTGGGAAGGGGGGTGGGGAGGGTTGAACTGAAAAAGTTGTAATCTTACAAGCTTCTTTCCGTGCATTAATTATTTCCTCTTCGAAATACTTCGAGTAAACTTGCCCACGTTAGTCTTGGGCTAGGAGTGGGCTTTCTGGTGGGAGTATGATGACCAATATCGATATCTTAAATTGAAATTTCAACTCATGCAACTTGAAAGAGGCTAAGACATAGTATAGTTGTGTCGGAGGCCGACTCACTCGCTTTTATTTTAGGGAGACCAAGGATCTTTACGTTATATTGGTAACTGTGGCGCTGAATCAGCTCGATGGATTTTCCTCTTCAACTCGTCTGGTCAGGACATTCCGGCGAGACCAGAGCTGTTGTCCGCTTCCGGGTCATCGTACGAACTACCATAGAATTGCAGGATGTTCAAAGTCTCCTGCTGAGATATCGCTAGCCGACGAGCTTCGCTTTTATTGCTGGAGATACAAGCATCGATCGTGCTACGTTTGAGAGAACTCCAAAAATTTACAAAAGTTTTCTTCAGGGCAGCAATTTCGAATTGGGGGCTGTCACTCTCTTTTTTTAGGATCCAACTCGGAGCGATGAAAAATGTGTTCGCACACCTTGCTTGGACGAACTATATTCTGTATGAGTAAGAAATATTTTTTGAAATTGCCGGTGCAAATCCAGTTTTTCAATCTTTCTCAGAAAAAAATGGCATGGATCCATTTATCTGTAATATTAAGCTGAATTGCGCTCGAATTTTGATTAGTTAATTCTATCTATTGTAGAACAGACGCATATATGACGTCATCATCATCAGCATCCTATTTTTATCTTTAAAATTTATTAAAGTTCACCTGGCAAACAGGTGGACAATTAGACATGGTTTGATGCTACTCTGGTTTAAAGATTTAGTGAATGTAACCGAGAAGTTACAATTCACAGACCCAACGTTTAGATACCCATGTCTAGTGCCTTTATCAGGGATGATCTAAACGCTGCAACGAGAGTTCCTTTTATGCACTTACTAATTGGCTGCCTTTTTTTTCTGACGAGGTATAAAGAGGCGTCAGGAAGTAAGTGGCTATCATCACGATTTAAAAGAACGCCGGTGGTAACGCCGACTAGTGGAGATAATTTTTGACTTATCCCACCCAATTGTATGGTTGGTTAGGCATGTGTACTCCGATAAAGCTAAAATTTTATTTTTTGCAAGAGAAGACCGCTTTCTGATGCTCTTTCAAACGTGTACCAAACTGACGTTTCGTCTGTCCAATATACTCGTTATCACAGTCATTGCAAGGAATAGAAGAAATAGTGTCAGTTCATTGTTCTTTCGTAACAGAATCCTTAGGTTTGTATGCCCAAAGTCTGAGAAGTTTTTTAAACAACCTTAACGTTGTGGCTATTCAAAATTCTCTTAATGGGTTCCGCACTACCCTGAATGTAAGGAATAACAGCACAACAAGTCACTGATTACCTCTCATCAGGAGTGCTGTTAGTTGTAACTGGTTTTTGGCAGTTACGGAGAAAAGGTTTTGTAAAGCCATTCGCCTAGGACATAGGAAAGATATTTCCTCTCCTCAGCCTTCGAATCACGTGAAGATGGTAGACAGTCAGCCCTCCTGAGTAAAGTTTTGGCTACAGCCTTTTTATGGCAAATAGATTGCTGAGAATCGAAAGTGAGTTATTTGTCGTTGTGGATAGGTTTACGATAGACACTTGTCTCTAAATTCCCCTGTTACCCTTTGTACACATTTAAAGCAAGAAAGGGCAAATGTCTATCCTTTTCACGCTCAAGAGTGAATTGGATAGACGGCCTCTACTGAATTCAAGTGCGATAGGAGGCGTGCCGCCTCATTTCCGGATACCGTAGAGATAACATCATCGACATATCGTTACCAGAAAAAGGATTTAACCGGTGAAGTGGTTAAGGCCCTTTGTTCCACGTCTTCCACTACCATATTGGCGATGACAGCAGAGACGGGCGAACCCATAGCTATACCAAAAATCAACGGTCGCTAATCATAAAGTTAAAATTCAGAACTCGCTCGCGGTAAAAAGGCTTCTTTTTAAAAGGCGTCGTTGATTTACTACAGAGCTGTTGATGAGCAGGAAAATGTTGATATATACACATAACACTTCCCTTAGCTTCCGAGCCTGGAGCCTAAGGTCATCCGGTTCAGGATCTGTGTTGTATTAATTGTTATCTTAATCGATGTTTAAACGAAAGACTTCCAATAAAACAAGGATAACTCATTGTAATTGTGTAATGGTTAGCTGTTCTGCGGCCTTTTTGTAATAGCGACGGATTCTTCAAAAAAACCTACGCATTTTTCAATAGCAGTTTCGGAATTTTGTAATAATAATTTTGTAATAAGACATTTTTTTCGTCTTATCATGAGCGTGGGACAATGAAAAAATTCTGAGTCCTCACGAGGAATTGAAACTCAGACCTTGAAAAAAATGAAAAAATGAAAAAATTCTGAGTTCTCACGAGGAATTGAAACTCAGACCTTCGGATTCCGCGCTCCGATGCTCTAGCACTGAGCCATAGAGACTCCGAGGTGAGCGAAGTCTATTACGAAGTTCATATGACACGCGTCCTGCTTACGGGATCAGCAATGTCGATAGCCGGCGTAACGTTTGTAGATCTCTCTTATTCGATCTACATACTTAGGCATTTTATGATATATAGGTATTATGGTATTACGGTTATGCATGCACCTTTTCCAAAGCCTGATGGTAAACATAGCGGGCTAACATAAGTTTGCAGTCTGAGATATGACTGTGAGATATTTTCTTTGATAAAGAGGAACAAAAATGGATTTAGCTGCGAGGATCTCTTACTTTCGTTTCTTCACCGCAGTGCAAATATATGAATTTCATATATCTAAAATCATTATTCGTCACTTGGATGGTATATTTGGACCCAACATATTGACCAGCTCCCACTTGGCTTGTTCGTTCAGTTGGTAGAGCGCTGCACCGGTATCGCAGAGGTCATGGGTTCAAATCCCGTACGGGCCTGAATTTTTTTTTCAGGCCCTACTTTCAACTACTCTTTTCAGTAGTGTTCTTAGCTGCGAGGATCTCTCACGTTCGTTTCTTCATCACAGTGCAAATATATGAATTTCATATATCTAAAATCATTATTCATCACTTGGATGGTATATTTGAACCCAACATATTGACCAGCTCCCAGTTGGCTAGTTAGCTCAGTCGGTAGAGCGCTGCACCGGTATCTCAAACGTCATGGGTTCAAATCCCGAACGGGCCTAAATTTTTATTTATTTATTTATTTTTTATTTTTGAGGTCCTACTTTCAACTACTCGTCTCAGTAGTATTCTTAGCTGCGAGGATCTCTTACATTCGTTTCTTCACCGCACTGCAAATATATGAATTTCATATATCTAAAATCATTATGGATTTGTGATGTGTTCTCCGTATGCAAATGACACGCCCCAGTCTTAAAGCTCTGTCAGCCTGAGGAGAGCCCGCACTGCCAGAATGGGGAAACAAACGATAAACTTGCAACTCCCATAAACGGCTTTTAACAGTAACTTGAAAAAAAAATGTACCAGTTGCTTTCAATTTTATTAACAATGTGAGTCGAAACAGCTGGTACTGGGAACACTTCTCTAATTCATAAGCCCAAATATGAATTTGCAAAATTATTGCATTAAGTAACCCTCTTTCCTCTGACGAAGAAAACAACCGATTTGGCTTCTTTGGTGTTTCCTAACGTATATATATGTTATTTGCCGGCTGGGAGGTCCGTATGGCGAAAAACTGTGACCGAGGTCTCGAAAATACTGCCCGAGGCCGTAGGCCGAGGGCAGCGTTTTCAAGACCGAGGTCACAGTTTTTCACCATACGAACCGACCCTTTGCCGGTAAATAACATATTTATTTTTTTTAAACTTGCCGAAATTCTTTCCGAAAGAACCCGAATGATTTAGAGCTGTAAATACGGCAAGATCTTCCATAAACTGAACAATTTTTTTAGCGAGTAAATGGTAGTTAAAATAGAGGTGATGCAAATTAAAGAGAGATGCCGTCTCTCTTTAATTTGCATCACGGCCTCAGCGAAACATTTTCATTTCCGTAGCGATAAAGATGATTTAAAAGGCTTCCAAACAAACTTTGAAATATTATTTTTACAAGTGTCTGTCACAATCTGACACCTGTCAATTAGAGAGCGCGTAAGAAAAAAAATGCGTAAGAACATTTGAAAAACAACGGAACTAGTTTGGCAAGGACTGTCACGACAAGGTTTTCTTCAAAATCAGTCAATGATCTAACGGAAAGTATTTTTCACTCTCATCGACGATTATTTCATGTACGAAGATTTACCTCTGTTCATTAAGTAAACGGAGAGGAAAGTAATTGTGAGTAAATTCAATTTTTTATTTTGAAGTTGTGAGAGTTTGCTCGTTTGTTTGCTGCAATGGCGTGTGTAAATCTGGTCTTTCCTTCACAAAAACTAAATTCGAACGGCGCACTCCAACGATACACAAGGGAATTTAATGCGACCTTTTCTCAAAACATCAGTCCTTCAGTTTCTCGTGTGCAATTTACGGTACAAATGTCCAAATCGAACGGAACTGGAAAGACTCACCGGGAGCGTATTGCTCGAGAAAATTCAGATATTAAATGAATGAAAGTTCCATCGTTCAGTTTAACTGTAACCAAATACCTCACGTTTTAACTTTCTGGGTACTTTTTGTGAACGATTAAAATTAATTGCAGACGGTTTTTAGGCCGCTTGTCAACCAACGTAATGACACTATTGTTTATACAAATTCATTCTGAAACCAATATTTTTCTGTCAACCAAAGTGATTTGAGAGAGAGAAAAGAGAGGATTCATAAGTTATTTATCGGCTTGAGGTAGTGATCGACGTGTTTGTTTAAAAATACTGCCCAGCCGGAAAACGAGATGTATTTATGAAAAATGACAACGAAAGTTGGGATGTACTCGGCGACTTACGAAAGTGTTACCGTGGCCCGTGGGCAGAGATAGGAAAATACTGACCGGGTAAAGAACCAATCGGATTGCAGGATTCGTTACCGTGCCCTCTAAAAAAAAAATAAAGAAAGTAATGTGTAACTTGGTCGATGAAAAATTAAATTAATCACATATCAATGCTATGACATCAATCGCAATCGATCTCGGCCAAAACTCATTAAATAATAATTTTGGTGTCATGTTTTTGTGATGGAAGATATCTGTTTTGCTAGCATTAGAAAAAAAAAAAGGGAGGTTAACTTTCTTCGTTTTCAGACCTTATTTACACCATTTTGCAATACTAATGATGTGCCATAATTTTGGAGAAAGAGCACACATTGAATGATGATTACAAAACCTCCTTCTTTTGTTCTCAATTTCTGATTGGCCCATGCTTCTCCGTCTGTCAAAGCGTCTAAAAAATATTTTTAAAGAATGATTGATGTCTGCAGCTTTAAACGTGACTTAACATAACAATGGCTATTGACGTAATTAACGTTAACGCAAAGTGTAGCCCGATGAGACAAGATGGTTTTATCAAACACATATGCACACAATTTTTCCTTTTAAAACGTTTGAAAGCTCTCTTCGCTCTAAAAATGAAAGCAATTGAAAAATCCTAGAAAGCCATTCTGAAAAATAAAATCAATGGAAACGTGGTTTTGGGTTCTCGGCTGGTTCCTTTGCATCTTCACCATGGTTGGAAATGGATTTGTCATCTTCCTCGTCTGCAGAAAACGTCAGCTTCGCACCAAAACTAACACATTCATCGGGTCTTTAGCAGTGGCTGACTTTTGTGTCGGGATGATCGCTGCTCCTTCACGATTTCTGTGCCAAATGGAAAATGAATGCTTCTCCGATAAAAAAGCAAGATTTCTTGTAATAAGTATGTGGTTGTTCTTCACTTACGCTTCTGGAACAAACTTGGTTCTTTTAGTATTAGAACGCTATATCGCCGTCGTGAAACCTTTGAAATACTTGACTTTTATGAAACGCCGCCGAGTCATTAAAATGGTTCTTACCTCTTGGGGAATTCCTTTTGTTTTTTCTTTGACTCTATCGTTGCAAGCGATTAGATTCAATTCAAATGATCGCATCAGGACTTTCCCAGGATATTTTTGTTTGCTCTTCGAGGTAATATTATGCGTAATTTTAACATTTTGTCTTGCATCAATGTTTCTTGTTGTTTACAAGCAGTACTCTAGAGATCGCACTTTAACTATGCAGTTGCAGTTTAATCAACGGATCACTAGAGTTAAAACTCGGAATACGTCAGCAGTAAAATGGGTGGCATTGGTAACGTGTGTGTTTCTATTGTGTTACGGAATACTTATGCGTTGTAGTTTTTCACTTTTAAGGGGTCATAAATGTACCGACGATTTTCATTACAAATTACCTGTACAAGTAATTAACTCTGGATTAAATCCTATAGCTTACGCTCTGTTCAAAAGAGACATAAAGAAAGAATGTAAAAGGCTTCTTTTCAAAAGGAGTCGATGATTCCCCACAGAGCAGTTTCTATGTAGGTTACCTTCGGAATCCCGAGTGTGGATCTGTCTGCGTCGTATTAATTCTTATCTTAACTGATATTTAATGTACTTTTCACCAATGTGCGTTTTTACTCGAGAAGTTTTAAAGTCATGTTCTATATTGGGTGACTTTGAAGGAAATTGTTTATGATAAGCGTAAGTAATCTTACACCGTTACGTTTTCTTTATAAGCCATCACGACAGGCTTTTAGTTTCTTCTAGTGTGTTGGAAAGGTGGCGCATTTGTTAAGAAAAAGATGATGATGTATATTAGGATTTACAAGAAGACAACCTAAAATGCACTTGTTATAGTTCAAACACGAAAACGAATAGAATATGTTAATATTCTGAGATAAATGTGCAAATGGCACCGCTTGTGTGTTAGTGATGTCATCCAAGATGGAGGAATTCTTCGGAATTTTCACTTTTTTTCACAAAACTTTTAGGCCTGCCAAAAGAAATTTACAGTAGCTATCAAACTTGAAGGGAAAATAGAAAGCAATACACAGAAAATAAATAAAAGGCTTCTTGTGCTTCCCTTTTCAATTTAAAAGCTACTCAAAATTTTCGTAGGTCATATCAACCCGCAAAGTACACCTCACTTGTCATTCAATATCTATAACATCCATGAACCAATTTTCACCAGACTCACAGCAGATTTGTTTCTAAAATACGTGAACAGCTATTGAAGAGGACAATTTCCCAGATAAATAGCTGAAAAAATAAACTAACTGGAGCTCCGCTTTTAAACTTAGCTGAGTCTCTATACTACACGGTAACGGTCATCTAGAAAACATCGTTAGTTATCCCTTGAATCTAACTTTACTCCACAATGATCTAACGCCTTTATATTATTGGGTGGGTGGTGTCCTAGTTATTATTTATCACATTATCCAAAGCTATTTCATTTCATTTTAATCACTATCTGCATCTAAATCCTGTTGCAAGGAGAGCATGAAACGGTTGGGAGAGTGAGAGAGGTAAACACTTCCAACTGAAGTACAGCTCTGTGCGATTGAACTCCATGCTCCTTATTATAACTTTAACTGTTTTTTACCACCATGGACAAAGAAAATTTTATTTCATTTTAGAGCCTGATTGACGTTTTGCATTGCATTCAGTCTTCCTTGGAAAAAATTGACATGGTTTCATTTATCCTTAAATGGTAAGCTGAATTAAGCACCAATTTTCATTGGTCTCAACTGATGAAGACAGATGTAAAGATGACGTCACCATTGACAAATTTTTAGTTTGCTATCATCACAAAAAAAAACCTCTAAGTTGCCATGGGTTTGTTCGGTCATGTATCAAAGAAGATGTCAACATACAGTAAAAATATCAGTGACTCACTCGGCTGCGCCTCATATGCCCTTTTTTTATACTTACTATATTTTGACGTCATGATAATCTATTACTAAAGAAATGCACGTAAATACAATCTATTTGTTACATACTTTGCGGGCTCCGCAGTATTGAGAGTCTCTATGAAAAATTCCGATAGTGAATTGTTAAGGTTTCGCGTCAAGCTGGAAATGAGAGCAAGCCGAAAATTATATTCGTCGAAAACCATGTCTATGAAGACCAACGGCCTTTAACGGAAAGGATCAGCAAATAAACGTACACCTTGCGTGACATTAAACAATAAAAATGCATTAATTATGCTTATGAATAATTCTTGTCTCATCAAATTTATTTAATCTTTCATCTACGTCAAAATCAGCAAATAAACGTACACCTTGCATGACATTAAACAAAAAAAGTGCATTAGTTGTGCTTATGAATAATTCTTTTCTCATCAAATTTATTTAATCTTTCATCTGCGTCAAATTTTCAGTTGTACTGAAATAAAGGGAGCCTCACATTACAAGACGCGACGTGTTGATATGATTGGTCCATGCTTCTGAAAACCCGACAAATAGGCGTCAAACTCTGTGCGTTAGTACATCTGACAAAAACATTTTAGGTCGATGTATGTTCGAAGCCATAAACGGACTTAACATAACAATGTCTTTTGGCGTAATTAGTTTTTCCGCAAACGTGAGGCCAAATGGTTTTATATTTAACACCTCTATATCAACTCAATTTTTCTTTCTAGAAACTGTTGAAAATTATCTTCACTCTAGCCAAGAAAACAGCTGAAAAGTCCTGGACAGCAACTGAAAAGAAATTCAATGGAAACGTGGTTTTGGGTTCTTGTTTGGTTCCTTTCTATCCTCACGATGGTTGAAAATGCATTTGTCATCTTCCTCGTCTGCAGTAAACGTCAGCTTCGCAACGCAACGTGTCTTTTAGCAGTGGCAGATTTTGCGTTGGTGTGATAACTGTCCCTTGCACATTTTCTCTGCACTATAATAATAATAATAATAATAATAATAATAATAAGGCGAATAAGTGCACCTCCAATTACACAACAAACTTACTTGTGACTTATGTAAGAGTTTTCATAGTGTATGCATCTGGATCAAACATGTTTAGTTTGGTATTGAAACGATATGTCGCTATGGAGAAACCTCTGAAATACTTGACTCTTATGACGAGCCGCCGTGTCATTCAAATGGTTTTCTTTCCTTAGGGCCTTCCTTTTCTATTCATTATGGTTATATCGGCGATCAGATTCAATTTGATCTATCGTATTAGCGGCTATGTGTATTTGCTTTTCGAGGTAATGTTATGCGAATCAGTACATCCATGTTTTTTCTTGTTTACAAGCAGAACTTTAAAGAGCGCGTTTTAGTAAAGCACTTGCAGTATAATCAGCTGGTCGTTAAGGTGAAAACTCAGAACAGCTCAGCAGTAAAATCGGTCGCATTGGTAACGAGCGTGTTTCGTGTTACGGATTACTGATACGTTGTATTTTATTAGTTTTAACTGGTCATCTTGGTAACGATTTTCATTACAAAGTACCTCTACAAGTTATTAACTCTGTAATAAACCTTATAGCTTGCACTTTCTTCAAAAGAGATATAAAGCGAGAATGTAAGAGACTTGTCTTCAAGAGGCGTTGTTGATTCAATACACAGCCTCTGTTCGTACTTAAGCAACAACAATTTCAGCTGGTGCATAGACTTTATTTGACGATACTTCTTGTAGAACGTTACCATGTTCGGTTGTAGATCCATCTATGATACATGAATTCTTATTTTAATTTAATTTATGGTTAGTTCAAAAGATCCCAATAGACAAAAAATAACACAACTATGTAAGAATGTAGAGTTTATTTTGCCTAAATTTCCAAGATTTAAGACCGAATATCGATGTTTTCGAAGCATTTGCTACTGCAGAGAGCTGTTACATAATACTGGACTGAAAGGACTGACTGAAATGTCAATTGCCGAATCTACCCCCAGCACGACGAACAATCACGCTCTAACTTGGCTGAGTTTTCAAAGCAGAGAAACACTTTTAAAAGCTGTTCACAGCGAATAAACGCACGCCTTGTATGACATTCAAAACCGCGTGCAAGATTAGACGTGAAGATAATTTAAATCTCAAGAAATTGATAAATTATATCTTGTATCTGCGTTAACATCTGGGCACTTTTGAAACAAAAAGGAACTTTTGTCCATAAGAAACTAGGGAACTATATTTGTCAATACATGTTTGTATTCTCGATTAATTCAAGTGACAAAGTAATGATAAAGTCCATTTCCATATATGGCCTGCTCCGAATCTGGTCCATCTATTTCCAATTTATATAATAAGCTCAGTTATGTATGCATTCTTATTGGTTCTCACTTATGATCTATTGGAGGACAGACGCATAGATGACGTCATAATTAAAAACTTTTTTTCGAAAAAAAAACTGCGCCTCGTGTGCCACTTTTTTGTTCTTACCACATTTTGACGTCATCTGTGATCTATTACTGAACAGACGCACGGCAACTTGGAATCTATTTGTTAATTACCTTTGATCAAAAATGGATCGTGATATTTACGACTGTTCCTTTCCAATAACTTGGATAGCTTTGCGAAGTTACTTTACTTCATGAAAAACATACATATATGTTCCTATGCTACCGTTTTAAAACATGTTGCAATATGAAAAACACTTTTTTTTATTTTGGCAGCAGCTATAATATTTTTCTTTCTAAAATAATCTCTTTAATTTTAATTAATGGGAAAAGAAAAGGTGTATATTTTTCATAATTATTTTTTAAAATTTCACTGCCTTACATACACGTTTCCCTTTTTTCAACGATGCAAAAAGACTGCGAGGAGTGCCACTTCTAATTTTACTCAGAATTGTGTTCTTTGAAAGCATTAACTTCCAGGGATTCTTTGCCTTTGCCGTTGGTCTTGACACGGATAAAGAAATTTTTAAATAATCAGAGCAGCACCCATTACTTTCTTATTGGTTATACTCATGGAAAATTACTAAAATATGTAAAACTGCGTCCGTACATCTGAAAGCACGTTTTAAAATCTAAAAGTTTAACCGATATTTGGCCCAAAGATGTGAATTGTATGATGGTTTTGCTACAGGATTGAATTACATTTGGAAGGATAAATTCAATGATTTTTTTAATTAAGTCTGAAAAATTAGTTTGCCATAAGCAAAGCAATATTTGACCAGCTGAATGCTCCAAGATATAATCGCTATTTAAGGAAACAATATTCTTCTAATAGCGTTAAGAAATAACTTGAAACAATAAAACCGTATGGTTCAGTAAAATAACTAACGCTTCGTTAAAACTCAATAACACCTTCTTACAGCTTTTAAATACATGCAATTTCCTTGGAAGCCAGAAAGAAGGAAATTTAAGCAATAGAAACGAGGTTTTGGGTTTTTGCCTGATTCCTTTCTATCCTCACGATGGTTAGAAATGAATCTGTTATCTTTCTCGTCTGCAGAAGACGTCAGGTTTGCACTAAAACCAACACATTTATCGTGTCTTTAGCAGTGGCTGATTTTTGAGTTGGGATGATTGCTGTTCTTTCACCTTATACTTGCAACCTTGCAAAATACAACCCACCAAATATAGCAGGATTACTTGTGCTGTATATAAGAATATTCATAGTCTATGCATCTGGATCAAACTTGCTTAGTTTAGATCTGGAAGCTATATCGCCGTGGTAAAATTGAAATACGTGACTTTTGTAACGCGCCGCAGAGTCACTCAGATGGCTGTTATTTCTTGGGGAATTCCTCTCGCAGTGATTATCGTAGCAATGTCGATCGACAGAATACTAAATGTCGAAGAAATTCCAATCGATGTTACCCTTCTCATTAACGGCTTATCGTTTATGTCTTTCGAGGTTATCCTTTGTATTGTTTTCCTTTTTTTGCGTTCTGCCTACGTTGCTAGTTCTTTATAACAACCGTCGAGGTCGAGCTGTAACTAAACAGCTGCAGCATAACGTCCTCAACCAGCGGATCAAAATTAAAACTCAAAGCAACTTGGTAGTCAAAATGATGACTATAGTTACAAGTGTGTTCCTGTTATGTTACGGATTGCTTCTGCGTTGTAGTATCTCAGTCTTACATGATAACAACGACTGTAACGATTTCCATTACAAAATGCCGCTGCAGGTGGTTAACTCTGGAATAAACCCTTTAGCTTATGCTGTTTTCAAGAGAGACATAAAAGCAGAGCTTAAAAGAGTATTCAAGAAACGTCAGTAGCTGTAGAAAAGTGGAGATAGAAGCTAAATACTGGGACTCGGACTTGGTAGATAAGGAGCGAAATGCTCTTTCGGTGAAGAGCTTGATTTACAACTTGATTTAAATTAATCTGCTCTTTATAGGATCGTAATGGATCTATTTATCAACGACTTTTACAGAGATTGTTCCCGCATAATTCACTGCCCCTGCAGACGAACTATTCAGATTTAACGTCGAGCTGAAAAGGGAAATTTAGAATTCTAATTAATGAATCCCTGCCTATTAAACTAGAGGATCTCCTGTAACCATTTTGAAGAACTTTTCTCAGCGAATAAGAATGCATGCTTTGCATAAAAACGCGCCGGAATAATTTTTGTGCTATAAAATTGCGAAATCCTAGCTTGCACATGTGTATAAGTTTCTGAGCACTGTTGAAACAAAAGGGGGCTTCTTTTCACAAGTCACGATCAAAGTTTATATTTCAAATTCTGACTATCTATATTTCGTGTCTATCTATATTTCAAATCATGTCTACCTTATGATGAATTCTCTATTTCTTTTCCTGAGGGATTAGAAACAGGAACTGTTAAGAAATATCCTCGCTTTGTTCAGAATCCGCTCAATTTATTCCAAATCTACTCTTACTCAAAATACTCCTTTGAGTTTTTGAGATTGCCATAAGGAAATAATTAAAGCGTCCGCTGTCACTTAAGAAGCAACATCTCTCAGGCTTTGTTCCGTTGTGGTTCTCAGGTCGAGCCATTTATATGAAAAATGAACTAAAGAAATTTAAGTCTTTGCGTCAAATCATATGGTAAATATTAAACGCGTTTGCAGTATTGCATGCGACAACTAAGTTTTTTTCGTAAAAATAGAGAGAAGTGAAAATGGCTTTAAGATCAATCAGTCTGAAGATTGCAAGTACTTGACATAGTGTGGGACCGATGATAAAAGTCATAAGTGGCTTAAAGAAGCAATTTGAAGGTGACAGTTGGTTTTATGAAAAAGCGTTGTTCCAAGCAGCTGGGTAACCTTACATATGTTAATCCAAATATGAATGCATACAGCAACTACTTCTCAAAACCCTCTTTACTCTGGTAACTCAAATAAAGCAAAAAATGTCCTGGTGTAAATTTAATAGAAACTTGAAAGGTTTTTATTTCTCGGCTGTTTCCGAACTTTGAAATCGTAGGACGTTAGCGGAGTCGGTCTATTAAAGATGTAATTATCCTAAAAAAGCAATGATTAAAGGGATACAAAATCTACTTGGAATTTATGTCGTAATGTCAATTACTTGATAATAAAAGGAGGTGACTTTGGCTTTACACTGACCGATCAATAACTTTAAAATCATCACAATAATAAATACTTGTCGTAAACGGTGCATGCATCTGGAAAAAAAACAGTAAATAGGATTAAAACTCCGTGAGTCAAAGCGTCTTCTGGAACAAACCTGTTTAGTTTATCAATGTATTTATTTTAGTATTCATGTTTTGCATACTGTGACAAAATAAATACTCCACTCTGCTCCTTAAAAGTTACAAGTTTTTAAAATATGTATAGTAGAGCGCTATCTTCGTTATATTCAGAATCCGCTAAAAATATTGCCCCTCGGCAAAATTCCAACAACTGGTTCCTTTACTCCTTTTCTTAAAAAAAAAGCTCAGCTTTCGTAGAAATTGGAAATAGTCGTCCCTTACAAACGGAAAATGAATAACAGATATCAAATGATTTGCTTCAAGTAATATGTATAACATACAGCGAAGTAACTCGCGTTCACAGCCTTCTATGTGACTAATACCAAATTGAACAAAGGCGGCAAGTTTCTAAAGAAACTGTGTTGCTGTGTCCGTGGGGGGTGTAACACAATAATGTGGTTTTATCAAGAGATCATAGGGTTTTCTTAACTGTGTTGATGAGTTTCTAAAGCTGAGGTTTCGAGCGTCAGCCCTTCGTCTTTTCGCTCTGAAGAAGAGCTAGCATTCGAGACGTCAGCTTTGAAACCCTCCACGGTGGCCAATTGGCATTATCAACTCAGTTGATAAAACAAAGCTATTTCACATTGAAATTGTTTTGCAGAATAGAGGGAAGCAAAATGGCTTTGTAATATTTTTGGACTAATTTGTTCTTTGCGAGAAAACAAATCGGCTCAGTCTTCAGGCTCAATAAGCCTAAGATGAGCTATTACTTGACAGATTGTGGGACAAATGATGGGATTGCTTCAAAAATAATATCATAAATTGCTCGATAAAGAAGCAATTTCAAAAAGAAAAGTGAAGGTTACAGAAGAGTTTTTGTTGAAATTGTGGGTCAAAGCAGCTGGTTCTATAAGACTTTTAAGAATGTGAATAAACGTGAACAAACGTGAACAAACGTGAACAAACGTGAACAAACGTGAACAAACATGAATTTATTTATCTACTTCTCCTCAAAACCCGCACTTCTCTAACAAAGGATAAGAATCTGAGAAAAGATCGAGGTATAAATTAAACTCCAAGGGTTTTATTTCTCGGCGGTTTCCTAACTTAGAGATTGAAGGATACTAGTTGGTCGATTAAAAATATGATCATTCCAAAAAGGAGGATATCAAAATTCAGTTTAAATTTCTGATGTAAAGTCGATCATTTGAAAATCAAAGGGGGCGAGGTTGGCCTCACGTTGAATAAAGGTCAGTTCATTAATTCACCTCTAATTTGTTCTTCTATTCTATTCTTTCTATTATTTTCAAAAGAGCGCTCTGTACCAGTTTTTTTTTTTTGCGAAATAAAACAATGACGAAGAAAATGTTCCGGTTTTTCTAAGATTTCTGATTGGTCCATGCTTCTTGAAAACCAATAAACAGGCGTCAAACTCTGTGCGTCAAAGCGTCTGACAAAATCATTTTACGGGTGATCGATGTTTGCAGCCTTAATTGGACTTAACATAACAATGCCTGTTGGCCCAATTGGTTATTACGCAAAGATAAGACCTCAATTGCGACATCTGCGCAATTGTTTCTTTTCAATGCTGTTAAAACTCTTTTCTCTTTAACGAAGAAAGCAATTGAATATTCTCAGACGGCTATCAAGAAGAACTTCAATGGAAACGTGGTTTTGGGTTCTCGGCTGGTTCCTTTGCATCTTCACGATGGTTGGAAATGGATTTGTCATCTTCCTAGTCTGCAGTAAACGTCAGCTTCGCACCAAAACCAACATATTCATCGTGTCTTTAGCAATGGCCGACTTTTGTGTTGGGATGATTGCTGTCCCTTCACGTTCACTATGCAACATGGTAACTGAGTGCATCTCCGATAAAAAAGCAAGTTTACTTGTAATGAGCGTATGGGTGTTCTTCATTTACGCATCTGGAACAAATTTGTTTAGTTTAGTACTGGAGCGATACATCGCCGTCGTGAAACCTTTGGAATACCTGACTTTTATAAAGCGCCGTCGAGTCATTCAGATGGTTCTTGCATCTTGGGGAATTTCTCTTTTTTTCACTCTAACTGTACTGTTGATTAGACTCAATTCAATCGATAGTAGCAGGAATATCAGCGGCTGTTTGTATTTTTTGTTCGAAGTAATCCTAAGCGTAATTTTAACATTTTGCGTTACATCCATGTTTCTTGTTGTATGTAAGACACGATCTAAAAATTGCGTTTTGGTGAAGCAGCTGCAGTTTAATCAAAGATTCGCTAAAGTTAAAACTCAGAACTCGTCCGCCGTAAAATGGGTGGCTTTAGTAACTTGTGTGTTCCTTATTTGTTACGGAATATTCACGCGTTGTAGTTTATTAGCTTTAACTGGTCATCAATGTAACGATTTTCATTACAAAGTACTTCTCCAAGTTTTTAACTCTGGAATAAACCCTATAGCTTATGCTTTCTTCAAAAGGGACATAAAAAAAGAATGTAAAAAGCTCCTTTTCAAAAGGTGTTGTTAATTTTAATAGCATTTGGTGAGGAATTAGAGGAAAGACTTCAGTTGATGCATAAACCTAGCACTTTTCTTAGTTCAGAGGACAATCGGCTGTCAAGCCGTGTGAGATGGATTATTACCTTCTCTTAATTGATATCTTGCACTGTAACCAAGAAAAATATTTCGGTGCAATTATATACGATTGTGATGCTCATATCCACACATCATATCGAATATATCGAGACTGTTCTTTGCTAGAGGAAGTTACTTTTTTTAAAATTAGTGAAGCCTACTGGTATTTCAGTGTAAAAGATATCCGGTTCCTAAAACTAAATTTATTAACTTGTCTAATGCATTTTGAAATAAGAGAAAGTAGATCATATTCCACCTCAATTTTGCTGTCCGCCGCGTCCACTGTCTGTTCTCTTCAATGCTTTAGACCATTATGTTCTTGTTGATAAACTATATCAAACATAGCTTTGAAACGAGGAATGCTGGGATAGAAGACCTGACATTTTTACATTTTTGCCTCCGGTAGCTGATTTGTATACATGTCAACTTCTCCATAAGTTGAAATTTTCACGTAATTTACCTTTGCTGGTCAATGTCAAAATTATTTGACTGTTTGATATAAACACCTTTCCTTTGGCAAATTTTCGTTCGGTAGCGTAGACGACTTTGATATGACGTTTAAAAGGCTTTTTCATTAGATGGAAATGCTTTTTAAAGAGAATGTTTGTTAGACTAACAGGAAATTACTCAACAAGCATAAAACTCGTGCTATTGACTGGTCTAATGGCAAGGAAATTCTTAAAAGAAAGCGCTTTCATGAAACAAGTCTTCGTGACAGGTTTTTAGGCTTTGTTAGTGTGTTGTACAAATAACCATTTTCTTTTTGAAAAGAAGCGCACATGCTAAGGAAAAGATGATATTGGGCATTTAGCCCACGAGCAGGACCTTAGTATTGGTGTCTCAGTAAGCGCGTGTCGTCGCCTGCTAGATAGTTTGAGGCCATGAGTAGTCTTGCATGCTTTGTTCAAGGCTTTAAGCTTATTTGCAGGTGGAGGACGCACGTGCCGCAGCGCTAATTGGGTACCTTTAGCAGTCAGCTCGGCAACATCTGACGACAAAGTTAATTTAAAAGTGAGCTTAAAATTCTATTTATAAAATAATTCAGATTGAGTACGCGACCGAGCTTTCATTGGTCAACGGGGAAATTTAGATGAGAGTACGTATACACAGTTAGGAAGTCTAGCTTCTTGCGCTTGCCGACACAATTTGAAATGATCTAAAACTCAAAAGCTTTCGCAATACTTGCAGAAAAAATTCAAGTACACATGACAGAATTAGAAATGGAAAAAAATTCAAAATTTTGATGTGGGGTTTAGCAATCACTTTCCCCTCTGAGCCCAAGCAGAAAAAAAAGAGGAAAAGTTAAAACTACAGCGCTTTAGCTGCTTAGATAATCGTGAGCTGGAAGACCTCGCCGAGGGAGCTCATGTTTACTAAAAAATGTCCACGAAAAGCGCAAACCGAACTAAGTGCCACAGTCTGTATTTTCTTGAAGTAAACAACGCACACAGCCTATCGATTGCCATGTTTTTGCTTTAAAATTTCTCTTAAATTGAAATTTTTACTGAGACGTTCTCGGCGTATGAAACTACTTTCGCATTGGCATTAATAATCGTAAACTATTTTTTCGGTTCGAATGGGACAGAAAAACTGTACTAACCAGCACAAAGGCGCGGTGAATAATTCAAGTTCTCAATTATGTGAGTAGTTTATCCAGAGCGCCATGCTTACTATATTGTGCGCTGCCAAATCGGGTAAGTTTTCGTCACTTTCATAAGGGATATTCAGTTTCAGCTTAATCAAACTCCTCCTCTAAAAGTTCTTTACTTAAGGGATTGTATATTTTAAATATTTTGGTATTTTTTTGTGAAAAGAAATCGTTTAATTCACACGGGGCTGGCACAACAAATATTAACTCGACTTTAATTTTTATAAGACGAATTTTGATAGGTTTGTGTATTTTTATCGCCCAGAGCATTTATTGAGAAAATATATTTCAATCGAGTAGTAAATAAATAATTATTTTTCCTTTTTTATGTTATTGGAGAGCCATATCCAAAAATAAAGATAATTTTTTCCCGTGTGTACATAATCTCATCCAAACAATTGAAAGTTGAAAAGTTATCGAAAATTATATCAATTCTTCCAATAATAATTTAATAAAAATGAAAAAAAAATGCCAGATATGGCCGATGTCGGCGTCTATGTTTTCCTGCAAAGCCCACGGAAACCTCCTACGTATCGTGGTTTCACTTAAATTTTGAACGTTTTTGACGTCATTGCTATGATGAATAAGGTTATAGACAATAATTCTTCTCGATTTGTTAAAAACTAAAGTTGTTCTAGAAGTGGCCATCAAAAAGAATTTCGATGGAAACGTGGTTCTGGCTTCTCGGCTGGTTCCTTTGCATCCTAACGATGGTTGGAAATGGATTTGTCATCTTCCTCTTTTGCAGTAAACGTCAGCTTCGCACCAAAACCAACGCATTCATCGTGTCTTTAGCAGTGGCTGATTTTTGTGTTGGAATGATTGCTGCTCCTTCACGTTTTCTCTACGCTATGATAAATGAGCACATTTCCGATGATGATCTCCGACTAACGATGTACGTGTGGGTGTTCATACTTTACGCGTCTGGAACCAACTTGTTAAGTTTGATATTTGAACGATATATCGCTGTCGTGAAACCTTTAAAATACTTGACTCTTATGAAGCGCCGCCGAGTCATTCAAATGGTTCTAACATCTTGGGGTATTCCTTTTCTTTTTACTCTGACTACATTATTGATGGGATTGTTTTCATTGCATCGAATCGAAGGCTATTTGTATCTATTTTACGAGGTAATCTCGTGTATAATTTTAATATTTTTCCTTGCATCCATGTTCCTTGTTGTTTACAAGCAGAACTCTAGAGATCGCACCTTAGCGAAACAATTGCAGTTCAATCGAAGGGTCGCTAAAGTTAAAACTCAAAACAGGTCAGCAGTGAAATGGTTAGCATTGGTGACCAGTGTGTTTCTACTGTGTTACGGATTATACATGCGTTGTAGTTTAATAATTTTAATTGGTTATCATTGTAAAGATTTTCATTACAAAGTCCCTTTACAAGTTGTCAACTCTGGAATAAACCCTATAGCTTATGCTTTCTTCAAAAGGGACATAAAGCAGGTATGTAAAAGGCTTTTTTTCAAAAGGTTTCGTTCATTTACTACAGAGCAGTTTTTGGGAAGGAAAAATTAACACTTCTCTTAGATCCCGAGAGCATTCGGTTGTCGATGTATTAATTATTGTGTTTATTGATACCTAAATGAAAAGCTTTCGATGAAACAGAATTCTCTGCTGCGTGAGACTTGATAGTTTTTTTTTATCTCTAAGATATAGGACCATATTTCGAATATATTGAAACTTTAATTTGAGATGAAAAATTGATGGATATTGTTTTTGGTTTCTTTCCTCGAAAATGGTACTACACCTTAAAAAAAGAGATCACTCCGTTGGAGAATGGGGCGCCATGTTAGTACTGCGTCATCTCGATATGCGTTTTGTGAACCTGAAATTAAATAAAAAAGTCCGATTATAAAAAGAATACTAAAATTTATACCTCATATTTTTTTATCTTTTTTTTATTTTATTTATTATTTTTTTTCGGTGGTTGGATTCACCGCAACCTGGAATAGAGATTCACCAAACGATTGGAGCTTAGATATAATGAGGTTATTTAGAGCACTACCTCAAGATTTTTTTTCTTTTTTAATTTTGGCATCGTGCCTAATCATTTTAACTTCCTGTCTTCCCAGAAAGTGGAGGCAATCTTGCTTTGATGATTTTGGCATCGTGCCTAATCATTTTAACTTCCTGTCTTCCCAGAAAGTGGAGGCAATCATACTTTGATGATTTCGTCATCAAAAAAAAAATATTTATGGCAATCAGTGGTGGCAAACCACCTACAATCAGAACGACAAGACGCATGAAATTCAAGCGTACAAAGCTCCGCTGCATTTTGAACTGTTCACCTTCATCTGTTTTCGTAGAGGCCCTCTTCAAACGAATTTCCTGAAGCAATCCTTATTCTAATAGCATGCTTAGGAAATTGGCTTGCCTGGTGATTCAGTTTAGGTTTTTATAAGAAAAATCGAAATGCTCTTGCTCCATCTCAAACAGGAAGATGAATATTTACTAATCTACTCTGTAATTGACAATTGGTGTTTATAGCAATCATACTATCTTCATAAAAATCCTCGCCGCCAGGATTTTTTTTCGTTTAAACAGATGTAAAAGCCATTCTGAATTCATTGCTCTTTTTTTCAGTTGGCCTGGTATTAAACTTATAAAAATGAGAAAGAATGATTCGATATGGCTTAGAGAAGTCGCTAAGAAAAAAACAAAAAAAAAAGGAAGTTTGCCTTTTATAGAAATTGCGGGTGGGAGCAGGTGGTTCCAAAGAACTTCGAGATGAGTACAAATATGAATTCTTAAAGTTATTGCTTTCGAAAATTCTCTTCGCTTTGAAAAATTGGACGATATGAAAAAAATTACCAGTATGAATTCGATAAAAACTTAAAAGGTACTGGTTTTTTGGCTGGTTTTCAAATTAAGAGAATTCGTAATTTGCCTTACATCTATGTTTCTTGCTGTTAACAAGAGCTAAAGAGATCGCAACTCGGCTAAGCAATTGAAGATAAACAAACGGGTCGCTAAAAATAAAAATCAGAACAAGTCTGCGGCGAACTGGGTGGCATTGGTAACGGGTTTGTTTTTTTTGTGTTACGGAATATACGTGCGTTGTAGTTTAATAATTTTAACTGGTCATCCTTGTAACAATTTTCATTACAAAGTACCTCTACCAGTTATTAACTCTGGAACAAATCCTCTTTTCCCATTGGACGAGACTTCTTGGCAACACTTCTGCAGCGGTGAATAAGGATGCGGAGGGCTTCTCGGTATATCGCAGGACTCGTCAAGCTTACACAAATGGATTAATTCCAATTTTGAGATTATCAAAATAAGCATCATCAAACCCCATATAAATTCCTTTTCTGAAGCAAAACACAAAATTAGCACGAAAAGAAGCATAAAATTTAGACGCACAAAGCTACGCTGTACATGAAAGTGTTTACCTCGCTCTGCTATTGTATTGATCTTTTTACGCGATAGTCCTCTGGCCATCTTTTTTCTTATAGCTCGATGCAACATAACGAAGATGCTGATATTGATGACGACAAATACATAGCCTTGAATGACTGGGTAATCGCGATGCAGAATATCATACCATTGAAAAAACCAAATAATCCCAGAGCAAAGATATATTGCTAGCACAATTGAAAGCGCTTTTTTTCTCGTTACCAGACGTCCGTACTTAAGAGGAGAAGAAACTACACTGAACTGAGTCAAGGTAAAGGCGAAAATAGTTGAATTCGACGTCGTTATATAAAATTCGGTGAACGTTTGAAGAGCGTTTAATAAAGTTGTCAATTTGATTGAATATGGATGTTGAAGGTAAAGGAACACATAAAGTGTGGCCAAAACTGTTTCTTGTACCAAAGCTGTTAGCAGATCGGCTATAGCCAAACCAAGCAGATAATAGGAAGTTGGGTTGCGGAACATCCTCAATGAATCGATATGAAGAACAAGGAGGAGAAAGCTATTGGCCACAATAGTGATAAGCGAGGCTATGAACATGAAAACTTGCCGCGCTAAAGGCCACTTTGTAGAAATCTTAGTCCATTGGATTAAGCGTAAAACCGGGATGGAAATTGTCGAGGGTCACATTTCCAAAGGAATCGTTGATATTCGAATTCCCTGCAAACACAATCTCCATAGAGGCATTTATGAGTTTGCTTGTCAAAGGATTGCTGTTAATGAATCGTTTTGTGGTGATGTTAGTTTTTTCACAACAAACATGATTAAGTGATTAATAGTTTTACTTAGTGAACCCATATGAATAGCAGTTCTACCAAAAAAAATATGTAATTTTCCACCAGCACAAATTCTTGAATGAAAAGAAGAGTAATATTTTTCCATCTAACAAGGAGACTTTTCATGGTAATTACTTGAAAAATAAAGTTTTCAAAGACACTTCTTTCAAAAGCCTCTAACAGACTCTTCACCAGCAGGAAGTCCTTGCTGACTCTGTTGATGCCAGCTGGCTCCTAATCGAAGGATTTTGAAATGCTTTCCGAGGCATAATTTGAAGTGAGGATTGGTAACTGAGTTGCCTGTCCAAAATAAAACTATCATTTGTCTGAAAAAGTCAACGTGATGACAAATCGTTTAATTATGCGAACTAATTTAACTTTCCTTGCGCTTTTCAAATTGTCCAATACTTAACTAGTTTTCTTTTTTTGGTGGGAGCTGTTTCCTCATGGCACAATTGTCGATTTCGATACTCGCGACTGGTTGCTTTCGGAAACCTTGTGCAGCTTTTCTAGGTTATGTTCACTCCATGATATGACATTTTGTGAAATATTTTCTAGATATGAAAAAAAGTCCTGGAGTGTTATACTCAATTGGACACCGATTTATGTTGTTTAAAGCACTAAATCAAGGTAATGACTCTGTTAATTGCTTTGTGTTTATTCTTGACTTGCTTCTTTTAGGTGTTCAAAAACAAAAATGGCATTTGCGCAAGGTAATGGGCCTATGGTTGGGTTCTCTTGCTCGCTCCAATCTCATGGTACCCAGGTCTCTATATTTTGTCGCTTTCAGGAAGTTCGTTTTGATCACGTAAAAAAACGGAAAGAAAAGCTATTCAATTCGGACAAACCATCGGGTCAGTCACCGATTGGTTCCCAGTTCTCATGTTTCCCTTACTCTGTAGAAGACAGCACCATGCAGTACTCTAACAGCACTCTAAGCCGGTCTTGCGATTAATCCACAGAGAGATCAAGTTACCGTCTTAGTTATACTGATCTCCAGATTTTTCTAAAAATATAAATTTCTGTGTTTGTTTGTATTTTTCTTAAAATATATATTTCTGTGTTTGTTTTCTTAAACCGTGTGGTATTAGTTGAAACTTTGCGTGAGATTTTAAAATCAAAATTAATTAAAAGATTAATAGGCAATAGCAGAACTAAAAACACTGGTTAGTTTCCAGAATACTCCTCTAAATAGTTTGAATCACTCGTGGGAAAAAAACCGACAATATTTCAAAATGAAGTATACCCTCCCTTGAACTTTTCCAAGTTTCATTTTCTCATGTTTAAAATCAAAACCAGACACCGTCCAACATCGGGGTTTTCATCTCAACTTTTTTTAAAAAATTTTCTTTTATTTCAATGGAAAAGTCTATTTCTCAATACGTTTTCTTGTCTTTCCTTCGGCGTTGCTTGTGAATGTTAAGCAGTTTTACCGAAGTGTGCATCCAAACAAATCTGTTGAAAATGCTTCACTTTCTATGAATTTTTAAAATGTTCGTTCTTATGAATGATTAAGCTAAATGCTTACGGCTAATACTGAAAAGGTAGAGAAGCAAGACGTGTCTGCTTGAGATTTCTCATTTTGTTGAGATAATATTCTAATGGATTGAATTTGCCATTTCGTTTTAAGAGATATATCATTCTAATGGATTGGATAGCTGACATGATTTGAAGATTGTCCTCTCCTTTTTTACCATATGTTTATTCAAAAAATACTCTTATCTACCAATTGAGCTAAAAATTTCATTATATGCATATTTACTTGATTTTTTGACAAAATAGAAAAATAAATTGTTGTGGTAGCAGATTTTTCACTGTAAAGGGCTTGTTAGATTTGACAAGTTGAGAAGAAAAGTCTTTCTGGTAAATCTTGCACAAACCGTACCAATCTGTATATGGCAAATACCAAGACAGTTTCTCTTCAAGGAAATTTTCAGATTTTTGCAGCACAAATGTATATAATTTTACTCTATCGAATTCAGAAATTCATTTTGAGAAAGAAACCAAAGACTTATGTATCACACTGGCAAATTCAAAATTTCTTCAATACCTCTAGTAGAAAAGAAAAGCAAGAAAAAAAATACAATACACTTTCTACTTCAATTATCGACTGTATTTATGCACCTTTAGATACTCTCCGGGAACACTCGGTACAATTACGAAAATTTCTTCAAGTTCTGAACAGGAAAACAATTCGCAGCCCTTTGATGCCTCTCTCTTTGAATCATGCCGACATGCAATAATAAAACACGCTCTTGCTTCCATGTAAAAACCTCAGAATGTATACTTTAATTACAGTGAATTTCATTTTGTTCAAACTTACAGCTGCAGCAACGTGCTGAAAGTTTACCGAATTCGTGTGTGTGCTTTACAATTCTAGCTACTTGTGTAATTATTTCATAGCGGGAACTACACCTACGTGTGAATTCTTTGGGGAAATCAATCAAGTATTCCAACGGTGGCTTTCCCACTGTCACAAACATTAACCAATTACCCTCCTTGTAAGCACAACAATAATCACATAGAACAAAGTTGATGGATTTGTCGATCACTTTAGTAACGGGCGAAATCAGTTACAATTTCGTTCCGCTTGTTGTCAAGGTCAGTTGTGACACACCTTAAAATCAAACCAGCACTGAAAATGGACTCTAAATCTGCGACGAATTGTAGTACTTCGATGAACTTCACCAGTAATTTTTCGCTTTGCCCAACTGTCCAACCTGTACCGTTGGGGCCCATGGTAAATCCATTTGACGAGTTTTTCAAGTTTGCCTTCGGATCAGCAATTTACATTATCATCGTTTCCTTCATAACCGTCTTTGCCAACGGCTTGTTACTTGTGGTTTTCTTCTTCGATCCATTTAAGATATTTCGGACTGCTACTACCTATTTCCTAATCGGTCTGGCCTTTGTGGATATCTTAACAGCCGCCTCGCAAGAGCCCATGTACGCCACATGCTTCATAATGATGTACCTTAGACATCCTGACACCCTTGCAACGTGCACGCCTCTTCTGAATGTGGGCCAAGTGATAGCTGTTGCAGCCATGAATGCATCCTTTCTGATAGTACTCGCTTTCACAATTACACAGTACATTGTGGTCGTCTCGCCGCTAAAATACGGCCGGCGCGTTACAAAATCGCGGGTGGTGATCTGTGTATTGGGCATATACGCGTATTCCATATTGTTCAGTCTCTTTCCTGTCATGGGCATCGCCGAAGAGATCGTGCAAAAGATCGATAACATTTTTCACTCCATTACATTGGTCTACGTAACTATTATCTTTTACATTCTGCTGTACATCGCCTTTAGGAAAAAAATGGCTGCTTCTGAAAGTCTTCGAGAAGACAAGACCACGAACGATAGAGGGAGAGAAAATAAACAAACAGGGGTAGAACGCAAGTTTATTATCGTCAATTTTCTCCTAATTGCCATCTTGTTTTTGACGTCTCAGCCGTCTGCCATTTTATGGATTTACCGCTTGTATTCCAACGAAGACCCCAACTCTCCAAGAGTTCTGATTGTCAATCTCATGGTGGCCGACAACCTGCTTTACCTGAAATTCCTGCTGGACCCGTTTGTCTACGCATGGCGAATACCCAAATATCGACAGGCTCTCAAAAATGTCCTGCGCTGTGGCAGAGAGGAGCCTGAAACAACCTTTAGTGACCGTGTCATGGCCCAGGTTAGCAAGTCACGCGAGACTGTAGTGACCCTGGACTTTAAAAGCATTCAGGACTAAAACATTGATAGTAGTTCGAGGTAGCCCATAGTTCTCTGCAAAATCTTAAGCCTCGCAAGCTTCTTATCCAATCTCGAGATCTTGATAACCTTTCTATAGTTTCGATCTCGATTTTATTTCAATTTCTCAGAGTCTAGTTCCAGAGAAGGTTAGAGTAGCATTAACGTAATTTCGTGAGCAAGGAAATTAACTTTTAAATCACGTTCGTTTGAAATATTGTAGAACAGAAGCTGATAAATGGCAAAAATGAACGCAAATAGGAAAGCCGAAAACATTATGCACGATTTCTTTAATTTGTTATAAATAGCATATTGCAATAATCCTATAAAAGCGTAACGAGGGATTGTGTTAATAAAATTGTTCAGTCTCCGCCTGTGTTTTAAACAAGGACTTTGCATCTCACGAGGGCAATCAGATGTGTCACATAATTTCTTAGGAGGAATATGGAAGATCACCAAATAGCGTCATGAAAATTTTATCGCGCGTACCGCTGTATAACTGTGCCGATATATCACCATTTAAGTCAAGGTTTTGAATCAAGGCTTTATTGACGTTGTTTAACTTGATTATCTGCGCCTCTGGAAATGTTTAGCTACTCCGAAAAATTAAATTGGTTTGTCAATGTAGACAAACCGACAGTTTTTTACTTAATTATCCCAGGCTCTAGGTAGCCCAAAGTAGACAAAAAAACCGACAAACTCAGCCGCTTTGTCGGCAACGACAAAACGATTTTTCTTGGCTTAATTTCGACAGGCATATTTAAGGCTCAACACAGTATACTTTCACAGACAAAGTGACTACGGACAAATTATCTTAGCACCGACAAACGGACGACAAATACTTTTAATGACGATTCAAACGTTCTGTCGAATACAAAGCAAGCCTGAAGAATTTAATTTCAGTTATTCACTTGAAATGAATAATAGCGCCTAACTCTTTTGGAAACTGAACAAAGTGTTTTCCATATTTTTTTTCTGTTAGGTTTTAAAGGTTCAGGTACAATTCTTTTTTTTTTACAAGATGTTTTTAATTTAAGTCATCCCTCATACAATGCATTGGTAAAGATGGGGGGCGGTAGTATTTTCTCTATACCATAATAATCATGAAATTGTTTCTTCTCTTTTATCGTGACAAATGTTGGACCAGATCTACCCTTTGATACCTTTTCAATAAGCTTCTAGTTCACTGTAAATACATCCTTTTTTAAATAGTTGGGTATAAACATTCATTGACGTCCAATTTCCGTATCCTGCTAAGGTCCACAGTTTGAGAGAGCACTTTAAATATTTGGTACAAACATTTACAAAAGTCCAATTTTCGAATCCTGCCAAGGTCTACTGTTTGAAAGAGAACTTCGATTATTTGGCTTATGTCACTACCGCGAAATATCCAGATGGAAAATGAAATTCCCTGCTATGCTGAATAATTTGTTCTTCTTTGATCCCAACACGCGTGGGCCTCTACTGGAATAATCGAACCTTTTCCAAAAGGCACAAACTCGGTGCAATTTTAAAATTAGAAGGCTTATCACAAGTCTAAGGTTAATATTGGCGAAACAGCGTCTCACATCCATGATAAACAAATTAGAAAGTTAATTTTAATAAGGCACAAGGTTGATAAACGAATAGTGAAAGTGTTTTCACGCTGATAGGAGGGGAAAGTTTACCTTAGTTAAGAAGTTCTATTATAAAAGTGTAAATTCTGACTCTGCATTGAACCATAAACTGAAGAGCTTGACTCTAACCACTACTTTTCTTTCGCGCCCTGATCATCATTTTTAAGATGAACTTGACTTGTGCAAATAATACCTTGCTCAACATAGGCGTTGAATATTTCAAAGAGCTACAAAGGAGCCAAAAACCTTCAAATTCTTCTGTTTACACCGAGGCAGCTGGCCCTGATTTACAGGAAGGGATGATGCATGTTAAGGAGTTTTCAAAGTCAGCTTTCGGTTCGTCCATCTTTATCATCATAGTTTCGCCCATGACAATCGTGGCCAACAGTTTGCTTCTTGTAACTTTTCTCGTCGATCCACTCAAGATTTTCCGCAACCCAACCAGCTACTTTCTCATCGGTTTGGCCATCGTGGATCTCCTAACGGCACTAATACAAGAACCTATCTATGCCACCTGTTTCATGCTGATGTACTTCCAGCATCCTTCATGGACGAAATGTAAATCTTGGATGAAATTTGCAGCCTATTTTTCGGCATTTCCAATCTCAATATCGGCATCTATCGTTTTTTCCTTTACATTGACGCAGTATATCGTAGTGGCATCGCCTCTGAGGTACGGCCGCATGATTACAAAGAAGAAAGCCTTACTTAGCGTTGTTGCTATTTACCTCTATCATACGCTTTTCTGTTGTTTGCCTCTGATGGGTGTTCCACAGGAGACCAAACACGCCATCGACTTATTCTTTCACAGGTACACTGTTGTTCTCGTCACCATCGTGGTATACATTATTCTGCATTACACCATGAAAAAGAAAATGACCGCAGGGCGCTCACTCCAAAGCGAGGAGGGAAGACACGTTCAGGTGCAGCGAAGCTTTGTCCGTTTAAACGTCGTTCTTCTCATTATTATGATCATGTTTTTCGTGCCTTCAGTTCTACTGATGACAATCAGATTTTTTCTGGACGACATATTTACTGCTCGGTATGGGATACGGGTTCTCGTTGTGAATTTGATGACGGACAACCTGCTTTACCTGAAATTTCTGTTTGATCCGATTGTGTACGCGTGGCGCATGTCCAAGTACAGGAAGTCTCTGAAAAGCACTGTTTATCGTAATAAAGATAAAGAGTCCAGCAGAAGCGAAAACGAGACTAAACTCACAGATACAAGAGGTCAGGTAGGTGAGCTGGCGAGTGCTGAACTGAACAAGTCCACGATAACTTTACTCAGCTTTAAAAATGTCAGCACAGATTAAGGGTAGACCCTATCCCTTTTTGGTACACATAAGCGGTCATAACTGATGAATCAGACGTTTCCTATGGATAAAGTTAAAACCATCACAACGGAGAAATTCATCGTGAATATAACTCAGTGTTCTATCATCAAAATAAAACTCATTAAAAAGGTACAACAAACTGGACTTCATTGAAACTTTCAATTGACAATACAACTATTCACCAAACTCTGAAGACTTATGTGGAAGAACGTGCATTGAGAACGTGGTTGAGAAATCAAGCAGTTTGAGAACATGGTAATGACCATTAGTATAGTGGTAATGACCATTAGTATACATTATTCTGCATTACACCATGAAAAAGAAAATGACCGCAGGGCGCTCACTCCAAAGCGAGGAGGGAAGACACGTTCAGGTGCAGCGAAGCTTTGTCCGTTTAAACGTCGTTCTTCTCATTATTATGATCATGTTTTTCGTGCCTTCAGTTATACTCATGACAATCAGATTTTTTCTGGACGACATATTTACTGCTCGGTATGGGATACGGGTTCTCGTTGTGAATTTGATGACGGACAACCTGCTTTACCTGAAGTTTCTGTTTGATCCGATTGTGTACGCGTGGCGCATGTCCAAGTACAGGAAGTCTCTGAAAAGCACTGTTTACCGTAATAAAGATAAAGAGTCCAGCAGAAGCGAAAACGAGACTAAACTCACAGATACAAGAGATCAGGTAGGTGAGCTGGCAAGTGCTGAACTGAACAAGTCAACGATAACTTTACTCAGCTTTAAAAATGTCAGCACAGATTAAGGGTAGACCCTCTCCCTTTTTGGTACACATAAGCGGTCATAACTGATGAATCAGACGTCTCCTATGGATAGAGTTAAAACCATCACAACGGAGAAATTCATCGTGAATATAACTCAGCGTTCTATTATCAAAATAAAACTCATTAAAAAGGTACAACAAACTGGACTTCATTGAAACTTTCAATTGACAATACAACTATTCAGCAAACTCTTAAGACTTACGTGGAAAAAAGTCCATTGAGAACGTGGTTGAGAAATCAAGCAGTTTGAGAACATGGTAATGACCATTAGTGAGATTTTATGGAATAAAGAAAGGTCTCTGTTGAACAACCAAAGTCCGACTTTGACAATGAATAATATCCTCCCAACTTGAATTGCTTACAAACTCACATCTAACCTTCCTTAAATTGACGACACTGTAAGACAAAGGAACTCATACGGAACTCAAATATTTCTATTTTCTAAGACTGTATGGTTTGATTCTTAGACCTGTGCTGCTTTTTTGCCCTTGTTTGGATTAACGCATGTTGGGTTCGCATCAATTTGCCTTTGCTCTCCAAAATTAAACCTCTGGATTTTCGTTTACCAAAGAAACATTTTGGCGATGTTATGACTGAAGTTTTACTGAACGTTAGCAATAATTTACTTGACTGCAATATTTCACAATATGATGTTGCAAAGAGTACTGAAATAACTTAATATACAGATAAATGAAATAACCAAACTTCAACTTTATACTTGTCATTGCTGTTGATAAAATGTCCAGTGGTCCTTTGTAATCTGTAATATACAACCATATAGTCAGCTTATCGATTGAAAACAAAAACAGCTTAATGTGAGCTCCAGTGATAGGGATATGCCTTAAAAAATATATAAGGCCTTTCGATTACATCATATCTTATTCACGAATAAGTATCAGCATAGCCTCGAATACCAAGGTAAATAACGAAACATTCTAGAATGTTCTAAACAAAACACGTTTCAAAATCGCATCATCAAGATTTTTTAAATTATCGATAGCATTGCTTTCCGAGGAAAAAGCTATTTTGCTCGTTTTGTTTGTTTGTGTCATCAAATTCACGACATAAAATTAGGCTTTCTCTCCAGCAAGAAAAAAGACGTTTCTTTTCCCGGTGTTATGGTTTCTAATCTGCTAAGAGGGGTTTTCTTACCATTTGGCTTTAGACGCCTACCAAAATAAACCTCAATACATTAAAAGTTTCATAATTTTGAAAATATTTGTGAACACTATTAAATATGAAGTACACTCTGTTGACACAAAAGTCCTAACAGGACAGGGTGGTGAAAAATTTGTGGCTATGGATGTTACTTACGAGAACATTCCCACGCCTCTAAACCCTTTAACTCCCAAGATCTGATTGTTAATTCTCCCCTCTACCTGCTACACATTTCCTTTTAAATTAGGTATGAGAACTTGGTGCTAGATCGAGATAGCAGCTTCTACCTGATAAGTTTGAATATTCTCATTCCCTGTTTGCTGATTAATGTATGGATATTACAGGGAGAAGTTTCATGTTTATCACCTCTAGGAGTTAAAGGATTAGGCCAAAGAAAACGAAACTGCCTCAGGAGATAGAGCAGATGTTGACCTTCAATTATCTCCGAGTACCTATCATCTTCGGCTTGCATCTACAGAACCTCAGCATAGGTGGAAGTTAACTCGCTCAAAATAATCCATAGTATGCTTTGTATCATGCAAAATTTCCTAAAATGAGTGGTGAGTTATCTAAAGACTCTTCTCGTTATTCATTTCTTCGTCTGTATGCAATTTGTCGGTTTTTTGTCTGCTTTCGGCTACCTAGAGCCTGGGATAATTAAGTCAAAAACTGTTGGTTTGTATTCATTGACAAACTAATTCAATTTTTCAGAGAAGCTGTACATTTCCAGAGGCGTAAATAATCAATTCAAACAATGTTAATAAAGCCTTGACTTAAATGATGATACATCGGCACAATGCCGTACGAGCAATAACATTTTCATAACACCATTTGGTGATCTTCCATACCACGAAACTCCCAAATTCCTAAGAAATGATGTGCCACATCTGATTACCCTCATAAGAAGTAAAGCCCTTTGAGACCGACGGAGACTAAACAATTTTTGTGATTGCGTGACTGTGCGTTACAGGCTGCGAGTTTGCCCTTTGATCATTAAGGTTTCAAAATTTCACTTAGTATTCTCCGTGTGGTTAGTTGTAGTTGGTTTTTGTCCTTGTCGATCAAGTTTTTAAATTGTGCGTGCCATCGGCGTTGCGGAATCGATGTGTAAATCTTTAATATTCTGTTTCCATTTTCGTTTAGCTTGCCTCCTAACTTTCTAGCCATTGTTTACTTATGATTGAAGAAATGTGAAATGGTTTCCGTGTTTACATAGCCTGATGCGAGATAAGCGTAGGAAAACCACGACGCGAAGTGAAGTGGTTTCCAGCTTATCGAGTGTTCTCCCAACCTCCCAAGTGTTTACATCAGGCTATGTAAACACGGAAACCATTTTACATTTCTTTCATAAAATAACTAATGAAAGAGGAACGAAAACCGTGTTTACATACATCATGTAAAATGGTTTTATGGCCAATCAGAGCGCGCGTACTATTTGAATTATTTTATAATTGTTTATGTAATTTAGAGATGTCGTGCCTTCGAGGTCGCGTGCAAATTTTCGATGAAATTTAAGTATTATTTTATTGTAATTTCGGGGCAAGCTCAGCCTCATTGGGCGCATTTTGGTCTTTCGTTTATTATCGCATGTTTATTGTGTCGCTTAGGTTTCTCTTGGTTATTTTTATTGTATTTCGTTTGTTAATCGCCATGCGCGTTCGTACACTAGTTCCTGTTAATTTATTGATTTCAGTTTACGAGACAACATAGACAGTTGTAATAAAGATCGGCGTTTAAATTTGTTCGCCGTATTCGTAACATAGCCCCGTATTTTGGAACGTTATACTCATCTGTTCGCGATATCTCTTGGCACCATTTCGCCTTGATGTTCGTTACCATTACCATTTCATTCAGACAACTCCTTGTTACGACCATTCCTTCTGCAATATACTACTCATGATAAGGAAATCGTGCATTATGTTTGCGTTTCTCCTTTTTGTGTTTATTCAGTCGCTTTGTCAGTACCGACAAAATGATTTTTCCTCACTTAACAGTTTGCTTCTTGTAACTTTTCTCGTCGATCCACTGTGGCGGCAACTGCCAACAACCATAAATATTTACAACGGTGTCATTAACATCTAGTGTAGATTGAGTAAGAATCGGGCAGTACACCAATCGTTTGTTGAATTTTTGGTTAGATTTCACCTAAAGCGCCGTTCAGAAAAGTGCAGCTGAGAAATTTAACGCAGGCATCCTAAGTCTGTTAACCAAAGCTTATTTGTAATATCTGGTTAAATTTACCTCGGTAACGGAAGAGAATGTCAAATCAAGCAATGACATATGCTTCATGTTTCTAAGATAAAGAAGTTTTACCAGTCGTGATTCAGAAAATAATGTAAACAGGTATATTTAACGCTTAGCCTCAGGGCCTCCAAACATTATGATAAATATCATAGAGGATAGTCAAGTAATATCATACGATAAATGTGAATGGATAGAAAATGACTCGGTGGCTATGTTTGAAGGCTTTTTTCACCAAGCAATGTCGTGTAAGAGGACTTTTTATTCTTAGCCTCGTTTCCATGCTGGCGAATTTCTGACATGCGTGGTTCTCATCTCCAGAAGTTAAATTGAATTAGCCTTTATCAGAAAATTTTAGTCTGAGGGTCATAAGTGCTGTGACAACGTTTCATGCTTTTATCATTAATTTGAACAATTTTGGTCGATAACCGCGAGATCACATAGGGATATGCCTAACACAATATATATTACTTTATGATCATATCATATCTTATTCACAAATACGCATTAGCATGGAATACCGAGGTAAATAACAGAACATTCTAAAATGCTATTCTAAACAAAATACATGTTGTAAAATCGAATCATCAAGTTTTATGACATTAACAATAGCATTGCTTTCCGAGGAAAAAGCTTTAGAAAAAATAAAATTAGGCCTAGCCTAATCGTTTCTAACCTGCTATGAGGGGTTTTCTTGGCATTTGGCTATCTACGACTACCAAAATAAACCTTGATACATTAAACAGTTCCACAATTTTGGAAATTGTTGTGAACCCTATTAAATAGGAGTACATTCTGTTGACATAAACGTTTTAGCAGGAAAGAGGTGATGAAAAAATTTGTAACTATGGATCTTAATCATGAGAACATTCCCCAGCCTCTTAAGCCAAAGAAAATGAAACTGCCTCAGGAGCTCTAAAAGATGTTGACCTTCGAGTACTTATCATCTTCGGCTCGCATTTATAAAACACCAGCATAGGTGAGTCAAATTGCTCAAAATAATTCATAGTCTGCTTTGTACCATGCAAAATCCCCCAAAATGAGTGGTGAGATATCTAAAGACGCTTTCGTAATTTATCTTTTCGTCTATATGCTATGTTTGCTCACGGTATTTAATTACTTATCGGACTTTCACAGCGGTGGTCCACTCTGAGTATTCAACATCTTCGGGGAAAATATTTTAGATTATTCCCCTTCTATTTGTTTCAAGACTTCCGTAAAATTACTTCACTCTCATCTATATCTGTCTTGAATGATCAACTCTCGGTTGAGTATCCTTGAGTCTACCTCATTTTGCAGTTTTCTTAGAAATAATTTATGTTATATCTCAGCTATTCTTGAAACGACTTGTTTTCTGACAGCGGGATTTAAAGCAATCACCTGAAAAGTTCTCTCTCAAATAATTGCTTCCCTTTGAAACATGAAATGGGATGGAAATAATTGCCCCAGTTTGAGATTCAACGAAATAATGTGCAGCAGTTGAGGTAAATCTTAATTAGAAATCACTCCAAATAAGAGCAACTAAAATTAACCAAAACAGCCTCTAAAAATATGAGCTAATCAATTTAGACTATACAAAGTAAAGTTAGTTTACGACCAATATCTTGAGGGCACTTAGAACGATGGAAAGATTTGGGTTCCTTCTACTCTCCAAATTTTATTATTCCATTCGTTTACTAATAAGCTACGAAATGTTGCATAGTCAGTGGTAAAACATCAGGGGATGTAGGCGGTCTAGAGTAAAGCGAGTCAATGTCTACCCAAACGTGATAAGTTTTAAATAATTCATGTCATAATTGAGCATTCTTAATTTGGGTTTTCCTCTAAGGCACATCAAAATCCATGTTTCGTTGTTTGGAAAACCTTGGTATCTAAAGATAGTCTGCAGCTTTTCTTTCAAAGTGGTCAAAGATTCAAATCCAGACCTCCAAAGTTTTGAAGCTGGACAATGTTATTGCCGATTGGTTCAGTTCAGTTGTTACATCCTGTCGTGGTCGAGTGAACGTCTCTGGTGGCAGGAAGGTAGCGCGAATAAACGTGGAATGTAATGGGGATTCACTGCCTGTTGCCATTCCTCCCAAAGTTAAAAATTTTTGGCAGGCCTGCGCGACTCCTGTCATTCTGTGACAAATTCGTTGTTAGGAGGCAACTGAAGAGATTCAGAAAGAATCGAAACTGCAGCCTTGCCTAAGAATCTATTCATTTGGCAGCAGTTACACTCACAGCCGATGGCTGTGTGAATAATATAAAATTATAAAATCGCAAGTTATTTAACAGGGAGCCAACCTTTGACATGCAAACTCATTAAAACTCAAACTGATTTATGGTTTAAGGCATCAAAAGGGCGTGGGAAATGATCTGGCGAGTAATCGAAAGTACTTCGCACTCGGAAATATATTTTTTGAATGGTTAAGTCTGCTGCTGACAACCCCTTGAGTTCACATGTCTCAGTTATCTTAGTGATACGTTCGTATAACTTTTGAGTTATTATTGAGATTACTTCTTGATTCCCGAGGCAAAGTTTGAAGTAATCACCTCCTTCTTAAATAATTTCTCTCTCAGACAGTTGCTCTCGTTTCGAGAAAACATATAAATGCTGTAATTGCCCCAGCTATCATCCAAAGAAATAATGGTACACCAATTACAAAAAATTAATTGTAGCTCATCGCTCTGAAAAAGAACCCCATAAATTACCCTGAATAGCTGCGAAAAGTGTAAGCCTAATCTAATACGTAAAATATTAGATCTCGATAACCTTTCTATAGTTTCGAACTCGATTTTCTTTCAATTTCTTAGAGTCTATTTCAAGAGAAGGTTAGAGTTGTATTAAGGTAATTTCATGAGCAAAGATAGTCACTTTTTGATCACCTTCGTCAGTTTGAAATATTGCAGAACAGAAGATGATAAATCGCAAAAATGAACATAAATAAGAGAACCGCAAACACAACGCGCGATTTCCTTGTCACGAAATATATATTGCAATATTGTTATAGAAGGAACGGTCGTGGCAAGGAGTTGTGTGAATAAAATTGTTCAGCTTCCGCCGGTCTCTTGTGTTTTGAACGATGGCTCTGCTACTCATGAGTGCAATCAGATGTGCGCATCACTTCTTAGGGGGGAATTTGGCAGTGTCGTGGTATGGAAGATCACCAAATAGCGTCATGAAAATTTTATTGCTCGTACTGCTGAATTATTGTGCCCATATATATAACCGTTTAAGTCAAGACCTTATTAACGTTGTTTGACTTGATTATTTGCGCCTCTGGAAATGTACACCTGCTCTGAAACATTGAATTGGTTTGTCAATGCAGGCAAGCCGACAGTTTTTGACTTAATTACCCTAGGCTTTAGGTAGCCCAAAGTAGACGAAAAACCGGCAAATGCGGTTGCTTTGCGGTACCAACAAAATGATTTTTCTTGGCTTAATTTTCGACTGACATATCCAAGGCTCTATACAGTAACCTTTCAAAGACAAAGTGACTACCGACCAATTCTCATAGCACCGACAAACAGACTACGAATACTTACAATGACGAATCAAACGTTCTGTCGAGTGCAAAGCAAGCCTGAAGAATGTAATTTCAGTTATTCACTTGAAATGAATAATAGCGTTGGAAAACGAATTGTTATCCATACTTTATCCCTTAGGTTCTTAAAGTTCAAATACAAAATTTAATCAACGCGATATTCTTAATTAAAGTCTTCCCTCCTACAATGCATTAGTAAAGGTGGGGGCGGCAGTATTTTCTCGTCGTTATATCCTTTATACAGGCGCAGTTTTGTTATTTGCGGACACACTATATAGGATGTTTTTATACCACAATCGTGACAATGTTGGGTCAGGTTTACCCTTTGATACCTTTTCACTACGCTCCTTGTTCACTGTTAATACATCTTTAATTTTGTAAATAGCTGAGTATAAGCATTCATCAAAGTCCAATTTCCGTATCCTGCTAAGGTCTACTGTTTGATAGAGCTTTTCAAATATTTGGTATTTGTCACTCTGCGAAATATCCAGATGGAAAATGAAATTCCCTGCTATGCTGAATAATCTGTTCTTCTTTGATCCCAACACGTGCGGGCCTTCACTGAAATAATTGAACTTATTCCAAAAGGCACAAATTCGGTGCAATTTCAAAATTGAAAGGCTTATCACATCCTACGATAAAATACTTGGCTTGATGGCTATGTCTAAGTTCGTAATAATGGCGATACAGCGTCTCATGTCCATGGTACACAAATTGTAAAATTAATTTTAATGAGTCATATAAACGAAAAACAGGTTAATAAACGAATAGGGAAAGTGTTTTCACGCTGATAATTAAATGAATTCGCGGAACAACTATTCAGGAGAAGAAATTCATGGAAAGTTAAATACAATGTAGTAACAATGCATAGGGAATGTCTCACGGTTAATTCAGCTTGGAGGGGAAAGTTTCCCTTGGTTAATTAACAGAAGTGCTATTATAAAAGTGGGAATTCTCCCTCTGCAAAAAATAATAAACTGAAGAACTTGGTCCTAACCACTGCTTTTCTTCGCGTTCTGATCATCATTTTTGAAATGAACCTGACTTGTGCAAATTATTCCTTGCTCAACATAGGCGTTGATTATTTCAAAGAGCTACAACAGAGCCAAAAACCTTCAAATTCTTCAGTTTGCACGGGGGCCGCTGGCCTTAATTCACAGAAAGAGATGATGCATATTGAGGAGTTTTCAAAGGCAGCTTTCGGCTCGTCCATCTTTATCATCATAGTTTCGCCAATGACAATCGTGGCCAACAGTTTGCTTCTTGTAACTTTTCTCGTCGATCCACTCAAGATTTTCCGCAACCCAACCAGCTACTTTCTCATCGGTTTGGCCATCGTGGATCTCCTAACAGCACTGATACAAGAACCTATCTATGCCACCTGTTTCATGCTGATGTACTTTCAGCATCCTTCGTGGACGAAATGCGAATCTTGGATGAAATTTGCAGCGTATTTTTCGGCATTTCCAATCTCAATATCGGTATCCATCGTTTTTGCCTTTACATTGACACAGTATATCATGGTGGCATCGCCTCTGAAGTACGGCCGCATGATTACAAAGAAAAAAGCTTTCATTGGCGTTGTGGCTCTATACCTCTATCACACGCTTATCTGTTGTTTACCTCTAATGGGTGTTCCACAGAAGACCATGGACGCCATCGGCTTATTTTTTTACAACTACGCTGTTGTTCTTGTTACCATCGTGGTATACATTATTCTTCATTACACCATGAAAAAGAAGATGAAGGCAGGGCGCTCACTCCAAAACGAAAGTTCATCCACTTCTCGCGAAGAAGGAAGACACGTTCAGATGCAGCGAAGCTTTGTCCGTTTAAACGTCGTTCTTCTCATTATTATGATCATGTCTTTCCTGCCTTCAGTTATACTCATGACAATCAGATTTTTTCTGGACGACATATTTACTGCTCGGTATGGGATACGGGTTCTTGTTGTAAATTTGATGACCGATAACCTGCTTTACCTGAAATTTCTGTTAGATCCAATTGCTTACGCGTGGCGTATGTCCAAGTACAGGAAGTCTCTGAAAAGCACCGTTTATCGTAATAAAGATAAAGGGTCTAGCAGAAGTGAAAACGAGACTAAAATCACAGATGCAAGATGTCAGATAGGTGAACTGGCAAGTGCTGAACTGAACAGGTCAGCGATAACTTTACTCAGCTTTAAGAATGTCAGCACAGATTAAGGGTAGACCCTCTCCTGTTTTTGTGCACATTAGCGGTGATAAATGATGAATCAGACATCTCCTATGGTTAGATTTAAACCTATCACAACTGAGAAATTCACCCTGAGTCGAACGCAGTGTTCTAAAATCACAATAATACTCATGCTTCCAAGCCTATATAACTAAGGGTGGCAGCAGCTCAACAACTCATGGTCACTATTCTGGACAGCTTTACCGCAAGCAAAGGAATCTTGCCACGAACTCATTCGATGTGGATGTAGAGCCTCACGTAGAGGACAATACAAGTGCTTAAAAGCTAATTTGGCATGCACTGGTTTGTACAGCTGTGGCGGCACAAACCAACAACCATAAATATTTACAACGGTGTCACTAACGACTAGTGTAGATCGGGTAAGAATCGGGCAGTACACCAATCGTTTGTTGAATTTCGGTTAGAGATGAGAACAGTTTAGGATTTCACCTAAAACGCCGTTCAGAAAAGTGTAGCTGAGAAATTTACCGCAGGCATCCTAAGTTGTTAACCAAAGGTTATTTACAATATCTGGTTAAATTTACTAAAGTAACGGAAGAGAACGTCAAATCAAGTAGAGACATATGCTTCATGTTTCTAAGATAAAGAAGTTTTACCAGTCATGATTCAGAAAATAATGTAAACAGGTATATTTAACGTTTAACCTCAGGGCCTCCAAACATTATGATAAATATCATAGAGGATAGTCAAGTAATATCATACGATGAATATGAATAGATAGAAAATGACTCGGTGGCTATGTTTGAAGGCTTTTTTCACCAAGCAATGTCGTGTAAGAGGACTTTTTATTTTTAGCCTCGTTTCCATGCTAGCGAACTTCTGACATGCGTGGTTCTCATCTCCAGAAGTTAAATTGAATTAGCCTTTATCAGAAAATTCTAGTCTAAGGGTCATAAGTGCTGTGACAACGTTTCATGCTTTTATCATTAATTTGAACAATTTTGGTCGATAACCGCGAGACCACATAAGGATGTGCCTAACATAATATATATTACTTTATGATCATATCATATCTTATTCACAAATACGCATCAGCATGGAATACCAAGGTAAATAACAGAACATCCTAGAATGCTATTCTAAACAAAATACATGTTTCAAAATCGAATCAACAAGTTTTATGACATTAGCAATAGCACTGCTTTCCGAGGAAAAAGCTTTAAAAAAAATAAAATTAGGCTTCTCTCAAGCAAGAAAATAGACGAGTTTTTCTCAGCATAATCGTTTGTAACCTGCTATGAGGGGTTTTCTTGACATGTGGCTTTCGACGACTACCAAAATAAACCTCGATACATTAAACAGTTCCATAATTTTGGAAATTGTTGTCAACACTATTAAAAATGGAGTACATTCTGTTGACACAAACGTTTTAGCAGGAAAGAGGTGGTGAAAGAATTTGTAACTATGGATCTTAATCACGAGAACATTCCCCTGCCTCTTAAGCCAAAGAAAATGAATTCGCCTCAGGAGCTATAAAAGATGTTGACCTTCGAGTACTTATCATCTTCGGCTCGCATTTATAAAATACCATCATAGGTGAGTCAAATTACTCAAAATAATTCATAGTCTGCTTTGTACCATGCAAAATCCCCCAAAATGAGTGGTGAGATATCTAAAGACGCTTTCGTAATTTATCTTTTCATCTATATGCTATGTTTGCTCACGGTATTTAATTACTTATCGGACTTTCACAGCGGTGGTCCACTCTGAGTATTCAACATCTTCGAGGAAAATATTTTTGATCATTCCCCTTCAACTTGTTTTAAGACGTTCGTAAAATTTCTTTGCACTCATCCATATTTGTCTTGAATGATCTACTCTCGGTTGAGTATCCTTGAGTCTACCTCATTTTGCAGTTTTCTTAGAAATAATTTCATGTTATATCTCAGCTATTCTTGAAACGACTTGTTTTCTGCTAGCGGGATTTAAAGCAATCACTTAGCCCTCCATGAAAAGTTCTCTCTCAAATAATCGCTCTCCTTTGAAACATGAAAATGGATGGAAATAATTGCCCCAGTTTGAGATTAAACGAAATAATGGTGCAGCAGTTGCGGTAAATTTTAATTAGAAATCACTTCAAATAAGATCAACTAAAATGAACCAAAACAGCCTCTAAAAATATGAGCTAATCAATTTAGACTATACAAAGTAAAGTTATTTTACGACCAATATCTTGAGGGCATTTAGAGTGATGGAAAGATTTGGTTGTTTCTTCTCTCGAAGCTTTTATCATTCCACTCGGTTACTAATAAGCTACGAAATGTTGCATAGTCAGTGGTAAAACATCAAGGGATGTAGGCGGTCTAGAGTAAAGCGAGTCAATGTCTACCAAAACGTGATAAGTTTCAAATAATTTATGTCGTAATTGAGCATTCTCAATTTGGTTTTTCCTCCAAGGTAGCATCAAAATCCATGTTGCGTTGTTTGAAAGACCTTGGTATCTGAAGATAGCCTGCAGCTTTCCTTTCAAAGTGATCAATAGTTCAAATCCAGACTCACTCTATTGGCAAGGTTTTGAAGCTGAACAACGTTATTGCCGATTGGTTCAGTTCAGTTGTTGATCTCTCAGTTCCGGTCAGCTTGCCTTCCCCGCCGATATCTTTGTGGGTACAATATATTTTTCCGAGAGAATCACGGTATTTAAGCACGTGCTACGCGTAAACAATCGGACCCAACAGAAATTTCAGGTAAAGCAGGTTATTGCTCATCAAATGAAGGCACGAAAAAACATGATCATAATAATGAGAAGAATGACATTTAAACGGAAAGAGCTTCGCTGCTCCTTAATGTGTCTTCCCTCTTCGCGAGAAGTCGAAGAGCTTTTCGTTTTGGAGTGACCATCCTGCGGCCATTTTCTTTTCCATGGTGTAATGCAGAATAATGTATACCACGATAGTAACGAGAACAACACTGCACCTCAGGCGGTGTGCGCACTCTGATTACGTTGCATCATGGTCGTAAAACGAAAAGCGAGTCATTTACATCCTGTCGCGGTTGAGTGAACATCTCTGGTGGCAGCAAGATAGCGCGAATAAACGTGGAATGTAATGGGGATTCACTGCCTGTTGCCATTCCTTCCAAAGTTAAAAATTTTTGGAAGGCCTGCGCGACTCCTGTTATTCCTCCGTGATAAATTCGTTGTTAGGAGGCAACTGAAGAGATTCAGAAAGAATCGCAACTGCAGCCTTGCCCAAGAATCTATTCATTTGGCAGCAGTTACACTCACAGCCGATGGTTGTGTGAATAATATAAAATTCGCGAGTTATTTAACAGGGAATCAACCCTTGACATGCAAACTCATTACAAAGAGACAGCTACCTTCTTATACACCTATTATTTTTCATGTCATACACTTAAAGGCGTAAATACGGGATTCGCAAAAGGAGAAGCGTTACGCCTTTTAAGACCAAATTCGTCACGCTCAACGTTTAATAAAAAACGTACAGATTTTCAAATATGCTTAAAAGAATAGAGAATACTTAAAATAAGGTTCTCTGGAGTTATCTTCTACGGTAGAGGCAGTATACTTGAAAACAAAGAAAATAGCGCGCACACATGAAAATATTACCTTTTGTAACAATCTCATTCGGCTTTGCCAAACCTCAAGAACGTACCTACAGGGAAATTACACCTTAAAACTAACCCTTATTATCACATCGCGAAGGAAAGTAATTAAAAGATATCTTAATAACAGCTAACTTTTCAGGTCAGAAGATCTAAAAGCGCAAACGAATGGCAGGAGTCTCAAGTGACTTCTTTCATTGCTCTAATTCAACTGTCCTTCATTCAATGATCAAGATCGTAGATTTACCATACAAAACTCGCGATTAGTTAATCTGCTTCTACTTAGGAAAGTAGATTTACGACACAATTGGGTGTACAATAGTAACGATGTGTAAAGCAACAATAGGCCTTTTCTTGGTCATAATCGGTCTCAAACACTAGCACTAAAAAATGCGTGAAACACATGTACCGTTGGAGAGTGTTTAGTCAGAACTGTTGAAGAAGGATCAAAGCGGCCATCCAAATCTTTGAAAGGCTCCGAACTATAACGTACATCAAATTTTACCTTCTCGAAACTGGTCTCCAATTACGTACCAAAAAACAGTGATTGCGTTTGTCCTTGAGAACCATAAAATACGCGACAAATACGTACAAAATATACTTTTACACATTCAGAATAAATCAGGTTACATTTACCTATGGTGAAAGGAAAAAGGAGCGGCCTAACTTTTACAAAATGTTCAGTCAAAATCTGCCGATTTCTGCCGCTTTCACCGCCATATTGAAAATGAAGCTACCACAATGCAAAGCAATCGGAGTGCGCACACCGCCTGAGTGCACCTATAAAAGAATAAGTCGATGACGTCCTTGGTCTTCTGTGAAACACCCATTAGAGGTAAACAACAGATAAGCGTGTGATAAGGATATACTGCAACAACGCTAATGAAGGTTTTCTACTTTGTAATCATGCGGCCGTACTTCAGAGGCGATACCACCACGATATACTGCGTTAATGTGAAAGCAAAAACGATGCATAGCGATATTGAGACTGGAAATACCGAAAAATAACCTGCAAATTCCATCTGAAGAGCACAATTTCTCTTCAAAGGATGCTGAAAGTACAAAAAGCATGAAACAGGTGGCATAGATAGGTTCTTGTATCAATGCTGTCAGGGGATACACGATGGCCAAGCCGATGATAAAGTTGGTGGTTGGATCGCGGATAATCCTGAGTGGATCGACGAAAAAAGTTACAAGAATGAAACTGTTTGCCAGGATTGTCACGGGCGAAACTATTATGATAAAGATAATATGAACCAAATGCTGCTTTGGAAAAAGTATCCACAAGTCCCATCGCGAGCGTTGAAGTAATGGAACTCGGTACAATGTGCGTAGCGAAATGGTCTTCATCGAATACAGCTTCATTTAACAGGTTTGGAATTGGATACCTTGAAGAACTTTGCGAAAGCTAAAGTAGGAGTTGTTACATGTGGCATTCATCTTTTCCCTAGCCTGGTCATGCGAACCTAACGAAGTTAAGTAAATAAACTCTTACGGCGTGATTGGCGATGCGGCAGCCCTTAGTGTATAAGATGTTTTTGTCACCCAATCGATGCTAAAAGAAGCCCGCTGGTAAACCGTTGCATATTTAACAGTGGCCAGTAGGAAAAGAGAGAGACATTTTGTTGTCACTAATGGTTCAGCAGGACAGAAATGAAAATTCCTTTTTGCTGTGGATCTTACTCATCAGATCATTTCCCACGCCTTTTTGGTCTCTAAAACCACAAAAAAATAAATCTATCCTAGAGGAGATATCCAAAATGTTATCTTGCATTATCTCCTGGGGATCCTCCGAGAGCTAAAATAATGTCAGCTCCAACTTCATCTAAGATGTAATCGAACGTACCTTGCACTTGGAAATATATTTCTTGAATGGTAAAGTCTGCTGTTGAATACCCATTGAGTTCATATGTTTCAGTTGCCTTAGTGATACGTTCGTATAACTCTTGAGTTATTGCTGAAATTACTTCTTGATTCTCGCGGGCAAAATTTGAAGTAATCACCTCCCTCGTAAATAATTTCTCTCTAAGACAATTGCTCTCGTTTCGAGAAAACAAATAAATGCTGTAATTGCCCCAGCTGGTATCCAAAGAAATAATGGTACACCAATTGCAAAAAATTGATTATAGCTGAACGCTCTGAAAAAGAACCCCATAAATTATCCTGAATAGCTGTGAAAAGTGTAAGGCTAATCTAATATGTAAAATATTAGATCTCGATAACCTTTCTACAGTTTCAAACTCGATTTTCTTTCAATTTCTTAGAGTCTATTTCAATAGAAGGTTAGAGTGGTATTAAGGTAATTTCGTGAGCAAAGATAGTCACTTTTTGATCTCCTTCGTCAGTTTGAAATATTGCAAAACAGAAGATGACAAATCGCAAAAATGAACACAAATAAGAGAACCGTAAACACGATGCGCGATTTCCTTGTCACGAATGTATATTGCAATAATCCTGTAGAAGGAACGATCGTAACAAGGAGTTGTGTGAATAAAATTTTTCAGTTTCCGCCAGTCCCTTGTGTTTTGAACGAGGGCCCTGCTACTCATGAGTGCAATTAGATGTGCGCATCATTTTTTAGGGGGGAATTTGGCAGTGTCGTGGTATGGAAGATCACCAAATAGCGTCATGAAAATTTTATTGCTCGTGCTGCTGTATTATTGTGCCCATATATATCACCATTTAAGTCAAGGCTTTAGTAACGTTATTTGACCTAATAATCTGCGCCTCTGGAAATGTACAGCTGCTCTGAAACATTGAATTGGTTTGTCAATGCAGGCAAGCCGACAGTTTTTGCCTTAATTACCCTAGGCTCTTGGTAGCCCAAATTAGACGAAAAACCCACAAATTCAGTTGCTTTGCGGTACCGACAAAATGATTTTTCTTGGCTTAATTTTCGACCGGCATGTCCATGGCTCTATACCGTATAGTTTCACAGACAAAGTGACTACCGACCAATTATCTTAGCACCGACAAACAGACTACGAATACTTTTAATGACGAATCAAACGTTCTGTCGAGTGCAAAGCAAGCCTGAAGAAATTAATTTCAGTTATTCACTTGAAATGAATAATAGCGTTGGAAAGCGAATTGTTTTCCATATTCTATCCTTCAGGTTTTTAAGGTTCAAATACAATAAAGTCTTCCCTTATACAATGCATCAGTAAAGGTGGGGGCGGCAGTATTTTCTCGTCGTTGTATCCTATATACAGGAGCAGTTTTGTTATTTGCGGGCATACTAGGGTGTTTCTATACCACGATAGTCATGAAGTTGTTTCTTTTCTTTTATCGTAACAATGTTGGGTCAGGTTTACTCTATGATACCTTTTCACTATAAGCTCCTTGTTCACTGTAAATATATCCTTTTGTAAATAGCTGAGTATAAGCATTCGTTGAGGTCCAATCTCCGTATCCTGCTAAGGTCTACTGTTTGATAGAGCTTTTCAAATATTTGGTATTTGTCGCTTTACGAAATATCCAGATGGAAAATGAAATTCCCTGCTATGCTGAATGATTTGTTCTTCTTTGATCCCAACACGTGCGGACCTCCACTGAAATAATTGAACTTATTACAAAAGGCACAAATTCGGTGCAATTTCAAAATTTAAAAGGCTTAGCACATCTTACAATAAAATACTTGGCTTGATGGCTATGTCTAAGTTCGTAATAATTGCGACACAGCGTCTTATGTCCATGGTAAACAAATTGTGAAATCAATTATTATGAGTCACATAAACGCAAAACAGGTTAATAAACGAATGAGGAAAGTATTTTCACGCTAATAATTTCTTCCGCGCTCTGATCATCATTTTTGAAATGAACCTGACTTGTGCAAATTATTCCTTGCTCAACATAGGCGTTGATTATTTCAAAGAGCTACAACAGAGCCAAAAACCTTCAAATTCTTCAGTTTGCGCGAGGGCAGCTGGCTTTAATTCACAGAAAGAGATGATGCATGTTGAGGAGTTTTCAAAGGCAGCTTTCGGCTCGTCCATCTTTATCATCATAGTTTCGCCCATGACAATCGTGGCCAACAGTTTGCTTCTTGTAACTTTTCTCGTCGATCCACTCAAGATTTTCCGCAACCCAACCAGCTACTTTCTCATCGGTTTGGCCATCGTGGATCTCCTAACAGCACTGATACAAGAACCTATCTATGCCACCTGTTTTATGCTGATGTACTTTCAGCATCCTTCGTGGACGAAATGTGCACCTTGGATGGAATTTGCATCTTATTTTTTGACATTTTCAATCTCAGTATCGGCATCTATCGTTTTTGCCTTTACATTGACGCAGTATGTCGTGGTGGCATCGCCTCTGAAGTACGGCCGCATGATTACAAAGAAGAAAGCTTTCATTAGCGTTGTGGCTCTATACCTCTATCATACGCTTATCTGTTGTTTACCTCTAATGGGTGTTCCACGGAAGACCATAGACGCCATCGGCTTATTTTTTTACAACTACGCTGTTGTTCTCGTTACCATCGTGGTATACGTTATTCTTCATTACACCATGAAAAAGAAGATGACCGCAGGGCGCTCACTCCAAAACGAAGGCTCATCCACTTCTCGCGAGGAAGGAAGACACTTTCAGGTGCAGCGAAGCTTTGTCCGTTTAAACGTCGTTCTTCTCATTATTATGATCATGTCTTTCCTGCCTTCAGTTATACTCATGACAATCAGATTTTTTCTGGACGACATATTTACTGCTCGGAATGGGATACGGGTTCTAGTTGCAAATTTGATGACCGATAACCTGCTTTACCTGAAATTTCTGTTAGATCCGATTGCCTACGCGTGGCGCATGTCCAAGTACAGGAAGTCTCTAAAAAGCACTCTTCATCGTAATAAAGATAAAGAGTCCAGCAGAACTGAAAACGAGACTAAAATTACAGATGCAAGATGTCAGATAGGTGAGCTGGCAAGTGCTGAACTGAACAGGTCAGCGATAACTTTACTCAGCTTTAAAAATGTCAGCACAGATTAAGGGTTGGCCCTCTTCCATTTTGGTGCACATTAGCGGTCATAAATGATGAATCAGACATCTCCCATGGATAGAATTGAACCCATCACAACTGAGAAATTTACCGCGAGTCGAACGCAGTGCTCTATCATCACAATAGGACTCATGCTTCCAAGCCCATATAACTGGGGGTAGCAGCAGCCCAACAACTCATGGTCACCATTCTGGACCGCTATACTGCTAGGAAAGGAATCTGGTCACGAACTCATTCGATGTGGATGCAGAGCCTCATGTAGAGGACGATTCAAGTGCTTAATAGCTAATTTGGCATGCACTGGTTTGTGCTACTGTGGCGGCAACTGCCAACAACCATAGATATTTACAACGGTGTCACTAAAAACTAGTGTAGATCGAGTAAGAATTAGGCAGTACATCAATCGTTTGTTGAATTTCGGTTAGATAGGAGAACAGTTTAGGATTTCACCCAAAGCACCGCTCAGAGAAGTGTAGCTGATAAATTTACCACAGGAATCTCAAATCTGTTAACCAAAGCTTTTTTATAATAGCTGGTTAATTTTACCAAAGTAGCGGAAGAGAATGTCAAATCAAGCAACGACATAAGCTTCATGTTTCTAAGATAAACAAGTTTTAACAATTGTGATTCAGAAAATACTGTAAACAGGTATATTTAACGTTTAACCACAGAGCACCCAAGCATTATGATAAATATCAAAGAGGACAGTCACGTATATGGCATAAGATGAATATGAATGGATAGAAAATGACTCGGTGGTTATGTTTGAAGGCTTTTTTCGCAAATGTCCGTACCCAATGTCGTTTAAGAAGATTTTTTATTCATAGCCTCGTTTCGCAAATTTCTGACATGCGTGGTTCTCATCTCCAAAAGTTATATTGAATTGGCCTTTCTCAGAAAATTTTAGTTTGAGGGTCATTAGTGCTGTGGCAAAGTTTCATGCTTTTATCATTAATTTGAACAATTTTGGTCAATAACCGCTAGACTACATAGGGTATGCCTAATACAATAAAGAATACGCACAAATACGCATCAGCACGACCTCGAATACCAAAGTAAATAACGGACCACAAAATACATGTTTCAAAATCAAATCATCATGATTTATGACATTAACAATAGCATTGCTTTCGGAGGAAAAAGCTTCTTGGATCGTTTAAGAAATTTAAATTGTTTTTTTGTGTCATTAAATTCACGACATATAAATAGGCTTTCTCTCCAGCAAGGAAATAAACGAGTTATTCGCAGCCTAATCGTTTCGAATCTCTTATGAGGGGTTTTCTTGCCATTTGGCTTTCGACGACTACCAAAATAAACCTCTATACATTAAACAGTTCCACGATTTTGGAAATTGTTGTGAACTCTATTAAAAATGGAGTACATTCTGTTTACACAAACGTTTTTAGCGGGAAAGAGGTGGTGAAAACATTTGTAACTATGGAACTTAATCACGAGAACATTCCCACGCCTCTTAAACCAAAGAAAATGAAACTGCCTCAGGAGCTATAAAAGATGTTGACCTTCGAGTACTTATCATCCTCGGCCCGCATTTATAAAACATTAGCATAGTTGAGTCAAAGTGCTCAAAATAATTCATAGTCTGCTTTGTACCATGCAAAATCCCCCAAAATGAGTGGTATGATATATAAAGACGCTTCTCGTAATTGATCTTTTCGTCTGTATGCTATATTTGCTCACGGTATTTAATTACTTATCGGACTTTCACAGCGGTGGTCCCATCTGAGTAGTCAATATCTTCGAGGAAAATATTTTAGATCATTCCCCTTCTATTTGTTTCAAGACTTCCGTAGAATTACTTCACTCTCATCTATATCTGTCTTGAATGATCAACTCTCGGTTGAGTATCCTTGAATCCTACCTCATTTTGCAGTTTTCTTAGAAATTATTTCGTGTTACATCTCAGCTATTCTTAGAATGACTTGCTTTCTGCCAGCGGGATTTAAAGCAATCACCTGGCCCTCCATGAAAAGTTCTCTCTCAAATAATCGCTCTCCTTTGAAAAATGAAAAGGGATGGAAATAATCGCCCCAGTTTGAGATTCAACAAAATAATGGTGCAAGAGTTGCGGTAAATTTTAATTAGAAATCACTCCAAATAAGAGCAACTAAAATTAACCAAAACAGCCACTAAAAATATAAGCTAATCAATTTGGACTATACATAGTAAAGTTAGTTTACGACCAGTATATTGAGGGCATTTAGAACGATGGAAAGATTTGGTTACTTCTTCTCTTTTAAATTTTATCATTTCACCCGTATACTAATAATCTACGAAATGTTGCTCAGTCAGAGGTAAAACATTAAGGGATGTAAGCGGTCTAGAGTAAAGCGAGTCTACGTCTATTAAAACGTGATGAGTTTCAAATAATTCATGACGTGGTTGAGCATTTTAAATTTTGTTTTCCCTCTTAGGCAGCATCAAAATCCATGTTTCGTTGATTGGAAGACCTTGGCATCCAAAGACAGTCTGCAGCTTTCCTTTCAAACTGTTCAAAGCCGGATTTCAATCCAGATTCACTCTATCGGCAAAGTTTTGAGCTGAGCAGTGTTATTGCCGATTGTTTCAGCTCCGTTGTTGACCTCTCAATTCCGGTTAGTTTGCTTTCTCCGCCGATATCTTTGTGGGGACAAGATATTTTTCCGAAAGATTCACGGTGCTTAGGCATGCGCCACGCGTACACAATCGGGTCCAAGAGAAATTTCAGGTAAAGTAAGTTATCGGTCATCAGATTTGTTATCAAAACCTTTAGCCCATAACAAGCAGTAGATATGTCGTCCAGAAAAAATCTTATTGTCATGTGTATAACCTAAGGCACAAATAACACGATCATAATGAGAAGAACGACATTTAAACGGGCAAAGCTTCGCTGCACCTTAATGTGTCTTCTCTCTTCGCGAGAAGTCGATGAGCGTTCGTTTTGGAGGGACCGTCCTGTAGCCATTTTCTTTTTCATGGTGTAATGCAGAATAACGTATACCTCGATGGTGATGAGAACAACAGCGTAGTCGTGAAAGAATAAGTCGATGGCATCTTTGGTCTTCCGCGGAACACCCATCAGAGGTAAACAACTGATAAACGTGTGATAGAGATATACTGCAACAACGCTAACGAAAGCTTTCTTCTTTGTAATCATGCGGCCGTACTTCAGAGGCGATGCCACCACGATATACTGCGTTAATGTGAAGGCAAAAACGATGGATGCCGATATTGAGACTGGAAATGCCGGAAAATGACCTGCAAATTCCAGCTGAGGAGCACAATTTCTCCTCGAAGGATGCTGAAAGCAAAAAAAGTTACAAGAAGCAAGATGTTGGCCAGGATTGTCACGGGCGAGACTATGATGATAAAGATAGACGAACCAAATGCTGTTTTGGAAAAATTTTCAACATGACCCATCGCGTGCATGCTTGCACTGAATGGTTGTCATTGAATACGGATTCATTTAACAGGTTTGGAATTGGTTGCCTTGAAGAATTTTTGCCAAAGCTAAAGTGGGAGTTGTTGCATGTGGCATTCATCCTTTTCCTAGCCTGGTCATGCAAACCCAACGTAGTAAATAAATTTCTGCGGCGTGATTAGCAGATCTACGGAAGCCGTTGGTTTATAAGGTGTTTATGTCATGCAATCGATGTTAAAAGAAGCCCGCTTTTAAATCGTTGCATATTTAACAGTGGCCAGTAGGAGAAGAGATAGATATTTTGTTCACACTGATGGTTCAGCAGGACAGAAATGGAAATTCTTTTTCGCTGAGGGTCTTGCTCGTCAAAACATTTCTCACGCCTTTTTATCTCTAAAGCCATAAAGAATGAAACTTTCTTAGAGGAGATATCAAAAATGTTATCCTGCATGATCTTCAAGGGATCCTCCGAGTGTTAAAATAATGCCAGCTCCAACTTCTTCTAAGACGTTATCGAAAAATTATCGGCCATCAAATTTACTATTTGAACCTTTATTGCACAAGCACCGAATAAGCCCTCCATGAGAAATCTCATTGTCAAGAGTATGATCGAAGGCACGAAAGACACGATCAAAACAATAAGAAGGAAAAAATTTACACGTACAACGCTTAGCTGCACCTTCATATGTGTTCCTTCTTCGCGAGAAGTCGATGAGCTTTCATTTTGAAGTGACCGTCCTACAACCATTTTCTCTTTCGTAGTGTAATGCAGAAAATGTACACCATGATGGTGATGAGAACAACGGTGTAACTGTGAAGAAATAAGTCGATGGCCTCTTTGGTCTTCTGTGGAACACCCATCAGAAGTAAAGAACAGATGAGTGTATGATAACCATCTATTGCACCAACCTTAATGAAAGCTTTCTTTCTTTGTAATCATGCAGCCGTACTTCAGAGGCGATGCAACTACGATATATTGCATTAATGTGAAGGCAAAGACAATTGATGGTGATATAGAGACGCAAAACTCTGCAAAATAATGCCCAAATCGCATCCAAGCTACAAATTTTGATGACGAAGGATGTTGAAAGTACAGGAGCATGAAACAGGTGGCATAAGTAGGTTCTAGTACCAATCCAGTACGGAGATCTACTATGGCCGAACTGATGAGAAAGAATGTGGTAGGGTTCCGAAAAGTTTTATTGGATCCAGGAGAAAAGTTCCGAGAAGCAAACTGTCGACCAGGATTGTGAAGAGCGAAACCACGACGTGATGGATGACGCAGAGGCTGCTTTGTAAAAATTTTTAAAAAGGCTCACGACAAGCGGTGACATCACAGAACTTGGTTCAACGCAAATGGCCGAACGATTTTCACCGTGAACGCAATGCAATCAGATGAATGAGGCCGAAATTTCTTTTCGCTATCCCCCAAATAAGGAGAGATGGAGAAAAAGCAAATCTCTTTGATTCACGAGCTACAACTTAAATCAGTTAAACCAGAGGCTCCTGGTTAACTGATAGCTGAAAGACCGTCCTGTAATAAAGAGGTCTAACTACAAATCTTAAAGTTTCCCATTTAATATTCGCACGTTTACTCGTAACTTACTGCAATGCGATCTTGAAAAGTTCATTTGGAGAGTTCCTAAATTCACGGAACTGCAGAGCCAACTTTCAACTGCGAAAAGTTAAAAATGAGCGTCCGGACGCGATTTTGTATGGGGGGAAGGGGGGTGGACTAAGGCCATCCTCTCCCAGGCCCCCAGCTCAGTCGTCCTTGATTCAAATAGTCAAATTCAATGAGAGACGATGGCTACTTAGCTAGAAACTGTGCGAAACCTGAAGCTAGTATACCGTCCAAATCGATCGCTTTCGTCTAAACCGTCCGAAGTCCGATGTTCCGTCCAAAAACGGACGGTACCGTCCAATACCAGACGGAATCGTCCTCAGTCGCGTCCTTCCGTTCGAAATCGGACGTTGCTGTCCGATCATGGACGGTTGTTTTCCCATTCCAAAAGGAATGTGACCGAAGAAGAGTGCAGGGGATTGGAAACGAAAAAGCTCGGTCTGGCTTTGCTGCCTTGCTACAGCAACACAGCGGTCAAACACCGGTCATGCGCAAGAGTCTCAATAATAAAGTGGTAGACTGAGGTGTTCAGGGATAATTTTATAAAACCGTGTACTTCAAACTCTTAATTGAGTTATGCTTTATCTTCACTTCGGTGATGAGGGCAAATTACAGAACCTTTCAATTTTCAATCCCTGCAGCTCTTGCCAGACCACTGTATGCGTTAAGCATACATCTGCTGTCGTCACAAATACCTTGTGCGGCTTTAATTCTTTCTCTTTACACACAGTTTCCCTCGGTGTTTACCGACAACTCCTCTATGAAAACATCAAAGAGCAATCCGTACGGCTGAGCTAACCGGCAACTTCATCACTTCACCGTGCAAAGTGTAAAACAAGTATTGGAGTGTAGACCAGCTCAAAGTGGAGAAAGTCTATAAAAGCAAAGCACATAAGTCTTGACGTAAGAATTTCGAACCTCCCTCACAAACTACTAAAGACTAGGTCTCACTTCGACTCTCAACAGAATGCCCTGCGGCTCCCGGCTTGGATCCAAGTGCACATGCGTCACCATCGTTGACTTCTGTGTTTGCTGCAGCTTAGCAGCCTCGCCTAAAGTGAAATATGTAAAGAAACACCGAGGTACCCTTTTACTTTGCTAAAGTTCTATCTTTTGACCCGAGATCTCAGATATATAGACAGGGATATGCAGATAACTGTCAAAATACTAAATGGCCAAGAAGTGCGTCTTGAGGTAGGTAAGATTTGCTCAGAAAAAAGGAACAGTGTTGCATCGTACGAAGAGGAACAAACGCTCTCCTGAAGAAAGACATACGATATTTTCTAGAACATTAGATTTTTATCTTTACTGTCTTAAACTTAAAGGTCTCAAAGGGTATATGGTTGTCAATGAAGAGGTAGCTTCAAAATCGAAACGTTTACATGTTTGATACAACTTGAAAGCCGTGGACGTGCAGTTAGGAGTCGTTCTGCGACACAGACGGCTGACATCTTGAACTTGCAAGTGGGACTTTGAGCGCGATTCTCAACAAATTTGTGGAAAATTCCGAAAGGTAGCTGATGAGAATTTGGCCAAGACGAAACGCTCCGTTATACCACCACAAATTATTTTTTTCACAAGTAGTTGATAATCTCCTATCATAAAATATAGGTTGCTTCATATTTTAATGGCTGTATTTTGTTTTTTTCTGTTCTTGTGGTTTGATTACAGGTCTCTGCAAGTGATCAGATCTCGCTAGTAAAAAGACAAGTTTATGAAAAGCTTGAAATTCCAGTGTTACAACAGAGATTGATTTTTAGAGGAAAAACTTTACCAGGTATTGTTATGAAATTGGTCATATAAATGTGGTTAAATTATGGCAGGTTTAAGTTCAATATATTTAAAAAAGAAAAAAGAAGGGGAAAAAAACAGATTCTTTTGTAAGATATGCACTGTTATCATATGTTTATTTCATAGCGGCAAATGTTTGATTTGCAACTTGTTACAGCACCAAGTTGACAGGAAGTGTTGACTGGAAACAGAAATTTAAACTGAAAGTATTTTTGTATAATTATGCTTCAAGTTATCAAAAGAGAAAACTCCTTTAAAGTTTTAAACAATGGCAAGAAACAAGTGTAAGCAATATTAACATTTAAGCTTCTTGCTACATGTACAGGCGTGAAGCCGTTATTTTGGATTGGATGCATTATGTGGCTTCCACTTTTCTCATTAACCTTTTAACTCAAGGAGTGATTAACATGTAACTTCTCCCCATAATATCCTTACATTACCCAGCAAACAGGTAATGAGAATATTCAAACTTATCAGATAGGAGTTGTTATCTTGATCAAACAAAAAGTTCTCAAAACTAATTTACAGGAAGTATGTAGCAGCTAAAGGCAGAATTTACTGTCAGATCATGGGGTTCCAGGGTTAAACAGTTTTTATAGCTCTTTTACTTGCAAAAGTCCTTAAGGGATTGCATTAAATCAGATAATTGAGTATACTGTGAAATGTCGCCATCCATTGGGGTAGCTGAACCACCCAAAATTCTAGTTTCAAAAGAACCATCAGTTGTTTCAATTTTTTTCTTAATCTAAATACTTTATTCCCATAAACGGTTTAACTCTCAGAACTGACAGAAATGTAAATTCTCCCTATAATATCCATAAATTATCCAGTGAACAGGTAGTGAGTATACCCAAACTTATCAGGTAGAATTTGCTATCTTGATCTAACACAAAATTCCCATAACTAATTTATAAGGAAATGTGTAGTAGCTAGAGAGGAGAATTAACAATCAGATCTTGGAAGTTAAAGGGTTAAATACTGTGTTAATGGTAAAAGGTTAATTTTTTTCTTGCTATCAGACTCTTCCACTTTACGAGATCATCACATTGTGGATGGGAGCAAACTTCACTTATCTGTGAAAAAACAAAGTGAAGGAGCCAGCAGTGGAAATAACAGTGAATTTTTTGGATTACTGAGAGATCTTCTCAGAAGCCATTTTAGTGAACAGGACACTGAGCAAGTGATGAAAAAATTCAAGGAGGTTTGTTGTTATTTGCACTCTTTACACAAGAGATTTCATGTCAATCAACTGGAGACATCAGTGTTTGTTCACACCTTTTACTAAGGGATTTTGAGGCCTGCACTGTAAGTTATGGACCATGTTTTTCTGTCCCAGTTTTAAGGCTCGGGTCCAAATTGCATGGGCCAGAAGTTCCAAGAGAAAAAAAAAAAAAATAGCAAGGTTCTGTAGTTTACAGTAGGGACCAAGAAATGAGGCTAGTAAGATATTTATTACATCTCTGTGTTCAAATTCATGTAGGGGGAGAAGGTTTCAATGAAAACATGAAAACAAATGTTTGAATTTAGCAGGCCATACAATTGAATTACAGGGATATCATAAACTGAGATATGAAGCATATACCCTGCAGAAAACCAAGAGTTGCTGGCTTCTTGATTGCTCCTGAAAATTTCTCAGTTGCTTCATTTCCTAAGCAGTGCAAAGCTGATATTTGAAAGAATTTTTTTTAAACCTCTTTTCACCCTAACATCAGTATCCATAATCTCCTTACTCTTCTCTGTATATTTCCTTTGGTATTGTAAGGGAGAATTTGTTTAAAAATCAGAGCTTCTAAATGTTAGTTTGGTTGTCGTTTCCTCTATTTTCATATTCATAATGAATGACTCAGCAGTACGACTGTAAGAGGAAGTTAGATGCAGATCACCTTTAAGGTTTAAAGCATTCAATGTTTGGCATGTATGATCTGAAGTTCTCTCTGTTATGCTTCTACTTAGTCTAACTGGTTCACACACTTAATCAAAGTAAACAATGGGGTCATTAGCAGACTTGAGAAAAAGGAATTTTATTACACAAGTCTAATTTCTCCTTACAATATCGCCCCTGAATCACACAATTAGATCGCAAGAAATAAGGAAATAATCACCAATTAAAGAAGGTCTTGATTGTTAAACAAATTCCCCTAGTTAGCATTGTACAAAATGTATATACAGAGCAGTATGGAGAATACACAGACTGGTGTTGGGTTATGAAGACTTAAAGTACTTACTGAGAAGTTAAACTTCCTTGTGTGACCACTTCAAGGAAGTAACCAGCTTCCCAAAATCAAGCCAGAAAGATCGTTGTTTCAAAATCTTGTGGAACACACCACACCAACCTCTATCTGTGACTCTGATCAACCTCTCTTATGTTTGTTGTGAGACTCAGAAAACTGTGAATACCTCAGACTGACACCATTTTCCAGCTTTTGGTTGATAAAATTCCCTTAGCAGGAAAGTGTGTAGTGAAGCCATTAACCTTTCACTCCTAAGATCTCATTAGTAATTCTCCTTACTGCTCGCCATATAATTCAATATTTTGCCCCGAGGAAGGGCTAACTCTTGAAATGCCAGCTTTGAAACTCTTAACAGTGGCAAATTTACATTATCAACTCAGTTGATAATACTTAATTACCCTGTTATAGTCTTCCACCAACACAGCACCACAGTTTCTTTAGTAACTTACCCACTTTAATATTTTCCAACTGATCCTGGTCATAATTATCATACTTATGTAGTAACAAGTTTGCAATTACATAAATTCAACATCACTTACTGATTCATAAACAGAGTAGAAATGATTGAGCTTATGTGTTAATAGTTTTCTCTGTTTTATTTTCTACATAGGATTTCAAGACATGGGTTTGGTCTCTGAGCCTTGATGACATTGAGAGAATGGCAGCTCTTCATTTGAGAGAGGCATCTGATGAACAATGATGCCCCCCCCCTCCCCTAAATAATAAAGAAAAAAAAAGATGTAACACTGCAAAAAGACCAGTTTGCATAGTTTTTTGAGTATGTTGATGAACTGTGGCAAGTGTTTTCTAGGAAGTTCCCCCTTTCTTTGGACTACAGGTCTCTTGGTCATGGTCTTTACAGACATTTTTTATGACAACTATGATATCACTACAAATGGACAGGAACATGGATGAAGCCTGTGAGAGATTTCTGATAAACTGTTAAGTTCTCAGTCCAAATTGTTGGTGTGTTTCCTCATGGAAGACAAGGAGAATCTAATGTTGCATTTATAGTCTATGTTTATTGGCACCTAATTTCAACCTCTTCAGTCAAAAGTCTTGTTAAAAGTACTGTTTAATTTTCAGCAAGGGATCCTGAAACTTTTACATTGACAAAGTTTTGGTTACGATTTTTATAGTTTACTAAGAGTGACTAGCATCATGAATCATAGGCATTAATATAATTAACTGTCTTGTTCTCAAGATCCTAAAGTAACCAGGCTACTCAGCCTCCTGATATAAACATACAAGAATTCAGTTTTGAACAGAGCGAGAAGAGTGGTAAAATGAGAAACTTGACTATGAGCCACATTGGCTTAATGTTCTTTGGCGATTATAAGAAATATAAAAATTGGCGTTACTGAAGCCGGTGTGACTGCCTTTTCTGTCTTTTTAGCCAAGCAGAAGAAATAGAGTGATTTCAGAGTTGCGTGACAGCCTGGGAGTTACTTAAGTGTTAAAATAAAAAAAAATACAAAACAAAAAAAAAAAAAAAAAAAAAAAAAAAAAAAAAAAAACAAGAAAAAAAAGTAGAGTCCCAATCCTTGTTCTGCCTTTTTTTTTTTTTATTATTCCTTTGCAGGGGGTTTCATTAACCTTTTCCAAGTGGCTGCTGCTGATGTGATTGGCAGCCAAGCCCCTAACCCCTTAACCCTTTAACTCCCAGAACAAATTTGTTATTCTCCTTACTGTCAACCATACTATCCTTATATTGTCAGTTGAGAGAGTTTAGTATTGGATCAACTAATTATCCTCAAATTGATATTTTTCTTTATTCTCATCACTTTTCTAGTTGATATTGTATTGATATTGTAAGGAGAAATTCTGTCTTGGTCACTCATGTGAGTTAAAGGGTTAACCCCTAAGAGTGATTAGTTATTATTTTCCCCAATCAGTATCACCCCTAAAAGAAACATTAAGGTCATGAGAATAAAGGAAACAGTCAACTAAAGAAGCTCTTGATTGTTAAACAAATTCTTTTTGTCAGAATCATAGGAAATGTATAGAGAACAGTGTGGAGAAAATTTATATAGATTTTAGGGTGTAGAGGGTTAAAGAGGCAGTTGAAACCCAAACACGAGAGCCTGCCTACATGCTACATGGATGGAAGTAGGAGATCTTATAGGAGACAGGAGACCCCAGCTGATAACTGGATTTTATTGAAACCCTGCACAGTTATCTGGTGGGCTAAGAGTACATTTATATCAACCTGTTAACCCCTTAGAGTTACTGGCATCTAATTTCTCCTTACAATATCACCCCAGTTAATTCATGAGAATTTAGGGGCAAAAGAAACCATTGATTGTTACACAAATTCTCCTTGTCAGCACCTTAGGGAATGTATGAGAAGCAGTATGGAGAATATGCATACTGATGTTGGGGTGTAAAGTGTTAAAACACTGAACTATGATGCTGAGAATGTATCTTATTGGAATGAGGGTTGTCAAGTTATCTTGATTCTGTTTTCTCTTTTTTCTTTCTTTTTTGTTTATGTTTTGTTCCTTTATCTTGGTTCCCATCTGCCTTACTAATGGCGTGTGATAGCTTAGGATGGATTTAAATGTAACCAGCGGTTATACAATAGACACTTCACGCTTTGTCCCCTAGAAGTGACTGGAACTTAAATTTCTCTTTACGCTGTCAACCCCAAATCACACATTAATGTCACATGTATAGAGCAAATGATCACCAACTAAAGAAGTTGTTGATTGTTAGATAAATTCTCCTTGTCAACTCTATGGGAAATTTCTAGAGAGCAATATGGAGAATATACTTACTGATGTTAGGGTACAAATTAAGGGTTAGAGCTGTTGTTATTTTGGATGGAATTGAGACATTGATATTTTTTAGTTTCTCCCTCTTTTGTATGTTTTGTATGTTTTGTATGAGGATTAATTGCAGCAGTGTGAATTATTTCCTCTTATTTTGGCTTAAAAAAATAAATGTTAACTGAAATATCAAAGAACAGCATCTGTTTTTAAAATAGAGTAGGTTACCTTAGGTTTATTTTTTGTTATCCTGCTTCATCAAATATTTGCACAAAGTGTAATGTCTTGTCTAGAAGCTGCATTGATACTGATGAGGTAAGACTGTGATTTTCCATTGAGTTCTTGCATTATTAACCCATCGATACATTTCTTTGGGTGCTGACAAAGAGAATTCTTTTCACAGTCAAAGCTTCTTGCGTTGGTGATCATTTCATTTTACTCTCGTGATCGTAACGATTGATTCAGCAGTAGTAAACTGCAATGAGAAGTCTCTTAGGGTTTAACCCTTTAACTGCCAGGATCTGATTGTTAATTCTCCCCTCTAGCTGCTACACGTTGCTTGTAAATTAGTTGCAAGAATTTGGCGTTAGATCAAGATAATAACTTCCACCTGTTACATCTAAGTACTCTCAATACCTGTTTGTTGGAGAATGTATGGATATTCCAGGGAGAGGTTACTTGTGAATCACTTCTGGAGTTAAAGGGTTAAGGGTCAAAAAGAGTCGAACAGGGAGTTAAGTAAAACAGCCTGTATCTTTGATAACTACGTTTTTCGTCTTGTCACGAGCTTAGGACAAAGAAAAAATTTTCATGCTCTCCCTTACCAAAATTAAGTACACTTTTAGTATACTATTTCTGTAATCAAAGTGTACTGCAAATAAGTTACACAAAGTATACTTTCAGTAGACTTGAAGTATAGTTTACAGAGCTACTAAAAGTATACTTGTAGTATACTTGTTCCCACCTGAAATTGGAACACCCAAAAGTATACTTGAAGTATACTTGAAAGGTACTGAAAATTTTGCAGTGCACTTCAAGTATACTTCATGAGTAAAACCACTAGTGGCAAACTGACAAGTACAGTATACTTAAAGTATACTTTAAGTATACTTAGAGTGTATTCAAGATATTATAAATGAATGGCATACATACCTGCAGCCAGGTAAATTAATATGCATGAACAGGCCTGCAACCACTAGTTCATACAGCATGCATTCAGCTGTATTATATACTTGGCCAAGTCAGATAAGCATTCAAGCAAAAGTATGAAATTCATGTCTTTAATTTATTTGGTACAACTGACCATGACAAATAACCTAAAATTTGTACAATAAAAGACTGCCTCTAAATTGTCTTTTGATGCAAAAATATATATTTTACAACGAAATCCATCATTGGATTATTTCATAAATTTTAACAATAAATTCCATGCAAATTAGAACTGACTCTCACACTGTTGGGATACTTAACAAAAACTATTCATTGTTTTAAAACGAAGAATATCTATAAAATGGACTTCATCATTCAATCATGTAAAACAGAAACAAATTTCATGAAAATCAGCAATGTCACTTACAATGTCTCTAGTTGGGATTAAAGCCAATAAAAAATGGTTGTTGTAAAATGTAATAATAAAAAAATTGACTTTGTTATTTAATAATTAGAGAAGCAAGCAAGCCTTGTGCAAATCATAATAGAAAATAGTCTATCTACTGAGTATCCAATCATATCATTTTAATTAATCTTAATTCAATCGATTCAATTGTTTACTTTCCTGGCAGGTTGCCAACCACTTGCCCTTGTGGTTAGAGAACTTATTTTATTTCTCAGGGCTTGCTTGATTGTAGAGGCCTTTCCCCCTTGCTTTACCACAAAATCTGCAAAGAAAAAGAAACACAGGAGCTTAACTTTCTAGACTTATGCATGACAACAAGGTTGTGTTACTTTGGAAAGACTCATACCACAATCAATAATCTGAGATCACTTAGATCAAAGGAACTTCTGAATACTTGCTTGGAGTTGTTTTCCTCACTTGTTTTATATGGATTGTCCCAAAGTTTTTTTTTTACAAGGCTGATCCCTGAGAAAAGTCATGTTGATCAACATGTACAAGTGTACAGATTCCCAATAGTAATAAAATGACAAAAAACACCAAATGCAATGTACTTACCCAAAATTGAGGAAACAATGTCAGCATTTAAGCCCTCTCTGGCATTTGCTCCGGTCAGATTCTTTCCCACTAGCTCAGAATTTTTATAAAAGCAGCTGAGCAGGAAACATGCTGCTGAAGTTGGGCTGTTTTTTACTCTTGGCTGTGTTTATGTGATCCTCGTATAAGTAGACACCTCTACCTTTTGATAACTCAACCATCTAAAAAGGACACACAAATTTAACCATAAAGTTTTCATAACAATCATGTCATGTTTTTAATGTTAAATCGAAGGAAGGCTATGGTGAACATTTGAATTTTGAAAGTGCATGACCACTAAGGCAGTGAAAGCACTTTCAACTGATTCCCTGCACAGAAGTTTTCAAGTAGTCCCTCCTACAATAGCCATGTAAGAAATTATTTAAAACTCTAAACAAACTTAGTCTACATTGCATTTGATTGTCAGATATGCCTCTTAAGCTCTAATAATAAAAAATATATAAATTCGATAACTTAAGCTTCACAATCTAATTGCCAGGTATTAAGCCTTAAAGCATTTACCTTGAAGCGTGCTGCCACAATCTCAGGGACTTTCCCAGGTCTGGGTAGCTCTTCATAACAACCATTCACTACAACAGATAAATGGATTACATCATAGCTTTAATTACCTAGCTAACATGGGAAGATTAAATGTAGCAATCAATCAGTGGGTCAATCTGCTTGACTGTCACCAGTATTTTAATTCATATAAGTATGTAAATGTGGAAAGATACTCTTCCCTTCAAAATAATATTCATATCGTAATACAAGCATCACTATTTGAAACACAATAAGATGCATCATTAAAATACAATTTGCAAGAGTTGTAGCCTTATTAAAGTGCTTTAAAATGGTTTATTCCTACTTTCAGAGTTATTGTAAAATTATACAAGATAGACTATGATCAACTGGTATCCGTCTTTCCCCTCACAATTAGTCAATCCAATGAGAAGCAAAAGGAAAAGCAGACAGGAAAATGCCCTGCATTTTCTATCTTATCATTAAATATGTGAGTGCTAGTCATGTAAAAAGTGAGATATAATTACCTTGAGCCTTGAGTTGAGAAATTTCTTGATTTTGTGCAGCTATGATTTCCTTGTACTCCTCACATTTTTGGCAGCTGTGGTGGAATGTGGACCTTGGCTTTTTTCCACCCACAGTTGGTCTTGGAGGAAGTTGTGGTTGACTCTGGGAGAAATCCCTGGGTCTTTTTCCACCAACTGTTGCTCTTGGGGTTTGTAAAGCTGGTTTGGCAGAGTTGGAAGGGGGAGGAAGAGAGAGGGGGGGATGAAGGTAAGATGAACATTCGGATATAATATCTCTTCCACCAAAATATTCATCATCATCCATGGGTTCAGCCCTGTCAACATCATACTCCTCTTCATCAGATAAATTGGTAAATGGCTGCTTGCTTTCGACATCTAGATTTCTTGCTAAAGAGTTCATCTCTGCAAGTATGCGGTTATCCCTTTCCATCAAAGCAGCTCTTTCCTTTTCTTTTACAGCCTTTTCCCTTTCCTTGTTTTCCTTAGCCTTTTGTTGTTCTACTCGTTTCTTCTGTCGTTCTGCTTTCTTTCTTGCAATTTCTTCCCTATCCACCATTTCTTTTTGTGTGGATTCTTCACCCTCCTTCTCCTCACCAACATTCTTTCTGTTTTCCTTTGTTTTCTTTCCTATCTTTTTCATTTTATTTTGTTCTGTTTGTTTGGGGTTTTTCAATTTCTGCATGGCAACTTTTCTTTTCATCACTTCCTCTTTATCATCTGCAAGTTAAAACATCTCCAGCTATCAAAAAGATATCCATTAACAGTAAAAATAAACTTCAGTTGCAGCAACCAATCACAGCACAAGTTTGCAACAAAAGATTCTACATCTGTTTGTGAATTTGTTGCCTCCTCTTTCATCTATTTGAAGCTTGTTTTAAATTATTTTTATCAAATTAAATTATTTTATTAAATCCTATCAACAAAATATACAACTTGCAAGAGGCACACCATGTACCAGTAGTTTGTCACCATGCCTTTTTCATTGATTTGGGATTACAATATCCATTTCTATCCTTAATACCTCCAGGGCTCGACACTAGCATCACATTGGTAGAAACACACATGGTTTTCAATCTCTACCAGCCAGTCTAGCTAGTAAGCAAACTGAAATTGTTGTAACATCTAAGTTGACACTAACCACTTGGCTAGTAAGTTGAAAAGTTAAGGTCGAGCCCTGACCTTAATCATGACTTTTTCAAAAAGATTTTAAGAAAATGGATTGTATTTAAAGTAGGTGGCACCATTTTCATCAATGTCATGCTTCCATGATGAAAAACCGAGCCATTTCGTAACATTTCAGAGCTAATTCTTTCAGATTTGCATAGAAAAGCAAAATCAAACAACTTAGCTTCCTATCACAAGATGATCAAAACAAAAAAAGTGCTTAGACTCACCACTTTCAAAAATTATTGTGCACAAGTAAAAGGTATCCCCATACTGTGCCTCTTTAAGGCCATCTTCCCTTGTTCTAAAGTCGTCGTCAGTTTTGATGTCCAAAATACCGTCATCTACAAACTGAACCAAGTAGTACACTGTACGAGCAGGAAAGAAACATAAATTAAAAAGGAAGTTTTACATATTAAAAGGAGAGGTAAATAGTAGGAACTGAAAGTATTATTTCAAATATGTGCTCCTAAATTGTAAAAATATAATGCCCTAATTTTGACATGAAGTCATGTACAAACAAATAGAGAGTTACTGTTTTGTGGTCTCTGGGGTCTCTCTATTTAAATCACCCGCGGTGGTGTGCACACGTGGCCTGAATTCGAAAATGAGCGCGAAAGTTATGAATAGACATTTCAAATTGCAAATCAACCACAAGAAAGCTATATATATTTCATTTTCGCATTGTGAATATAATTTGAAAGATATTTTGTTTCTGGAATATGTTTCCAACAAATCGGAACAATCGATTTCAAAATCGACCTGCAATCTGTTTCTTTTCGGAATATGTTTCAAACAACAAATCGGATTAAGACAGAATCAAATCTTTGGTGAACGCGTTAGGGAACGAAACTCACGGACTATGCTCTGATCCACTGTAGCTTTAATTCACGGCGAATTTCGTTATGAACCCAATGGGGGCATTAACAGTTATTATTCAGGTCAGGTTATTGAGCGATTTCAGAGGTAAAATCCGATTTTCCACGCGTAATGTACCACTGACTTCGTCATAAATGAGTTGCCTCCAGAGAAGAGGTATCAAATTATTTTATTTAATTTTTTTAACCCTTTACTCTCGTGAGTGACCAAGACAGAATTTCTCCTTACAATATCCATCCAATGTCAACCAGATAGGTGATAAGAATAAAAAAAAATATCAATTTGGGATAATAAGTCGATCCAATACTAACTTCTCTGAACTAACATTACAAGAATTGTATGGTTGACAATTAGAGAATTACAAATTTGACTTGGGAGTTAAAGGTTAATTCTTTTAATTGGACAGTTCATTACATGAGGAAGCCTGAAGGTATGACTGCTTTTAATAAATGTCTGTTTGTTGGAGAATGTATGGATATTGTAACCTGAAAGGCAGTGGTAAAGATTCAGTAGGGTTTTTGATATCATCAATGGTGTAACAATTGACTACATGCATTGTGTTTTGCTGGGCATCACTAAAATGAGGATGGAGGCCCTGTATGGTAGAAGGTATGAGACATACAATGCACATGCTGCTTCATCTCCCAGATTGTGTGAGACATCTTGGTCCACTATGGGGCACATCATGCTTCTGGTTTGAGGGGCTATAATGGGGATTTGACAAACTGGGTTAACCCTCTGCTTCCTGCAGGATCAGCAGCAAAGAGCTTCTACAAACATCTTGTGGAAGGCCGTCCACTGCCCACTTGTAGAGAGGAAATTGCAGAGAAGGTGTATGCGATAGGTAGCCTTCAAAGGCTTGATTTAGATCCACAAACCAGTGTAGTTGTTAAAGATCTACTTGGGGAAATTTTAACTTCACATAAATTCAAGTGGCTCTGGAAACATGGAACAATGTTTCAGTGTAGTCAGTATCATGCAACTACAAAGAAAAATAGCTATACAGTTCAATTTACCAAGAATGGTACTTTAAATTTTGGAGAGTTGCAGTTCTTTTTAAAGTGTTCTCAGCTTTTGAATCAAGAAAGCTTCAATGTGCCACAGAGAATCCGTGGTGAGCAAGACTCATTACGAAGTTCATATATGAGACCCGTCCTACTTATGGCCAGGATCAGCGATGTAGATAGGGTCTTTTTTGTAAATCGAATTAAAGAGATGGTTAGTTTTTTTAGCTCGGTAAAGAAATAAGGAGAGAAGTATTTCGATTTGTCACGAGCGTAGGAGAAAGAAAAAAAATGATTCCGGGTCCCTCTTTATCGAGCTCAAAGCTCAAACTTACCTGATCTCTCTTGTTCTATTTACAAAAAGTGTATCCTGTATCGTTTTCATTTATTTTTTTTCTTTTTCTGTGCTTAATTAAACATTTTAAACTCCGCCTACTATGGCAAACACCACTCCTCACCGTTCATTTCACTCATTTCATGACCTCTGAATGATAATTTATGCACTCTTGTGATCCAACAATATCAACATTTGCATTTGTCTAATGCATCTGTTAAAATCGTCGCTTAGACAATCTCCGTTATTATATATTTTTAGTAAACCTGCTTGGTTTCGTGAACGTTGATTTAGGAAAAGACAACTGCGACCTTTTTCAGTCTCCAAGTTTAAAAATAAATAAACACAGCGAAATGAAGCCTTGGAATAGTTTTGATGGCCTTGAGGTCATTGGAATCATCCCACCCACCACTTTCATAGATATGTTTTTTAATTTTTGTTTGGTTTTGACAGGTGAATTCACACATGTGCTCGCTTTCCTTTTCTTCTATTTTTATTTTGTCGCATATTTCAAAAATAAAATTAAAAAGAGCTTAAAATAAGAACTTTTCAGACGAGAAGTCGTTTTGAGGGGGATTTTTGAAGCTATATTTAGATACAGTATTTTTTTTTCTTTTAAATATATATTGTAAAAAAATATCCAAAAAGAGCCGACAAAAGGTTAAATTGGCGGTACTCCTTTCGATTTCAACATCTCCACAAACATCATGCATAATTTACTGTGGTAAATAAAGAAACAGATTGCGACGTAACTTGTAAAAGCCCTATCTCAATTTGAGAGCTATATCAGACAATTTTGCTATCTGCTTTCTAAAATCGACGATCTTTTTATGATAATTACGCATTTTGTGGCCTAAAATTGTCGTGAATTTGACAAGGAAATTCACAAGACACTCACAAAAGCGAAAGTAATTTATGCAATGTAAACCAGTGTTTTGTTTCAAACAAGCTCTGATTGGTGAAAAGGAACAAAAGTTCGTATATACGTGATTATGATTGGTTAGTTGTAACAGCTGGCTGAATTGATTGACGTGTGATCACTGCGTGTGGAAGTTCTACTCTTGTAGCTCGTTCGTGAGTGGTGAAGAAAGGGAGCGAACAGCCACTCGTGTGCGATCTGCTACTCGCATTTTCGTTGGCTACTCTAACTCAAACGAAACACCGGCCAGCCAACAAAAAATCGAGAAAGGTTTGTTTTACCTTCACGCCCTCCACCAATAACATTTCTTGCCATTGAGATTCCACGTTTTTCACTTGAACTTTTCGAAGCGTTTCGAAGATTCGCGACGAGACGTGCCGCCGCGGTTTCGCTCACAAATTTGACTTCAAAATTTGTTTACATCGGTTTTTTCCGGGAGGTTTAAGCAGTCAAATAGCCCCTGTGGCTATTTTTTGTTTTGGAGGCGAGGGTTTGAAACCACTTAACGCCAAATAACATTCTTACTTTTGCTTTCTTATTTTGAAAATGGCTTTTCCAGTGCGTTGTCTCAACATCGACATTAGCTTATGGAGGGCGTTGAGGAGGCGAGAAACGAAAGTACAGATGGGCTAAACACTCAACCTCCTGACAGCGGACAAGCTAGCTTTGCCCAACCAGGACTAGCTACTTACGCTCAAGGGAGCACTGTTCCAAACGGACATGGCGTTCAACAAGTGATCGAGAACAGACCTGAAGTCCAAAACGAAACACATGTAGGGCTAGGAGATGATCGTGGACACCTATCCATCTCCAATGTACCAGGTGGCGTTCAAGTCGCAGTTGTACCGGCTTCAGATGATGTGGGAGTCGTAGATGGAAGTTTGACAAACACCTCGGCCGTAGATCGAGGAGATGAAGCAACACATACCGTTGTAACAGCAATGCCCGCTGATTATGGGTTACCAGGGCCTCTACCGACTCAATTTGTCATTCAGCACGAAGACCACGAGGGTAAGAAAACAAAAATTATATTTGTTTGCAGTATTTTACAAGCTAATTACCTCTCGTGATGCATTTAGAGTTAACTTAATTACGAGGTCTGGAAAGGTGTTGATTTTAGCGGCCTTTTTAATGGTATCTTGTCAATTTCGTGTTCTTGTTTATATTCAATTTCCGTTGAAGAAATCCTTGAAAACTTTATGCTTTACAAAACAGATATTTCGCATTCGACCATGTTCTGTCAGTTAAAGAACTAGATACACTTTTATCGTGTCATTATCTAGAGTTTAACCAAATATTAACGGAACTTATTGGGATAGTTACCTCGATGTGAAAATATCTCTTGTGGAAAGATTCTGTGTCAATATTCTGCCGCCAAATTTGCAAGAAATATCACCTCATAGAAAATTTATCTCTAGTTTAATTCAATTTCACAATCACAAAGCTCACAACAATAGAGAACTTGAAAAAATTTGAAGACTTGGCAAACTTTCTCCCATGGTTAAGTTTTTGGTTTGAAAGAAGTACCTCGTAGCTGAATTGCTAAATCAATTCTAAATCTACCTGGCTGTTTAAGAAAATTGTATTCTTGCTTTCTCAGCTTTAAATTCCTAATTTTTGACAGACTGATATTTATTGTACAAAATGATGGATTTGTAGAGTGAATGTTTTTAATATGGCTGTGCTGCCAATTCTTCAGCCTCCATGGGATTCTTGGAAATAATTAAATTTCACTGTGAAAATATTGAAATAAAAATGTTATTTATATCCTTTCTAAATTTCTGTTACCTTATCTGAACTCAGGTAAGACTGTTAAGTAAATTTTACAGGCAACAAGTGCCACTATTTGCTGTTGAATAATGAACTAGAAATCTGAAACCTTACAGTACCCTGCCTAGAAATAGGAATAGGGGTTTTGAAGAACAACAGCAGGTGCAAAATTAGATAAAATAGGAAATGTTATCAATTCTTCAGACATAAATGGTTTTAGGCCTGGGGTTTTCATGTAAACAAGTGTCATATTTTGTTAACATTTGCTCCTTTCCCTCCCCACCCTGCAAAAATAGTGCTCTTTTAAAATTGTGACTTGGTTACAATCAGTAAACCAAAAATTTTCCCAAAATCTTATCAGACAGAGACTTGATCACCTTAATTGCATTGGGTTCATAAAGAAATGTGCAAATTAATTGATCCTAGTCTTTAAATCCTAAGTCTAATTAATAATTTTCTCCTCCAGCTGCTACACATTTCCCTGTAAATGTGGCATGAGAATTAAGTTTTAGATCATGATAAACACTTCTACCTGATGAGTTTCATTATTCTTATTACCTGTTTGTTGTAAAATGTATAGATTTATGGGGAGTAGTTATATGTTTATCAGCTAAAGGGTTAAGGATGACTGGATATAATTGAGTGACACTGATTTCAAATAAGCAAGTTGAAAAATTTAACATGTCTATAGTGTGGCATCGTAACTGGGATCTTCATGGAAAGATCAACCAATGTAACAAAGTGTTTGACTTGAAGCAAGTTTTAATATAGTGCATACATTTAATTGGTTGTTTCTAAGGTTGATGTCTGTCTGGCAATTGGAAACTACCCTGACTCCTTCCTTATAAATACAAGTTGCAGTAGAAATGATTCTGGTTTTTTTTTCCTTTTTATTTCGGAAGTCTCCTCTACAGATATTAAAATAGACTTGTACTTTTATAATTAACAATTCTAGTGTGCCAGTAATTTTGCTTCTAAAACAGTCTTAATTTCTCAAACTTTTAGTTTTACAAAATTCCCAATGTTTTGTATAAAAAATGGCTTTCTTCCTCAGTGAACAATGTAAGCTCACTCCTAATTTTTAAATCTTGCAATAATCTAAACTAATTTCTTTTACCCAAGGAATTTTTTTTTTCATGTTTGGATGCAGTTCAGTTGACATGTGCTTTATGAAGTTTTCATTTCCCTTTTATTTTGTCTGACAGTGTGTTGCTGGCAGGAATATTAAAGGATTTGAAATATTTGTTTTTGAATATATCTTGTTTCCTGCATGGAAAGCTTTTTTTCCTAGATTATTTTGCTATAAATATTTAATTCCATCTGCAGTTATGGTGCATTGTGTTCTTATAAAAATTTGATGATTGTCTCTGTAAAGCATTTTCTTTCTTTTTCAGAATAAATTAAATAAATATTTGTTAATTTTCGTTACTGTACTCTCTTACTGTGATATTCTATTTGTGTAAAACTATTTAAAAGCTTTATAACCAAATATAAATGTTAAAAATCCAGAAGAAACTACAGTCAAAGTAAGCATATACTTGTTTAGTTTATGTTAGAGCTTTGTGCCTAAAATTATCACATTTGTTTCCCACTGTGGTATGAATTATATATTACATACAAAATACAATAAATCAGTGTAAGGAATAGGGCATTCCATCAGAACTGGCCAATAAGGTCTTGCGATAAAAGTACTAATTTGTTTTCATCAGATAAACTTTCTTGATACAATTTCTCAAAGGCCTAATTGAGTAATTAGGCTCCCTTGATTAAATTTTCAAGGCTGAAAAGGATAGTAAACGTATTTGGAAATCCCCAGAATCATGAATATGAACATGGGGTATAGTGGCGGTTATCCGATGATGCCGTTTGATCCAAATTTTCCACCACCTTTTAACCCTTTTGCATTTCCAAAAGGTTAGTGTTCCGTCTGTTTTTTCAGCATTTTGTGCTGTGCCTTGTTTGGCACATTGTAGGAGTTTTTTTCAGCAAGGTGAATTGAGACATTCCTCATTGGCTGTCGCTTTTGATGAATTTGTCCTGGTTCACCAATAATTCAAAGAACTTTCCACATACTTCCAATCATCTTCTAATGGAGTTTATGTTCTAAAGGGTTATTCTGTGAAATAAGAAAATTTTCTTCCTGTCCAATAGTGATGGCAAATCTTTGATGCTTCCCAATCAGTTTTGAGAGCAGCTTTGTGGTGTTCATTGTGTGTGCAATCTTGTCAGTAAAACTGGCTCTGATTTGAAGAAAAATTCATCTTTGGTTTTCCTAGATTATCTTCCTGTTATGAATTGGTATTGTTGGTTTTGCTTTTGGGAACAAATTACAAGAATTTTCAAGCATATCCAGAGACTCCATAGTGCATTTTTTTCATTTAACTTTAACCACAAGTAAAATTATTTATGGCTTACCCACATGTAATTTTCACAATTGATTTTGTCAAGATTTTCTTACAATATTTGCAAAATGATGCAAAGGGTGAAATCTATGAAGTTCAGTTTTGAACTGTGAGGAGTAAAACTCGATCTTCAGAGCAACAAAAGAATTCCTTGATTTTCTTGAATATTGGGACAACATCATTCCATGTATTCCTGGTCCATCTGTTTAAAGGAAAGAGGATTTACTTAATCACAAATTTTGATTAATTGTAGGAAATGTACTTAGAAAAATGTGTTTTTTCGTTTCATCATGAGCGTGGGACAAAGAAGAAATCTGAGTGCCCTTGAGGAACCTCAGACCTTTGCATTCCACACTCTAATGCTCTACCACTGAGCCGCAGATACTCTATAGTGAGCAATCACCATTACATAGTTCATATACGACACCCGTCCTGTATAAACTGCTAGGATTAGTGATGTCAATAGCATTATGTTTTGTAAATAATATTTACAAAATATAATATATAAATTATGATATATAAAAATATGATAGAATATGGAGACTTGGAACTTTTTCTTTGCCCAGGCTTGTGATCAGACGTGAAAGCATCTTTTTCTATTTCTTTACTGAGCTCAAAACTTACCATTTTTCTTATTCTGCATGAAATGTGTTGTTAAAAACTGAATGTGCTCAGGTGTATAGTATATAAAAGCTTTGTTTGAAATGCCACACTGTAGGGTTTTATTCAAAATTCTAACCATATTGATGAAAATGAATTACAAGATAATTATTAGTATAAAAGTGCGAAACTTGTTGTCCTTTGCACCTTTGGGTCTTGTGAGTCCACAACATTTTGACCACTGTGATGAAGAATATTGTTGTCAACAAGAATACAGATCACTAAACCACTGTCTGTTGTATTTTATTACAGTATTGATTTTATTACAGTATTGATTTCAAATAAAATGATTCTTTCAGTGCGTGAGCAATGAATGACAGGTTGATGCAAGCAGCATTGTCTGTATTTGGATTGTGACATTACTGCCAGTTGTAGTAAAAAAAAAAAAAAAAAATTAAATCAAAATAATTGTTAGTACATCAAGTTTACAATGCTAAAGTATGTTGTCCTTTGCACCTTAACAGGAGCAGAAGACACTGGGGTTCATGATGTGGATGGTGACGAGAAGGAGCGTGATGACATTCTTAGAGAGCAGGTAATTTGTTAAGAGATATTTGCTAGCTCTCCGGTGGTCAATGCACAGATCTGGTCCAAGGGTCTGGGTTTATGCCATGGCGGGGGCATTGTGTTGTTTACTTGGGAAAGACCCTTTGCCTCTCTCCGCTTTAGAGTTTTCACAAAGTCATGGATTTATCTATTTATTTACCAGTATTAGCAATATTTATGCAGGCTGGCCCAGTTTCTAAAGCTTCAAGCTGATTTGAATGAGGGCCTGCTTAAGACATATTACTTAACCCTTTAACTTTCATGAGTGACTATGACAGAATTTCTCCTTACAATATCAATACAATATCAACCAGATAAGTGATGAGAATACAGAAAAATATCAATTTGGAGATAATTAGTTGATCCAATACTAAGTTCTCTGAACTAACATTATAAGAATTGTATTGTTGACAGTAAGGAGAATTACAAATTTGATCTGGGAGTTAAAGGGTTAAAACAACATGTATTTAGAAATATAAGATACAAAAGGAGCCCACAACACAAATTACAATCTACACATAAGATATACAATTTATGTTACATATACAGAGTACATTGCATCAGTTACTAAATGAAGTTTGAGAAGTTTCTTAAAATTGGGTGGTGAAGTTGTTTATTAGTTTTACTAATCAGAGTATTCCACGCCTATGCACCTTTGTAGCAAAAAAAAAAAGGAACCTTAAAATTTTGATGTTTTAGCCAGGGTAATCATATAAGGTCTCTATGTCTGGTATTGTTGGCATGATATTGGCTGGAGCTAAATTCATTCAAAAGATAGGCAGGTGCAAGACTGTGTAGGCATTTCCCTGGTGAAAATCTTTCAAGGATCTTTAAGGATCTTACAAGATCTTCATGAGGACCTTTGAGGATCCTCTTGAGGATCTTCATGAGGATCTTCAAAATTCTTGTTAAGATCTTCAAAATTCTTGTTAAGATCTTCAAGGATCCTTCATTTTCTTGCCAAGATCTTCAAGGATCTTTGATTTTCTTGCCAAGATCTTCAAGGATCTTTGATTTTCTTGCCAAGATCCTCAAGGATCTTTCATTTTCTTGCCAAGATCTTCAAGGATCTTTGATTTTCTTGCCAAGATCTTTGAGGATCTTTGACTTTCTTGACAAGATCTTTAAGGATCTTTCATTTTCCTGTCAAGATCCTTGAAGATCTTTACATGAACTTTGAAGATCCTTTAAAGATCTTTGAAAATTCTTTGAGGATCTTCCAAATTCTTGTTAAGATCTTTGAGGGTCTCTCATTTTCTTGACAAGATCTTCAAGGATCTTTTTGAAAATTTTGAAGATCCTTAAAGATCTTGGAAAGAAAATAAAAGACCCTTAAAGATCTTGGCAATAAATTGAAAGATCTTTGAAGATCTTGGCATAAAAAAGAAAGATCCTTGAAGATTTTGACAGCCAAATTAAAGATCTTTGCAAGAGATTTGAAGATCCTTAAAGATCTTGACAAGAATGTCAGTGAACCTTGAAGATCCTGGCAAGGAAATGGAAGATCGTTGAAGATCTTAGCAAGAATGTTATAGAACCTTCGAAATTTTGACAAGAAAATAAGCATACTTAAATCCTCAGACTAAGTTAAAAAGAAAAATTGAACCAAACATAAAAAAATGAAGATAAAACTTTTTTTATTGCTAAACGAGAATTACCCATCCTCTTCTAGTAGGACTACTTCTACACTATTTCTGTTCAGACTTTAGGTTAGTACTAAGATTTTCATTTTCCAAAAAATCTGGCAACAGTCCAGCTCAAAGATAAGAAGACCAAAATATATGTGTTAAACTTGTCTAGGACTAGACTATGACCAGACTCAGACTACTCTTACAGAGGGGGTAAACATGAAAAAAAGGCAAACAAGAGTACTTCAATGACTATATTTCTGAACTATATTAACCTATATACCAAAGGAAAGCTTAGGAATCACACATACTGAATATAACTAATATGTTGCCCTAAACTAATTTGTTATTTGACATCAGATCAATTTGTCCACCACATGGTGTAAAAAACCTAGGTAAACTTGAGAAAAGATAACTGCACAAAGATTGCATGAAATCAAGTGTTTTTAGTGTCAAAACAAAGTACTAGGGTCGTTCTTTTGGATGAGCTGAGCTGAACTTTTGGAGTCGTTTATATTATGGGCACAATGCCCGTTCAAAGTTCACCGAGATTATTAGGTGAGTTATTCCACAACATCTTACTTAAAATTCAGCTTATAGAGAAACTGTCAGCTTATCCAACTCAACTCAGTAAGAGGATACAGCCCTGAAAACTTCAGATTAATTGAACTAATACATCCTGAGGTACAAAATAATTGTTTTCGGGAATTCATATGACAACCACTAAAAGAGCTTTTTAAGTTGGTTACACAGAACCAAGTAAATTCACACCTTCTTCAGAAACATGTCCTTCAGTGAGCGTCGAGGAGAATCTCTCTAGATCGATAAGCCTGTATCCTTGTCCCTGTAACACATCATTTGCATCCTCACTCTCCAAGAGCTCAGAGTAAGAATCATTAGGCGAGGATGGCATCTTCATTTTCTTTCCAGAAGTACCAATGAATTCTTTTCATTCAGCCCCAGAGTCAGAGCAATCGCGAGACCTGCTTGGAGTTTGATTGACGATTTCGGTTGTTTCTGTCTCTCTTTTCGCTTGTTTCTGAACTCCAGAAAACGCCTTTCCTTTACCTTTATTTCTGTGTAAATTTTCCCTTTAGTTCCGACCATTGTCGATGATATTTGCCGTAAAAACGAGCTTCTTATGTTTTTATGCGACCGTTAAAAATCTCGGCGCGTATAAATTCCTATCCCATAATGCAAAACCCTATTTGTTGTCATGTAAGTAGTCACAAAGTTTCCCGAAAGCCTCGAGCATGGCGTTGCTATGCGGTAACCTTCATTACACTCATTGCACAATAATTTTCTGCGAAAATTCCTTGTTGTGTTTAAATGATAAAACAGAGAGCCCTTAATTTACAATTTTTTTATGTTTGAAATTACTTGAGGATTTCAAAGGAACCTAATTCATAATGCAGAGATGTGGTAGAGATCTTGACAAAGTTGCCTTTGAGATCCACATCAAATTCAAAAAGGATCCTTACAAAGAGCTGTACAAAATCATGAAATGAATCTTTTAAAGATATTTGGAAGATCCTTTTCAATTCCTTGAGGATCTTAAAGGATTGTAGAACAGATCATGCAAAGATCTTGACTAGGATCCTTGTAACTCCTAATCAAATTCTTAAGGATCTTAGCAAAGATCTTAGCAGGATCCCTAAAAGGTTCTTTTGAAGGTCTTTAAAAGATCCTCATTAAATCCTTGAGGATCCTGAAGGATCCTTGAAAAGATCCTGCAAAGATCTTGACTTAAGGATCCTTGTAAGATCCTGATCAAATTCCTAAGGATCCTGGCAAAGATCTTTACAGGATCCTTGAAAGGATCTTTTGTAGGTCTTTAAAAGATCCTCATTAAATCCTTGAGGATCTTAAAGGATCCTTGAAAAGATCTTGCAAAGATCTTGAGTAGGATCCTTGTAAGATCCTGATCAAATCCTTAAGGATCCTTGCAAAGATCTTAATAGGATCCTTGAAAGGATCTTTGGAAGGTCTTTAAAAGATCCTCATTAAATCCTTGAGGATCTTGAAAGATCCTCAAAAAGATCCTGCAAAGATCTTGACTAGGATCCTTGCAAGATCCTGATTAAATCCTTAAGGATCCTTACAAAGATCTTGAAAGGATCCTTGAAAGGATCTTTTGAGGGTCTTTGAAAGATCCTTGCTAAATCCTTGAGGATCTTGAAGGATCCTTGAAAAGAACTTTGCGAGGATCCTTATGAGGATCTTTGTAATATCCTTTGAGGATCTTTATCAAATCCTTGAGGATCTTAACAAATGTTTTTGCTTACAAAGATCTTTGAGGATCTTTTACAGATCCTTTAAAGATCTTTTAAAGATCCTTGTCCTTAAGGATCTTTGGCAGGTCTTTGTCAATCCTTGAAGATCCTCAAAGATCCTGTGAGGTTTTTCACCAGGGTTAAACACTTGAAGGCAAGTTTGATGTATCCTTGTGATTTTCTAACAAAGGGGAGTTAAAAGTACTGCTGGTATTTTCTACTTTATGCCCTTTGATGATATGAGCTGCTCACAGTTGCAATTTGTCCAATACTGGTAAACTGTTTGGGAACTTGAGAGAATGTCAGTGTTAGCTGTGCTGAGGGCTGGAAAACTACCCAACAATACACAGTAATCTTAGTGGCTTCTTGATTTTTAAACAGGGATACAAATGTACACGCTCTACTTATACAAGCCACTATGCTTGTAAATACTGTCAACTTTTTCCTTCATTATCTTCTTATTGTGAGTCATAAAGAGCACACTCCTGATGACTTCTCTTGTTTCAACACAACTTAGTTCAAATTGGTATTTATGATTGTCGAGAGGGCCACCCCTTCCTAAGGAGGTCATGGCCCCTCCTGTGAAATTTTGAAGGTGTTGACTCAGCAAGACTTTTATAGAACTATATACATATGTATGTTAGGGGTTAAAAGACATTAATATAAAGGCTGCAAGCAGGTTTCATGCACATTACAAGCAGGTAGATTGATCTACTTGCTTGCTACAGTCTAGCTGCTATTGACATCCTAGTTGCTTGTTGCTTGTTGCTTGCTAAACAGCCAATGTGCATGTAAATGTACTGCTGTACTACTGATTTTGTATCTCCAAAGTGTGATCTGATTTATCCTTTTGTATTCAATGTTTTAGTTTCTGTGTGAATTGTGGGTTCTAAGAGTGGAAAGGGGGGTCTGGCTGGTCTTAACTTAAATTTATCATGGAATAGTCTGCAGTTATATATTATTTATTATTATTTTTTAATCCTTTTCAGGATCGGTTTCTACCAATTGCAAATGTGGCCAGAATAATGAAGAAGTCCATTCCCAAGACAGGGAAGGTATGGATATATAATTAAACCTTCAATGTGATAACAAACACAATTGGGCATCCTTCAACCTGTTACACCCTTACATCAATATCCATATTCTCCTCACTTTGCTTGTTACATGGTTAATGGTGTTGACAAGGAGAATTTGTTTTAAAACCCTTTACACTTAAATATCAGTATACATATTCTCCTTATTGTTCTCTATACATTTCATAAGGTGCTGACAAGGAGAATTTGTCTAACAGTCAATAGTTTCTTTAGTTGGTGATCATTTGGTTTGTCATCATGAGCTGAATGTTTGATTCAGGGGTGATATTGTAAAAAGAAATTATTAGATGCTAATTGTGCACTTTTAGGGGTTAATAATGGTATTAGGACCAAGTGGAGTCCAATTTGGTCTGTGATGTATGAGTGATGAACAAAATTGGATGACCACAAAGTGGGAGGATGATTTGTTAATCACAAGTATGATTACTGGTAGAATCGGATGACACAAAGTCATGTTACGAATTAATCATAACCATTACAATTTCTGAAGACAACAAATACTTATAGGACAAATATCTCCGTAAGAGAAAATGTCTGAAGTAAAAAATTCTCTAATTTTGGAAATTTCACAGCTTTTTTTTCTTTTTTTTTTTTTTTTTTTTGATAAGTGGTTGTTGCTATGGTTATTGAGAACAATTCTGTGATTGGTGGATTTGGTTTAAAGGACTAAGTATGATTGACTGCTTCAACTGTCTGATTACTCTTCTGATTACACTCTGCAGAGTGATGAAAGTGAAAAAATAAAGCAGCTAATGTACTGATCACTTTTGAGGAAATTATAATGTTATGATCAATGGGGTTAATAGACAAAAGCTAAGGAAACTAGGATATGTTCTTGCAGTGTTGGCCCCAGATAGTCCAGGGTTCTTTTAAATCTTGTACATTTTGACTTTGTACATTTATTTGTTCATTCCAGATTGCTAAGGATGCCAAAGAATGCGTTCAAGAATGTGTGTCAGAATTTATAAGCTTCATAACCAGCGAGTATCCTTGCTAGCATGAAAATAAACATATTTTGGTAATCGATCTTGAAATTGAATCATTATTTAATTGTGTGGTACATTTGTCAAGACTCTAATGATGAGGCTGATGATAACCTCCACTCAGTTTGTCTAAACTTTGGTCACTTCCAACCACAATCCCTCTGAGGAACTCTCTTACATGGATAATCAGACCAGGTTTACCTGATCAACTATTAGTTCTAGGTTAAAATCATTTATTGAAATTTTTTTAAAGTAACTATAAGGTAGTTAGAGAAGATAAGTGTGGAGCATAATTCCTCAATATGTCAGCGTGGAATGTTTTATGCCCTAATTCATGTCTCTATTTTGTTCACTGGGGTTCTAGTTTTTCAGTTTTATTTGTTTGCTGGAAGAACTTTTTCCCCTCCACAAATACTATAGTACTCTGTGAATGTTGACATATGATAAAAATCAAACTGACCTTAACTGAAGCACAGGGCAAGTGAACGATGCCATCAAGAAAAACGCAAGACAATCAATGGAGAAGATATTTTGTTTGCCATGCAAACTTTAGGATTTGATAATTATGTGGAACCTTTGAAGCTCTATTTACAGAAGTACAGAGAAGTGAGTCGTACTTTTTTACGTTTTGTATGTTGTACATGGCAGTTATCTATAATATCAACTGATGACTTGATAATGTAGATTGGCCACAGTAAAGAGTTGGTAAAGCCTTAGAAACACTTTACTGTGGCCAATTCATATTGTGCTTACTCCTTCACTGATGCTGCACCACAGTTTCTTTAGGAACTTACTCCCTTAAGTTCTTCATACAGTTGAGTACAGATACTGTAACTTGGTTCCCAAGCTCATTAAGCCTATTTATTGTAGGTTTTCTTGCAACGTTACCCTTGATAAACCGAACCCTGGTGTCTCCAATCTCCTTCCAACTTAAGACAGTGTTTGTTGTCTGTCAGGTCATTTTCTATGTAATTTTTTCCTTGACATCTCAAACCCAGTAGAGATGTTCATGGAAGGTCAAAACAAATGGATTGTAGGTCAGTGTTGTGCATGACTTCACAAGTGACAGCTTTGCTGCTGAGCAATTGCCAGCCCAAAAAGAAAGAAAAATAGGTGATCTCCACTTTTTCATCTGGCAAATTTTCCAGTAGTTATAGCACTGATAGCCACAACACTAGGTTTTGTACCAAAATGTTTAGCTTTGGGGCAGTGATTGTAACTCTGTTCTTTGCTTTGCTAATTCCATGTACACTTCTTGCAGTCGATCAAAGGGGAGAAGTCAGCTATTGGGACTGATGTAAGAGAAGGAGAGGTGGATGAAGAGGAACATGCTGTGCATCAATTTCAAGTGGCAGGTGAGAAAGTGATAAAAATTTCAATTCTCCTCTTAATTTAAACTCTTATTCAACAGAAGGGTGATGAGAATACACACATGTATAAAGAAGAGAATGTTACTTTGATGTAAAACCAAATTTTCCACTAATTTACAAGAAAATGGATAGAAGTTGTTAGGGAGTATTACAGTTTGGATCAAAGGTGTAAATGGGTCAACATTTGTAACTGAGTAACAAATCTCAAAGACACTGGTGGTAATTAACTGACATGAACATTGCCTTTTTTTGATGTGATTTTTTTTTAGGTACTCACCTCCATCCTTCAATGATTGGAGCAGACCAAACTCCAACGACAATTTACAGCTCTCCTCAATATCAGACAACGGTAAGATGGACAAATTTTATCTCTGAGCATTCATTTTTTCCTGTCAAAAAAAAAAATGAATTGCAACATCTGCAATGTCGGTTAAGTAAAAAATAATTGTCTTAAAATAGAGAGACAAACAAACAAGCAAAAAACCTTTGAAAAAGCAAGTTGATACAGCATCTGCTACCATGATAGGATTATTATCTTTACAAAAGGAACTTAAGATATGAATTGGATGCTCAGTGCATTCTGTGAAAAACAGATGAACGTGCACAACATGTAACATAAGTCTTGGTTATATGGTGCCACTCAAGATTGATGCAATGCAATGGTCTGTTTTAACAAAGCTAAATCAATTAATCAGCATAATTTGTTTAGGTTGAAGTGATTTATTCAATTTAAATATTTGTTTGGTTTTTGTTTTCAGATGCAACAGCCTTTGCATTTTCCATGATTTGAACACCCCAGACAGCGTTTGACTTGCCCACTACAAATGGATATAACATAAGATAAGATGTACATAGTGCAGCCTCCAAGACATAGTTGAAAATGTTTGTTATCCCCTCCCATTCTGTATCTAAAGAGAGATTTTTTTTTTATACTTGTTTGCTTCATTTAAGACCAGCTTGTTTGTCAGACTGCAATCCAGCCAGCCTCCAACTGATATTCAAATGGGTTTAATCTTTGTTAGTCTGGTTTGAGGGTGTACAGGGGGAACTTTTGCACAATTAAGGTCCCATCAGTATGACGTTGACAAATCAGGCTGACTCAGTCTATGAAATCTCATTTTGCCAGTATTCCTTTACCAAGAGGGTAGCAAAGGGGGAATCCTGATTCCAGTTTCAAACTCAGATTTTTCACACCTCATAAATCACCTCATGTACATAAATTGGAAAACTTCAAATCTCTCTCCTTGTGTGTGAGGTTTCAGAAAAAATCTTGAGGTTTTCACCAAATGAACAAAAAGTTCACAGGTTGCTTACATTTCAGGAGGAAAATTACGCCTCATGCTGGATCATTAATCCACAAATCATGTTGATCTTCTTTTGTAAAATTCATACTTCGCATTAATTTTGGCCTTATCACATTTCGCTTATAAACCCTTTGGCACCCTCTACTAAAATCTCTAAGTTTTTGTGGGAAGGTTTGTTATCCTCAAGCTTTGTTTTTCAGTCTGTGACCTTGTAAACTAGTCTAAAATTCCCCTGTGGAACACATAACAAAATTTTTCATCCTAACACAGTCTCTATGGTTACTGGGCTTAATTAAAGAGAGCAAAAGAGGTGAATGTTGCAAAGAGGTTTAACAAGAGCTTGGCTCTCACATCTCTCGGTATGTAAGGGAAAAATATGTAGTCGTCCAAGAATCAGATTCTTGGACGACTAAATTCTGTCAACAAGGGTTCTGTCACTTTGGGTGTTTGCTGGTCATTAACTGTCGCAACTATCACACTTTGCAATGAACAAAACAGGGCATGTATGTTCAGGCAGTTTCATGCTGTTATGGTGTGAATTGTAGCATACAACCAAATCATTGCTGGTTCTATATTTTGAAACACATTCAAATTATTATGGTAAGTCTAGCCTCGTGTATGAAGGTGCAAATTCTCCTTACTCGTATTTACACATTGTCAAGCAAAGATGTGGTGAGAATGGAGATTGCTGTTAACTAAAGGAGGGTTTGTTATATCATTCCGTTACCACTTTTACTCCCAAGATCTTAAAAGTGATTCTCCTTACTGTCTGCTATAAAATTCGTTTGAAATTAGTGTGGAGAGTTTGGTATTGGATCAAGTAATAGTCCCCTAATTGGCATTTTTTTTCTTTTTCTCATCAATTTTCTGCTTGTCATTGTATTGATCTTGTAAGTAGAAATTCTGTTTGTCACTCGTGGGAGTTAAACGGTTAGGTGACGTGGAATTTGTTTGAGTGGCAGATACTTCGATGAAATAATAGTGAGATCCTAGGGGGAAAAAATTGCTCATCGCATCAGTCCCTCAAAGCATTATGTAAATAATTATCATGATATAAATAAAACCTTAACAAAAAGAAAGAGAAAGATATGTAAGGAGTGTATTTATCTTTCAGTGGTGATTTTATTTCGTGTTGGCTGCTTTGTAAACTTTTAGGTGGCCCGCAGGAAAAATTTTTTTTAGAAATATACCTTGGATTATTTAGAGTATAAGAATTATTTGGTTTGCTGTAATTTTACTGTAGTTCTGTATAACTTTGTCTTCGGTAACAATTTCAAAATAAACCATACAAAGCATAAATTTGAAACAAACTCATTGCTCCCGAGCAGTAATACTGTTAGGTTTTATCGTCCTCGGTTTGTCCATGGGGTTTTCACCGTGGACAAATCGAGGATGGTGATAAAGCTTTAATAAATTGGATGATGGATGATCCATGGATAACAATAAAACTATAATATATTGTTATGGGTTTGCGTCGAAATATCACCGACTCCTTTCACTTAATCATTCCTTTGTTAACTCAGACTTCGTCAATTTCTTCGTCATACGTGTGCTTGTCTTTCAGTTTATTTTCAGTTGTTTATGTCGGAGCGCCCTATCGTTCGTCCGTGCGTTTCTTCATTCTTCTTTTTTCTTTCCGCCACCTCGTTCTTCAGTCCGGGTTTCCACTTTTTAGTTAGTTCATAGGTCTGTCCATCGTCCTTTTATTTATTCGTCTGTTTTTCATTCCGTCAATTCGTCTGTTCGTATATCTGTTTCCTTTTTTTTTAATCATTCGTCTGTTTTTCCATCAGAGCTCTCGTTCATTCGTCCGTATGTTCGTTCATTGACTTTGTTCGTGCTTACGTCCGTGTGTTCGTTCATTGACTTTGTTCGTGCGTACGTCTGTGCTGCGTTCACTAACTTTGTGCGAGCATCCGTTCGTTAATTTGTCCGGTCGAGCGTTCGTGCGCTTCTTCGTTTGTGTGCTCGTTCGTGTATTTGTTTGTTTATTCATTCGTCCGTTCGTGTATTCGTTCCGTTCGATGTTTATTTTCATAAGTTCTGACGTCCGTTTGTGTGTTGTGTTTTGGTTGAGTTTTTCGTTCATTGTTCGTTCCTTCGTCCTGTTCTGCATTGTGTTTTCGTTGGTTCGTTCTCCGTCCATTTGTCCGCCTGTGCGTCCGTCCGTTTGTTTGTTTTACGTCCGTGCGTGCGTTCGTTCTTTTGTGCCTTCACTCGTCCGTCCGCCCGTCCGTTAGCTCGTTCGTCCGCTCGTCCGTCTAACTGTCCGTCCGCTCGTCCATCTGCTCGTCTGTCTGCTCGTCCGTTCGCTCGTCGGTCCGCTCCTCCGTCCGCTCGTCCAATCGTTTGTGCTCGTTCTTCCGTCCGTTCAATAAGATACTTGTGAAACTGGCCAAGTTGGATAAGTTTGATCCCTCCAAAAGTAAAAGACGTTAAGATCATAAAACACATGACACTCTCGCATCAAATGTAATTCTTTAATTCAAAATACATGTGGCAAGATGCAATTTGCGTTTTGTAGTTTGTTTTGTGATGAGCAAGGTACCAAACCGTCGTCTGTGTCTTTGCAAGGCAGATAAAAACAAAATTTAAACAGATTAAGGTAAATGCCATATTTAATGGAAGATGAAGAAAACTGGAGAACATTGCACAAGTTCTTGAGATGGTTTGGTTGTTATTCCTTAGAATCTGTTCCAGTTTGTGATCATATCCTCAGGAGAAAAGTAAGTTATTTCATCTCTCTTTCGGCTTAGTTCTGAGCTGCACTTTCCCTTATCATCTAGGAATGGAAGATTAAGAAAAACACGCGGGTTACGTAATGTGTGACGTAAAACCAGAACTGTTACTATCACAACGGCCAATCCAGAAAAAAGGAAAATATCACAAGCCAATGAGACTTCCAATTAAAGCAAAGCAAACTGATTGAAGTGCAGGAAAACAAGTGAGGCCAGGCACGATTGGTGAAGTTTCCCCATTTGATTGGTTTAAGTGGTAACAAGAGTCTCTTTACCAATTAGAGTGCAAAGTAAAGCAAAAAAAAAAAAAAATCGCGGATTACTTTCGTCAGTCAATTGAGAATTGCCATCAGACTAATAGGTACAATTTTTGTATGCTCACCTAATCTCGCGAAAACTGCCACTTCACATATCGCCAAGTATCCTTTGCCTACCATACTGACAGAGACGTATTGACCTGGGATCGGCACCTTGCACTCTGCTGTCCAGACCTCCCCCTCCGCCAGCTGTCGGACTTGGTCCCCGCACATTGGATTCTGTTTGTGATCTTTTAGGATTCCGACGCGAACTTCAAAATTTGACAATGGACTCGAGAAATTGCCTGAAAAAAGGTAATTTATGAACGGAGAGAGGTATTGGCTGTCCAACAAGCACAGGAAGACATATTTGATATTGAGATCTTAAGGTGGAAGTCTTCAAGAACAGGAGATTGCAAGCAGCATGTCGCAATTTGCGCTCTGGTATGTAGCATATGGTCGCATTTTGTCACTAAAGATTTTCGGGTAGCTCCGGGTTGAAAGGCTTTCTTGGACTTTTTTGCTGGTTTCGTTCTCATGGCAAATCATAGAGAATGTGTTGGTCAAGGCTGTTACAGCGCAAGTTTTTCATTAGACATTGATTTACAAGCGACTGAGAAGGTTCAAAAGTGAGCTTGCTACTTCGCCTGAAGACAGAGCAAGGTGATAACCAACAAACCCTTAAACGCACATCAAAGCTTCATTTAGCAAGATGTTTAAATCTCGATCTAATAACGCCTACCAGATGAGCTGACTACATTCACATCTGTAACAATGTGCTCGCTCTGCAGATCCACTTTCCACCATGGGTCAACTTCAATGGCCGTAATCGAGCAGGAGCCCGCAGAAGGTTCTGTAGCCATGTTACCATCCACAGCCAGTTCTGGGCCCACCCCAGGAATGTTTACTTTCTTGCCTTTGGACTCACTTTGTAACTCATCAACGGACATCAAACTGGATTGCAGGGCGGGCTTTCCAAGAGCAATGTCTAAATTGGTAAACATTCATCGGCGTCAAATTTAATGGCAATGAATATAATTTTTCAATCATTTTCCCACTTCCCTTTCTTTTTCCTGTTTCTTTAACATTAGTTCTTAAGCCATGATAGTAAAACAACTCACCAGGAACATGTTTGTCGCAAACCGAAAGGGCCCTAGGATCATCATATATCATCCAGGCCTGCTCATCCTTCACGGTTTTGTCGTCACACTTGAGCAACTTGGCTTCTACTACACCTGATCCTGTTTTTCCCGCTAAGAAATGGTAAAAAATAATTGGAACATAAATACGAATTAGATTGTTTTGTTATGCTATTTCCAAGAAGTCTAATAAGGAGCTCAGTCACGCGTAAGCTTCCTACCACAGGCAATAGACCAAAAGCGTTTGGTTCGTGCAGTGCAAACTCTCTCTTGTATTTTTCTCGATTGAAGGAGCGATATCTTGCTTTTACTAGACCATAGAGTTAGTGAAGTTTTAGCGTGCTCCCAGTATATCGATTATTTTACATAACTGAATGAGTTATTACCAGATCCCGTCACGCACAATCCAGAATCCTTCACAGGTGTAATCTTAGTGCCGTTACAAGTGAACTTCTGCTCCTCAGAGGTGACGTCACAAGCTTGCTGTAACACAAGAGCTTGACCTTGATCTGAACCCATAGCTGCACACAGACCAGACTTGACATTCTGATGAATGCAAAAGTGAAATCAGCGAGATGAAAGCAGTGTCAGGAAAGAACTTTAAAACATTTCACGTTGAAATCTCACTTAAGGTTAAGTTTTTGGCGTTTTTTTTCCTCAGTCAAAAAGAAAAAAAAGGAAGTGACCCATAGATGCAGAGCAACCCTCTCCCAAACTTCGGCATAGCTTAAGATCAGTTAGAAGAAAAAATTAAACCACTCTTAGTTCGTATCCCATTTGCAGACCTTCCATTGGTTACTTTGTAGCAAGACCTACCATCAATCCTCCTGTGAGTGTAAATACCCACTGGGACACATCCCCATCACAGGAGCCCAAAGTCACAGGAGAACCAACTTTTGCGCTAGCAGGAGTAGACAAGCAATCCTTCGTGCCATTCATCTGGATTCGGAATTCACCTACATTGGATAAGTTTTAAGTGTTTTTAAGAAGAGGCCAGAACAACTTAATTATCTCTCTGTCAATCAGAACCACAGACCAGAATTTCTCAACCATCGAACTTATTTCAATCATTCGGACGGCCAGTTAAGCGTCTATCAGTTAAATATCTAATAAAACGTCTGTCAGGTAGTCGGTCAGTCAGGAAATCAGTCAGTAAGTCTGTCAGTCAAGAAATCAGTCAGTCCGTCAGTCCGTAAGTCATGTAGTGATTCAGTCAGTCAGTCAGTCAGTCAGTCTATCAGTCGGCCATTAAATCAGCCGGTCTCCTTGTCTGTCTTTCTATTAGCCAGCAATAGATCCTTCGTTTTTGAAATTTCTACGGATGTATTTTTCTTGCACACACACCTGAAAATTCGAAATCAGATTCTTCTGCTGGCTTATCATAAACATCCTTGGAAGGTCGAGGACTAAACAGCTTCTTAAAGAACTCCAGAGCTGTGTCTGCCAGTTTATGAACATTCTTTAGGGGATCAGCCAGATTAAATTCTAGTTTAAACTGCCCTCTAGAGCCGAAAATGCTAACATCAGCCCCAAGAGACACGGTAGAATCAAGAGGAGAGGATGTTAGGTGAGTCTCGAATGATAACGAGTGAACAACAAGCATATTCTTAGCCGCTTTTACGACAGCTTGCTCGGCCCAGTACGCTTTTTGTTCCAGCACGTGAAGACCGTAAACGGCAAGGTCGAGCGCCTGGCACATTCCTTTGGTAATGTGGCCGACAACATTACAGGAGCCTGGAAAAAAATTGTATGTAGTTATGTCATTAAATAGTCTGCTAGACTTTATGGCTCTCAGAGAGGTGAGCAAGCAACGGTTCAAAGAATTAAAACTATAGTCTGCAGTTAGTTTAAATATTGAAGTTTTGTCAAAGACTGATATACCTCTCAGCAACCTCCGAGACTGAGCTTTATCCGTTCAGATTTATGGCCCATGCGCCAGCGGAAGCGCGTTGACCATAAATCCGCGCAGAAATTTCAGGTTCCGTAACTTTAAGATATTTATTATATTTTCGGGTTCAAATGGGGAGAGAAGATTTCAATTTAAAGAAATTTTTTTAATTTAGCCGGGGCCGTACGGTGAAATACAGCCGGCTAAATTGACCAATCAACGTGCACTTGCTAACTGAAAGACATAACAAGGATATTTATTTACAAGGTACAAAGATGTATGGTTTCCTTTGGGGCTCAATATTACCTTCGACGTTTGGGCAAAGCAGCCTCACCAACGATTTTAAGCGAAGCTTCACCACTAATCTTCAAAACTTATCTAAATGGCTTGACATTGATTATAGATCTGTTTTTCAAATTTTGATGTTTCTCGTATCATTAGCTGACACTGAAGATTATCTCCTTCTTACCTTTACACAAATCTTTTGCCATCGTACAAGCCTTCTTAGCTAGCTTCTCGCACATCATTTTACCCACAAACCTCTTGCGCCTAGTTGACCGATAATGAGTGGAGTTCCCATAGCGACTGGCATGGCAACGCGTCTCTGAATGGGCGTGGTTTGAATACTCGACTGTGTGGTCACTACTCTGTTTCAACTTAGCTGCGCAGTTCATTCCATCTGTCAGTAGATCCATGTAGCGTTTTGTTTTCTCTTTTTTGAAAGTAGATTCGAATTTCTCCCCAATGCTTTTGATTTTTCGACCTGAAAGATGATTGATTCAGACGGTAGTCGAATGTCATAATAATTATGACGATAACGTCAACGATGTTGATTTTATAAACGTTAATAAGGACATTTTCTTTCACTCGAGACATTGGGTGTATTTATATTTCCTTAACTCAAATATTTTCCTTCCCACTGGGCAGTTATGATAAATATGTGTGACGCTTTATGTATGGACTGTAGCCATCAGGGCAGTATAGGTATAGCCAGCTCAATTCCAGGCCTTTAGAAAGTAAAACGAAGCGCGGTAGTGAAAGGTGCGAAAGTATCGGAAGAAGGACAACACAAAGGAGGCCTGGGCCGGGTTGCGTCATGCGTCTTTTTGTTTTTGTTTTTTTTGTTTTTGTTTGTTTATTTTTTTTTTTGCCCTGCCTTCACTATCGCGCCGTTTATTACTTCCCTCGATTTTACTAACTGAATTCCTGGAACAGGCCAGTGTAATTAAGGCCAAGAGGAAGTAAATTTTGAAATTGATCGGATAAATTCCTTACCAAACTTGTCTATTTTTTCACCCACATAGTGCTTAAACTTGTCCATAGCGTGCTTGCATTCCTCGGTAATTTCATCGCATGCCAGTTTTTCACAGATGTTGCAGAAACTACCTGCTTTTCTCTCGCAGGCAAGTTTGGCTTCTTTCACTGTCACTTGAGCTTTTTCCAAAGCTTTTCTTGCCGCCTGCAGAGCAGCTACCAAAATCTCAGAAGTCTTTTTCGAAAGCTGGTCAAAACCGGTTTCTATGGTAAACTTGGCGGTAAAACCGGTATTAGCAAACGGGTTTCCGTAGCCTGCCGCGATAGCTACTCTCGCCTTGAACACGTTAAACAGGCTTACAGCCACTTCTGACTCAATGCGTTCCGTTGTGAATTTGAACATAATCTCTAATTCGTTCCCAAAGATAACCACGGCTCCTTGAATGTAAATCTGTTGGAAAGTAACTGTATTTAGTGGGTAGCGCTTGTCAAACAGATCGTTAAGATCAAATGCCAAGGAGGCATTGGGACAGTAGAAATATATAAGATTTAAATAGATTTAAACAGTTCATTAAGAGACAAATGAATAAAGGGTGTACGTTTCTAAAGAAACTGTGGTGCTGCGTCGGCAAGAGAGTATAACAGCTTTTTTAGTGTTAATAACTGAGGCCGATTTACGTTTTCAACTCAGATGTTAACTCTAAATTTACTCAATAAATAACAGTTACGCAGCATCAGCATAAATGCACACAGTGCGAACCTACAAATGTTTTCATGTAACTTATTATCTTTAAAGTTTGCTATTCCAACATTATATCCTGTACAAAGAGTGACATTCAACTGAGTGTCGATGGCAATTTGAAAGTATAATGGTTTTTCTCCACTTTTCTTTAATGTTTAGCAAAAAACCTTTCTCGGCTGTTTAGAAGCAAAACGAAGTCCATTTGCAGGTTGATCGTCTTTTCTTCCCGCCAGTTAGGGTCGTTTGTTTGTTTGGGTTCCCATCGGCTTCTTGTGAGAGCTAATTATGTTCTAATTGGCTGTTGAAAACTGCTCTGTGAGAGTTGAAATCTCACCTCAGCTTGAAGTGGCTTCCGCTTAGCGTGAACATAAAACTTTGGTCCTTTTTTTTTCTCTGCTATGGAGCGCACTAGTTGCACGTTACCCAGTAACTTAACAGGGTCTAACTCCAGGTCAAACTTGATTTGCTGCAAGAAGACAAGAGATGGGACATCAATGTGACCTGATTATCCATTCCCCCTTTTTGCTTCTTACATTCATCTATTCGATATTTGTTTGTGATATTAGACAGTCTGGTTAAGTTAAACTTTAAATCTAACGACCTTTATAGACAATAAGAATGCTAGACCACAACGCCGAGAGCTATGATCCCTACTTTTTGCGAAAAGTGTGTGGGTACTTTAATATCCCTTACCAACAAGCACAGAGAAGATGCAGGAGACGGGGTCTTAGATTTATTTTTCTTATCCGAGATGAATCGAATGTCTAACAATTGGCAGATGTTACAGCAAAGGAAGCATGATCTCCTTCATCATTTTAGGCCCCTGAGTGTTGCTTCCGTCTAAAATACTGTGCAGCCTGTGATGTTATATCAGTGTAACAACTCCTAACTGATAGGGCTGTTGACTCTTATTACCTGTTGGGTGGGTAAGGTATTGAAATCGTGAAGAGAAATTGGGTAATGATCCTTTCTAGAAGCCTAAGGATTGCAATCTACTTGTGCATGTAAACTTTGCTTTCCTTCACACTTTCATTATTGGAGTAGTCTCCTTCGCAACCGTTGTTTGGTCTCGCCACGCAACTGACGTGCTCTCTTTCCCCACCGCGTTGGTTGGGAAAAGAGTGCACATTAAGAGACCAAAAAACAACTGCGAAGGAGACTATTACTAGAGATGAGTTTCATTATCCTTCATTAAATGTAAGTTACCTCGTTACTGAGTAATATTTCGACAGAAGGCGCGAATCCCAAAATATTGATGGTGCCTTTGATGAAAACACCTTTCTTTATCTCTTTTGTTGCTCCAGCGTAGGGAACTTTCTGATCTTTCCATGCTGCAGAAATCTTACAGATAAACGTATAAAAGATGTTTTAAACACGCGAGATCCATTGGTTTTACGTCAAAGCTAAAAACAATTTGCTTAAAGTTTGTTATTTTCAGGAATCATAAACGGTTCCGCAGCATAAATCGGGGAAATATCATAAATTGAAAATATCAAACGAAAATTAGGTAAAACAGGCGAACAAACATAGATACGTGCAACACATAAATAAACAAGTATAAAATAAAATGGGAAAACCAGCCAATACAAAACAGACAAAAGTTACTCGGCAGTTTGGTCTAATCATTTTCAGGGTTAGACGTAAAGGTGAGGATTCGTTGTGGATATCTCACTTAAATATGATTTGTAACCAGCGTCTAATTTCTTCATATATTATCACCCCTAAATCAAACTTTAAGTTCATGAGAATAAAGGAAATGATCATCAACAAAAGAAACTCTTGATTGTTAAAAAAACTCTCCTTGTCAGCACCTCAGGTAACGTATAGCGAACAGTATAGAGAACACATATACTGATGCACGTTGTAAAAAGATAATTCTGATTCGTGAGGTTTTATACATTTCATTTTAAAGAAATATGTTTTTTCGTCTTTTCATGAGCGTGGGACAAACAGGAGGTTCGATTTCTCATGGGGACTCAGGAATTTTTCTTTGTCCCACGCTCTCGACAAGACGAAGAAACATCTTTCTTTATTTCTTTACCGAGCTCAAAACTTACCATCTCTCTTATTTCCATCTATTCATTTCCTTTTAGTTGTAATTTCATACTTACTATTAAACCTTTAGGAAAACCGCTCTCCAAAACAGGTGGAGGTAGCTGCAGTTTAGATCCTAGCATTCTTAATATTTTCCCGATAGTAACAGGAGATAATTCTCCGTATATATACTGGCCAGCAGGGTTTGCGCTTATTCCTACTAGGGCCTCCCCGGAGAAACAAGGACCATCAACTTTGAAATCGTCCTTCCCTTGGCAGTCGTGCCCAATCTCTAGGCGGCCGTTGAAGGTAAATTCAGTCGGAATTCCGGTGGCAAGTGAAATTGTTAGGCTAAAGAAAATAAATGAGGAACGCTGTTAATTAACTGATGCTTAAAAACAAAAAGGGGATAGCGTTTGGTGTTAAATGAGTTAGATTCTCTAATAGCACCTTTTATTAATCTTTTAAAGGTCATAAACAAAATTAAAACATAAAAAAAACAAAGTCAGAAAAAGAAAAAAGTTAAAACGAAAAAATTATCAGACCCTGTGTTTCCCAAGTCTACCACTGTAGAGCTAAATGTTCAGGTAAAACGGAGCTAAAAAGTTAACGGCGTAGTAGTTGCGGAAGAGCGAGAACAAGAGAGGCTTGGGTCTGGTTGCCTACACGATTCGACCCAAAACTTTCCTGCTTTTTTCACTCCTTTTCTCATAAAGCGCCGTTTATTATTGAGCCTCGTTTTATTAAATGAACATCTGGAGCAGGCCAATTACCACTGAGCCACAGTGACTCAACTACGCCTTAAATAATTTCATATGTGATAAGTGTCCTGCACATAGCTGGGATCCCAATGTCGAGAGCCTGGGGTCGGTTGATACAATGAGAAAGATGGTGAATTGTAGGTTCGATAATGAAATGGCTGACGGCTTTTCTCCTTCATGTCGCGAGAAAAGTAAAAATGTTAGGACAAGATTTCTCACCCAATCTGTATGTTTCCAATGCTAAGGAAACTTAAACCAAATGCTTTTTTCCACATTCCGTTCATATACAGAGTTGTTCCTATCTCAGCTGCCCCGGTGACGAAAAGCTTCCCTCCAAGTTGAAGAGATGTGCTCGGCATTTCTTCTTCTTTATCGCTCACTTCGCCTTCCACAGGTACGTCTAATTCGACAGCGAAGCCCACTTTAGGGGCTACAGGTGCAGTACCAAATTTAACCTAAGAATAAATTAAAAGAAACGGAAGATCTTTATTACGGCCAAGGCACCTATCTTCGAAAGAACGCTCACTTCAAGCAATTAAAGTATCCTTCCTATTGGACAACAAACTTAAGGTAAGTACGTAACTTTAAGCTAGTGCGCCTAGGTGAGCTTTACTCTCAAGGCCCGACTTAAAAATCTCCCCCCTCCCCCTGTAATATCAGAAAATGAGAATAAGATGGGCCAGTTATTTACATGTCGTTTAATCCACACTGCGGCTTCACGCAAACAGTAGGCTTCGGGGATTTTTAATGAAAAGGGTTAATTTAATTCAATAAATGTCCTTACTCTTTTATTTTTCCGCCCTCGTGACACTGATAACAAAAATAAATGCTGAAAGGTTCGGCTTAATTAAAGATGGTGGTTTAGAACGCAGATTTAATTGTTAAACAACGACTGAGCTCTGTTTAAATAACCGACCCATAGGGATTCACCTTGTTTACCTTTTTCTGTCCCCGAAAATAAAAGTTCTTGTTAATCTGACATCGTCTCACCTCTATAAACAGTTCAACTTTGTTAAACTTCAGATCCCCCTTTATGGGTATACCATAAACTCCTGCGTTGACTTTGACACCTGCTTTGCTTACGCCACCATGAAATTTTAACCAGGAATCTTTGCCCATCAGTATCTTTCCAAACTTGCAATGCGAGTTATCCCCACAATTCGCTGCAAACTTTGTGACTGCAGCGAAAAACAGTCCATCCGGGACTTCCTTTTTCATCAAAGATTTTAAAGGCTCTTTTTGAAATTTTGTCTCTGGTGTCACTTTATAACCTTTCTGCGCGAAGGAAATACCGAACTGTTGAAAAGAAACCGCCAACGATTAGTTTTGGAAAACAGACCTGGTTCTCATATGAATTCTACTGTAACTTGTCAGGAGCCAATCAGAGGCCAGTTCAGTTTATTAAAATTTTGAAATGAGCCAATCAGATGGGAATGTCTTGGTTTTGATACACAGATTGGCTGACGAATGTCACATTACTTCTCAACCAGGTAAAAGCGAAACTAAAACCACTCATAACTTAGACACTTGCGCTTTACCGCTTTAAATTTTCTTCTTTCTTTTTCACACTTTTTGTGATTCAGTCCTGTTCTGATTGGTCACTAAATAATTTTGGTTTCAACCTAACAAGACTTTTTCTTTGACGACGCTTTTAAGAATCTCCTTTGATTTAAGGATTAAACCAAAGAAGGTCAATTTGGACGGAAATCGTTCGCCTGATTCTCGCCAGCTAGGAAAAAGTGAATGTGAATCGTGATATATCGCACTGCTGCGAGCCAATCAGATTACATAGTTCGTTAATGATCTCGAAATTAATTCAATAATGGAATATGTACTCACTGATGTTTTCTCTAACTTCTCAAATACGCCAAGCTTGGTGTTAAACATCTTCTGCACAAAATCTTCAATTGCAGCCTGCTCCGTCGTGAAAGCCACAGCGAAAATATCCTTGCGTATGATCTCAAAATTGAACCATCCACCGATCCCATTGGGGGCCACCTTACCACTGACTCGCACAATAACCTCTTTCATGCTCGCGCTGATTTGTAAAGACAAGTCAGATATTGTCACTAGGCCTAAATTTACGCGTTTCAATATTTCAAGTATTTTCTGGTCAATGTTCAAGTTCAAGGACCTTTTAGGTGTGTCTTGCAAGCCTTTCAAGTTGGGGGTTGCCCCCATGTTCAGCGGAGGAGAAATGGCATATAACGGGTTAACAGTCATTGCGTTTGGATAAGTAATTGGCATTTCCTCTCTTAGTTCATTTATTGGCTCATAAGAAAATGATGGCACCGCACTTCGATGTGTAAATTTATTATGGCGCGTCTGTTTTTCTCCAATTCTTGCCTTTTTCTTTTCGAAAATGTCCTTCTTCGTTGAATGTTGTTTCTGTCGGGTTTTTGAGGACCGTTACTCATCTTCGCAGCTTTCTCTGCGTATTTTCCATCTTTGGAGACGTTTTCTAACGGTGCAAGTTGATCGGTAGGAGACTTTGAGTCGAGGTTCCTTACTCCGCGTCTCAAAACTTGTGTAAAGGAGAAATCATTTGCTACAGGTGTGTTTGGTGACAACGCAGCTTGAATTTCCTCTATAATGTAAATATAGAAGATAATCAATGCCTTACTGAGCTCTGCTGAAAACGAACCTACGAGCCTACGTTGAAAGCCGAAAGCTGCATTTATGAGATGAAGAAGATTTCGCTTCCGTTTGTTTACAAAACGAGATGGAGAAAACTGGCAAACGAAATTCTGGGAAGACGAATATGACTACCAAATTTGAGATTTTCCAGTTCAGTGTGTTAATGGCCAGGCGCGAACCTGTGTTATTTTGGCGGGAGACAATGTCTTCTATTTCCACTTTCAAAGCAGATCGAGTTTTGCGAAAATTGCGTGGTGGCAAAAATAAATTACAGAAGCGTTTTCAATTGTAGAGTTTTTCAGTCAATAAATAACTCAGATACGTCCTCTGGCAATGATACCATGCAGATGAACTGACTAAGTCCTATATTTGGGCGACTTCAAAATGGATGCAATAAGGTGGTAATGGAACCTCGTGGCGTGCAATTTTGGTCTGAAATCATACTTGTGATTTCAAATCATGCATATGATTTCAGCCCAAATTGCACTCCACTCAATTCAATTACGTTGTGATTAAGTCATACTAGAGATCATTTTGTTGAGTTACAGTTTTGCAAATTTGAAATCATGTTTTACCCGACGTAGCAGTTTGCCCGCTGGTTCCTTCAATAGTGACTTCATTTTCACCCACTAAGCTGGCATAAACAGCAAATTTAGCTTTCCCAATGTCATCAAAACCATGGGCCACAATTTCTTCTTTTCCGGGAGACACTCGGAAAAGAAACATTACGTTTTCAAGAGAAACTGTATCAGTTGGAGCATAAACTGACGAAGAATCCAACAGAAATTCAACTGCAAAGATAAAAAAGAAAATACAGCTATGATAAGGGTGCTTCTCTATTAATTGTTGTAAGGCCAAAACAATAATGTCCGCAACTGCCAAGTGTTACCAGAAGAAGAGAACATATATCAAAAAGACGCGAATAAGTACGCAGATCACGAGTGAACTGCCTAAATAGCGACGAAACTGAACGCTAGTGGCCTGGGGCGCGTTTTTGAAGGTCCAGGTAACTTAGCAGGCTCGTAAATCTTTTCTGTTTTCACCTAAGATAGGGATTTCAAAACATGGTGATAATTATATAATAAAACTATCAGTTAAAGGAGCTAAATGGTCTGTTTAGGGCGCAAGAACGTGCTTCTCTCTTCTTTAAAACTTGATCTTAAAATGTGGCTCCAAGCCTTTAAGTTATTGGGACTTTCGAGAAACTCTCCCAACTCCGGTACGATCATTGCGTGGGATGCTGCGATCACGCTTGATGCTAGAAGAGATATGAACTTTAAAAGGTCAGAAAATTAGCAACATTACCTCCATATAAGGCTTTATCTGCTCTCAAATTGACCTTTATTCCTGTCACGTGTTCAGTGTCCGCAGGCATGGTGAAAAATGGTATTGGCTTGGCCGAGCGGAAACCGGGATAGAGTTTAGCCAGCTCTGCTATGGTCAGCAGTTTCATAGGCTCGAAACAAGTTTCATTTAATTCCTTTGTATTTTGCTTAACTGCAAAGTAACCGCCCTTCAGAAATGGAACAAGCTTGGGGAGATTTGAAAATGCAGCTGCTACTAAAGGGTTTTTTGCTGAGTCGCTGAGAAGTTCGGCGTTTTGAGAGTTGCACACTAATGCTATGAATGAGTTTGGTTCAACAGGTTTTGTAGCGTCGGTGTTTTGAGGAGTTTCTGAAAATACAATCGAGACATGAATTACAACAAACAAATTACATAGGTGAGGTATCACAGATGCTAGATACTAGTATTTTTCACCTAGAGGGGGGGGGGGGGGGCTCGAAAGATTTTGGGTGAATAACACACATGGCCTGTAATGGGATCTGGGGGGAATCAGTCTTCGCTAGCAGAGTAGAAAGGGTGACCATGGAAAATCGATTTTCATTGGGGAGTATTTGGGGGGGGGTCATTGGAAAATTAAAGAGACCAAAATCCTCCAACTGCCTCAGGGGGGAGGGGTTGGGGGGGCTCGAAAGACTTTTGGTGGATCTCACACATGGTTTGTAGTGGGATCAGGGGGGGAATCGGTCTTCGCTAGCAGAGTAGAAAGGGGAACATGGAAAATTGATTGTCAATGGAAGGCTCATAAGAATATTAAAGAGGCCAAAATCCTCCGAGGCAATGAATAATCAATTATCGATCCCTAAAGCACAAATACTGTGTCCCATCTAGTTTCTCCCAAGAGCACCACTCCTGAGTCTAACGTTCAGGTCAGAGGGTAAAAGGAAATGATTGCCAACTAAAAAAAGTCTTGTGAATTAGCAAATGTATAGAGAGCAGTATGGAGAATACACATATTGCTGTAAGCTTACGTTTATGTTAAGATGAGATGCTTGTGGGGAAGTTAACTTAACTATTGAATCAATTTGAACAAGCAGAATTAGGCGGTTGATCGTTTTCCGAGTGCAGAGGTTTTATTTGTTCGTAGTTTTTGAACAAAATCTGCTGAGAAAAATAGGACTGAACAAAGCCATCTACGTCTTAGGGTTACCTAAAATGCATCAAGACACAAAGTTCTTCTGTTTAAAGGCAAAAATGAGCGCACCTTTGCAGTTCGTTTTTGGACATTCTTGGCTTTCGGAACCAGTTCCCGGACATACATCACCGCCATTCTGTGGTGCAGGGTTGTTACACTGGCGAGTGCGTAGCTGTACTCCCTTGTTGCAGACCTCTTTCTCAGAGCATTCACCCCAGGGACCCCAGGGACCCCATGCTCCGTTTACTACATCTGTTGAGGAAAAATTATTAACCCAAATTTACCTTGAGGGAAGAATTTTGTTCTCCAAGGCAACACACTAGCATTAACACAACATTGCATATGAAGAGTATATTCCTTGCTTTAGTTGTGAAATAAATTGCGAAGAACCATGATAACAGAGTAAAATAAAAGTCAAAAGAGCACGAAGAATCTTTAGAAAGAATTTATCTATCAGCCGAAGTTTACGAAAGGAGGCCCCATCCATTACAATAATTTAAGGCCTCATGAATAATTTACATAAGAGTGGCGAAAGCAGCGTGGGATTTCTTCGTCACATGACTGCTCTAGAAAATTCCTAGCACCCTGTCAAACAATTATACATGAAATAAATTCCACATCCCACCCATGTATCCTTGTTTTACTGTGCGTTAGAAAGTTTGCTTATGTTTGCTTTGGTATATCATTGTTTCTTTGTGATATTTATCCAAATTCCGATAGGCTGCTGTAGTTAATCTGGTTCTGATTTTATTGCAACAAATGAAAAAAAACCTTTTTTTTTCCCGTTTATTATTGTCGTTATGTGTAGCTCCCATCGCGTGCCTGCATTTTGACGTCAACATCCGGGACATCGACCACATGCTTTGTGGAAAGGAACTAGTCTCCATATTTGTACTGGCATATTTTGCTAACCAAAATTGTTGAGTTATGGTCATTCTAAACTTGAAGCAGTCGGTAAGTTCTATTGTGTTTCGTGTGTATTATAATTTCCCTCGCTAAAGGTATAATTTCTGTTCGTAGAAAACCTGCTTTATTGCTCAACTGGATGTTTACTCGGCTTGACGACTGGAACATTTCTAATATTATGATCAAAATAAAAGTCGTAAACTTACTGGTTGGACACTTCCTTATCTCGCATGCTTCCGTTTCCTGGCCGTTCCCAGGACACTCTCCTCCATACTGTGGGGCGGGGTTGTTGCATTCTCTTGTCCTAACTTTATTTCCAGTTCCACAAGTTGCACTACATACGGACCACTCTTCCCAGTCTCCCCACTTACCAGGAACTTTAAAAAAATTACAATGATTATCGGATTGGATAAGATTTAATGCAATGTCGTGAAAATGATTATGATAATTAACGCTTGTACACAAGCTATAATCAGAAAAAAAAGAGGCGCATATGACACATCTTCATGCTAAAAAAATGAGGTTTCCTGACACTTGGTGCGCAAAGAAGGTACACCCAGTAAACCACGACGGAGGCGGGAAAGAGAACCAGTATGATCCGAGACGGGATGCTTTGGCGAAACGTTTCAAGGGCTTGGTAACTGCCTTTTGACGAAGAAAACGACGCAATTTTAAAATCTCATTTCCGCTAACTGCACAAGGACTTGTAGCAGCCTTATGAAACTATCACTTAAACCTGAAAAAAAGTTGTAAATGAGTTACATGACATTTGCCCATGATGTACTTCACATATGTACCTGGACAAGGGGTCTCGCAATCAAAGGCAGTCTCAGTTGGTTCCCCAGGACATTCTTCCCCACCCCTCTGAGGGGAAGGATTGTTACAGCTTCTTTTTCGTGTTACTCGGCTTCCACCACATGATTTTGCACAGGGACTCCACTCTGACCAGTCTGACCAATGACCATCCAAAGGGCCAACTAAAGAAGGATTGAAATCATTGTTATTCAAGATAGTCCTTTTGTTTTTGTGATTTTCTTTTTTGGTCTGCAAACCTAACACTCTCGCAAACAGCAGCGTCGAAAAAAAAAACTTCTGAAGCCAAAATATCAATGATAGCTTTTTGTGAGCCTGAAGTTTCCTGTTACCTTCACAAGGTTGGTTACAATCTGTCTTGGTTTCTTGAGCGTCTTTTGCTTCACAGGGCTTCCCGCCATTCGAAGGGGCAGGGTTATCACATTTTCTTACTCGTGTTACTGTGGCACCTCCACATGTCTTGCTACAGGCGGACCACTCTCCCCAGGCACCCCAACCGCCATCAACTGTAATCATGGATATGTCAATACAGATAAACGAAATGACCGTTATAATAGGAATGGACATATGGAGTAATCCTTTTTGATATCAAAGAAAATAACAATGGAGTTTGATAAGTTATCTGGCAGAGCATTAAATATATATATATATATATATATATATATATATAAATACATAAAGAGTGGTGGACATTAAGCAAACAAACTGAAGCTTTAGCGGATCACTTCTTCACTTCTAGGTTAGAAAATTTTGTCTTCTTTGAGCCATCCGAGTGTTTCATTCTCCACAAGTTAAAGAAATTTTATTCCTAAAGGTTTACTTATTTAGCACAATACAAATTTATTCGTGGATAGCAAAGCCAAAGTGGAAGAAAGTTGATTTAATTTCCGACATACTTGGACAGCTTCCTTCTTCAATTGAATCTCCAGGACAAGCTTTTCCTCCCCCAGTGGGGTGGGGGTTTGTACACGATCTTGTTCTAACTTTCTTGTTTCCTCCACATAAACCTGAACCACAACCACTCCACTGACTCCAGGGAGACCAGTTTCCATCCACTATAATAAAATTTATCCAAAATAATGAGAAAAAAAATCAGAGGTGAAATATGCAACAAGATCTAGGGAAATGCACGATAACTTCCATACGAATAATATTCACGATGTTGGCTTTTTCCGCCTGGAATGAAAATGAAACACGTCACTTACCATGTTTCTCGGGAGTGAGATACTTTTGAAGATCGTTTTTGTCTTTCCCTATCCAACAGTTACAGTTGAAAATAAATGACGGTCCATCAGTCCTATCTTCCACAGTGACAATGACCTTAAATCAAAACCGAAGACTAAACAATGTTGAATAAAAAAATGACCACCTTCAAACTATTTTGTCAACAATCTTTGAATATGATATATAATTTTTAGCCAGTATTGTAATGTAAATAATCATGTAATTCAGCTTTATTAGGCTGCCATGTGATTTTTAATAAAGCTATCTATCTATCTATCTATGTGTTAATCCTCAACATCCTGCAGGAACCTTGTTGTCATTGGTGTTAATCTTATTGTTTCGTTGTTGTCCTCCTGATTAAGACAACGAAGCCTTAACTTTAGGTTTTGCATCACTTACAAGGAAATTTCCTATGCCGTAGAAAACTTATCATGTCCAGGATTGAACGTAAATATTTTTTTGCGCACATTTTATTTAAAAGCTATTCACCGAGGTGTTGGTGGCTGGTGGTATATTTCTTTGGGCATTGGTAAGTACCGACACTGAAGTTAATTTGTTAATTAAGTTATAATAAATTAAATTTATAATAATTAAGTTATAATAAAACAGGGAGATATTAGAACTCAAAAATACGATTTTAACCTATTTGTTCCGGCAACGATGACAATATTTCCGGCTAAGTCTCTGCCATTGTTACAGAACTTACTTTCTCCAAGTACCAGTCTGTGGAGAAGATACCCTTCGTATCCTTTCTTATGCTGATTCTGACCGGTCTACCAACGTCGGCCGAGTAGACATTAAACTGTCTGGTACTGAAGAGAGAAATTTGTTTGAAAAAGTACAGATTTACAAAGCTAGGGATCGAATTCAAGAGAGCAAGGACGTTTACAGTCGCTGTGCAACCGCTTCTTAAATTATAAATTTGTTTTCACCCTAAGCGTTACCTTCCTCTGGAAAAATCCTCTCCAAGTAATTCTTCTCCATGAGCTCCTTTTTCCCCAATTAGTTTGAAAAACACACGAGATGGAGTTCCGGAAAATGATTCAGGTCCAGTCTTGACGTCCACGAAATACAACGTACCTGAGAAGAAAGACAACATAAGTAAAGTCTGTACTATAGCCAAGTGATAAACCCATCCAGAGCTTATCCGGTTTTCATTAACATGAAGCAAGTAGGAGTATCACTACCCCCTCCCCTCCCCCTTCCTGGTTGGAATGCTAGTTTACAGAAAAAATGGAGAAGCCTAAATTCACCTCAGAAAAGAACAGAGGAACAGCCCAACTCCCGCAAAACGGAACAATGGCACAGGGAGGGGAAGGTTGAGGAGGGTGGGTTAGTAGAGAGAGAGGAGTGGGAAAGCAAGGAGAGAAGGGCTTCTTAGTGCGCATGTCTTTAAAATCTTGCGGAGAATAAATACTGCGATCGTTCTTACAAGTATACGGGCATTACTTACTGTCTGTTGGAAATTCACATTTTTCCATCAGGGCCTGGACCTCAGTATGCATTAGGGCGGAAGTAAAGATTTGAAACTCGTCCATAGATCCATCCAAGAAACCTAGTGGATTTCCGCTGAACTTTGCAATTTCTACGGATGTACTCCAACCCACAAAGGATAGTTTCACAATATCTTTCGTCGTTGTTACAATCTTTTCACCATTTACAAACATCTTTACTTTTCCTAAGGCAGCATTGTAAACCGCAGTTATATGAGTCCACATTCCTAAGAAGTAAAATCGAAGCAAAGATTAAAGTCAATCTGTGCTCGGGAAAAAGAATCATTACAATAATCAGAGACCTCCAAGTGTTACCAAATTGGACCGGTCATATTGATCACCTGGGGGGAGGGGTCGGTGGACCTTTTTTTGTGTCACAATGAAATTTTACTGATCCGCCCATACGGCTCTGTAATTATGTTATAATCTCCTCCTCTTTGGCAGTTCATCGGCAATCAATTCCCTATACTCCTCAATACTCTGTTGGCGACGACTAATTCAATTCCACTTTGTTGCCCCAAATCCCCCCCCCCCCTCTCATACGATGAATAAAGACTTAAGACTAGTCTTTAAGTTCAAGTGATTTTATCATATGTGAGGTTCATTTTCTCATTACCCTCTGATAGGTTGTGGTTGAATGAACATATATATATATATATATATATTCTTGTTTTGTTTTGTTTTTTTTTTAGTTACTTAAATCTCAGCTACCCTTTCTCTTATCTCCAAACAAAATATTCTATGTTCTTGAGTAGGCTTGCGACCTTAAATAAACTTGAACATTCATTCTTTGTGTTGTTATCATTATAAGAGGATTTCACGTCTTAACGAGATATTTTAGTTTTCCCCCGAGTAACAATCCCAATTTCTTTGCGTGATACTCAATTTGTGTTTACAAATCTACTTAAGAAAGATTTAAGCTATACAGAGAAAATACCAGGCTTTATGGCCGTTGCAACACATATCTAACACAGGTGTTCACTGACGGGCATGCGCAAGGGGATAAATGCAGGTTGCGTGTCAATTTACCGCGAAAATTTTCACAAGAAAGCAGCTGTGTTGGAAAATAATTAAGCGAAATGAAATTAAAACTTTCATAGAAAGTATGTAAAAAGGAACAAAACTAGGGAAAGGGAAAGATGAGACGTTCCTGACACAAAGCTTAATCAAGTTTGGTCAATTCTGACCGCCTAAAAGTACGGCATATAGTCATTACAAAGTTCGCGCATACGCAGACGTTTGACCGCCGTGTTTACAAATCTAGCTAGGCTCACTGACCTGAAGGTATAGCAGGCTCAGACATGACATGAAACACAACCTTCCCATCAGGCTTCTTGTACAACCAGTTGACAACTGCATTTGGGGCCGCATTTGGTTTGATACTCAGATAATGGGTTCCCCTGTCTCCAGCACAACCATAAATTGTATTTTCACGCTGGTTATCTACAACACGCACCCACAAGGAAATTGACATCGCATCCTTCTTCTCTTCGTTAAGTTTGTTTCCATCCAACTCGATGTGTCCTTGCCCTCCTTCAAATCGGATACTCATTTTGCACTTAGGGCTGTCCATAGTCTGCGCGTATTGACCCACGAGTTTACCGTTGTTAGCTTTTGGAGAATCGTCAATAACGAGCTTGTCTTTGATTTGATCGAACGTGAAATGAACTACAAGTCCACCGGAAGTCGACCCTGAACATAATTAATGTGACTGTTAATTACTGTAATTAGGCTATGATTTTTTTTCAGTATTGATACTAACAATTTTACGTGAAGCGAGAAAAGATCAAGTGAGGAGTGACCTCAAAAGACTCGCAAACCGCAAATACAAGCAAAAAAATCCTCACCAAAATTAGTATTTTCTTAGTTATTAGAGTAGGGAAATTTAGTGAAATCTTCTTTACATACTTTGTCTTGTTTTGAAAGCGGCTATCAGTTATTCTTTCAAATCCCGTTTATGATTAGCGAAAAATGTTTTTTTAAAAAGTCAAAGCCACCATAATCTTAATGTTACTAAAGTAATTAAGCCATGGTCTCTTCATTCATTTGCAACTTTTAATGTTTTGATTCGCAGGAACCCCTGGTCTTTTCGGAAGCCCTTCAGGATTCCTAAATCCTGACTGTATTTCCGTACCGTATTTACCCGTGTATAATGCGCGCCTGTGTATAATACGCACACTAATTTTTGACCTCTTTTTTCCGAAAAAAAAGATTTCATGACAAATACCAAGAATTAAAACTTCCATTTTTTCACTTAATTAACAAGAGCTGGGAATTCATCAATAATTTTTAAATTAACTAGTTGCTACTACAAATATCGAACGCACCGAGCACCTTTTACAAGGTAACAGTCAAACGTTTTATAAATGTTGTAACTTGAAGTCCTTACTAATATACCTACATTCACAACTTGAATTATTATCATAACAGCCGTTCATAAACATTATTTCTACTCACAGTACGGCTGGTAGCTTGAATATAATTACTAATTTATTTAAATTAACTAGTAAGGGACTTTGGTGTATTTTCGAGGTGGTCAACAATTGTTTCATTGTACCTATTCGCAACATAAAACCTCTCCTCTTCCATCAATTTCTTCACTTTCAGTTTTGCCTGAGAACTGCCTGTTTTGCCTGACATATCGATCCAAGCTACAGCACACTAATATAATTACTGGGCCGATGCATCTAATTACCTATGTGTAATTATAAGGTGTTAAATTCCGTTTATCAGCCAATTTGCGCCAATTTAAAATAATCACACGCTTCTGCACATTATGTAGGAACAAAGCAGCTTAGCTTATCGATAAAGTACAATGGCTACGAAATATTACCTTTTTTTTTAGAGCCAAAAAGTCCTCTTACAACGCTGTGTACACCAGAATTCACATCATTTGTGTCATTTCCGAGCAGATCCGCGGTCCTGTTTTGAACTTCTGCAACTTCAAGTAAATCGTGCAGTTTAATAATTGAGTTATTAACTTATTTTAATTACTAGCGATTAAATTCAAATTTGTAAACAAAAAGAGGAACACATCGATTGACAGACAGAGAGTCAGACAACAGATTAACTGACGGGCACACATAGTTAAACAAACAATCCAAACCAAAGTTAAAGACAGGGAAGCGAACAAGCAAAAGCGAACTAACAACACAAGCTTGCAAAATTATGAGAATTCTTGGTCAATGAATTACAAATGTCTATGGCTGAGTAAATGTAGAGAGTAAAGGTTACTTTACCGTCGGAAATGTTCAAAACCTTGGGCAAAGAATTATGATCCTCAATGCTTGGCACGTGTTGCTGGTAATGCTGAGGGAATCTTGGTTGTGGTACGTTCCACTGTTGATGTATCCTGACTTCTGGATTGTTGAACATGTTCCCATAATACATCTGCTGTGGTGGGGGGCGTGGCTGTTCTGCTGGCTCAAAAAGCTCATTCAAGTAGAAAGGCCTTGGACCTTGAGGGTCACCGTTATAGGGAGGTTGCGAATATACTAGAAAAAAAAGGAAATGAAAGTATAATTATGTCACGAGCAATTCGCAAACTAATTTTTTAGATCAATCAAGCAAACAGCATAAACTTATTTTACCAGAAATACTTATAATTGTACGAACACTACTTACCATGGGGAGGTATAAGAATATAACATTAGTAATATTACTTACAATTTTAACATTCTTTATGGTTACAATGCCATTCGCCTTTCATTAGATAGATTTTTATTCCTGTTACGACCATCATTTTTACCAACTTACTTATTTATTACTTACACATATATTACAATTTTTACGCAAATATTTTCTAGTTTCCAAGCACTCTGCTGAGCAGTATCTGCGCATTCCCCCTTGGTTTAGTGAGGTACAGTAAGAGTCTCACCTCGCGACTAATTTGGCAAAAATATCCATTGGTGCTTCGGTCTAAGGCATACGAGGGATGGGAGGGGGGAACTGTTTCCTGAGTCTTCGCCTTATTGCACTACTCATAAGGTATCCTTTCTCTGAACACTTACCACTACGCCATAGAATTGCGAACAGTAATGTCAACCATAATAGTCTCCGGTTCATCATCATCCTTTGTCTCAAGAGACGGTACGTGTACGTTAACCTTCTAGTTTCTAGAAAGGGAAAGGAAAAAAATATATTCATGAACTGTGGACACTCCTTTCCACAAATACCACCTTTAAAAATCAGAAATAGATATCATGAAGTTATGGTGAACTTTTGAGAGACAAAAAAAAAATTAAATTTGCCTCGGAGCGTTGTGACATTTGGTGCAAATCGATTCAAACCCTTCCTGAACTCCTTCCCATTCTTCCCTCTTCCACTCCATTACCCATGATCGGCACCGTTATATTAATAAATGTGCGAAATGTCCTCTTTCGCGCTATTGATTCCTGCCAATAAGAAAAGAAATCACAACGAAACAAAAGGCAGACGAGCCAGTCCAAACCTTACACAGGGATTTATGATTAGTGGAACAAATACAGACCTCTGCATATTCGTAAGTTAGATTTAACCAGAGGAAAAACATTGAAAAAAAAAATCACATAACGTTTCAAACCTTTCCGGATTAGCAACAACGAAGGTGTCACGTTTTTCACTTAGAGCCAAACATACTTTGTTAAAAGTGAAGTGTGCTTTTTACATTTTACTGCTCTGTTAACAGGTTAATCCGCTTTTTTTTAACAGGTCGATGGCAAAGGCCGTTAAGAAACGGGTATCCTATTTTTCCTTAGACAAAGGGTAGGAATAATACCTAGTTTTATCTTTTTAGCGGTAAAAGAGTGAATTTTTATTGTCTCAATAGCATGTTAACAACTAATAACCTTAAAGTTCACAGTTTGCCTCGAGCTTCGTTCTGGAAAAAATGTTCGTCTCTCGGAAAATGTCCACGATCTAATATCCGTGCATATTTTCGCGCCAAAAGGAGGCTACTGTGGTAATTATCCTTCAAATATTTTGCAAAACACGGGAAAAAATATTCGTGAACCCCTTACTATTTGCTGCGTGGGATTTTTACTTTTCAATGTTCTCTGCAACAACTTTACGAACTAACAATGGAGTCCTTTTTTCTGTAACAACAGCAAAACGCTGACAATATCATCCCTGTATGAAACATTAAGGTCACAATAAAGGAAATGATCGCCAACCAAAGAAATTCTAGATTGTTGAACAAATTCTTCTTGTCAGCACCCTGAGAAATGTATAGAGAACAGTATGGAGAACATGCATAAAAATAATAATTGCAAAATTTTTTTTCTCATCAAGACTTCATCATTTCACTTAGATAGAGTGTTACCTTAGCAACATCGAAGCCTCCTAAAATCACCTTCAACTATTTGTTTTTCATCTTACAGAGGGAAACGAACCGACTATTGCGATGACTTCGTTTCATGATGACTAGTGTTTGAAAACGACGAAACTGTTTTGGCCCATTTGGTACTCTCCATATACTAACCCAAGTTTTCATTGTCTCGATTATCCAACGCTATAAGCGCGCGGAGGTCAACTTTTTGAAAAGGCTGCCATTCCTGACGTTGCTTGTTCCTTGTTGGATTACGAGGTAACTCGAGCCATAGAAACGTATTTTAATTCTGGTCCTGCCTAAGATACTATTCGCTGGAATTAAGCCACACAGATATCAGGAGACATTTTGATGGTCTTACTTTCAATTTTTCAAGTTTTGTTTCCAAAGCTATTAGAGAGCTAAACACTCGCAACCCAGTGACAAAGAAACTGGATTTGCTTTTAAGCTAGGTAGAAATGGCTTATATACTACATAGAAACTTCAAGGTGTATAAGAACCACAACTTCAAGGTGTATAAGAACCACAACTTCAAGGAAATCTTTCAAGTGTTGACGCAGATTATATAAAATTAAATTTTGAGTCCATTTTCCAGTTTAGACGAAATAGAGAGTTCAGAGAAAAATTTCGACCAAAACCATCGAGCTTAACATTATTTACATCCCATCAGACATTGTCAAACAAAATTTGATTGCTGTTTGCAAATATTTGCCTAGTGAAATACTTATTTTAATTGGATTTCAATCGCGCGTAATGACTAAACCAACACATGGATAAGATCAGATCTATCATTCATTCGAATTAATTTATCATCAAACTCACCTTTCAGAGGTTTGGAATCTCGCCTTGATTATTTTAGATGTCTTCCACCAACATTTGAGTTTATTAAGAAGAATTTGAAAAAGGTTTTTACAGCTATGATATGGCCACGTTGAATTATTGATCGCTCCTTTGTCTAGCAGGTTTTGTAATTGTCTTAAATCATTATGGCGAAAAGGTTCTCGCATTTGAACATTTAAAACAACAGCTACTTGCAAAAAGATAAGGACAAATGCAAACATCATTTTAAAACGAAAATAAAATGGTAAAAGGTGTGTTAAATCTTTCTTTCCTCACACCTGAGTTTTCGTGACGGTGTAAAAATATGACAAAGAATCTTTTGGTCTTTGATAGAAACCTTAGGATGCCTCGGGTAGCACTCTGTGTTATGTGTGAAAACCTGTTATCCTAATCATTGACTGAGACCTCTGAGTCGTGAGAAGACTGGCGTAAAAACTCCGCGAGAAGTTACGAAATTATTTTGAAATTGTCATTCAAGTCTAGTGTAGAACATTTTAGATTCGCTGGGAAACCTTCTTTACATTGCAAAAAATCAAACTCTTCGTTATCACCAAACTGGTGCCTAATTAACTCTAATCTTCTTTCCCCTGGCATTCTGGTGTGCTTGGGACAACTGGAAGTTATAAAAGCGGAAATATTTCGACCTTTTAGTTCTGGTTCACCACCCTCACCGGGAGAGGAGGGATGTTTCTCCCCCCCTTCCCCCAGTCTGGATATATAATTTTTTTTGCACTCTTAGCACACTTCTGTTTTCCGTGAAGTGCGAGTAGAATTTCACTATGTTTTATTCTGCTAAATAGGGTCTGCTACCGCTTTGATATTGTTTCTCATCATTGCAGGTGCTTACATTTATTCATCCATATATTGCTTCATTCACTGAATATTTCTTTATCTTTTATTAAATCTATTACCTTTATACACACTAACTGAAGGAGTGTGGCCGGGAAGACCCACCTCCTTCACCACCACATTGTTGTTAGAAATAAATACGTACCTCCTACTCACGTTTATAAAATGACTAAGATTCTACGAGCGTTCGGATTGGTCACAAAACTTTCGTTTATTGCACCGATTAACCCATAGAACATTGAAGTTTATCTTATGAAACATTTTACCGCAATTTCTATCGGTTTAGAGGGGGGAATGTTTCTCTCCCCATTCCCCTTCCCCGGGGGAAGACGCGAGAAAGGTGTTCTCCCAATATCTAACGTAGGATAACGCCGGTAAACTGCTAGAAAGTGCGATATATTCCTTGAGTAAAAGTACCCCAGTTACACCTCAACTTGATCACACAAGCGCATGATTAAAAAATGTTAATAAATATCTTCCTTTTTTAATTTTTATTTTGACTTGTATAGCTGTCATGCATGCTGTGAGGTAATTGGATTAACTGCAAATTTAAAGTTTGCCTGTTATGCTTACGCTAAAGAAATTAGGATCAAGTGGAAATTTTTCGTCTAACAGCTTATCATGTTGATCTTGCCTTCCCACTTTGAAAAAGTTTTTATTTCAAGTGCAGTTTACAAAAGTGTTTGCATCTATGTGGGTAAATGGTTTGGTCTTGCTGTGCATATCATTTTCATCAGGACAAATTCAATATGCAATGACTAACATTCGTCTATTATTTTTTTTTCAAATACAGCCAACCGTAAGAAGAGGTTTGGATTGCTTTCATAATTTTTGGAAACACGCTGATTTTCTCTATTGGAAGATATCGATCTTTTTTCTCACATTTCACAAACAACTTAACAGTTTCTATGAATATTAACGCGTCTTGCTTAAAAATTCAGAAACTTCCACAACAGTCTACAATAAATTATGCGGTAGCCTGTTAAACGAACCTGAAAATAACCTCCCATTCTTCAATGACTCTCCGATGTAATTATGTTGAATTACTGAATTTTACGACAGCTTTCGTGCTTTATGACATAAAACTATGCTTACTTATGCAAGCAAACTTCATGCGTGGGGTAATCAAGAATTATTTTATAAAACAGACACCAAGAGGTCTTGTAAATATGTGGGGGAACAATGCCATTACGCTAGCAACCAGGGAATTGCGAAATATAAGTCAGAAACAGGTTTTTTGCATTTCTGTTAATATGACTTGTTTTCAATTCTGCTAATATATTTTAGGCTTGATAAATGCAAAACCTATTCGAAATAAACGTCAAATTAACTTGATATATATCGTTGTAAAATGCTTAAGTCCACACAACCTTTAAACATTGCAATGGTTTTCAAGTCACTCTCTCTACTTCTATCTGAAATTGTCTTTGGCCTTTCTTTCTACTTATTTATTCAGTACTAAGCTAATATAAACACTAGACTATCACCTTGATAGGCTAAAAAGTAGGTCAACAAATTGATTTTCTATTGATTCAAACTGCTTCATCTTAAAACCAGCCAAATGTAGAGGTCATGGAGAAGCCAATCCAAGTGAGATATTCTATGAAAAAAATGCTTTCGGATTCCAGTAACTTCAGAAGTTGATATTGTTTATTTCTTGCCTTAGCAGATGCTGATGACACTACTTTGGAGTTTACTCGGATTTGCATGGATGCTCTCGCCATTCATGTGTGTCAAAGGTATTTCTACTGGACCAAAATTTATTTTTTATTCCAAAATATTTGGATAAGATCATAGACATCTGGATTGAAACTAAATTCATCGGGATATAGCCGTAATTAAAGTCGAGAAATCTTAGTTTAAGTATGGGATATAAATCAAATTCTCTGATCTACAAGAAAACGAGGGAAGTTAAGGAAGACGAATGAAAGAGAGAGCAGGTGAAAGTCGATGTTGGACGAATTGTGATCAAGAGAAAACTGAAATTTTCAGATGCTCAAGATATTATTTTTTTAAAAGCTTTCATCAGTTATGGTAGCTAAATCTCACTTTCTATAGAAATATGAAAACGCAACACGCACTTGAAGAGCTATTTATATACATCACCTGCCCTGCATCTGCACCGAAAGTAGCTACGCTGAAAATGCGCTAAAAAATCGATTAGAAACTGCTAGTTCTTCAAATTTTATTCCACTCGGCTATGCAAAAGACTCAGAAACGAATCCTTTCGATGAAAACAAAGAACAGAAAAAAAAACTTTTCAACGGAGCTCTTGCGTTTAAAATTCAAAGCTTGCCAATCGCGCGTAAGCCGAGTCCATACATACTGATGTATGAATGCATGATATCACGTATCAAAATGGCACTTAAATTGTTAGAAGTGATTCCATGTGATTTCAAAGGATGTGTAGGTCATTTAAAACAATGAACGATCAGAATTGCATACCATATGGATCGCAGATAAGGTATATACCGAGACGATAACTCCGTCGTTGTTTTTGCCCCCGTACGATAACTCCCAGTCGTTGTTTTTTAAAGAAAAGACACGCGCGCGAGGACTTTTAGGATCGGTCTTTGACACGAGATTTGTCCTAGTATAGCTGGAGAAGAGAGAATGTAGGCCCTCTTAAGGTATAATTTTGTGTTTAATTGAGTGGTAGGTTCCAGCTGAGCTCTTTAATCTTTACAAAGTCCACCGGTCTAAAAATTTGGTTAATGAAAATCAGCACCAAATTGACTAAACGGAACTTTGTTAATTTGTTTGCTTATCTGCAAATTTTTTACTTAGATGGAAACATATTCATCGATCACATTTGATCTGTTAGAAATTGGGATCAGTTCAGAAAATAAGTCGGCTCTATCTGAACCTTTAAGAATTCAGGTACGAAATGTCCTTTGGAGCAAATTTCGTGAAACTCATGATTGGTAATTTCCTCTTAAATTGGATTGATGCGAGAATCGGGCCCATATGGAAAGTGGGCGGAATGGATAAATTTGCTTGCAAGATCTTCACTTCCTCTTTCTTTTCCAGGTAATCCTTGCGAAGGAACTTACAAGTTTTTGAATGAAAGTGATCGTTCAAGGCAAACAAATTTAAATAAGTGTGATGCCACTGACTTAGACGGAAAGTGGGGCTGGTTCCGAGTTTCTGGAGAAGCAGGGAATGCCCTGGCGTCCAGTCTCCCTCCCTGGGGTACTTGTAATGCAGGCTCTCGAGCTTACCTTGTAGATGATCATCCGTCATACGCCGTCGGCGAACTTAACCTTACGCTCTGTGTGGCTACAGAAAATAACAATTGCTTTTCTAGAAAGAGCCTTGCTGTAATGAACTGCGGCGAATTCTATTTATACGATCTGTTTATGATAAGGAGCTGCGGCAGCAAAAGATGGCGTTACTGTACAAATGGTATTGGTAAGTTGTGCTGCCCTGTGTACTGGGTGAGATAGAATTTAGTTTAGCTAACACGCTTTAGTAACAGATTTAAATTTTTGGTATTTGTATATTCCTTTCTCATTTTCAATTCTTCCTCTTCGGCTTGCTGTTTTGCTCACTTTTTTGACTAAGTCGTCCAGAAAGTTCTTGCTTGTGTCATCCCGCTTACTACGCATGGTTCAAGTTTCATGACGTTTCACGAAGTGTTATTGCTATACACACCACGAAGCTACAGCTAGTTGATACCTTTTTTACGGCTTTTAAAGTTTACATTGTTCGTTTGAATATGCTGGAATTGCTTCATCTTTAAGGATTCCTGCACCTTACAATTTGTGGAGAGAAAGGACACTTGATAAACCGCTTTTTCTTTCTGTTTTGTTTTTGGTTTGTTTTTTCTTTGAGACGTGGGGACTTATTTGTATCGGTGCTTGAACGACCTTGTTTCAGTCATAAACGGCAAAAATAATAACCAGTTAATCATAACTGTCTCACGATGTAAACTGGACACAGTTCATGAACTTTCTTGCGGCCATTTCTGGTCGACGATTATTTGCCCTAACGTGAAGCGAAAATGATATGTTTCGCTAGGCTTTTACGAGATATCTCTATGGGAAAAAATGTACATTTCGCCATAGGTTTGGGACTTATCTAGTTATGTATCGTTCCCATTGAAATATAGTCCAAACTACGTTAATAATTCGCGATGATTTGCCCGTTGTTGTATGTCTTTCAGAGATGCTTGCAAGAAATTGTCGAGCTTAGGAAATCGCATACAATCACAACTTGAAAAAAGAAAAAAAAATCATCTTCTTTTTCAGCGGACGATAAATGCTCTTGGGATAAATGTCCGAACGGGAAACTGTGCGTTTTGAAGAATAATGGAATGCAATCTGAATGTGTGGATGGTAAAATCTATGACTACTTCGACTCAAATTAAGTCCATCATGTTATATATATGTGTTATTAATTGAGCGTGAGGGTACTATGGCTATATTAGCCGAGTTCTGTTATATTTTTGAAAGGGGAGATTCTGTCATTCATTAAAAGCTGCGACTTATTTTTCTTGATCCAACCCGACGTGGTGCACTGATTGGGTAACGATAGAGACCTCTTTCAAATTTAAAGCAACATTTGGGTTTGTCATGTTTATGACAGTTAGTTCTAAATTTTTGTTAGATAGTTACATCACAAGTCTAACTTAGTATTAGAGTAATGTTCTGTGGAATTAGAGTAATGTTCTGTGGAATTAGAGTAATGTTCTGTGGAATTAGAGTAATTTTCTGTGGAATGTTCAAGTTTGTGGACTGTTTCATCTAGGTATCACATTCACTACAATTGACCTACCCATTTATAATGACTTTAAAATGTTTTATTACAGCCCCTCCGCCAGGGCCTCAGCCTCCGATGATGCCTCCCTCAGAGGATCCATGCTCACCCAATCCTTGTTCGAATGGTGGTACCTGCAACAACGACTCCAATCCTTATACCTGCAGTTGTATGTTTGGATACTCTGGCGACAACTGTGATGTAAACAGCTATGAGGGTAAAAACCTTAAGGTTGATATGCATTAAAAAAAGTTTCCAATAGCAAACATTCAAAATATTTATACATAAATAACCTGATAAAATTTTTCCTGTTAGGTTCTTTTGAAAACTTAGGGCTTATGACTATCAGCTTTCCCCTCCCCCCTCCCCTCCCCTCCCCTTAATAAGACTAAAATTACAGGAATCATGTGTGGACTATTATTAACGGAACATAGTGAATATAAAAAAGACAAATAACGATAATAATAATGATCAGAAACACTGAGCACATTCTAAAAAACAAACGAAAAACACAGAAAATTGTGACTACTTGAGGAGAAAAAAAGAGAGACAGTAGGGGCATTTGTTCTCTTAAATCTTATGGCAAACCATCCAGTATCTTTTACATGTCACTGCTTCTATATGCCATTTATTTATTCATCTATTTATTGAAAGAGTTCTACTTTGATTTGTCATTAGTTCCTATAGTTATGTTTAATGAGAAGTTCCGATTTATGATTTTGCGCTTTCGAGATTACTTTGGATTTGTTGTTACATCTTGTACAGCTACTTGCGTGGCTTGGCCTGTTTGCTCATATTTTAGTATCTGACTTTTTGAAAAATAATTTAGACTGTGCTAGTGCCTTGGGCATGCAGAGTGGCGCAATCCCAAATATCAGTGTAACTGCAAGTTCGACTTGGAATTCTTACACCAGAGCAAGCTTGGCCAGGCTGAACCTAACAGGGCAAGGGAACTACAGCGGAGGTTGGGTCGCTGGTGTCTTATCTGTCGTTGAGCATTTGCAAATTGTTTTCGATACAACCGACACTGTTCTGACAGCTATAGCGACACAAGGGAGAGAAGACGCTGATCAGTGGGTCAAAAAATACTATTTAAAATACAAGAATTCGAATTGGCGCAACTACAAAGACAAACAAGGGGAATTTTTATAAGGTGAGTATGATATATACAAGCTTTGAGCGATACAACTCTTTAAAGTGGCAGAAGCTTGGTAACACTTCTATAAGAAGTCACATTTTTTTGCGAATCGTCTAGAAGGTTGAAACAAACTTAAATTTGAGCGAATAATTTATTACCCATTCTTCAAACGAAGACTTCAATGTTGATGCAAAGACTTGACTCAGGAATTAAAGAGAATAGTTGATTGCTGATGTAAAAACTTAAACGTTGATCTTTTTAGGTGTGTTTGAACTCTAATTGATGGCAATAAGGAACGAATTTGAATGAAAAGAAAGGTTTTTGTATCTAAAAGTGAAGACAATGTTTAAAAAAAAATTTCATTGTTGAAATTAACACTTGAGGGTTTAAAACCAACAATAACTGATAATAAAACTTGAATGTTGAAAAACGCGCAGCCAGTATTTTGTATATGTTTAAAAAGGAAACTTGAATGTTAGAAATAACTTGAATTTGTTCACGGGGAAATTAATATTCGTAACACTTGAATGTTGCATATTGTTTAATAACTTGACTGCTGAAATTGGACTTCAAAATGGCAGAAATTTGTACAATTCAAAAGAAAACTTGAATATTGAAAAAATAACATTTTTAGCGGTGGACTATAACTTTTTATCGTGTTTCATAGGAATCTTTTATAATTTTCATTTTTTTTATGATTATAGCTTTATATATTATTACTATCATCAACATCATCTTTACAGTTTACAATAAAAAACAAAAATTTGTTGTTAGCTAACCTAGTAAAGCTCCCGTACAGGCCTAAAAAATTTTCAGGCTTTATTCAATGTTCATTAATGGGAAGATCACTCACATAATATTCATTGAGTAGTGGGGGTAGTAGTAGTAGTAGTAGTAGTAGTAGTAGAAGTAGTAGTATTATTAAAAGTAATAGTAGTAGTTGTTGTAGTAGAAGAAGTAGTGAGTGTAATAATAGCAGAAGTAGTAGCAGTAATAGTACTGTTAAGAAGTGCCACTTCATTGTCTTAAGTGTCAACGTCTTTCACGTATCAATAGTTCTGTTTTCTTTTCTTGTTATATTTTACCAATTTTAGGTGTTCCAAGGAAATACAGATCGTAATGGTATTGTCAGACACGAATTGAGCCCCATTATCAGAGCATCTAAAATTCGCTTTGAAGTGCTGGCGTGGCACAACAATATTGCAATGAGAGTGGAGTTATATGGTTGCAGTGGTAATTAAAGATTCAAGCATTTTTTCTATTTGTCTTCATCAAGAACGATCAACAGTTGCTAGTTTCCAATTCAAACCTGAAGCTTTGGATGAAAGCTACTTGAATGATGCACAACATCTAAACCTTTTTTTAAAATTTATTTTAAGACTAATTATTTAGTATATGATGCACAGCGTGATATGAAATTAAAAAAAAAGAAAGACTCACTGTACTAAAGTCACAAACCTATTAACTTACACACTGACTCACCAACTCTCTTACTCACTAAGTCACTGACACACTAACTCACTGACTCAGTGACCCACTAAATCACTAACTCGCCGACTCACTGACTCACTAACTAACTGACTCACTGACTCCCTAACTCACTGACTCATTGACTCACTGAATCACCGACCGGCGGACTCTTCAACTAACTTACTGACCGACTGACCCACGGACTCACTGACTTACTGACTTCGACTTACTGACCCAGAGAATGATTGAGTGGCTCATAGGCAAATAGAGAGAAAAACCGGCTGATCGATTGACAGAATCTTTGATTATTAGTGACTGACTTACTGAAAAATTCTAGCTGGCTGACTGACAAGCTGACTATGTACCTGCTCCGCCGTGTTCATCATTGACAATATTTCAAATATTCTTGTGCGTTTGTGATAACAACTTTTAAAACTGTTGGTGATTGGTATTTTTTTTTATTTTCATGGCTTACCACTAACGAATTTTATTCATGTTGTACAGATCCCTGTTCGAGCAATCCATGCCTGAATAATGGCACCTGCACCAGTGATCCCAGTGGCTCCTACACTTGTGCATGTCCACCGATGTACACTGATTCTCTGTGTGCCACTTTGGAGGGTAGGGCCGAAGATTTAAGGGTACAATGGAGTAGACAGTACAATTTTCTCAACGTCAATTTAACATAAACTTATAGTAGGAAGTAATAGTAACCCTCTGCAGCCCTTTGGTCTCTTGTTAGATATTTTGATATGTCGAACCGTTTTCTAAGAGTTTTTCACCATTCCTGCCATTGCTAATCCAGGTACCAGGGAGTTGCAATGAATTTTACATACCTCATCTTTTATATACATGCATACACCCATACATACATGCACACATACATTCATGCATACATATAACAACCACACACAATGTCAACACATTTGAGAGGGCAAAAGGAAACTAAACATGTCGATATCATGACAACATTGCAAATTGGTTACTTCTTGTTGAGCTCTCGATGGCTTTAGTTCTCTAGGGAAGATTTAACGTCGGTATTCTTTCGTGTTTGTATGTTATACAGACTTTTGTTTATCAAACCCCTGTCAAAACGGCGGAAACTGCAGTAATACGCAAGATGGCTTCAAGTGTACATGCCTCATGTGGTACACCGGGAACGACTGTAGCACAAAACGTAATTACATTTCTTGTTTACCAATATATCGCTTATAGCAATCATCAGTTGCTCTTTGGCATTACAATGATAAAAGAGTTCTAGCAAGGTTCCTTAATGAATGAACGAACTAACGAGGGGACAGGCAAATGAATAAATTGAACAAACAGGGATAAGTAGATCAGACAGACAGAATGGCAGGTTGAAAGAACCACTGCCTCGCAGTGACTGACCGCCAAACAGATCAGCTTATCAAGATTGATAGCCTAGCAGACCGATAGACTCTGAGGAAGTGCTAACGCTCCAAACTTTAACTTTGAAACTCTTAACGGCGGCCAATTTGCGTTATCAACTCATTTGATAATACCAAATTACCTTGTTAAACTGTATGTCAGACTGACACCCCTACTTTCTGACCAAATGACACACTGACCGACTCACACACTAAAAATGTGACAGACGGACAGACTGACAAAGGAACTGAAGGATAGATCGACTGACTGACAGGTCAACAGACGGTTAGAAATCTCGTACATGAGAATTAATTGTGGGGCACAAAATTTTTGACTTGCTGAGTAATGAGTGTTTCGTTAAAAAAAAGTCATCACCCGACATTTGACAAAAAAACATTTAAAGATCTTTGTAGCTTTTTATGACGTACTTTTACTCTGATATTCAATCAGAACATTTTTTTTCTAACAACAGAGTGTCACGGGCCTCTTGGGATGCAAAGTGGTGCAATACGAGACCATCAGCTTATTGCATCCTCGGAAAAAGACAATTCTTCTAGCGTTCGCTATGCAAGACTGCACTACGAGAACAAAAAGAAGCCAAAGTCATGGGTACCTTTACTGGACCATAGAGATCAATGGTTGCAGGTTAATTTGGGGAACGAGCTGACCTGGGTCACTGGTGTAGCTACCCAAGGAAAACAGGGTAAAAGAGGAGCATGGGTCAAAAATTTCCTGCTGAGGTACTGGGGAGCTGGAGTACGAGCGCAGTTATACAAGGGTCATGGGGATATCCACTCCAAGGTGAGTGAAATAGAGAATAATCCATGGGCGAGGGTATAAAATTGCTCTTCAAGTATTCAATGTTTAAGGATTGCTGTGCTCACCTGTTGAAAAAAATTTGAACACTCGACGAAAAGTCGATACCTACAGGTAACTGTGTATTATTTTGTTTATTATGTAAAAGGACCTTGGATTGATAATGTTGAACGCTTTACCATTCATTCATCAATCTGACAGAGAGGTGCAAAGGGCACACGTGGGCTGTTTCGGCTTTTCTCAGGAATAAGAAACCTTAAAAAAAAAGAACAAAAAAAAAGGGAAATATAAAACAACAACAACAACAACACCCTGAATGTTTTTTATGAAGTCTTAGAAATGCCAGGATTCGCTTAATTCCTTGAGATAAGCTCAGGTGTATTGTCGTGATTTAAAAAAAGTATAAATGGAATGTGGTTAAAACGAAAGGCTCAAAATTGTGTTTAGTTTCTTCAGCTTGCACTTAAGCTTTAATTTTACTAAGTTCATCGTTCATCATCACCGTAACTGTGATAAATATTATTCAATACCTCAGATCCGATGAAGAGGGTTCAGGATATGCTCTAAGATGGAGTGTCCCATCCTCCATCTAAACGGTGGCGAGTGACTGATTCGTCGCTTTTTACAGTTTAAATTTTCTTATCAATCTTTCATTGATTACCTTCTTTCCAATTTCAGTTATTTGTTGCAAATACAGACAGTAGCAGCGTTTCCCGTCATGAACTGGAGCCACCAGTCAGAGCGAGTTTCTTTCGCTTCTATACAAGGCAGTGGCACAATAACATAGCATTGAGGATAGAGCTCTATGGATGTAGAGGTAATAAAGAGTTTTAGATAAAACACAATCAGTATAACATCTGAAAGCAATTAAAAGCAAATTTCGGGTATGAATGGAAAGAATGCATCTTCCAGCGATCTCTCAAAAATACTTGAGTCTGATTGACAACTGTGCCTGCAAGAATAGCCTTAAGCGGTTGAAAACGAATTACAATGAAAATCATGATTCTCTCTTGTTACAAGGTTCTGTATATCCATTTGATTTATACTGAAACAATTATATTATTTGCTCTGGATTTAAACTCACAATCGTCTATTCCGTGGTCGTCAACAATATAACACTGGTGTCGAACGAAATTTCTTTCGTGTAATATTTGATGAGGGCGAGGCCCGAATCAATTTTCATTCATGGAAAAATCGAGATCGCATAATCTTAACGTTTTGGCATGTATTTGGTAGCCATTAAAGCTTGTTATTTAGTTTATAATTGTTCATAGTTAGCCAACTTTACATAACTCGCTATCCATCATGGATGGTGAGCAGAAAAGCGGTACACAAACCTTAGGTACTTGACACAGTCACCGACAATAATAATCTTGTGAATCTTTCTACTGATCAACGCTTTTCTCCCAGACGCACTCTAATCTCTCTCCTCAATTATTTTGCAAACTTTTTAATTATCGTTTGAAATGTCTGTAGATTCTTGTTTATCATATCCCTGTCTGAATGGTGGAACCTGTAACCGTAACTTAATAACCGGAGGTTACACCTGCAGTTGTTCTTCGGGATACAATGGTGATAGATGTGAGATTGGTAAGGGACTTCTCTAGTTTCAATTAAAGCTCGCCATGTTCAGGTTAAATCTAGATAACATCCTCTTTTTCCATCTCATTACAGGCGATGTATGCTCACTTAGTCAGCCATGTTTAAATGGAGGTACCTGTTTGTTCCTTCATCACTGGCCCTACTTCAGATGCAGTTGTTCAGCTGGATACCTGGGCCATAATTGCTGGTATCAAATACGTAAGGAACCTAATTATGTCGTTCTTTAGACCACCAAACAAATACATAGACCAAGAATTTAAGAAACAGATAAAAGATGGAGTAATTATATGATTACATCATTTAACAAACAAAAAAAAAAAACAAGAACACAGATGGAGGAATGAACCAATAAATTTACAGGCTGACAGACAGACTGAAATAACAAAATGAAAGGTTGCCAGAAGGAAGAAAGATGGAAAGGCATCTAAACGGAAGGATATAGTGACCGAAAATGGAGGGTTGAAAGAGACACATAAGGGAAGATTGACAGAATAACAGAAGTATAAATTAGTTGAATTAATGAAAAAATGGCTGAATGAGAGAATTACAGAGTGATGGAGTGATGAAATGAAAACGTGATAGGCTGACAGCATGTCAAAATAAGAGGATGACAGAATGACTCTCTTGACTTATCAGTAAACTAAAACAATATCTGGACTAGCAGAACTAAAACAAATAAAATGGAAGTTTTAAAATGACAACAGATTTCAGATTAAATGTTCTCCTCCTTATTAACAGCTGATCAGTGTTCCCCTAGTCCTTGTTTCAACGGAGGAACTTGTGAATACATCGATGAATGGCCGTATTTTGAGTGTGCATGTCCATCGTCGTACTCAAGTTATAACTGTGGATCTGAGTCAGGTGCTATGGTCACTTATGTTATTAGAGGGCGGGATGATGTGTAAGGAGGTGACGAGCACAAAGCATCGTATTAAAAAAAGTCCAATCGCACAGCATTGAGGCTGTGTATGTTGCAAAACGTAAAGGAACTGAATAAGGGACCTCTTGATTTTATTATAAGGGCAAATAAGATTACAAGTAAAGAGATGAATGCTAATAGATAATGTTATGAAAATAAATTAAACTAAACGCAAAAGAGAACTCAATTGAAAGTACAATCAGTCATTAGGACACTCTTTAAAAGGTGTTTTTTTGGTGGTAGAAGCAGGAATAACGAGATGCATGCGAAGTGCCGCGCAATCATTTTGGCTCGGGTTCGGTTCACGTATCTGTATTTACATAGGGGCTAAGTTTGGTTCAATTGTCATCCATATTCTGGGGGTTTTTCAGAGGTTATTTTAGTTTTCCTCCTTCAACAAAGACAACTTTCCAGATCTTAAATTCACTTGATGCACTAGGTCGGACGTATATCAAGTTTTTCCCTCTGAATTTGACTTTTTTCAGACTTTTTTCATTTTTTTATCTATTCTACAGGTGACCCGTGTTCACCCGAGCCCTGTCTGAATGGAGGAACTTGTACAGCGGAGAGTAACCCGCTGGGTTTTGAATGCAGCTGCCCTTCAGGGTATATTGGATTTAACTGCGGCGTCGAGCAAGGTATAAGAAATGCACCAAAAGTGCAATCAATAATTGTGCCAAAGACTTAGTGATTTCATAAATCCTTTAATTGAAGTCCGTTCATCCGTTTGTTTATACGTAAACTATTCTGCCCATTTCTTTATATATCAACCAGTCATAAAGTTGCATCAATTTATCAAGTTTATTTTCTTCTTTGTAGGCCTTATTTGAGTGAGAACTTAACTATTTAGCAGTCTCTCATGGAAGTCAGAACTATGTATTTATATTGCAAGGTATTGAATATATTTGCATTTTTCTAAGTCAAAGTTCCTCATCAGGTGACCGATGCTCGGACAACCCCTGCAACAATGACGGGATGTGCACAGCGGAGAACAACCTTCTTGGATACAGTTGCAACTGCTCTTCAGAATTTGTCGGTTTTGATTGCTCTCTTCTGAAAGGTGTTATCGTGTTTACCAGAATAATTGATAACTTTACTTTTTAGAAAAAATGAGCATAATATTTACGAAACAACATCATCCCAGGACGTGCCATAGTTTTGAATGCTGGTTCAATATGTGCTTGAAAATCGTAATGATGTGTATTTCATAGAGATGTATGCGTACAGTTTATATCCATAGAATCTCTAAATATTTTATGAGAAAATATTATGTATGAAACGTAACAGAGAATTTTAAAAGACCTTGAGAGTGTTATATTTATGTCGCAAAGAGATTATACTTGTCTGCCATTGTCGCGATTAACAAGTGTACGCAACGAACTCAACTCAAAAGATAGAAATTTCGAATCTCTAGCTTAGGCATCATCATCAAAGATCATTTTTGAGCTGCAGCATGTTTAAAAAGTTTAACAGCTTTGCTTTGGGTATATCTCTCAACAGACGATCCCTGTCTCCCGAATCCATGTAAAAACGATGGTAATTGTACAAGGACAGTTGATCTGAAGGATTTCACGTGCAATTGTACCTCAGAATACATCGGTGATACATGTGGCAATAGGATAGGTAGGAAAGCTTCTAAAAAGTTTAAACGAAAAGTTGTTGTTGTTGTTGTTGTTGTTAAGCTTAATGAACGTAAGAAAGAGGAGAATTCGAGCCTCCTTAGATTAATGGAATTTTAGACCTCGAGATATGGCGTTCTAATACCCAACCGCCGAGATAGTTCAGAATACTCTATATTGAGCTAAGCATTAGTAGCATGGAGTATACTGCTACGATCAGAAATTTTACAAGCGTCTTGAGCGTGGATAGATAGAGGAGGAAAAGGAGTGGTTTGGCTAACCAACGACTTCTCTTTTGCTCAGTGGTTCAGCATCATACCGTGAAATCTTCATTTCTGCGGCCAGCGATATCCCACGGGTCTCCGGTTTACTCTATGCTATACCAAGCACCCATGAGATGAGTAATATACTTTTTATTACCGAGATCAAACGTTTTCGGCGTCAATTTATTTTGGAAGTGGCTGGTCCTTTCATGAAAATGTACTCTTGTCGCATTAAATTAACTTCTTAAATCTTTCTGGCATTTTCAAGTTCACGGCAACTGGAGCGACTGGAATGAATGGCCCAACTGTAACAAGCCCTGTAATGGCGGATCTAAAACAAGAAAACGCAGATGTGATAACCCAGCACCAGCTTTTGGAGGGAAAAACTGCGAAGGTTTACCCACAGAAACGGAGAGCTGTAATTTGGCAAGTTGTCCAGGTTCGGTGTTGCTTGTACGATGTGTAGGTTTACTTTCTATGACTTTAATTCTTCGATCGAGATATTCGGTAACCTTTCAAGGTCCATTTATATGACAAAAAATATTAATGCATCTGCCAATAACTATTTTTTTTCGATTTTCAGCTGAAATGATAAACTACAAACTCAAGTTAAAAAGTAGAGACTGGAACAGCAATCTAGCTAGTGTGGAAACTGAAGATTACATGGACCTTGAAGATACAATTAAGAAAGAGGTCATTTGTGTTACGACAATTTTAGTCTGTTACACGATTTATGTAAGCATAATTGCCAGTGCATTTTACTGACGGGGCGGCACTGATGCCGGTTTTTGGGCAGTCAAATTGTAAAAAAATCTCAAAATTGGTTCATGTGTAACGCGCGTATACAAGGAGTATGGATGCATGAAGGAAGTTTTGAGCACAAGAAAGAAGCGTAAGAATTGCTCGAAGCGCAGCAGGAAATAGGGTTAAGGATGAGAGAATCAGGCCACAGAGTACGGGCTTTGGGATGCGAAATACGAGAATCGAGGCACGGGACTCTGGATGCGGGGTTAGGGATTTGCTAAGGGTTGGAGTTAAGATTTTTCTAGTTTTGATTTTGGCTAAGTTTAGTTCGAGATTAATTTCCTTATTAACGTTTTGCTATTATTGTTTGTTTGTTTGTTTGTTTGTTTGTTTTTTTGTCGTTCTCTCTAGGTAATCAATTTTTATAACAAAAGAGATGAAGATGTTACAGTGGTGGTTTTAGAGTTCAGGTACGTTATGTAAGTTATGTTTAGGATTTATTAGAAACTGACAAGTTTTAGAGAGTACCAGCCTGACTTACTGGTGGAGTGTAACTTATGATAGACTAGCATCCACTTTGTGAGAAGCAAAAATATACCTGCGGTAGTTTCATGCAAGTCATGTATGAGGCTTTAAACCTCACTATTACACGATGAAGCGCACTAAACAATATAACATCATGTTATCAAAGATTTGTATTCGAAAATGATGGCTTTAATTCGTCTTCATTTTCAGACCTGGAAGTGTTATTTCTAGTTTTAACGTTACCTACCCTGGAATAGACTCATTACAGATCGTTTCAATTCAAGAAGAAATAGCGGGAGGTGCATTGGGGGAAACTTCAGCTGAGTTGCTTAATATCACAGCCTCGAATGGTACGTAAGCAAAGTAATTCTCAACTGATGAGTGTAAATAGCATTACGGGATTGCGCTGCTCCATCATTAACTTGAGAAGCTAGTACCCTTCGGGCATTTTGCTAGTTTTGGCTCTGAGCTCACTGCATTGTTCCACTGCGAGACTATATTTTGTTCTAATAAGCCTTCGTAATTTCTTTGGATTTTGACGACTTCCAATCAAGGACGACTCTGATTTGGCCTATAGTTCTTTTCCTCACGCCTTTGGCTTATCGTTGACAAAGATGTAAGATATAAATATTTCTTAAAATGTCTAGAGACGTCAGCTGTAACTACCTCTGAGAGCTGGCGCTTAATATACCGAAGACTTCTGGAAAAAATGAAAAAAATCCAAAATTTTGCAAAATAAGTGTGGCTCATCGATGATTCTTCCTCTTCGCAATTGCGTAGTCTTTAATGAAAATGTCTTGTTAGGTTTCAATTTTTAAGCTGCCAAAGTGTCTTATAACTTATGTTAAAAAGGAGACGCTAAAGACCTTCAAATAATAAAACGACATAGTATATTTACTTCGGCATTGAGTATGTTCCGGGTCCAAGAGGCATTTTAGCCCAAGCCAGTACATAATGGCAAAGATCAACTCTAAGAGCTGAGGGCCTAAAACATAATTAGGCCGCGTAGATCATAAGCTGTATGGCCATTATTATGAGAACTGAAGAAATTAAAAACGAAACAGTCTGAACAATCGTGAGAGCGGGCTAAAATACATTTTAAACCATCAAAATCTCTGCTCAGCACGCATTACGTGATTTGGATAGCTTTGACAGTATTTTTGTTCCGCAGTACCGGGAGCTCCGCTCATCACGGAGGCTACTAGTACCACTTCGACGAGCATTGAGTTGGAATGGACTGCTGTCTTCCAGCCACCTTCTGCTCCACTGCTTGGCTATGTTATAGTGTACAAAGAAATCAATCGAAAATTCCAACCAGATATTATGAAATCATTACCTCCCAATCCCTCAAAAGCAGTGCTTGAGGATTTAAAAAAGTTTACTAACTACACCATCCGGGTGTATGCTTTTACAAGCAGCGGAAATGGAGCGTCTAGTAAGGCAGTCTCTGTCAGCACTCAGGAGGACGGTGAGTCTGAAATATGAGGAGAAAATTTTCAGTTTCTGGGCCAGGCCTCTCGCTAGCACGTCAAATAAATCTATAAAAATCAGCTTAGAGAACTGTGTGTTATATCAAAATGACCCCCCTGTTGATCCTGTACATCTGTTTGTACGACATTTTTTGTAAAACTATGCAAATAAATGGTAGGTTAATTACTGTCGGAGTTGAAAGGGTTGCCAAAGTGAGCTGACTTTGTCTGTGATTTCCTTTTTTTCTCCCACCGTGACAAACACCCCAAATTTCAATTTGATTCGGTAAAAATCGAAGTAAGAGCCACCATATAGGTGTGGCATTGCTGAAATTAAATTATTCAGGTTTGAGGGATCACAACAGTTGCGCTAGAGAGTAGACCATATACAATTCTTTGTCAATTACGTGACATTGTCCCTTGCTTTATCTCATTTGTAATGCGGATGAGTTACGTTTTCTTCAACAAGCTGAATACTTTTCTGTTCTTATAACCTTTCTATATTGAACTTAGTACTACTTTTTTCTCTACCCAGTGCCAAGTGAACCGCCTCCCAATAGCGTCATTAAATCTACAAGTGAGAATTCAATCCGTGTGTCCTGGGAACAAATCAGCCAAGTCCATGTGCATGGAGTACTTCTAGGGTACGAGGTGAGATACGCAATAGATGATGGGTCATCGCCTTGGGTGAGCAAGACACTAGGTGTAGATGAATATGAAATACATTTAAAAGATCTGGAATATTTCACACCATACAAAGTTGTGGTTTGCGCTAGAACATCAAAAGGCTGTGGCGAAGAGTATTCTGACATCGCTTATACGTTTGGAGATGGTGAGTTTATGCACTCTTCTATTCACAGTTAACTCTTTTATTTCCAGGAGTTAAAAAATGTCTCCGTGCAGCATATTTCCATTTAAAGAGTTCATAGGGAGAAGAAACAATATATGGGGGATATTGACTGATTTAACAACAGATTATTAGGGCTGACTTATCAAGAAATATATGGAAGACAGTATAGAGGATTTTTAAAGGCACAGGGTCAAGGATGGCTTATCAAAATTTACAAATGACAATCTTCTTTAATATCTTCACAAGCTTTCTTGATAGAGGATGAAGCAGTCATGAACATAGAAATGTGATGAAGGACGCTTAGCGTAGGTTTTACAGCTGGGCGGAAGAATAACGCGGAAGAATATTGTGATGCATAATATTTTTAAGATTTGAAATTGGTTGAGTGCTTCCGAGCTAGCTAGATTTTCAGGAGAAGTCTGGAATATTTCAGCAGTCTTTCGCTAAGGCTCTGAAATCTTATCAATCAATCTATGGTTTTGTCAGGAGCTTTTTTTCTTATACTTAGTGCCTAGCAAGCCTCCTCAAAGCGTAGCTGCTGAAAGACTGAAAGCTGCAGAATTCATTAAAGTCACCTGGAGTCCTGTGCCTTTTGGTTATGTCGGTGGTCTTCTCATGGGGTATTCCATAAAATATCGAAGAATTGTAACAGCTGAAAAGGAAGTTCTTCCATGGGAGGAGGAAACAGCCATAGCAAAATCAACGGATCTCTTCATATTTTTGAAAGTTCAAACCTACTCAATTTACGAAATTAAAGTGGCGGCGTTCACTCAAAAGGGCGTGGGCCCGTATAGCGATTATGTTTATGGTGGTGAGTTTGATGCGGGAGTGAAATACCAGGAGAAGAGAAAAATGATAGCAGCCTCATTGTAAATTGTTTTCAGAACTTTACTTGAAATTTACTGCCAATTAACTGGCAAGAAAGGGGTTCATAAGCATATTACAGAATCTTATGGGGGGATGAGGTAAATTATATCTTGATACAAAAAAAAATTCTCCAACACCCGCCCCCCCCAGGAGATAAGTAATGCAGACCGCTTCTTTATATGGTGTCGTGATTTGGTTCTCTCGACGACGGAGAGGTGAGTGGGAGGGTAGGACATTAGCATATTGGTGAGTGTTGATTTTTGTCCTTCTGATAAAAAAACAATGGAATTTGTTTTCTTCTTTTTTTCGTCTTTCCTTCTCTTTTAGAAACCTGTCGCTGTCCGAAAATCCTTTACACTAACTACTGGTCAGCTTCTCCATATCTAAGAGTGAACAGACAGAACAAGAAGTTTGGTGGAATATTGAGTAACATTGTCATTGACATGATTCAAGTGGCTTGCGACACCTGTCCCGAATACGGTCGTACTACAGTTAAAACTGACTCAAACGGAAAAGGAAAAGATGCCTTCAAGAAAAGTCTCTTAGGAGTTCTAGCTGACATTGATAATATCCCACAGATAAGTTTCCCGATTTATGGCAACGAATACATCACAAGGTTCATGGGAAGTAATGTCTACATAAACCTTGTGGAGTCTCCAGGACTAGCGTTTATTGCAGTGAAGAGGATGCCTGGAACAGCGGCCCGGAACATGATAAGTGCTGTGTTGGATTGCGCTCCGTTGGTAGTGCTTTCAGGCTGTATGGCGTTCATCGCAGGGTTTATTGTATGGGTTCTGGTGAGTAGATATAACAAGTATTTACCTGTTGGAAAACATGAAATTGGATTTATTTGGTTCATCTCACACAAATTATTTGATAAGAGATTCCTCTAAGCGAGGAAGAAATTCCATCAATATTTGCCACGCTCTAAACAAGCGGCTTTGTACCGAATTAGCATCGAACAGGCGTGGGCTCATTCCCCGTAGAGGCGTAAATCGGTGAAGTGGTGGCAATGTTGTTTAATTTATTTTTTTGAATATAAAACCGTTTTACCTCTCTTTCCCTGAATCGTCCCTCGTTTAAGCCATAAGCCTTATGAAAATAGACATGATTTTCTTTCTTTTCTTCTGTTGAAATCATGTGTCTTTTTTTCTTATTCGACAATTCTTTGAAACGACATTGTCAAGCCTCGTGCAGATCAGATGCGGTAGTTTATTAGAAGTATAAAGAATTCTCTTAAACCTTTTTTTCACGTAATATTTTTAAACAGGACATGAAGCAAAACCCGGATGAATTTCCAGCCTCTTTCAGCAAAGGCGTCGGTGAAGGATTCTGGTGGTCATTTATCTCCATGACAACTGTCGGGTGAGAACAGCACAAAAAATAACTTTTGGTCGCATGAACTTCGTTAAGGACCTTTATCATTTGTTTGTTGCTTTTTTTTTCTTCTTAAAACAGTTATGGAGATCGTTCGCCCCGTTCTGTTCCTGCTCGTATTTTTGGTATCGCATGGACCCTGACTGGTCTAGTTATTATCTCAATTCTGATTGGTACAATTTGTTCAGCGCTCACGTCTTCAACTATATCATATCCCGTTACCCTCTATGGCACAAAGGTGAGTTATTTCGAAGACTTTCACAACACGTTTCTAACTATTCTTTGCGCTTTGGATGGAATCTCACCAGCAAATTTTTCTGCAACAAAATCAATGGATTTGCATAATAATGACAAACAATGCACTGATTATCAAATGGTTAATTAAGTATCGGTGAATAAATGGACTTATTTGTCGATTTAGAACAGACCGACTAATTGATTGGCCAACTGACTGATTGATGGATTAATTGATCGATCGATAGATGGAACTAGTAAATGACTGATTGGTCGTCTCATTGCTTGCTCCTGAAAACTCACGAAAGTGTCTTCAATCTCTTCTTTGATTTTTTAATTAGCAGAGCAATGGATAAAAATTGTATTACTTTGGACGTTTGAGATTTCAGTTTGCTTGGTATATGGATATTTATGTCATTTCAGATTGGAGCCATTCAAAACTCTACAGAGCAACGCGTCGGCACTTTGAAAAACGCAAGAGTAAATGAAGGTAATACTGAATTTTCCTTTTTTTCTGTGATTACTACTATACTTTTCTAACCAAAAGGAAACAATTAATCTGCGTGTAGCCAGCGTGTTTTCCTTGATACATTAATGTGGGAAAGAAAAAGCACTTTTTTGTTAGGCAGGTCCCTTCGTCCAAGATTGAAGGTGTCAAAAAAAATGAAAAAAATGTGTTTTACGAGAAAAAAAATTCTTTTAGGGCAGCTGGCATGACAAGGATAATTTTCAGTCTCTTATCATTCACTGCCACTGCTTAGGTTGTCATTCATTTCTTCTCCGACTTTGTTATTGGGGACGTGATGGCTAACAATCCAATTGATATCATCAATATCAAAATATCAAACAAGTTGATCTTTGATATGCAAGCTTGTGTCGCTGGTTATTTAAACTACCAAGTCTAAGTAAACTTACTTGGAAATGTAAACTTGCAGCAAAAAAAAATGCTATTGGAAATGCGTTTTGCTCAGTAAAGCCGTGAGAAAACTTGTTTATAATCATAAGTCTTAACTAACCTATAACTGAATCACAGATAAGAAATATACCAACTTTGAGGACATCCGTTCAGCGCTGGAGGATGGAAAAGTTGAAGGTGCTCTTTTAGACACATATGTTGCGGCGGAACACAAAGACGAGCTCTTCAACGACAAAATATTCGTCAAAGAGATTCTGGACAGACCATTTGGTTATGGAGTTGTTCTATCAGGAGCAGCAGTAAATGTGGAACAGAGATGTCGCGATTACATCAGCATGCAAATAAGCAAAATAATCCAAATCATCCAGAACACAACAGAGACGCTTGATGTAAGTGTCTCATTTTCTTTAAAAAAACGCTTTTGTTTGAACACATGGAGTATGCAGAGGTTTTTGAGGTACTTTTTGGGTTAGAGGAGAAAACTTCAATTAATTGTCGTAAAAATAAAGCAAAGAAATCACAACGTTCAATCAGATAAAAGGAGAATATCGAAAGAACCAATAAGAACGCACGGTAAAACCAATCAAACTGTCTGAAGGGCAGGAAAACGCGAGCGATCAACTCAGAAAAGCTTGTTTTATTTTCTGAAGCATCAACACCGTGTAGTACTTTGTGTAATGTCAGAAACAATTCATCAGTGCCTGTTTTTCCTAATTACACTTAAAACTTTTCTTGGTTGAATTAGCTTTTTTATTACTTTTATAGAACCTCTTTTTATCTTTTTGAGATTGGAAAGCGCCTTTGAACATTAGGAAATTGGTGCTAAATAGATATCTTTATCCGGAACGAGTTTTAAAGCACTCTTTGCAACTCTATGTTTCTAAGGTAATAATAAGCTTCCAGTATTGATAGACATTACCTGACTGACATTACCGACCACCCTCTATCATTAAAGAAATCGTATAATCTCAAGCTATTCGTGGCACAGTCTACCCACCAAAGGTACATTGCAGACAGCCCTGTGCACTTTGAAAACGCTGTTCGTTCTTTTTTTTACTTTAGCCAGCTTCATCAGATGAGGATGTGGAACAAAGCACGGGCCTGTTTGATGGTTCTTCTGATATGTTCGTTATCGCGATGGCTTCTTTGATTGGAATGTTAGCAGTTGCTGTCATCGTTGGACTTATTTATCATTATAAGATATTTGTTCCTCTGGAAAACAAAGGTAAAGGTATTGCTTTGTTTAATGGAAACCAAATAGGGTGTCTGGTTTGGTTTATTTCAAATGTGAACATAGATTACACATAAAGGCAAATGCTTGGGAAGAATTGCGAGATCGATTTCTCTTGGCCGCAATTTTGGATTGGTGTGACCGAGATGACCTGGGTTGGGTAAAAAAATGTAATCTAGCGAGGCAATTGATAGAAAGACAGACTGGCAGCTGGAAGGAGATGACGAGGTTTGTTTTCCGTCTAATATTTGTCAGCTTATCCTTCCTCTCCCTTTGCAAATCCAAGATGGGAACTATTAGCTACCAGACAACTAACTCGCTCAAAAACGGGAGCAATCGTCGGGAGAATTTGCTACATTTGACTCTTTACTTTTGGAGGCTGAGCTTTTAAAAAAATAGCCTGAGTTTTACGATTTATGGTAGAGCAATCAATCGTGAAATTTTTGTTATTTCAGTTGCAAGACTCAAATCATCTACATCACATTTTGCTTCGAAAGAAGCTTTTGTTGAAGAAATGAGCGAATTCGTGAACTCGTTCTATTCTGAGCTGTTCATCAAGATAAATGCGAGCAAAGAGAAGAACAAACAAGCAATCAAGAAGATCAAAGAAAAACATACAGTTGGAAAGAAACTTGGAGGATCTGCAAAGAGCTCGAAAATTCCTGGCCTGGTGATAAAAAATCCAGTCTATTCAAGCTCGTCGGCTGAAAACTCCTTCGACATGAAAAGAAAACTCATCGGGCCCAGCTCGAAAAAAAGCCTTCCCGATCAGACTCAACAATGGCATTCCCCAAATTCTGCAGCTTTGAATCGTGCTGAAGTATTGTTGAGGTCAAAAAGCTCATCCAATAATCACCGTCAACGTGATATGGGTTGTGAGACAACTTTGCATAACAGTAAAGCGAAGAAAAGTTATACGAAGCCCAGAAAGCTTAATATTGTAAAATAGCTAATGTCTTGCGTGCTGCGAATCGGGGAGAGAGAAGGTAAACCGAGGAACTTTAAAACTAGACATGTTCATAATGGTTATATTACCCAAATGCATTTGCAAAATCATCCCAAAAAATGTTCTTTCGAATTCCCCAAAATGTTACGTTTTGTGAAAAATCCTTTTCGGAATTGCTTTCCCTGTATTTTCCAGCCTACATTACAGACCTCCTTCTTCAAAGTTACAATCTTTTTCCACAATATTTGCTATTTGGCATTTCCTTTTTGATAAGGAAATCACACATTTGAACAGAGACATTTCGTCACTTACTCAATTTGGAGACCATTCACCTTCACTGTCATTTATAAAAACTCTGCAGGAAGTAGAATTTAACTTCGTAGCCACTGATCAGAACAACAAAATATGAATTTTCTTCATATACTCACCCGCTAAAAATTTTGCAGATAAGTTCAATTTCTTTATAAGTTGATTAATAAGTTATTCATTGAAGAATAACTATCGAAATATCTTCTTCGAAGAACGGCAAGGAATTACACCATTTCAGAGTTTAATCTTATTTTGCATATATTTCTCTTTTCATATCATTAGCTTTTATACTTATTTATATTGATGCAGAACTTCTATATTTCCATAGTTTTATTTATTTTGCACTTTGACTTTGTATATTCGGAATATGTTGTTGTAATTTGAATTTTAGATAGAGGGCCACAAGTTTACTAGTTTCTGTAACTATTCCGTGCTACCCTCTTGAAATAAAGTGTATTATATTATATTTAATCTTTGAAATATTGCCTAGTGAATTTCCATACTTTTATCCTTTCAAGGTATACCCCCTGCCCCCTTTACCCCACTCTCCTTACTCTTAGCAGGAAAGTATGTCATTATTAAACAGTCGAACTATATAATTTCGTACCACATCTTAAGGACGCGATAAATTTTAATGGTTTTGTTTCTCGGAGAAGTAAAAGGCAAATATAGAAAAGAAAACAATAACTCTGTTTATTGCCAAGAAAAAATGAAATCTTGGGATAAACCCTGTAAACATTAATGCCTTGTTAAAACTGAAACTTACCATCCTAGTGGAGGCGAATGGTCTCAAAATTGAGGTAAATCATTGGAAAAGAAATTACATCCAAAGTTTCTTCTGTAGAAATAATTCAGCTCTTCAATTTAGATGACCCGAAATCAAGGATTTAAATGGTGTACTACAAATAGTCTCTCCTGCCTTATGTAGCAAAGTCAACCTCAATTAAGGTCTCTGTGGAAACGAGAAACGCTTTTGATTTGCCAATGTTTTGGCATATGCCGGAGTTATGCGACTTAAGTGTGAGTAGAAAAAGGAAGTTGTGTGATGACGTCACTGAGCTATTTCTATTTTTGGAGTTTAAAGAAAAAATAATGAATAAAACTATATGTTAACATCAAAAAATTATGAGATGTTCTTACTTTCCATTGCTGTTTTGCAGAGCACAGCTGGGAAGGTTTTTACATTTCTTTCTTATTCCTGAGCGCAGTCGTTTAAGTTTGCGAATAATCTTAAGGAGCAGACTAGAAGATATGATTGTAATTTAGAGAACATCAGCAAATTTCAACATGCTATAAGCTTATTAATTAAAAAAAACGTCAGCATCCCTGAGCGATCACGCAACAAAAACGTGCTATATTCACCTGTAGCAGGTGTTCAAAAATATGTTCCGTCGTTAACAGAGTGGAATTACGAAGAGAAAGGAAATATAATGTACATGAACGAAACACACAATTAACTATAATTGCCCACTTCGACTAGGAAAAAAGATCCAAAGAGATGATCTCCGATAAGCTGCAAACCGCTTTTAACAGAGCAGTAGTCCCAGAGATGAACTGTTATTTTTGTTATCAGCCGTTGTTTTCTTTTTACCGAGGAACTGTAGAAATAATGAGGCATGGGGTTATACTGCGCTTGGTCCTCGAGTCGCGCTTGCGCCACTTACGATTCTGACTGATCTGTAACATCACGTGGGACACAAACATAAACAAACAAACAAAAAAACACTTCAGCTTCGAGCATATCGAGTGTGGTATGCGCGAAGAAACCTATCGGCAAGCAGCATTTGACCTGTCATTATCACCATCACAAAGCCTCGTGGTGTTTATTATTTGCGTTTCAGTGGCTCCTAGAATGATCTCTCACTTTGAAAGAAACGTTTTAATATGTCTCATCTGGAGTTGCTTGAGAAATGCCTCCAACAACTAATTGTGAAACGGATGTCTCGTGTCAATAGGGAGTGTCAGACAAGCAATAGTTACAGTGTGAACTCCCTTGAGACACGAGAGCATCACTTTTTTTGCTCGATCATCCGAATGGCCCTGAGTATTCTAGGTAATTTCCAAACAATAAGGACGAGGACAATCAATGGAGATTCGAACGAGGAGAACTTTGCAATCACCAGATCGTCTCCATATCTGAGGCGATCGGAAAAATTAGGGCAATCATATGAAAACCAGGGTTTAGTAGACCACGCTCAAGTTAAGACAAAAAATACAAACTCGTTTCATGAAAGAGAGAATATATTCATACTTTGTGACAGAATTTCCACTCATGGGAAAAATTGGAAAGAATATTTCTAGACGAAATGTTCCACTTTGAATGAATAATTTCCTTATCGAAAAAGAAATACCAAATAGGAAATGTCATGGACACAGATTGTGACTTAGAAGAGAGAGCTCTGCAATTTAGGCTGAAAAATACAGGGAGAGCAATTCGAAAAGGTTTTTTCACGAAAATGCATTTATAAAAACATTTTGGGGAATTCGAAAGCACTTTTTTTGGGATGATTTTGCAAATGCATTGGGGTAATATCACCATCATAAATATTTCCAGTTTTAAAGTTCCTTGGTTCATGTTCTCTTTCCCCGATAGACAGGACGCAAGACTTGAGCTATTTTGCAACATTAAGCTTTCGGGGCTTCGTATAACTTTTCTTCGCTTTACTGTTATGCAAAGTTGTCTCACACCCCATACCACGTTTACGGTGATCATTGGATGAGCTTTTTGACCTCAACAATACTTCAACACGATTCAGGGCTGCAGAATTTGGAGAATTCCATTGTTGAGTCTGATCGAGAAGGCTTTTTGTCGAGCTGGGCCTGATGAGTTTTCTTTTCAAGTCGAAGGAGTTTTCAGCAGACGAGCTTGAATAGGCTGGATTTTTTATCACCAGGCCAGGAATTTTCGAGCTCTTTGCAGATCCTCCAAGTTTCTTTCCAACTCTTTCTTTGATTTTTTCAATTGCTTGTTTGTTCTTCTCTTTGCTCGCATTTATCTTGATGGAAAGCTCAGAATAAAACGAGTTCACGAATTCTCTCATTTCTTCAACAAAGGCTTCTTTCGAAGCAAAATGTGATGTGGAAGACTTGAGTCTTGCAACTGAAATGATGAAATATTCACTATTGATTACTTTTACTATGACTCGTAAAAGCTCAGCCTCGAATAGTAAATAGTCAAATTGAGCAAATTCTCCTGACGATGGACGCGTTTTTGCGCGAGGTAGTTGTTCTGGTAGCTAATAGTCCCTATCGCAAAGGGAGAGGAAAGATAAGCTGACAAATAGTAGAAGGGGAAAAAACCTCGTGATCTCCTTCTACCTGCTAGTCTGTCTTTCTTTGAATTCCTTCGCTAGATTTCTTTTTTTTTTTACCCAACCCGTCATCTCTGTCACACCAAACCAAAATGGCGACCGAGAGGAATCGATCTCGCAATTCTACCCAAGCATTTGCCTTTATATATATTCTATGTTCACATTTGAAATAAACCAAACCAGACACCCTATTCGGTTTCCCTTAAACAAAGCAATAACTTTACCTTTGTTTTCCTGAGGAACGAATATCTTATACTGATAAATAAGTCCAACGATGACAGCAACTCCTAACATTCCAATCAAAGAAGCCATTGCGATAAGGAACGTATCAGAAGAACCATCAAACAGGCCCGTGCTCTGCTCCACATCCTCATCTGATGGAGCTGGCTAAAGTTTGAAAAAAAAAAGAAACAACAACAACAACGAGCAGTGTTTTCAAATTGCACAGAGATGTCTACAATGTACCTTCGGTGGGTAGGCTGTGCCACAATACTTTGAGTTCGGTGGATGGACTGTGCCACGAATAGCTTGGGATTATTCGACTTCTTTAAGGATAGAGGGTGGACGGTAATGTCGGCTGTATCAATACTGCAAGCTTATTATTACTTTAGAAACATAGAGTTGCAAAGAGTACTTGAAAACTCGTTCTGGATAAAGATATCTTTTTAACACCAGTATCCTGGCGCTTTCCAATCTCAAAAAGATTTTAAAATATGGTTAAAAAAAGTTACAAAAAAGCTTTTTTAATCAAAAATATTCAAGTGTATTTATAAAAACAGGCACTGAAGAACTGTTTCTGACATTATGTGACAAAGTACTACATGGTGTCGATGCTTCAAAAAAAACAATTATAAAACCGGCTTTTGTAAATTGTTCCCTCGCGTTTTCCTACCCTTCAGACAGTTTGATTGGTTTTGCGGTGCGTTGTTATTGGCTCTTTCGATATTCTCCTTTTCTCTGATTGAACGTGGCGATTGCTTTGCATTATTTTACGACAATGAATTGAAATTTTCCTTTCCAACCGAAAAAAGTATCTCAAAAGCTATTGCAATACTCCATGTGCTCAAACAAAGGCGTTTTTTTTAAGGAAATGAGACACTTACATCAAGCGTTTCAGTTGTGTTCTGGATGATATGGAATATTTTGCTTATCTGCATGCTGATGTAATCGCGACATCTCTGTTCCACATTCACTGCCGCTCCTGATAAAACAACTCCATAACCGAATGGTCTGTCCAGAATCTCCCTCACAAAGATTTTGTCGTTGAAGAGCTCGTCTTTGTGCTCTGCTGCAACATAGGTGTCTAAAAGAGCACCTTCAACTTTTCCATCCTCCAGGGCTGAACGGAGGTCCTCAAAGTTGGTATATTTCTTATCTATGATTCAGTTATAGGTAAGTTAAGACCTATGATTATGAAAAAGTTTTCGTACGGCTTTACTGATCCACACGCATTATGAATAGCGTTGTTTTTTTTTTTGCTGCAAGTTTACATTTCCAAGTAAGTTTGCTTAGATTTGGTAGTTTAAATAACCGGCCGCACAAGCTTGCATCGCAAAGATCAACGTGTTTGATATTTTTATATTGATGATATCAATTATATTGTTTCCTATGACGTCCACAATAACAAAGCCGTAAAAGAAATAAGTAACTCACTAGACAGTTAGCAGTGAATGATACGAGGCTGAAAATTATCCTTATCATGTCAGCTGCCCTAAAAGAGACCTTTTTCTTACAAAAGATTCTTTTCAATTTTTTGACACCTCCAATCTTGGACGATGGAACTTGTCTAGCAAAACAAAATACTTTTTCTTTTCTAAGTTAATATATCAAGAAAAAATCGCACGCTACGAGCAGATGAACTGTTTCCTTTTGGTTAAAAAATAAATAAATAAAAAAAGAAGAAGATAAGTTATCACAGAAAAAAGGAAAATTCAAATGCTACCTTCGTTTACTCTTGCGTTTTTCAAAACGCCGACGCGTTGCTCGGTAGAGTTTTGAATGGCTCCAACCTGAAATGACATAAATATATATCCACATACCAAGGAAACTGAAATCTCAAATCTCAAACGTTCAAAGTAATACAATTATAGTCATGTTGCTGCTAAATATAAAATCAAACAAGAGATTAAGGACGCTTTCGTGAGTGTTCAGGAGCATGCAATTAGAAACCAATCACTCATTTACAATTTCTATCTACTGATCGATCAATTAATCCATCAATCAGTCAGTTGGTAATCAATCAATCAGTCTATTTGATTAATCAGTGCGTCGTTTGTGATGCAAATCCATTTGTGATATTGAACTTGCCGAATTTGTTGGTGAAATTCCATCCAAAGCGCAAGGAATAGTTAGAAAAGTGTTGTGACAGTCTTCGAAATAACTCACCTTTGTGCCATAGAGGGTGACGGGATACGATATAGTAGAAGACGTGAGTGCTGAACATATTGCACCAATCAGAACTGAGATAATAACAAGACCAGTAAGGGTCCATGCGATACCAAAAATACGAGCAGGAACAGAACGGGGCGAGCGATCTCCATAACTGATTTAAGAAAAAAAAAGCAACAAACAAGTGATACAGGTCCTTAACCAAGGTAATGTGACTAATAGTTATTTTTTCGTGCTGTTCTCACCCGACAGTTGTCATGGAGATAAATGACCACCAGAATCCTTCACCGACGCCTTTGCTAAAAGAGGCTGGAAATTCATCCGGGTTTTGTTTCATGTCCTGTTCAAAATTATTACGTGAAACAAAAGTTTAAGAGAATTGTTTATACTTCTAATAAACTACCGCTTCTGATCTGAGCGAGGCTTGACAATGTCATTTCAAGGAATTGTCGAATAAGAAAAAAGACACGATTTCAGACAGAAGAAAAGAAAGAAACTCATGCGTATTTTCATAAGGCTTATGCCTTAAACGATGGACGATTCGGGGAAAGAGAGGTAAAAACTTTTTATATTCCCAACAAATTTAAACAACATTGCCATCACCGCACCGATTTACGCCTCTGCGGGGAATGAGCTCACGCCTATTTGATGCTGATTTGCTACAAAGCCGCTTGTTTAGAGCGTGGCAAATACTAATGGGGTTTTTTTCTCCTTTAGCGGAATTACAGGAATTTGTTATCAAATAACATGTCAGAGATGAACTAGATAAATCCAATTTCACGTTTTGCAACAAGTAAATAGTTCTTATGGTGCTCACTAGAACCCATATGATAAACCCTGCGATGAATGCCATACAGCCTGAAAGCACTACCAACGGAGCGCAATCCAACACAGCACTTATCATGTTCCGGGCCGCTGTTCCAGGCATCCTCTTAACAGCAATAAACGCCAGTCCTGGAGACTCCACAAGGTTTATGTAGACATTACTTCCCATGAACCTTGTGATGTATTCGTTGCCATAAATCGGGAAACTTATCTGTGGGATATTATCAATGTCAGCTAGAACTCCTAAGAGACTTTTCTTGAAGGCATCTTTTCCTTTTCCGTTTGAATCAGTTTTAACTATAGTACGACCGTATTCGGGACAGGTGTCGCAAGCCGCTTGAATCATGTCAATGACAATGTTACTCAATATTCCACCAAACTTCCTGTCCTGTTTGTTCACTCTTAGATATGGAGAAGCTGACCAGTAGTTAGTGTAAAGGATTTTCGGACAGCGACAGGTTTCTAAAAGAGAATGGAAAGACGAAAAAAAGAAGAAAAAAAATTCCATTTTTTTTTTATCGGAAGGATAAAAATCAATACCCACTGTCCTAACCTCCCCCTCACCTCTCCGTCAACGAGAGAACCAAATCACGACATCATATAAGGAAGCGGTCTGCATTGCTTATGTTCAGGGGGACGGGGCCTTAGGATTTTGTTTGTGTCACGATATAATTTACCTTGTCCCCAGTAAGGCTCTGTAATATGCTCATGAACCCCCTTAGTGGCAGTTAATTGGCAGTAAATTTCAAATAATCTTCTAAAAACATTTTACAGTGAGGCTGTTATCATTCTTCTCTCCTGGTATTTCTCTTTCGCATCAAACTTACCACCGTAAACATAATCGCTATACGGGCCCATGCCCTTTTGAGTGAACGCCGCCACTTTAATTTCGTAAATTGAGTAGGTTTGAACTTTCAGAAATATGAAGAGATCCGTTGATTTTGCCATGGCTGTTTCCTCCTCCGTTGGAAGAACTTCCTTTTCAGCCGTTACAATTCTTCTATATTTTATAGAATATCCTATGAGAAGACCACCCACATAATCAAAAGGCACAGGACTCCAGGTGACTTTAATGAATTCTGCAGCTTTTAGTCTTTCAGCAGCCACGCTTTGAGGAGGCTTGCTGGGCACTGAGGATAAGAAAAAAAGCTCCTGACAAAACCGTAGGTTGACAAGATTTCAGAGCCTTAGCGAAAGACTCTGATGAAATAGGCCAGACTTCTTCTAAAGATCTAGCTGGCTCGGAAGCACTCAACCAATTTCAAGTCTTAAAAATATTATGCATCACGATATTCTTCCGCGCAGCTATTAATCAATGATATTTGAAGCCTACACTAAGCGTCCTTCATCACATTTTTATGTTCATGATTGGTTTATCTTCTATTAACGAAGCTTGTGAAGATATAAAGAGGATGTTTATTTATAAACTTTTATGAGCCATCCTTGAAGTCAGGCCTTTAAAAACCTTTACACTGTCTTCCATATATTTCTTGATAAATCAGCCCTTATAATTTGTTGTTAAACCAGTCAATTTCTCCTTTAAGTTATATTTCCTTCTTCGTATTAACTCCCTAAATGGAAATATACTGCAAGGAGACGTTTGTAACTCCCGGAAATAAAAAAGTTAACTGTATATGGAAGAGTGCATAAACTCACCATCACCAAACGTATAAGCGATGTCAGAATGCTCTTTGCCACAGCCTTTTGATGTTCTGGCGCAAAGCACAACTTTGTACCGTGTGAAATATTCCAGATCTTTTAAAACTATTTCATATTCGTCTACACCTAGCGTCTTGCTCACCCAAGGCGATGACCCATCATCCATTGCGTATCTCACCTCGTACCCGAGAAGTATTCCATGCACATAGACTTGGCTGATTTGTTCCCAGGAAACACGGATTGAACTCTCGCTTGTAGATTTAATGACGCTATTGGGAGGCGGCTCACTTGGTACTGGGTAGAGAAGAAAAGTAGTACCAAGTTCAGTATAAAAGGGTTGTTAGAACTTACTATTATTTAGCTGATTAAAGAAAAACGTAACTCAGCGTCATTAGAGATGAGGTCTACTCTCTGGCACAACTATTGTGACCCGTCCAACCTGAATGGTTTAGTTTCGGCAAAGCCACATCTACATGGTGGCTCTTATTTCGATTTTGAAATTTATTTCAATTTTAAAACTTAGGGTGTTTATAACGGTGGGGGAAAAAAGAAAGTCGTGAACAAATTCAGCCCACCGTGGCAACCCTTTTAGCTCTAAAAGTAATTAACTGGCTATTTCTTCACATACTTAACAACATACATACAAAAAATGTTGTACAAACAAATGTAAAGGATAATTACAAACTTACCAACAAAAGGGCGTCATCTTAATATAACACCCAGTACTCTAAGCTGATTTTTATAGATTTACGGGGCCTGCTAGCGGGAGGCCTGGCACAGAAACTGAAAGGTTTCTCGTCATATTTCAAACTCACCGTCTTCCTGAGTGCTGAGAGAGACTGCCTTACTAGACACTCCATTTCCGCTGCTTGTAAACGCATACACCCGGATGGTGTAGTTAGTAAACTTTTTCAAATCCTCAAGCGCTGCTTCTGAGGGATTGGGAGGTAATGATTTCATAATATCTGGTTGGAATTTTTGATTGATTTCTTTGTACACTATAACATAGCCAAGCAGTGGAGCAGAAGGTGGCTGAATGGCAGCGGTCCAATTCAACTCAATACTCGTCGAAGTGGTACTAATAGCCTCAGAGATCAGCGGAGCTTCCGGTACTGCAGAACAAACATACTGTCAAAGCTATCCAAATCACGTAATGCGTACTTAAACGGAGATTTTGACGGTTAAATGTATTTTAGCCCGCTCTCACTATTGTTCAGACTGTTTCGTTTTTAATTTTTTTCAATTCTCATAATAATGGCAATACGGTTTATGATTTGCACGGCCTAATTGTGTTTTAGGCCCTTAGAAACTACGAAGGTTTATCAGAACAATGCCGTGAGCTCAGAGCCAAAACTAGCAAAATGCCAGAAGGGTACTAGGTTCTGAAACTAATGATAGAGGTTATCATAGAAAGATTGAAGCAGCGCAACCCCGCGACGCTTTTTATAATCATCAGTTGAGAGTTGCTTTGCTTACGTACCATTTGCGGCTGTGATGTTAAGTAACTCAGCTGAAGTTTCCCCCAATGCACCTCCCGTTATTTCTTCTTGAAGAGAAACGATCTGTAACGAGTCTATTCCAGGGTAGGTAACGTTAAAACTAGAAATAACACTTCCTGGCCTGAAAATAAAGAAGACGTTTCCAAATACAAATCGTTGATATATTGTATTGTTAAGTGCGCTTCATCGTGTATCAATTAGATTTAAAGCTGCGCACATGACTCACATGAAACCACCTCAGGTTAAGGTCCGCTTAAAGGGGATGCTAATCTATCGTGAGTTAAACCCCACTGTTAAGTCAGGCTGGTTCTCTCTAAAAGTTGCCATGTTTCTAATGAATTCTAAACATAATTTACATAACGTACCTGAACTCCAAAACCACCACTGTAACATCTTCATCTCTTTTGTTGTAAAAATTGATGACCTAAAGAGAACGACAAAAACAAACAAACAAACAAACTAAACAAACAAGTAAACATATTAATGGTAATTAATTTCAAACTAAACCTAGCCAAAATCTAAACTAGAAAGATGATAACTCCAACCCTAATCATGCATCCAGAATCCCGTGCCTCGATTCTCATATTTCGCATCCCAAAGCCTGTACTCTGTGACCTGATTCTCTCATCCTTAGCCCTATGTCCTTCTGCGCTTCTTTATGCTTCTTTCTTGCACTATAAACTTCCTTCCTGCATACTTACCTCTGTATACGCATTCCAGACATGAACCATTTTTGAAATTTTTAAAAAATTTGACTGCGCATACACCGGCATCGGTGCCACCCTGTCAGAAGGACGCATCGGCATTTATGCTTACATAAGTAATAAAACAGACTAAAATTTCCGTAAAAGAAATGACCTCTTTCGTAATTGTTTCTTCAAGGTCCATGTAATCTTCACTTTCCACTCTAACTAGATTGCTGTTCCAGTCTCTACTTTTTAACTTGAGTTTGTAGTTTATCATTTCAGCTGAAAATAGAAAAAAAAAATAGTTATCGACCGATACATTAAAATTTTTTGTCAAATAAATGGACCTTAGAAGGTTACCAGATATCTTAATCAAATAGTTACTGTCATAGAAAGTAAACTTGCACATCATAAAACAAAAGGCGAACCTGGACAACTTGCCAAATTACAGCTCTCCATTTCTGTGGGTAAACCTTCGCAGTTTTTCCCACCAAAAGCTGGTGCTGGGTTATCACATGTGCGTTTTCTTGTCCTGGATCCGCCATTACAGGGTTTGTTACAGTTGGGCCATTCATTCCAGTCGCTCCAGTTGCCGTGAACTTCAAAATGCCCGAAAGATTTAAGAATTTAATCTAATGCGACAAGAGTACATATTCATGAAAGGACCAGCCACTTCCAGAGTAAATTGACGCTGAAAACGTTTGATCTCGGTAATACAAGAAGCATATATATATATATATATAATGGGTGCCTGGGATAGCATAGAGTAAATCGGAGCCCTGAGGGATGTCTCTGGCTACAGAAGTTAAGATTTCAAGGTGTGATGCTTAACCACTGAGCTAAAGAGAAGTCGTTAGTTAGCTTAACCTAACCCTTCTTTATCCATCCACGCTCAAGACGCTTGTAAAATTGCTGATCGTAGCAGTATACTCCATGCTACTGATGCTTAGCTCTCCATAGATTATTTTGTACTAGCTGTGCGGTTGGGCATTAGAACGCTGTATCTAAGGAGGCTCGAATTCTCCTCTTTCTTACATTCATTAAAATTATTTAGAACAACAACGACAACAACAACTTTTCGTTTAAACTTTTAAAAAGTTATCTTACCTGTCCTGTTCTCACATGTATCACCGGTGTATTCTGAGGTACAATTGCACGTGAAATCCTTTAGGTCAGCTGTCCTTATACAGTTACCATCGTTTTTACATGGATTTGGGAGACAGGGATCGTCTGTTGATAGATATACCCAAAAGAAAGCTCTTAACCTTCTTTTTAAACTTGTTGCAGCTTAAAAATGATCTTAGATAATGATGCCTAAGCTAAAGATTGGAAATTTCAATCTTTTGGGTTTCAAAACCTAACGACAGATCTGAAAGTAGAAAAGGAGTCAAGTTTATTGCGTTCAAATGTTAGTCGCAATAATGGCAGACGAGCATAATCTCTATGCGACATAAATGTAAATCTTATAAGGTTCTTTTAAAATTCTCTGTTTTGTACGTAATATTTTGTCATTAAATTTTTAGAGATTCTATGGATAAAAAATGTACGTATACATCTCTATGAAATGCACATCGTTATGATTTTTAAGCACAGATAGAACCACCACTCAAAGCTATGGCACGTCCCGGAATGATGTTGTTGTTTCGTAAATATTATGCTCATGTTTTCTGTAAAGTAAAGTTATTTATTATTTGGGTAATCACGATAGCACCTTTTAGAAGAGAACAATCAAAACCGACAAATTCTGAAGTGCAGTTACAACTGTATCCAAGAAGGTTGCTCTCTGCTGTGCACATCCCGTCATTGTTGCAAGGGTTGTTAGAGCATCGGTCACCTGATGAGGAATTTTGATTTAGAAAAATGCAAATATTTTGAATACCTTGCATTACAAATATATAGTTCTGACTTCCATAAGAGACTCCTAAATAGTTAAGTTCTCACTCAAATAAGGCTCAAAAAGTAGAAAATAAAACTAATAAATTGATGCAACCTTATGACTTGTTGTTGTATGGAGAAATAAACAGAACAGTTTACGGGTAAAAAAAACAGATGGACTGGCGTCAATTCTAGGATTTATGAATTCAATAAGTCTTTAAAATTTGGCACAATTATTGATTGCACTTTTGGTGAAAGTCTCATACCTTGCTCGACGCCACAATTAAATCCAATATACCCTGAAGGGCAACTGCATTCAAAACCCAGCGGGTTACTCTCTGGTGTACAGGTTCCTCCATTCAGGCAGGGCTCGGGTGAACACGGGTCACCTACAGAATAAATAAAGAAAATGCAAAAAGTCAAATCAGAGGTAAAAACTTCATATACGTCCAACCTAATGCATCAAGTCGAATTTAAGATCTGGAATGTTGTCTTTGTTGAAAGAGGAAAACTAAACTGTCCTCCGGAAAAACCCTCAACACATGGATAAGAATTGAAGCCAAACTCAGCCACTATGTAAACACAGGTACGTGAATCGAACCCGAGCCAAAATGATTGCGCGGTGTTTCGCATACAGTTCGTCATACCTGCTTCTACCACCGAGAGTGTCCTAATAGCTTATTGTACTTTCAATGAAGTTGTCTTTTGCGTTTGGTTTAATTTATTTCCATAGCATTATCTATAAGCATTCATCTCTCCAATTGTAATCTATGAGCTTACTAATTCGTCATTGAAGAGAATCCGTCCATTCCCTTACACAACTTATCTGCCCATATAAGAATATCAAGAGGTTACTTATTCATTTCCTTTACGTTTCGCAAGATACACAGCATCGATGCTACGCGATTGGACCTTTCTAATAAGAGGTTTTCTGCTCGGTATCTCCTTCCACATCCTTCCACCCTCCATGGCGAGGATAAAATAAATGTTTATAATACCTGACTGAGATCCACAATTATAACTTGAGTAAGAAAATGGACAATCGCACTCAAAATACGGCCATTCATTGATGTATTCACAAGTTCCTCCGTTGAAACAAGGACTAGGGGAACACTGATCAGCTGTTGATAAGGAGGAGAATATTTAATCTGAGATCTGTTGTCATTTTACTTTCTATTTTTTTTTTAGTTCTGCAAGTCCAGATATTGTTTTAGTTTGGTGGTAAGTCAAGAGAGTCATATGTCATTTTCTTATTTTGAAATGCTGTCAGCATATCACTTTTTCATTTTATCACTCTATCACTCTGTAATTCTCTCATTCAGCCATTTTTTCATTCTGTCTTTCTGTTATCATAATTTAAAATTCTGTTATTCTGTCATTCTGTCATTTTGTCTTTCTATGATTCTGTCAATCTTCCCTTCTGTGTATTTTTCAATCCTTCATTTTCTGGCATCATGTCGTTCAGTACGAATGTCTTTCCTTCTTTCTTTTTTCTTTCTGGACACCTTTCTTTCCGTTTTTTTCAGTCTGTCAGTCAGCCTGTAAATTTATTAGTTCATTCCTCTATCTGTGTTTTTGTTTTGTTTTTCTCTCGTTTGATGATGTAATCACATGATTACTCCATCCTTTATCTGTATCTTTAATTATTGGTCTTTGCATATGTTGGTGGTCTGAAGAGGGACATAATGGAGTTCCTTACGTATTTGATACCAGCAATTATGGCCCAGGTATCCAGCTGGACAACTGCATCTGAAGTACGGCCAGTAATTAAGGAATAAACAGGTACCTCCATTTAGACATGGCCGACTTAGTGAGCATACATCACCTGTTATGAGATGGAAAAAGAGGGTATTATCTTGATTTAACCCCTGCATGCCGAGTTTTAATTGAAACTGGAGAAGTCCCTTACCAATCTCACATCTATCACCATTGTATCCTAGAGAACAACTGCAAGTGTAACCTCCGGATGTTAAGTTGCGGTTGCAGGTTCCACCATTCCGACAGGGATATGACAAACACGAATCTACAGACATTTCAAACGATAATTAAAAAGTTTGCAAAATAATTGGGGAGAGAGTTTAGTGTGCGTCTGGGAGAAAAGCGTTGTTAATTAGAAAGATTCACAATAATATTACTGTCTGTGACTGTGTCGAGCACCTAAGGTTTGTGTACCACTTCTCTGCTCACCATCTATGATGGATGGCGAGTTATATAAAGTAGCCTAACTGTGAACAGCTATAAACTTAATAACACGCTTGAATGACTACTAGATTCATGCCAAAACGTTAAGATTATTCGCTCTCGATTTCCATGCCTGGAAATTGATTCGGGCCTTGCCCTCGTCATATATCACATGAAAGAAATCTCGACACCAGTGTTATAGAGTTGACGACCATCAGGCTCGAATCAGCTATTGTGCATTTAAACCCAGAACAAATAATATAATTGTTTCAGCATAGATCAAGTAGATGTACAGAACTCAGCAAAACGAAAGGCCCATTTTTTCCATTGTACTATGTTTATAACCATAACTGCGTAGGGCTACCCTGCCAGCACCGTTGTCAATCAGTCTACATCATTTTTGAGAGATCGCTGGAAGATGGATTATTTCCATTTCTACCCGAAATTTTCTTTAAATTGCTTTCAGATGTTCTGTTTTCCCTAAAACTCCTTATTACCTCGACATCCATAGAGCTCTATCCTCAACGCTATGTTATTGTGCCACTTCGTTGGACTGAAGCGAAAGACACTCGCTCTGACAGGTGGGTTCAGTTCATTGTGGGAAACGCTGCTACTGTCTTTATTTGCAGTAAATGTCTGAAATTGGAAAGATGATAATATGTGTAAGATTGATTACAAGTTAAACCGTAAAAAGCGACGAATCAATCAATCGCCACTGTTAAAATGGGGGATGGGATACTCCATCTTGTAGCATATCCTAAACCCTCCTTATCATATGAAAATTAAAGTTGCTATCACAGCTACGATGAGGATTGACGAATGAATAGCAAAGCATTCACCATTATCAATCCAAGGTCCTGTTTATATAACAAACAAAATAATTCACAGTTGCCTATAGGTTTTTGATTCTAGTCAAGTGTTCAACTTTTTTTCAACGAGTGAGCATTGTAATCGTTGAACGTTGAAAGTTCAAGAGAAATTTTATACCATCGCCCATGGATTATTCTCTATTTCACCCACCTTGGCGTGGACATCCCCATGGCCCTTATAATACTGCACTCGCACTCTAGCTCCCCAGTACCTCAGCAGGAATTTTTTGACCCATGCTTTTCTTTTACCCTGTTTTCCTTGGGTGGCTACACCTGTGACCCAGGTCAGCTCGTTCCCTAAATAAACCTGCAACCATTGATTTCTATGGTCCAGCAAAGGTACCCAAGACATTGGCTTCTTATTGTACTCGTAGTGCAGTCTTGCAAAGCGAACGCGAGTAGAATTGTCTTTTTCCGAAGATGCAATGATCTGATGGTCTCGAATTGCACCGCTTTGCATTCCAAGAGGCCCGTGACACTCTGTTGTTAGGAAAAAAATTGCTCTGTTCGAGTATCAGAGTAAAAATATGTCATAGAAAGGTACAAAGATCTTCAAATGTTCTTTGTCAAATGTCGGGTGATAGCATTTTTTTTAACGAAACATTCACTACTCAGCAAGTCGAAAATTTTCTGTGCCACAATCAATCCTAATGTGCGATATTTCTAACTTTCTGTTGGTCTGTCAACCAGTCGATCTTTCCGTCAGTTCTTCAGTTTGCCGGTCTTTTCCTTAGTTGTCACTTTTTTAGTCTGTCAGTCGGTCAGTGTGTTATTTAGTCAGGAAGTAGGTCTGTCAGTCTGACATCCTTATAGTTTAACAAGGTAATTTGGTGTTATCAAATGAGTTGACCACGTAAATTGGTCGGCGTTAAGAGTTTCAAAGTTGGAGTTTGGTGCATTAGCCCTTTGTCAGAGTCTGTCAGTCTGCCAGACTATAAATCTTGATAAGTTGGTCTGTTTGGCGGTCAGTCTCTGAGGCAGGTGAGTCTGTGAGGCGGGTTCTTTCAACCTATTCTATTTTTTCCTGCTGGTTTTGTTCATTCATTTGTCTGTCCCCACGTTAACTCGTTCATTCATTGAGAATCCTTGCTAGAAATCTTTTATCGCTGTAATGCCAGGGAGGGACTGATGATTTTTGTGCGATATACTAGTAAAAAAGAAATCCTATTACGTTTTGTGCTACAGTCGTTCCCAGTGTACCACATGAGGCATGTGCACTTGAAGCCATCTGGCGTATTAATGCAGCTTCCGCCGTTCTGACAGGGGTTTGAAGAACAGAAGTCTGTATGAAATACAAACACGAAAGAGGATCAACGTTAAATAAATAAATAAATAAATAAAATATATCTGTATAATATGTTTAAGAAGGCAGGGGGAGATTGTAACTCCCACCCCCAGTACGCTTTAGAAAGCTCCGTGACATTAAAGAGGAAAAAGACGAGGGATGTAACATTTATTGCAACTCCATGGTACTTAGGCTAGCAATGGCAGGAATGAGAAAACCTCCAAGAAAACAGTTGATATATCAACATGTCTAAAAAGAGACAGAAGGGCTGCAAAGTGCTACTATTAGTTTCACAGTAAATGCGTGTTACATTGATGCTGAAAAAATTGTATTGCCCACTCCACTGTACCCTGAAATCTTTGGCCCTACCCTGCAAAGTGGCACACAGAGAACCAGTGTACATCGGTGGACATGCACAAGCATAGGAACCACTAGGGTCACTAGTGCAGGTGCCATTATTCAGGCATGGATTGCTTGAACAGGGATCTGTACAACATGAATAAAATTCGTTAGTGGTAAGCCATGAAAATAAAGCAAATTACAATCACCAATAGTTTTAAAAGCTCTTACCCCAAACGCACAGGAAAAGTTAAAATATTTCACTGGTGAAGGCAGCGGAGCAGGGTACATAGGTTTTAATTATTCTGGCTTTCAGTCAGCTTGTCAGTCAACCAGCTAAACAGTTATTCAGTGAGTAACTCGGTCAGCGGATTTTTCTGTCTATTTGGCTGTCAGTCAGTCAGTCATTCTTTCGGTCAGTCAGTCGGAGTCAGTAAGTCAGTGAGTCCGTGAACCAGTCAGTCAGTAAGTTATTTGAAGAGTCAGCCAGTTGGTGATACAGTAAGTCAGTAAGTCAGTGAGTCAGTGAGTCAGTGAGTCAGTGAGTCAGTGAGTCAGTGAGTCAGTGAGTCAGTGAGTCAGTGAGTCAGTGAGTCAGTGAGTCAGTGAGTCAGTGAGTCAGTGAGTCAGTGAGTCAGTGAGTCAGTGAGTCAGTGAGTCAGTGAGTCAGTGAGTCAGTGAGTCAGTGAGTCAGTGAGTCAGTGAGTCAGTGAGTCAGTGAGTCAGTGAGTCCGTGAGTCCGTGAGTCCGTGAGTCAGTGAGTCAGTGAGTCAGTGAGTCAGTGAGTCAGTGAGTCAGTGAGTCAGTGAGTCAGTGAGTCAGTGAGTCAGTGAGTCAGTGAGTCAGTGAGTCAGTGAGTCAGTGAGTCAGTGAGTCAGTGAGTCAGTGAGTCAGTGAGTCAGTGAGTCAGTGAGTCAGTGAGTCAGTGAGTCAGTGAGTCAGTGAGTCCGTGAGTCAGTGAGTCAGTGAGTCCGTGAGTCAGTGAGTCAGTGATTCAGTGAGTCAGTGAGTCAGTGAGTCAGTGAGTCAGTGAGTCAGTGAGTCAGTGAGTCAGTGAGTCAGTGAGTCAGTGAGTCAGTGAGTCAGTGATTCAGTGAGTAAGTGAGTAAGTGAGTAAGTGAGTAAGTGAGTAAGTGAGTAAGTGAGTAAGTGAGTAAGTGAGTAAGTGAGTAAGTGAGTAAGTGAGTAAGTGAGTAAGTGAGTAAGTGAGTAAGTGAGTAAGTGAGTAAGTGAGTAAGTGAGTAAGTGAGTAAGTGAGTAAGTGAGTAAGTGAGTAAGTGAGTAAGTGAGTAAGTGAGTAAGTGAGTAAGTGAGTAAGTGAGTAAGTGAGTAAGTGAGTAAGTGAGTAAGTGAGTAAGTGAGTAAGTGAGTAAGTGAGTAAGTGAGTAAGTGAGTAAGTGAGTAAGTGAGTAAGTGAGTCAGTGAGTCAGTGAGTCAGTGAGTCAGTGAGTCAGTGAGTTAGTGAGTCAGGGAGTCAGGGAGTCAAAGAGTTGGTGAGTCAGTGTATCAGTAAGTTTGTGAATTTAGTACAGTGAGTCTTTCTTTTCGATTTTATATAATGCTTCGCATCAGATACTAAATAATTAGTCTTATAATAGATGAGAAAAAGGTTAAGCTGTTGTGCATCAATCAAGTGGCTTTCATCCAAAGCTTCAGGTTGAAATTGGAAACTGGCAACTGTTCATCGTTCTCGATGAAGACAAAGGGAAAGCAGCTTGAATCTTTAATTACCGCTGCAACCATATAACTCCACTCTCATTGCTATTATGTTGTGCCACTCCAGAACTACGAAGCGAAAGGTATGTGCTCTGATAATGGGGCTCAATTTGTGTCTGACAATACCATTACGGTCTGTATTTCCTTGAAACACCTAAAATTGGTAAAATATAACATAAAAAGAAAACAAACTACTGAAACGCGAAAGACCATGACACTTAAGGCAATGAAGTGGCACTTCTTAATAGTAACTTTCATAAGAAGAGTGATTACATATCCCAGAAAATTTACTTAAGGAGATTAATATGCATTTTTAACTGCTTATGCGACATTAGTGCTCTGTCCCACATAAAATTTTGCAAGAACGTTTTCTAGACCATTTTCTCCATTTTCCCCGTAAATTTTGAGCTTTTCATTCACAATTATAGGTTAACTGGATGAAATGTTCTCGCTCAAACCAAGGTATAAAATGTGGCGTGTTTTTGACCAGTCGATAGGGACGTCTGTTTACTTTTTTTTTTGTGCGTTGCGAGAATTTTGCACTCTATCACAATAAAAGGCTTCTTCGCGCAGATCTTTGTTGTCGCTCTGTTATAGAAGAATTTGCTCATGCTTTTAGCTGTGCGTCTATCGAGTTATTGATACACTTGGGAAGTTTGGAGCGCATTCAACTGAAAAAGCTGGAGTTGCTCTCGGCTGGAACTTGGCTTACCACTATTCCTACTACTACTACTACTACTACTACTACTACTACTACTACTACTACTACTACTACTACTACTGCTTATATTACTACAATTTCTACTTCTACCACAACTTATTTTACCTATACCACTGCTGCTGCTCCGACTACTACTATTACTGTTGCTAGCACTATCACCACCAATCAAAGAGACTTATGTGAGTGATCTTCCCATCTATGGACACTAAATAAAGCCTGAAAATTTCTCAGGCCTGTACGAGAGCTTTGCTAACTTAGTTAACAAACCAGAGGGAACTGGTCATTTGTTTGTTTGATTGTAAACTGCAAGCATGATGCTGTTGATAGTAATGATTAATGAACCTATAATCATAACAATAATTAAAATTATAAAAGATTCCTATGAAACAAGATAAAACGTTATGGTACACCGCCAAAAAACGCCGCACTCAATCTCGGAATTATTTTCGTTTAGGCCATTGAAGTCCAATTTGCGCTACTCAGTATGCCGTTAATTTCCCCGCCAAAATTCAAGTGTTATTTTCAACATTCAAGTTTTCTTTTGAAACATATACAGAATTCAGCCGCTATTTTCAACATTTAGGTTTTACTATTAACAGTCAAGTTTACCTCTAAACCATATGTAACATTCAAGTGTTACGAATATGTAAGTAATCCTCGCAGTTAGGAACACTACTGAGTAAATAAATCCAGGCCTGTACGGGATTTGAACCTACGACCTCCGCGTTACCGGTGCAACGTTCTACTAACTGGGCTAACAAGCCAACTGGGAGCTGGTTATTATGTTGGTTCCAAATAAACTCTCAAATGTTAATTTCAACATTTAAGTTTTTCTGTTAAACATTATCTTACTTTTAAATACAAAAACCGTTTCTTTGCATTCAAATTCGTTCCTAACTGCCATTAATCCGAGTTCAAACACGCCTAAAAAGATTCAAGGTTGAAGTTTTCTTATCAGCAACCAAGTACTCTCTTTAAGTCATCAATAAAGTCTTTGCACCAGCATCCAAGTCTTCGTTTAAACAGTCACGTTTTCTATGGGTAATAAATTATTCGCTCAAATTCAAGTCTGCTCCAACCTTCAAGAGGATTCGCGAAAAACATATGACCTCTTATAGAAGTGTTAACACGCTTCTGCCACTTTAAATAATTATATCGCTCAAAGAAGCTTGTATCATACTCACAGTATATGCAATTCCTCGTGTCTCTTTGTAATTATGCCAGTTCGAATTCTTGTAAATTAAAAAGTAACTTTTGACCCACTGATTAGCGCCTTCTCTCCCTTGTGTCGCTATACCTGTCAGAACAGTTTCAGTCGCACTGAAAACAATTTGCAAATACTGTGAGAGAGCTTGGACACCAGCGACCCAACCTCCGCTGTAGTTCCCTCGCTCTGTTAGGTTCAGCCTGGCCAAGCTTGCTCCGGTGTAAGAATTCCAAGTTGAACTTGCACTGAGGCTGATATCTGGGATTGCGCCACTCTGCATGCCCAGGGCATTAGTACAATCTAAGTTTTTTTTTCAAAAAGTGAGAAACTAAAGTATGAGCCAATAGGCCAAGCCATTCTAGTACCTCTACAAGATGTAACACTAAATCTGAAATAACTACTAAAGGGCATAAACCAGAACTATAGGAATTAATGACAAATCAAAGAAGAATTCTTTTAATAAATAGATGAATAAATAAATGGAATAAAGAGCCAGTGAGGTGTAAAGGCTGCTGGATGGTTTGCCATAAGATTTAAGAGAACAAATGCCCCTACAATCTCTCTTTCAGATATAGTCTGACAGTCGTCTGTGTTTTTATTTTGTTTTTCATAATATGTTCAGTGTTTCTACTCATTGTTGTTATTACCATTATTTGTCTTTTTTATATCCCCCATGTTCCATTAATAATAGTCCACACATGATTGCTGCAATTTAGTCTTATTTAGGGGAAGGGAGGGAAGCTCATAGTCATGAGCCCCATGTTTCGAAAGAAGCTTCCTACCAGGAAAAAATGACATCTAGTTATTAATTTATAAACATTTTGAATATTTTCTAACGAAATATATCTATCTATCTATCCAAATCTATCTAGATATATATATATATATATATATACTGTATGTTATACCTACAAAGTTTTTACCTTCATAACTGTTTATATCACAGTTGTCGCCAGAGTACCCAAACATGCAACTGCAGGTATAGGTATTGGAGTTGTTGCTGCAGGTACCACCATGCGAACAAGGATTGGATGAGCAAGGATCCCCTGAGGGAGGAATTATCGGAGACTGAGTCCCTGACGGAGGGGCTGTAATAAAACATTTTAAATTCATCATAAATGGTTAGGTCAAGTGTAGTGATTGCGATACCTAGCTGAAACGGTCTACAAACTTGAAGATTCCACAGAACATTACTCTTATACTAAATTAGATCTTTGACGTCCTATAAGAGAGTTTTGAGTAAATACTTGTGAAGTAACTATCTACAAAAATTTAGAACTAACCGTCATAAACATGACAAAGCCAAATGTTGCTTTAAATTTGAAAGAGGTCTTTATCGCTACCCAATCAGTGCAACACGTCGGGTTGGATAAAGAAAAATAAGTCGTAGCTTTTAATGAATGACAGTATCTCCCCTTTAGTACGAAAAATGTATTTGATAGGCCTGGAACAGGCGACATTTTTCCAAGCTGAAGTAAAACCTTACTCAGTGTCACATGGCGCGTGCCTGTCAGTGCAGTAATTGCTAACGTTTCTAACTAATTCTAGCGCACCATGGCTCAGAAATAGCATACATCGATTTATTGGTTCGCTGGCAGTGACCGTGAGCAATATAGATGGGAATCCTGTGTACTGATTGCGCAAAAAATCCTAACGGGCAAAATGCGCCCATCTTACGCGCTCGGGAGTGCCCGCACTGATCCCGCGCAAGGAAAAAAGTGCTACAAAAAACAGATGGTGTTCTTTCGCATCTCACGAAATACCAATTCTTAATTCCAGATACAGCAATGTTCCTTCTACTTTGCAATAAATCCTTTATTGACGAAGCTCGTTCGGACAAGATGGTTGGATATAAGTCGGGTCCTTTTTCCCTTTTTTTCTTTTTTTCTACGGACCTTGACTTCGTCTTGGTCCATATCAACAGAATAAGAGACCTCGGCCAATGTAGCCATAGTGCCCTCATGCTCAATTAATAACACATATGTTTGACATGATAGACTAAAATTTGAGTCGAAGTAGTCATAGATTTTACCATCCACACATTCAGATTGCTTTCCATTATCCTTCAAAACGCACAGTTTCCCGTTTGGACATTTATCCCCAGAGCATTTATCGTCCGCTGAAAAAGAATGTTATTTGTTTTCTAGTTTTCCTTTTTCAAATAATGATTGAAGATTAAAAGCTGTAGCCCCTTAAGTCACAATGGCAACTGTTCCAATCGAGCAGGAAAATAGTATGATTTCCTAAACTCGAAAATTTCTTTCAAGCTTCTCTAAACGACATACAGCAAAGTGCCAAGTAATTACAATAAGCTAAAAAAAATCGCGGAAATCGCGAGTTATTAGCGTAATTTGGACTTTATTTCAATTGGAACGATACAATACGAGGTATTTCCCAAATATATCGTGAAGTTTACAGTTTTTTCCTTCAGGTATCTCCTAAAAGCCCAGAGAGACATCATTTTCGCTTCACGTTAGGGTTAATACCGATCATAAATGGCCACAGGAAAGGTCATGAACTGTGTGCAGACAATCTATATCGCGAGATAATCATGATTAATTGGTTATTATTTTTGCTGATATAGGTCCTCACGCCTCAGAGAGAAAAAACAAAACAAAACAAAATAAACAGATAGAAAAAGCGTTTTATCAAGTGTCCTCTCTCTCCACAAATTGTAAGGTGCAGGAATCCTTAAAGATGGAGTAATTCCAGCATATTCAAATGGGTGGTGTAAGTTTTTAGACCCGTAAGTAAGGTATCAGCTAGTTATAGCTTTGTGATGTGTATAGCAAGGACACTGTGAAACGTTGCGAAATTGAACCATGTGAAGTAAGCAGGAGGACACAAGCAAGAACTTTCTGGACGGCTTAGTCACAAATGTGAACAAAACAGCAAGGCCGAAGAGAAAGAATCGAGAATGAGAAAGGAATACACAAATACCACAAACATTAAATCTGCCACTAAAGCGTGTTAGCTAAATAAAATTCTATCTCATCCGGTACGCAAGGCAGCGAAACTTACCAATGCCATTTGTACAGTAACGCCACCCATTGCTGCCGCAGCTCCTTATCCTAAACAGATTGTATAAGTAGAATTCGCCACAGTTCACTACAGTGAGGCTCTTTCGAGTAAGGCAATTGTTATTTCTTGTAGCCATACAGAGCGTGAGAGTAAGATCGCCGACACCGTATGACGGATGATCATCTTCAAGGTAAGCTCGAGTGCCTCCATTACAAGTATCTGACGGAGGGAGACTGGACGCCAGGGCATTCCCTGCATCTCCAGAAACTCGGAACCAGCCCCACTGTTCGTCTAAGTCAGAGGCATCACAGCTATCCACATTTGAATTTATTAGGATGGAACGATCACTTTCATTCAAAAATTTGTAAGTTTCCTCGCAACGATTTCCTAGAAAAAAAAAGAGGACGTGAAGATCTTGCAAACAAACTTATCCATTCCGCCCACTTTCCATGTGGACCCAATTCTCACGTCGATCCATTTTAGGTTTTTTTTTTTTTTCCATTTTTTCCCCCATTGATTTCATTTGCTCTAAAGAACATTTCGTTTTCTGCGTCTTCAGTTTCTCCACCAAGTATACGTGGGAGTGGGCGAATGACTCACAGAAAGATGAAGCAGCTCTTTCATGAACAATATCAAATTATGTACATTTGCAATGTAAATACCAGTTCAAAATGCCGTTGGACATGTCTTAATTTTATATCAAAAGAAAAAAAAAAACGGAAGTCGAAGCCTAGGAAATGATATTGTGTATCTTCTTGGGCTTCTACATTACGCATATTGCATTTTGATAAAAGAACATACTGAAGAAAGCAATAGAACTCGTTTAGGACTGATGTTTTATGTTAGGACAGTGTTGGTTTAAACGGAAATCCTGCTAAAACTCATAAGAATTAAGGCGATCGTCTTATTTTATCATTCTGATCTCTAACGGAATTCTTAAAGGTTCAAATCGAGCTAATTTTCTAAACTAATTTTCTAAACGAATCCCAATTTCTAACAGATCAAACGATATCGATGAATATGTTTCCATCTAAGTAAATAAATAGCCGATAAGCAAACAAATTAACAAAGCTCCGTTTAGTCAATTTGGTGCTGATTTTCATTAACCAAGTTTTAGACCGGTGGGCTTTGTAAAGTTTAAAGAGCTCAGCTGGAACCTGGCACTTAATTAAACGTGTCACCTCTTTACAAAACAACGGCGGAGTTATCTTATCGGTATATATCTTATCTGCGATCCATATGGTATGCACTTCTGATGGTTCATTGCTTTAAATGACCTACACATCCTTTGAAATCACATCGAATCACTTCTAACAAATTAAGTGCCATTTTGATACGTGATATGTATTCATTTATCAATATTCATCGCTTACGCGCGATTAGCAAGCTTTGATTTTTACAAGGCTCCGTTGAAAAGTTTTTTTTTTCTGTTTTTTGTTTTCAACGAAAGGATTCGCTTCAGAGTCTTCTTTATTGTCGAGTGGAATGATATTTGAAAAACTAGAAATTCTAACGTAGTACTTTAGCACTTTTTTAACGTAGCTACTTTCAAGATGCAGTGCAGGTGATGTATATAAATAGCTCTTCAAGTGCGTGCTGCGTTGTCATATTTCTATAGAAAGTGAGATTTAGCTACCATGACTTAGAATGACCATGAAAGCTTTTAGAAAAATAATTTCTTGATCATCTGAAGATTTCAGTTTTCTCTTGATCACAGTACTTCTAACATCGACTTCCACCCGCTCCCTCTTTTGCTCGTCTTTCCTAACTGAGGGCCCGGCCAGGTTTAAATTTTTTCGTATATCAGAGAATTTGGATTTGACACTATTCTTAAAATAAGATTTCTCGCCGATATTTTTCTATAAAGACTTAAATTATGGCTATATCCTGATGAGTTTAGTTTCGGTCCAGATGTCTATGACCTTTTCCAAAGATTTCGAAATAAAACTGAATGTTGTTTCAGTAGTCATACCTTTGACACACATTAATGGCGAGAGCATCCATACAAATCCAAGTAAACTCCAAAGTAGTGTTATCAGCATCTGCTAAGGTAAACAATATATAGTAATAACTTCTTAAGTGATTGGAATTCGAAAGCATTTTTTTTTTCACAGGATAACTAACTTGGATTGGCTTCTCCATAGCCTTTGCATTTAGCTTGTTTTTAGATGAAGCAGTTTGAATCTGTAGCAACCCAATTTGTTGCATAATTTATTGTGGACTGCATTATTTATTGTAGACTGTTATGGAAGTATCTGGATTTTTAAGCAAGATGCGTTGATATTTATAGAAACTGTTAAACTGTCTGTGAAACGTGAGGAAAAAAAATAGATATCTACCAATAGAGAAAATCACTGTGTTTCCAAAATTGATTTAAAACCAATCCAAACCTCATCTTACGGTTCGCTGCGTTTGGTTATCTTGAGAAGTAATTATTAAGAATTCAACGAATGTTAGTTACTGCATATTGAATTTGTCCTGATGAAATTATATACACAGCAAGATCAAACCAATTACCCACATACATGCAAACACTTTTGTAAAGAGCACTTGAAATAAAAACTTGTTTAAAGTGGGAAGGCAAGATTAACACAATACGCTGTTACAGGAAAAATTTCATCATGATCTTAATTCTTTAGCGTGGACATAGCGGGGAAACTTTGAATTTGCACTTAATCTAATTACTTCACAGACATGCACGGCAGCTATACGAGTAAAAATAAAATAAATAGGAAGATATTTATTAACATTTTTTAATTATGTACTCTTACTCAATTAAAAAATCGCACTTTCGAGCGGTTTACCGGCGTAATACTCTGCGTTAGATGTTGGGAGAACACCTTTTCTCGTGTCTTCCCCCGTGGGAAAGGGGGGAGAGACATTCCCCCTCTTTCGATTGCGGCGGGAAGCCTGAACCAAACAGTCGAAATATATTTCTGCTTTCACAACGTTCCTACTACCGAAGGGGGTTAGTATGCTGATAAACCGCACAACTCCCACTTCCGTGAAGTGCTAAGTGAAAAAAAAAAAAAAAAAAGTGGAGAGAGAAGGATCCAGGAATCTGTAACAGTTTTATCTAAAGTTACCTGTTTCAGTTATTTCTTTTTATCATCCCAACTGACAGTTTAATTTAGATAAAACCTCTAAAATGCGATTGGAAATGTTATTTCTGCGGTATCCGTAAATGAAGCGGTGCGCCTCCTATCGCATTTGGATTCCGTGGAGCCGTCTATCCAATTCCCCTTGATAACAGAGCAGTAAAATGTAAAGTAAAATAATACACTTCACTTTTAAACAAAGACATGTTTAGCTCTAAGTGGAGAACGTAACACTTTCGTTGTTGCTAATCTGGAAAAATTTGAAAACTTATGCGATTTTTTTTAAAATTTATTTTGCTGGATAAATCTAGCTTACAAATATGCAGAGGTATGTATTTGTTTCGCCAATCATGAATCCCTGCCCGAGGTTTGGACAGGCTCGTCTGCCTTTCGTTTCGTTGTGACATGATGGTGCCGATCACGTGTAATGGAGTGAAGCGATAAGGCAGTTTTCTGTCTTTTATTTATTTTTTTCGACAAAACCTCCTCCGCGGTTACAAATATCAGCTGATATTTCCTTAGCTCTTTAATTTCCAAACGCAAGTCCTTGAGTAGAGCTGCAGTTAATCTACTTGACAATTTTTCTTTTCCTTCCATTTGGTGGTAAACGATACTTTAAAGCAACATACAATTACACTCGAAGGTGTACCCGCCAAGGTTTTCATGATTTTCATGCAAACTGGCATGCTCTGGTGAAACGGTGAGGCTGTTGTTTTGTTTCCTGTTTTTCTTTTTTTTTTCTTTTTTTTTTTTTTGAAAAAATTTGATCATAAACAATACGTTGAAGCAGACAAACAACAACTACGCTCGAGGGTTTCCCGTCATAATTTCTTTCATGAGAACCAACACCTGATCAGTGTTTTCCAAAATCCAGTTGGCAACACGACCAGTAAATACTTTCCAGGAACCAGTGTAGAAATTGTTTCTTTTCGTTCCGATTTTAATGCACGAGACGTGTTAAATTCCAAAAGACGCTTGGTGCTTTCTCGAGGGCATAATCGAAACTAATAACTTCACGATTAGAGTTCGCCATCTTTCTCTCTCTCCTGCATGAGCAAAATGTCACGCTCGAATGATTGACAGCTGGAGCTTAATCGCACCAATCAGGAACTCCGTTCGTGGGCGAACGGAGCATGGCAAAAGAATAATTACTTCAGGAAGGCGTAATCTTCACTCCCTTACCCCCACCCCTCTCCCCACCTTTCAAATTTATTTCTCTCCCCAGCCTTCCGCTGCCATTAACATCAAAGATGGCGGCCATAATATTCGTTATGAAATTACTGAGCACTCGCTCGACAAAATTACGCCTGCTCTGCAGGCTAGGTGCTTCGAGCCAGCTAAATTTTTAGAAAAAGTCTGGCTTTTTCCAGCAGAGTCTTTCGCTAAGGCTCTGAAATCTTATCAATCTATGGTTTTGTCACGAGCTTGTTTTCTTATCCTTAGTGCCCATTAAGCCTCCTCAAAGGGTGGCTACCGAAAGACTTAAAGCTTCAGAATTTATTCAAGTCATCTGGATTCATGTACCTTTTGGTTATGTCGGTGGTCTTCTCATAGGATATTTCATAAAATATCAAAGAATTGTAACACCTGGTAAGGAAGTTCTTCCAACGGAGGAGGAAACAGCCATGGCAAAATCAACGGATCTGAAAGTTCAAACCTACTCAATTTACAAAATTAAAGTGGCGGCGTTCACTCAAAAGGGCATGGGCCCGTATAGCGATTATGTTTATGGTGGTAAGTTTGATGTGGGAGTGAAATACCAGGAGAGGAGAAGAATGATAACAGCCTCATTGTAAAATGTTTTTAGAAGATTATTTGAAATTTACTGCCAGTTAACTGTCAATTAGGGATTCATCAGCATATTACAGGGCCTTATGTGGATAAGGTAAATTATATCGTGACACAAACATAATCCTCTGACGCCCACCCGCGATAAGTAATGCAGACCGCTTCCTTATATGGTTTGATGATTTGGTTCTCTCGTTGACAGAGAGGTGAGGGAGAGGGTAGGACATTACCTCATTAGAGGGTATTGATTTTTGTCCTTCCGGCAAAAAAACATGGAAATTTTTTCCTCTTTTTTCCGTCTTATCCTTCTCTTTTTGAAACCTGTCGCTGTCCGAAAATGCTTTACACTAACTACTAGTCAACTGCTCCATGTCTAAGAGTGAAAGGTGAGTTATTTCGTAGACTGTCACAACACTTTTATAACCATTACTATATAATTTATAATTATTATTATAATTGAATTTATAGCAAATTTTTCTGAGACAAAAAGTTGGAAAATTCAATTTGCATGTTAATGACAAACAACGGACTGATCAATCAAATGGGTAGTTATTGGTGGATTATCGACTTACTTAAGTAATTGGTGGATTAATTGATCGATCGATAGATAGAAGTAGTTAGTGACTGATTGGTTGTCTCATTGCTTGGTCCAGACCACTCACAAAAGTGTCCTTAATCTCTTCTTTGATTTTGAATTTAGGAGCAAAATTACTATAATCATATTACTTAGATGCTTGAGATTTCAGTTTGCTTGGTATGTGGATATTTATATCAATTCATATTGGAGCCATTCAAAACTCTACAAAGCAAAGCGTCGGCTCTTTGAAAAACACAAGAGTAAACGAAGGTAATATTGAAGTTTTCTTTCTTTTTTTTGATAACTCCGTTTTTTTTTTCTTTAATCAAAAGGAAACAATTAATCTGCATGTAGTCTGCGTGTTTTCCTTGATACATAAACGTGGAAAAAAATGTTTTGTTTTGCCAGACAGGTCCCCTCGTCCAAGATTGGACATGCCCGTTTTTTATTAAGTAAGGGGAGGTGTCATGAAATTGAAAAGCTGACATGACAAGGATAATTTTAAGCCTCATATCATTTACTACCGACTGTTTAGTGAGTTATTCACTTCTTTTCCTGCTGTGTTATTGTTGACGTCATAGCAAACAATCCAATTGATATCATCAATATCAAAATATTAATCACGTTGATCTTCGAGATGCAAGCTCGTATGGCCGGTTATTTTGAGATTGAAATCTAAGCAAAATCACTTGGAAAAGTAAACATGCAGCAAAAAAAAAAAAAAAAAAACGCTATTTGAAATGCTCATTGATCAGTAAAGCCGTGAGGAAATGCTCATAATTATAGGTCTCATCTTACCTATAACTGAATAATAGCTAAGAAATATACCATCTTTGAGGACTTCCGTTCAACAGTGCTGGAGGATGGAAAAGTCGAAGGTGCTCTTCCAAACACATACGTTGCAGCGGAGCACAAACACGAGCTGTTCAACGACAAAATCTTTATCAAAGAGATTCTGGACAGACCATTTGGTTATAGAGTTGTTCTATCAGGAGCGGCAGTGAATATGGAATAGAGATGTCGGAATTACATCAGCATGCAAATAAACAAAATATCCATATCATCCACAACACAACAGAGACGCTTGATGGAAGTGACTCATTTTCTTAAAAAAAGTGCCTTTGTTTTAGCATATGGGGTATTGCAATGGCTTTGGAGGTCTTTTTTGGGGGGTTAGAAGAGATAATTTGGTTTCATTGACCCAAAAAATTAAGCAAAGCAATCACAACGTCCAATCAGAGAAAAGGAGGATATATAAAGAGTCAAGAAGAACGCACATTAAAAACAATCAAACTGTCTGAAGGGCAGGAAAACGCGAGGGAACAATTCATAAAAGCCGATTTTATTAGTACTTTACCACGTCTCAACTTCTTGGCTTGCCTGTCTCCTTCTTGCAGCCGCCAATCTCCAATCTCCGCGTTCGTGCTGTTCTTCACCACTAGATCTAAGGGTGCACTGTCACTATCCTCTCTGTCAACACTGAGGAATTTCTCCGCCCAGTCTCTTTTAAGTCTGTCATAAGCTTTATCAAAATTTCGGCGAATGTGGCATGCTCGCCGATATTAAGGTGACTCTCTAGTTCACTGCATTTTTTAAAAACCATGTTGTAGCCTGGCTCAGAACAAGCGAAAAGACCATTCGATTTTTCACCATCGCTATTTATTGTTGACCTATAGAGCCGAGCCGCCTTGAGCAGTAAGAAGATCTCATTTACAACAAGTCCTGTAGGACCCTGAGGCTTTACGATTAAATCTTGGTAAGGAATCAGCCTCCCCTGCCCAATACCATAAGCTCTCCATATTCGCATTCCTTCCCCCTTCAAACTTGAAGTTGTGAAAGAAATTAAAAACAATCCAACGAACTAAGAAACAGACCGTTTCTAAAACACACCTTTGGAGTAGCACATGTTGTCCAGGTTCCTCAGGGTACAGTCAATCCCTTTTTTTGGGAAACGTATTTGCTGTGTATCTTTCTGCAGTCTGTGCAGATTTCTGTCAAATCGACACTGGATTTGTAATTTTTAGAGAGGAAAAATAAGCAATAGTAATGTTAAAACTGGGATGGGGCACTCATATCGGAACAAATTAAGGCTGGGAGAGTAAGATCCATACCCAACCATATCCATCTACTTTTCCCGCCAATCCCCAACGCCCCCTCTTTTCGGGGGCCTCTAAATAACAATCCAGTTTCTCCTCTTGGAAGGATTCAGGAACGGTAAACTCCTTTCTTTCTTGCTTTATACTTAGCTCCCAATCTAAGCCAAAGTAATATGTGTTCTGGACTCACTCGATTGTAAAATGTCCTGACGAATACAAAGTGATGTGATTGACAACAGTACTTAATGAGAGTGAAACCCAGAGGAATCTACGTTTTAGTTTGTCCCTTTAGTACTCTTGCTGGCGGCGCTTTTAAACAAGGAAGGTTGTTATTTTCTTTTCCTTTTTCGCCGCCTCAGTTATTGCTGACTTCTCTATTTATACAGTCACAGTCAACCACTGCTTTCTTTTGCGTTTTTGGCCTCTTTCAGCTGACTTTTCCCCACAATCAGGAGGAAAAACCTCAAGATGAATATGTGTAACCTTTATTTTAAAATGCGTCATGCTTGAATATCAAATAAGACCACATTAAACATCTCACAAATTGAGGACGCCACAAAAATGGCTGATTGGTAATTAAATGGCTTATATTTTGCTATTATTAAATTCGAGAATAATGAAAAACGAGATTTAGCTAAACTTTAAGTTCTCTTGAACATTAACTTTATGATGAAAACACCAGCGGTCGTCTCAGCCCTTATCAATGTTCAACAATTTTTTTTTCCACAAACAGTTCACATCTGCTTCCAAAAACAACACAAGCTCTAGAATATACTGTAGGCCATTTTGGCAATAGTCTTGGTTTTAAGGGCGTGATGAATGACTCAATAGCTTAGTCATTAAAACCGGCTACGCTCTCACAGAAAGGCACAATCTGTCTCCTCCTGACGGTTTTTAAGAAGTATTACGTGCTTACTTATCGGTACCTGTTATAGTATTTAGCTAGAGACTGGCAAATTGGGTCATTAGGCTTTCAAATACTTTATTCTTAGTCGCGTAAATAAACCGTTTTTGGTCGAGAGATATGTCAGCCTGCTTGTTTTGATAACACCAAGGGTAACAATTCATGATTATTGACACACTTCGGTCGTTGTTGTACAGGTGCTGGTGTTGGTGGCCAGCCAAGACCTTTCAAGTTTATTTATATTTCCTTCATTGACATTAATTTTACAAGATATGGATAGAAAAATGATCCATTTTCCAATATTGTCTTCTCGGAAATGTTTGCATTATTACGATAAGTTGCGATGCCAATCGTCCTATTGAAAGTTTATCAAATGATTATTTCTTAACTCTTCACCAAGGTAGAGTTAACTAGAGGTGGATATTTACCAAGCTGCCAAGCGCAGATCTAAATATCTACCCCTAGCCACCGGCACTTAGATGAATATTTGTTTTTGTATATAATTTAATACTGTGAGATAAAATAATACAAAAATATGATTTTGAATAATTTATTCCTGTAATAGTCACAATATTTTTGGGCGCAAATCCCCTGGAGGTGAATGGAGAAGGATGTGCGGAGTAACGTTTTAGTGACTACTTTCGGGTTCCTTATATCTATATATGGATCGAAATATGTCAGATTTTCGGGAGATTCAAATAAAAAAAAATTTTTAATTTAATTTCTTGTGCAGAAATTTCAAAACCCTATCTAAACGATAAATACTTCCTTATAAGCATATTGAACAGTCAAAGAGATAAATACTGAAAAAAGGCAAAAACCAAAATTTTTGAGATCGACATCAAAGTCACCACCGATCTTTTGATCGACGATCGTGGTTTTATTTCACTTTCATTTAAAGGACACTCCCTGTCCCAGAAAAAATTGTTGTCTTAGCCCAGCCTTGAACTGGTTGAGAAATCTGAAGTTTAGTATCATCCAATAATATTCAGTAAAACAAGATTGAGGGGCATATAAAAAGTCATTTACAGAAATTCTGAACAAAACAAGTCATGGAATAACCGCTTGTCGCACTCTGGATTCAAAGACCAGAGAGTCAGGGACTCAGAATTTATGAGCGCTACTTGTTTTCTAGCAGATGGATTAATGATGAACTAAGCCACGCGGAAATGCCCTCGTTTATTTTGTCAAAGGCCTTGCTCATGTCAAGAAACACGACGACGGACAGTAAGAAATTAACTGCCGTTGTCTATTTCTCTAAAAATCATAGCACAGTACTTCTCAAGATGAAAGTTGAAGTAATGGGTTAGGCAATGTCAGCGTTATATGTAAGTGCTCGTGAAAAAAACAACTGAAAATGACTGAATGAGAATCCATTATTATATTAGCTCGTCTGTGTTTCTCGAAAACGCCATCTATTGCTTGATTAAACTCGACATATTTGCTGACATAGTGCACCAGGAAGGTACGATTAGTGTCAATAATATTCAAACACAATATCCCGAGACGCCAAAATGCCTGAAACTGTGGAGATAAAAAGTAAAAAATCATGCTTCCTCGGCACTTGGAATATCTGCCTTAGGCCGACTTCTGCACTAAGAATCATCACAATGGGGTCATTTATGTTTCAAACTTCTAAAACACTTTTCTCAGACAATGATTAGAAGCAGTGATGTGAATTAACAACATTCAAGACTAATCAGCTTAATAACGCCTATCTAATCAACAAATTGGAATAGAGAACTCGATTGAAAAGGCCGGTGAGTCAGTAGCTGTCTACAAAAAGGATAAAATGTATTGGGTTAATAATGTTTTGAGGATATGCTACTCCTGGTTGCTAAGCGAGCGTAAGCTGGGAATAGAAAAATATATACACTTATCAGAACTAACGCAGCGCTACTGGAGTTTCGTCAATCTTACTCTTTGAAGGAGGCCAGATGTCATTTTAGTTTATGGTATCCTTCAAATGTACAATTAGATCCAGACCAGCAATTTTGCTGCAATGAATGGAGTAAACGAAACGAGTTTAGCTTAAATAAGTTTATTGAAGCATTTAGGGAGTGCTTTACAACAAGTAAATTATTCTTAATTAGATTAGGAAATATTACTTATACTAGGAACAACACTCACAAACTTGCGCAGCATTTCTGAGTTGATCAGTTATAAAAATTATCTTAACAGCAATTTCTTTTTTTTCTTTTTTTTTTGTCTCTATCAGCCTACAGTCCATAACATCAACAAAGCACTGACAAGTGCACCAAGTGAATAAACGGTAAACTAAGAAATGCAAAAGTGAAGTAAATAAACAAGTTTTTTCTTTGAAGGAAATTCCACTTAACCTCCATTTATAAACTATGAAAATGGTTATCATCACTACCAAAGCATTACTAAAGTAAAAGTACGAAAAAACCTACGTCTTAAAATCAAAAACTATGAAATATTGAGACTGAAATTCTCGAGATATAAACTACAAATTACCACAGAGTGTTATAAGACTACAACCTTAGAGGTTCAGCAATTCTGCTATTAAGCCTCAGTCCTGCACAAGAGGAGTTGCTTCAGATGACTCCTCGTCGTCGTCATTTCCAGTTTCGTCCATATCCGCAGCAGTAAGTTGATTACCATCATACTCTTGTACGCCAGCGTCTCCGTCAAAAAGGTCTACAGCATCACTTTGGTCGTCCATATAGTTTCCAAGATCGTCTTGTTCATCCTTCGTGTACTCTTGTCGGCAAGTCTTAGGTTCTTCTTCTACTGTCTCCTTTTCAGATTGAACTGCTACAGCACCTTCATAACCAACGGTATTTTCAGGTTTACTTGTTACACCTTCTTCGTCATTCGTTTGAATTTCTGGAGGGAAGAAGAAATCACTGAGGCCTTCTTTTTCGATCAGAGGATTGTATTCTAAAGAATCAAGATCTTCCTCTTCGATCACACAAGGGAATGGTGAGGCATCGCGTTTGTTAGCCTCATTTGCGGAGCGTGCGAAAGAGGTAGGATCTTCTTTTTCAGTAACAGAAAGGCATTCTGTGGCTTCCAAATCTTCTTCCTCAAGTACAGGGGAGCATGCTGAGTTATTGGAATCTTCTTCCTCAACCACAAGGGGGCATGCTAAAGAATCAGAATTTTCTTCGCCAGTCACAAGGGGACATGCTGAAGCAGCTAGACCATCTTCCTCCATCACCAGGGAGGATGGTAAAGGATCAATTTCTTCTTCCTCAATCGCAAGAGGGCACTCGGAGTCATCAACATCTTCCTCGTTCTCGCTAAGGTATGGTAAAGTATCACTCTCCAAAGGGTACGCTTGGGCATCCATATCTTTCTTATCACTCTCAAAAGGGTATGCTGCGCAACCTTCTTCTTCTACTTTGATTCCGAGAGGGAAAGCTGTAGAACCATCGTCAATTCCAACCATAGAGGGATGTGCGGTAGCACCGTGCTTACCCACTTCACGGGCGAGATTTCCTGCAGCTGCCCCTTTGTCTTGTAAGTTAATAGCGAAGGGGAAAGCTGTAGCACCATCGTCAATTGCAACCACAAAGGGATGTGCAGTAGCACCGTGCTTACCCACTTCATGGGAGAGATTTGCTGCAGCTGCCCCTTCCTCTGGTACGTTAATAGCGAAAGGGAAAGCTGTAGCACCATCGTCAATTGCAACCACAAAGGGATGTGCAGCAGCACCGTGCTTACCCACTTCATGGGAGAGATTTGCTGCAGCTGCCCCTTCCTCTGGTACGTTAATAGCGAAAGGGAAAGCTTGAGCACCATCGTTTATTGCAATCACAAAGGGATGTGCCGTAGCACCGTGTTCACCCACTTCACGGTCGGGATCTGTTGCAGGTGCTCCTTCGTCTCCTACGTTAATTCCAAGAGGGAAAGCTGTAGCATCATCGTCCACTGCAACCAGAAAGGGCTGTGCCGTAGCACCGTGTTCACCCACTTCACCGATGGGATTTGCTGCAGCTGCTCCTAGCTCGTCCGGTCCTGCATCTTCTGGGTTTGCAACAGCTCCACGGTCATCGACAGAGTTGTACTTATCCTGATCATACTTGTCATCGTCAAAGATATCTACATATGTCTATGAAAAAGATTAGAAGGTAATCAGGAACTGCATGAGTTAAAAAATCTTGAACGAATGAATTTCAAAAATTCAACAAAGAAATTCCAAAAATGAGTCACTAAAAAGAAAAAAAGGAGCAGATCAGATATCAATCACAAAGACGAGAACCATTAGTACTTGCATGAATTGATAAGAATAAAAGTCAGGTAAGGTCTTCCTTTCTGTCAAAGTTTTCCAAAAGTGTTATTTTAAGATCTGTTCCGTTCTTTCTTGTGCACAGACAACAGAGGGAAAATAAGGATGATCCAGACTGACATGACGTAACCACACTTGCGTATGTTTAAAAGTAACATTGGTTCATGATGAAACTGAATTCACAAATTGTTAGCGGCTGGGTAGTTAATGCGTTCTGACATCACATTATTGACGAGAAAAGAAATTCGCAATTGACTTGGTAGGACACCAATTTCAATTTCTGAAGTATATCCTGAATTAGACGCTGTATGGCAAACCTTTGTTTTAATATATGTATCCATTGTTTGGTAGAGCTTCACAAAGTGTGGCCGGCTGGCGCTTTCGTATTTCCAGCAGTTTAACATCACCGCGTATCTATAGAAAAACACAGGGACATATGATCACAGTAATTCTGCGGTAGGCATTAATATTGCAAGTAGCAAAGTTGAGAAACCACAACTAGTCACAAAAATAACTGAAATGCTAAGTTTATCTCATTACATTGCAGCTCAAACGAATTCTGTGATGAAAAACCCACCGTATTCTTTATTTGACTCAATAACTTTTCATTTTAATTTTTGTAGTGACAAGATAAAATTAATTTCTTAGGAAGGCTACTTATTCAGAGCGAGTGTATCAAAAACACCTGACCACAGCAGCAATCGATGTTGCTTTTGACTTATATAACATTCCACACAGAGGAAGCAACACTTACAAACTGTCGTCGATATGTTCAGGCTTTGGCAGACGATAACCTTCTTCGATTTTTTTCATTGTCGTGGATTGAGACCATCCATCGTAAGGAATGCCTCCTGTGGAAAAATAATGTTTTTTTTCTGTTGGCCAAAAAAGCACACTTTTTTTGTTGTAATCACTTTCATTCCTCTCAGCGCGATCGAAATGATTCTTCTGTCAAAACGACAATTAATTGCTGAAATACATTTCGTTTTTATATCAGATGAAAGAGTACTGTAAAAAAAGCAAATTTAAGTGTAGCGATGGATTTAAGGTTTTTCAATAATGTACTAAAGACTTTCCGTTCTACTTAAACTTAAGCTTTATTTCAAGTTGCTATACTTCTCTATTGTACAATGCTCTTTTGTCCGCTCGGTATCACTCATCAGTTAGTAATCATGCGTGCAATTTCGGCAAGTATATTTCCTGAATATAAAGTAACAAATAAGTTAAGTACCGACAGTGAAGATTTCATACAAGACGATGCCGTAGGACCACCTGTCAAAGAAATGGAAGGATGACGATATATATCAACTAGGGTAGAAAGATAATAATTACTCAGATACTCGGGGTGTTTAAAAACATGCCATCAAGATATAAGCAACCTCCCTAAGAGAAAACGCCATATTTATTAGTTTGACTATCCACTCATCCTTTCATCCGTCTTTTCTTGTCCTAATCAGATTTTGGATAGTGGTCGTTAAACTTATTATTCATATAAAGTCTCATACTACAGCTGCAACCTCAGCTGTTCCTCAGCTTGACGTTTCCTAATGACTCTCTTATTAATAGAGCACTGAATATTCTAGTTTCCCTCGCTACGTTAAGGTACAATCGTAAAAAATATTCATTCTTGGAATATATGTAGATAATAACCAATACTGTACGTACACATCGCTTTTGGTTGACAGCTGTTCCACATGTCCAAAGAGAATCTCGGGTGCAGTCCATTTGATTGGGATACATCCCTGGATGAGTAACCAAAATATTATAAACATCTGTAATCTAAAGAGGCTTGTATACAGCTCCTAAAATAATTTGCATATAAGATGAAAACCGTGATGTGAGGATTCACAATAAAGTCAACAGCAGTAGACACCTTTGTACAAATTCTATGAAAACGATTCACACACTCCTTTTGCTTTAAATCTCCTGTGTTACTTTGCCCTTCGAGTTTGTATCTTTGCTATTCAGAGAACGATATCTCTTCCGGCTTTCTTATTTCCTGTGTTCACTCCTTAGGTACATTTTTTTTTTCTGTGAAAGTTTCGATAGCTTAGAATGGCTTTCCAATTAAAGGGAAATATGTTTTGCAGTAAGACTGTATAACTGAAAAGAAAGGTTTGTAAGGACAGTAATATTTTAATTCTTCATATTTTTATCTTCCATACCAGCAGCCCCAAAACCAATTGACTAAATGATGAAAAAATTCTGAAAATTACCTTCTTGGCATTTCCTGGGCCGTATTTGAAATCCTGATAAGAGAGCCCAAAGTCAGTCAACTTGCAGACACGATGCTCATCAAGAAGGATGTTACGAGCTGCAAGATCGCGATGAATTATCTGAAATCGAAAACAAATAATTTTATGATCTGCTAAAAGGGACTTTTATAAACTACATAAAATAAAAAGTAAAATATAGGTAGAAAGTTTAACATCATGCTAATGTCAGACCATTTCTCGGTGAAATAGTGACTCTAATGTCCTGCATATTTTTAGCCGTATGGAGTATTACTTTGACGATTTGCAAGTCATGCCATTTTATCACATGCAGGACCACATGCTGACCAGAAAGAGTTTGAGCACTTACCCCTCTGGACGCGAGGAAAGTCATACCATGTGCGATCTGTTTAGCAAACAGCACCATGTCATATGTTGTCAAGTGGTCGACCCCTCCGACCCCATGATGATATTGGTCGAAAACCCCCCTGGATTTTCTGAGATAACCCAGCAAGTCACCTCGCCACAGGTACTCCATGATAAGTATTGGCTGAGCTAAAAGGGAAAAACAAGAACATTATTTTACGGCAAGCAGTGCAGAAGTTCCAAAACGTGTTTGAAATGTACATGCTTTATCTAGTTATACCTTAGGTTATATCTGTAATGAATCAAAGTAGAGACAGAGAGGGAAAGTGAAAGAAGAAAACACACAGATAGAAAATAGACGGAAACATACGGCCGATAGAAATCTACGGACAGTCAGACAGAAAAAACAGAGATGGCAGATAAATAGACAAAGATTTGCCATCGTAAGTTGAAGTTTTTATCACAATTAGCATGTAGATTTTAGAGCTGATATCTTCCAAGCAAAATGCCCCTCATACAGTGCGAAGTAAATTCATTTAAAACAGTCAAAAAATTGAAAATAATCATTGAGTTAGTACACCATCTTAGCAAGGACTAAGAATACTGATAGAAGTAATTGTACCAGTAGTTGAACTCAGAGATGTTTCTATCGTTGCTGTGAATTAGCTGATTATAATCATAACAATAGCTGATTACCTCCAACTGTGACACAACCAATGAACTTAACAACATTTTCATGGCCCTCCCTTCCAAAGAGTTTTAATAACTCGATCTCTCTCAGCAGGGCCTTTCTTCCTTTCTCTCCGGAGATTGCTAGGAAACCACACAAAAATTAGATAAACAAACAAACTTTGCATGTCAAGAGAGACACAATTAATTATGTGGTAAACATCCACATCTGGAATTGTTGTATGCTTGGTGTTATCTTACCAGCGCAAATTATAAGGCATTTGGTCTACATAAAAAAAAATTAATTTACTAGACTCCATATAATCCATACTTGCCACAAAAATGTCAGTTAGCCGTATTGTTCAATTTATTGAACATGAAATTTCCAAAATAGATTCATCCTCCTTGAAAAAAATATTTGCTAAGAAAACGCTGCGCATCTCGAGCATTGTTGTTAACTAGGCAAGCCCATTGAACCGTGCAATTGTTTACAGATAACTTACAAAAGTAGAGACGCAATTAAGCCTAGAAATTCCATCTGTTATAATAACTAATAGTCAGTCGAATATATATTTGGGACAGTTTTTTTTTTAAATACATGCTCTGTTTGCGCCTTCTTGTTTCCTGCAGGTCATAAATTAGATAATCCTTGCTTTTATCTTACTAAAAGCTACAATAATTCGTAAGCATTCCCAGAGTTATTATAAATTCATTTGACTCTCTACGTTTGTTACAGTCGAACCTGTATTTAGCGGTCACGCGCGGGGATGGTTGACCGTTTAATATAGGTTCCACGGAATAGGGCTACATTGATAAAAGTTTAAAAAAAGCCACTCTATGCCATCACGGACCACTTAACATACACAACCTCGCTCAAAAATATTCCTAACATTGATTTCTGGAGATAAACATGGATTAAATTTTACTTGAAAGATTATTCTTAATTTTATTTGATTACTTCCGCTTTAGTGACCGTTCGATAAAGGTGGGGAACATTACAAATAGGCTTTTGGGACTTAGTAAAAGGTGACCACAACCGCTTGATATAAAAAGTACTATAAGTAAAGGAGGAAAGCTTCGGGACTTTCAAAACTGACCGCTTATTACAAGGTGACCGCTTAATACAGGTTCTACTGCATTGTGATTTTCAGCTTGTCCAGCGCAAGAAGATCATACTACCACCACTAGACTGGCAAATGGCTCCGAGTTTTTTCCGCTAGACTCACCCTCTCAAGGTTTCTTTGAGGTGTCATGACATTATTTCCCACTAAAAGTTTCTAAGCGGGCAACTTTGCAAAATATACGACATAATGACATTTTTAGCTTTGTAGTATTTTCCGCTTTTATACACTTGAATGCAATTTAATCGATAAATTTTCATTTTTCTCCACAGCTTCTTATACTCCAAATGATATTCGTGTTCTGTTCTATTTTAGTAGAGTTGTTTGACAAAAGATTTAACAACTGGTCCCCCCGGGAACCATCCGCTAACAATTAATTTGACATGCCAGCTGATAAATCATTTGAACAGCTCATAGTTTTTAAGCCATACATGTTATGTATTAGGTAGGTTAATAAAGCATGTTCTAAGAGAAATGCTCTTTATTGAGATGAATTACTCAAAAAATTAATAAAGGATAGTTCAATCAAGCTTTGTATAAAAGAAAGACCTGAAAAAGTACTTACGTAGGTAGCATTTCGCAGCAACTGTGCGATTTCCAGGTCTGCCACGGGAACGACCCAGTAGCGCTCGCCACACTGAACCAAATGCCCCTTTGCCAATATGCTCGCGAAGGATGAGGCGGTCAACTGCAATCTCCCATCCGTCTGTGTTTGCGTTCAGCTGATCCATCTCAACTTCATCTTCCCCTTCACTGAATAATTGCAGATGAAAACAAGACTTTAACTATGTGTGTTACCTATCTATCTTTTCCTTCTTTGAATCTGGTTTAAAATAACGTGGTAAAGATATCCTCTACATCTTCAATTCAAATTTTTTTCTTTTCATTTCATTTCCGGGTGCTTCAGAAAATTATCACTTGCCAATGAAAAATTATTGAAATAGGTGAAATTTGGAGGCTAATTTACTGAACCCGTTTTTTCGACGCATCGACCCAGAGAGAAGATTTTATTGAAAAAAAAAAAAAAGAATAAAGATAGAAGATAATCTCAAAATAACCTAACTGGACTGTTTTTCGGCATTTTACATCATATAAATATCGTGCCTCCTGCGCGAGAAATAATATACTAACCAAACCATCCGAAGTATTGTCTACAATCGATATATCGAGTGGTATTTTAAATCGGTCTACAAGACTCCGAGTGTATTTCAACTGTAATTTCTGTAACAAAGAGTGACGAAGGGTCAAAGCTTCTCTTTTTCTTTAAAAGTACGCCACCCACAACCAGGCATACTGGTAACAAAAAAAAAGATACTAAACAAGGTGTTAAAACAATTGAAGGACGAACGAATCCAAAACAGAAAGAATATTAGGAAACATTTGACTGCCATTTGATAAGAACCTCTTCGAAACTGCAGCTGCTTCGAAATAAAAACCTTTTATTTTGGCCAGTGTGCTCTTAATGGTCAATATAATCGGTCCAAACTGATAAAAAAAGACGTATTTGCTCAGCAGTGACACTTATCACTACTCTACTAAAACTTATTCGGAAATAACCACACGTTCAAACAGTGAGCGTCAAAAAAAAAAAAAAGACAATTCACTTACTGCAGCCTGGGTGGCACCTCAGGTGGGGCTATTATCAAAGGATATGTGGAAAGAGATGAAAGAAATCGCTTCGTTGTGAGTAAGAATGACATCATTAACTAAGTTAAAGCTTGCGACTCAGAAACCACGTGTGACTTATATTTGACTCTGTTGTCAAACAACGGGTGAAGGAATAAGGTGGGTTATTATGGTGATTAGTTTCATATAATTTGTAACGTTTTTGTAATTTGATTAGTAATGGGCTTTGCCGGGACTGTAGAGGGACCTTCAAAATCAGCGCTGGAAATGCAGAATATGACCTGCTTAAAATAGCTCCTTCGTGCTCTAAAACATTGACGTATTAAAAGCCACAATCTGCCATATTAAGACATTTTATTTCCGTATGGTAACATTTTACCTGTCTCACGGCGTTTTTTAATGTATGAAGTGAGCGCCAGTAGAAAAACCACAGCAGCCAAAGGTCCCCCAATGTAGTACCACTCCTGTGAGCTGCTGGAGGGAGGTGAGCTGCTGGAGGGAGCCTCTGAATTTCCTGAAATATAATAATAGAAGAAGCTTTGTAGGAAATTAATTTGCTGGTCGGCATTAAAAATAAAAATTAATATCACCAATTATCCAGATAGAGAGCTAATTTTTTTTCTTTTTTTGTTGCAACAATTTACGTTGTTCATTGCTCGCGTTGGGTGGGCGGGATTAACCTTTGGAAAAACAGACGTAGATGTGTTACTTTACAAAAAACAGGCAGATAGAAGGAGAAAGATTGGTGAAAGAATTATAGAATATGTTTAACATACTGCTACTATTTCAAATTCGTTTTGAAAAATTTTTTAAAAATTTCTTACAAATTTAATTCATTTCAAATTTCTAGCTCCCAGAAGACCATAAAACCACTGGAAAAGTTTGTGAGGAACATAAAAAGCGGAGGTGTGTTTTATAATAATGACCGTACATAGTTAATTACTAAAATTATATGTGCTTGCTTAAACAACTTACTTTTGACATTTACTGTCACAACAGAGCGAGCCACAGTTCCTGGCTTGTTACGTGCTTCACAAGAATATTCACCATTGTCTTTTTCCACAACTTCAGTAATAACAAGTTTATGTAATCTTTGATCTATAATTGCTCTCTCTATTATTGGGTCTCCATCTTTTTTCCATATTACGCTTATTGTTTCCTCGTTGACTTTGCAAGTCAAAGTGAGGATGTCTCCTTTTGTCAGTGTTATGTATTTCTCTGGAACAACTTGAGCAGAGGCTTTTCCTGCGTTCAAAATGAGGCAATTCATTAGAATACTAGTGTCGAATTAAAACTACAACTATATTATAGACACTCCAAAAAACAAAACAAAACAAACAAAAACATGGAAACGAAAATAGTCAAATGTGACCGAAGATGATAAAAGAGTATCGGAGGGGTTTCGATAGAGTTTCAGAACAAGCTTGAAGCCCTCATGTTTTAAATTTCCTGTTTCGACCGCCCCAGATCCTTAGCTAAACTTCTGAATTAAGGTCTTTATAGTGTTTCATCTTCTCTTATTCTTTTTTCTGCACCCTTGAATCAGGAGGACGCAACAAGTGACTCATGCAACACGAAGTTTCTTTCTTTTCCAGCACTATTTTAATGGGACTGATTTCAAGTAAATGATCGTCTTTCTAAATTCTAAAGCACCACAACATCTTCATTAGATCGTTTTCTATCACTTCCTGAGGAGAGTGGACTTGCAACATTTTCTCAAGCTCGCGTGGTTGAATTTCCGTGGAGAAATTGTGGACATCATAGACGCAACTAGAATCAAAATCTCTTATGACAATTTAACCGACAGGGAATACTTCAAGGAAAGTCTGTCCGTACAGGTGTGCGCAGCGAACGAATGAGATTTCTGGTACAAACCGACCCGCTGTTTTCTCTTTTGTGTTTTTCCTCTGCATGCTTTCTATTCCGCATGATTCTCCACAGATGTTCGTTAGTCATCGTTTGAAAGTAGTTTGACTCGTTAAACAGTCCTGAAAGCGGATTTTTATAATTTTACGAGTGGTTTGAAAAGCGAAACTATTCCTGAAAGGATTAATTAGAATGACATTGGTGCGCTCCACGCGTCAAAAAGCATAATACTTCCCGATTAAATGTATCGTTTTCCTCACAAGTAAAAAAGGCGATACGCGCCATTTGATTGGCCCTCGGCTTCTTAGACCAGCTTACGAATGAAAACTTATTTCGTACCTTTTCAGCGTGTAAATCCGTAAATCGTTAATCTGTGATATTCTCCATCTTCATTGGTTAAGTCTCATTACGAGTTACAAGAGCCATTGAGAGTGCGAAGGAATTCTTTTGAACGCTCGATCGGTATTCGACCTCCGATTTCGGTCACGGATGGAAGCGTCTTCGTTTGAAGTATTTTCCTCTGTTTTAGTGTCCTTGTTCAATGTCGAGAATGCCAATTGTGTGTCGTATGTAAAATTGGCTTTTGCGTCTCGCTTCCCTTTTGTTCTCTTTTGAGATTCTGGATCTCTCCATCTCGAAAGTCTCTTCTTCAGATTTTTCCAGTTTGGGATTTGAAGGTCAGGCCCCGGTCGATCGAAGGGTAGATAACACTATCCACAAGATAAAACTCTATCTGGTGGATAACGCTTTATGTTTTACTCTCACACATTCACCGAATAAATATTTAACCGTTAGTTAGCGTTATCTGCCCTTTATACAACTGGGCCGAGTTTGCCTAAATTCTCTTCGCGCTATTCCTTTTCTCCGTCGCTATTGCCTATGGATTTACAAGTTCATTTTTCTGTCTTAATTTCTTCTCTCCCTATTTCTCTTCTTCATCTTCAACATTATCATCGTCATTATCAACGTCACCATCGTCGTCGTCATCATCATCATCATCATCATCATCAATATCATTATAACTGAACTTACCATAAACACGCAGAGTTGCTGAGGAACTGGTTGTGTTTGCTTTGTTTTTTGCTGTACACCTGTAAGTCCCACTCATCCCTTTCGTGACACTTGGCGAAACTAGGAATGATTCTTCTTCGTGATCGGTTTGATTGATACCAGATGGCAGGTCACCATTATTAAAAGTCCAGACGAAGGTTGGTGTTGGAATACCTGAGGCTACGCAATTAAGGTTTACAGGGTATCCTTCGGTAAGAAATTGGCTTTTCGGAGGCTCAATGATCTGGGGAGAGACTTGAAGTAAAAAGATCACCAAGCTAAACAAAGGGTCGCATTTTCCATTTTAAGCCCCTCTCCCCCTTCCCTTATCCAACCCTAAATTAACTAGTTTCAAAATAAAAGCAAACTACGTTATTGCCAAGTCTATTTTTAATCCAAGGTTATTTTGAAATTAGTTTTCTTCACTTTTGATATAGGAAGGTATAAGTCAGCCCAATGTGACATCAAAACATTTTTTTATTTCCTTAAAAGATTTCCTATCTTAGCAACAGCCCAGGAGGTAATAATCTAGTTACCTATTTATTAATTTCTTCGTCATTTTCTTACTGGTTGTTAGGCGTAATATCAACACCCCGTGCTACCATGTTCAAGAGTACCAGTTTCTCTAAGTTCAAACTACACATTTACTTTGAAGACTAGCCAAATAGTAATGGTTAAAAGGTTTGCATTCCATGAAAAGATTACGTTAAATCTGTCATTTTAAACGCTCAGATCGTCCATTGTAGCAGGAGTACAAGTTCATAACGACGTAACAGCGGGATTATTTTCATGTATTTCTTTGCAGTTTTGGTCGCCGAATTTTCAAATTTTAAATCAATGAAAAGTTTACATGGATGTTTCGCTTTCCAACTTCAGTAATATATACTTAAATAATGCACTGATAGCCACTTTGACATTTTTGCACTTCTAAAATGGTATATGAATCGTGATTTGTCAGTCATTGGTATTTAAGAAGCAGAAAAAAAGGTAATTAAAAAATTTAAATGGACTTTTATAATAAATGCCGTGACAAAATATGGTGATATCTATAAAGTCAAAATTGCTCGACGTTCCAAAAGGCAATCAGTTTAAACTGCCCAAAAATTAATAACATGTGTCTGATCGCGAAATTCATTTACATTTGGTGTGTAAGTTGGCATGTTCTCGCCCTTTAAATGTTATCATCAATTGAGTACTTTTTAATTATTTTTAGTCAATTTTGAAATTTTTGTGGTTTCAAGTCCTAAAATTTGATTTGGTATCATGGAAACGATTTTATCCTCATCCAACCAAAGATCTAAATTGATTATCGACTCCAGTTCTTTCTATGTGTAAATAAGAACCGTACCTCCCACCACTTGGATCCAGAAAGTTGAGTTTTTGCTTCCTTCGCTGTTATTGGCGCTGCAGGTGTATGAACCAGAGTCTTTCAATCTCGCCTGGCGAATCGTGAGAGTGTTGTTGTTACCGCAATTCACCCCATCCTTAGTCCACAGTATCTCAGGTGTAGGGAAACCGCTCAGAGAGCAAATGAACTTAAGAGACGAGTTATAGGCAACCGACTGATTCTTGAGCTCAGTATTAATTTCAGGAGGACCTGGACATAGAATTCAAAAGTACAATTCAAAAAAGGTGAAAGTATAAAAAAAAATTAGAAAATGAGAATAGAAACTGAAATAAAAAAAGTAAGTCAACATTCACCTGTGACTTTAATATGAAAAGCTGCTTCATTTTTCCCTTCACTGTTTTTAGCGCTGCATTTGTATTGACCAGCATCGCCATAAGTCACTCGATTAGTCGTGAGCATGTTCCTGGTATCAAGTAACTTTCCATCTTTTGTCCAGTTCACCTCTGGTTTAGGAAAACCCCTCACGACGCATTGAATTTGAAGTGTTGAATGTAATTTGACAGACATCTCTCGCCGAGAATTTATTTCAGGAGAACCTTTTTAATTTTGAAAAGGAAGATAATGATTTATATAAAACTTGATCCCCATCCCCTCCCCCTCTACTTCTTTTTAACCGTCGTTCACAATCTTAGTGCAACTGCCCTTCTCTCCTCAGCTCTCCCCTGCCGTAAAAATCAAAGCTTGCAAACATGATTTTGTTACCGAGATTCACCCCATCCTTAGTCCAGAGTATCTCAGGTGTAGGGAAACCGCTTAGACAACAAATGAACTGAAGCGACGAGTTATATATAACCGACTGATTCTTGAGCTCAGTATTAATTTCAGGAGGACCTGGGCATAGAATTCATAAGTGCAATTCAAAAAAAGTGAAAAAAAAAAAAAAAAAAAAAACGTCAGAAAATAAGAAGAGCAACTGAAGGAAACAAAATTAAGTCAACGTTTACCTGTGACTGTAATATGAAAAGCTGATTCACTTTTCCCTTCACTGTTTTCAGCGCTGCATTTATATTGACCAGCATCTTCATAACTCACTCGATTAATTGTGAGAGTGTTCTTGTTACCGCGATTAACCCCATCCTTAGTCCACAATATCTTAGGTGTAGGGAAACCGCTTAGAGAGCAAATGAACTTAAGAGACGAGTTATAGGCAACCGACTGATTCTTGAGCTCAGTATTAATTTCAGGAGGACCTGGGCATAGAATTCAAAAGTACAATTCAAAAAAGGTGAAAGCATAAAAAAAATTAGAAAATGAGAATAGAAACTGAAATAAAAAAAGTAAGTCAACATTTACCTGTGACTGTAAGTTGAAAAGCTGCTTCATTTTTCCCTTCACTGTCTTTAGCGCTGCATTTGTATTGACCAGCATCGCCATAAGTCACTCGATTAGTCGTGAGCATGTTCCTGGTATCAAGTAACTTTCCATCTTTTGTCCAGTTCACCTCTGGTTTAGGAAAACCCTTCACGAAGCACTGAATTTGAAGTGTTGAATGTAATTTGACAGACATCTCTCGCCGAGAATTTATTTCAGGAGGACCTTTTTAATTTTGAAAAGGAAAATAATAATTTATATAAAACTTGATCCCCATCCCCTCCCCTTCTACTTCTTTTTAACCGTCGTTCACAATCTAAGTGCAACTTTCTTTCTCTCCCCAACTCTCCCCTGCCCTTAAAATCAAAGTTTGCAACCATGATTTTCACCAAGGAAAAATACTCAGCTCCCGCTCGCGAAAATCACGCCTGTTCTACATGAAACTGTAATGATCTTTCTTTTCTACGAAAGAAAAATTGCCTTTGTCTTTTTGTGACAAAATGTAAATCTAGCATCTAATCGGTAGTAATGAAACTCCAGCAGAAAAAATAAAATCTTTTTAATTCAGTGCGAGCCATTTTTTTTCTTTTTATAAAGAAAAAGGGGGTAAGTTTCCAAAATATCTCGGGTCTTATCAACTGAATTAAAATTGAAAATGTAAAATGGCCACCGTAAAGATTTTCTAAGCTAACGTTTCGACCGTTAGCGCTTCGTCAGAGCTAAACCTCGAAACGTCAGCGTTGATAATTTTTACGGTGGCCAATCTAAATTACCAACTCTGTTGATAAAACCAAAGTATATTAAACAAAGAGTTTGACGTTTGATAAAAGGACGGTTGAAGGATATCTGTGCAGTATTTTCTACCAACAAATGAATATTTTACTTTCTCCTCATATATAAAACCACTTACATTTACAAGGTCGTGATTCCCGAGTTCTTGAGCAGTTAAATTCTGGAAGTAAGGATATCAAGATAATCTTTTGAAAGTAATAAACGGTTGGAGATTAAGTCATCTTATTTCTAGTAAAGAAAACATCCATTGGCAGTTTCTAATTATAAATGCAATATATACACAAGAATTAACTCAATTGAATAAAAACTTATAAATGCTGTATAGTTTTGGAAGTTGTAAAACAATGGCGAAAACCCGCCATTACACTTTCGAGTCACAAATTCTTAAACACTCCCTCTTGTCACTTACCGACTCTTTGCCGGTACTGACCGCACTCTTTACAGCCGCCACTCCAAGATGACCACGCCATACAACCTTTGAAAACAACAAATTGTGCGCAAAGAGTCATATGTCATGTTATCACCCTACCTATGCTCTTTACTCATAAAGGATACCTAAATACGTAATTGTTATCGTCGATATCCCCAGTTTCTAATTTCCGGGGAGACTTCGAAGTAACATCTCCAAGTTAAAAAAGATTGATAGCTTAAAGCTTATAAATCACCCAACTTACAGTTCCCTATTTATACGCATCATTGGTGTTCTCTAAACACCTGTCAGGGATTTATCATGTTATAAGCCAAGGAGAGTGACATTGTTTTTTATTGCTCAAATGGATGACTGTGCAAAAATGTTAAAAGAAACAAACTAAGATTTTAACGTTTTCAATTTTTAATTTTCAACTTTACTGTAAAAGTTCCATCAGTATATGGCAGAGGCCTGAAACGTTGAAATTCAATTGCTGCAACAATTAAAAGTTTTATTTCTATGTAACATCTTTGTCCACACATCCACTGATCCACAGAGAAGAGTATCCTGTCTGAATCCCTCTATTGGGATCGATTCGTTTGTTCATCCATCTTTATCGACCTTTTATCCTGCTTACTGATAAATGATAGTTCAAGCATGGCTACTTACAATCTGTTATATCAGTTAGGATGAGGATGTTAGGTGAACATGAAAAAAAATATTCACATTTGATGAGTAAATTAGTGGCTTAATATGGCTTTGGATTACTTGACTAACACATCATAAGCTTAACAAACAAACTGAACTCGTGGCACTCACCCGCTTTTGAATCCGAAAAGAACGCCGAGAAAGAGAAAAACAAATTTGAAAAAGATGTTAATCTATTTATCTATTCATTTATTTATTTGAACCAACCAGTTTGTTTAGTACGTCAATATTTTACATTGAATTCGATAACTATGCAACAGAATTTGTTAAATCAAACAAACAATCAGCCAATTATGACTGATAACTGATGATAATTATACAAATATCGTTTATTACAGAACTTAGGTACTGATTTTATACTTACACCGTCCACATCAGTAAAATCGTTTGGATAGTAATATTATAACATTAACAGCTATCACTAACTGTCATTGATACACAGGCAGATAATTCTTTGCTATTTACGATTGCAGTTTCCTGATCAGTAATCAGCCGGTGCAGAGAGTCAAGAGTGTATATTGAGCCACAGGAGAGTTCTTTATTTATAGGAACGGATGATATTGATAATTACCTTCCCTTTTGGCTAGACAGAAAAGACGAGATAAGAAAGGAGGAGCAGTTAATGATCTAATAACATAGCTTAAGTTATGACATAACAATTCATCGTAAAATTCTACCCCCCCCCCTTTTTTTTTAGGAAAGGAATTAGGTTCCAGTACTTTCTCAACACATGGAAAGCGAACATTAGCGCCTAAATTTACATTTCCCAGAAAAGGATGTGATGTTGGAAAAAGATTCTCCAGAAACTTAGGAGAAAATTGTCAAGGATAGGTTGCATTTCTAAATTTTTGTTTAACCTCGTTCACGCCGGTTTCGCGTGAAGGGTTTGACTGATTTTATGCGTGGTATGACCAGCCCTTGAATTACTTGTGTTAAACTTTGTTTTACTTCTGTTATGCGTTTGTCAGGCCTTATAATGATCCTGTGGTAGACACCGTGAACTTTTTTGTTTGCGGTCTTGGACGAGATTTAGTCGCTATCAGGAAGTAAAGAAAGTTGGCATTGCTAAATCGAATGTTCCTCGTTAGCTATCACCAGCAGATCACAGGATGAGGGGCCAGTTATGGAAGTCTCTACCAATAAAAATGTACCGAAAGCACAAGTTGAGCTCAAAATTCAAAATAAAGCATAAAAGTAGACTAAAAACACATTGATGACATGGATGACTGCGTAAATTTCATTGGTTGAAACGGTATTATTGTAAGAGAAAGCGATTTTCAATGGGGGTTTCAGAAGTAATCCTTGATAACATCGGAGTTTTGTTACGCCTCGTCCTCAACTACAGCTTCTCAGCAAATTTGATTTCACATGATCTCGTAAGTTTTCCAGTCCTGGATGCCAAGTGTTTGCTTTGAATATGAGATTCTTGAGGCTCCAATGATTTTTCGTTGTTCTGATTCGCTGTGGTGAAAACCTAGCTTTGTTTTTACGACACTTAATCGACATACACTCCGAAAAGAGTAAAAAATTCATACGCGGTCCGGTTGTAAATAGGATCTTAGGTACTAAAGGAAAATTAAATTGTCTTGAGCATGATTATCAAGAATAAGAATTGCGCGAGATAAACTAAATTCAACTTACCAGCTAAGTGATTGCAGAATTGGCATGTAAATAAAAGTTATTAAAAAAAAATTAATTAAAACGTGCATCTGTTGCTCAAAACATTCATTTGTTTATTGAGAAATGCTATGCACTTTTTCTTTCGTTTATCACCTGTACTTTAATTGAATATGTTAACGTAAACGTACTGTAAAAGTGCCTTGCAAATAGATATGCTTTAAATCACAGCGAAACATGTACTTACGTCCTAATTTTTTTTCACAGTTGCCAAGGCCAAGGAATAAGAAAAAAAATGCATCAAGAACAGAAAAATAAATAAAATGAAAGTAATTAACTGCTAAGAGAGTTGATATTCATTAATAAGTCGGCTAAGACCTCTGCTCTACAAATATTTCTGATATGAAACCATTTTCATGATTATGGCTTCAATTCTCATAATTAGTTTCAAGTAACTAACACCTCAATTTTACAGTCTACCACAGACGACATTAAACCTTTTCGTAAACTGAGCCACTGAATCAAAATCTGATCCTTATCTACGTATGGTTCACACTGAATATACATTTTCTCATGGGCCTAGTTCAAAACGACGTCAACAAGTTTCCAACCGTAAGTTAGGAAGCAAGGTGAATATCAGAATGCCATGTTTATTGATGATCATAATTTCTCATCCATAATAATATCAATAAAACGAAATTGTAGCTTTCATTATTACAAAAGTAAGCGACAGTGACACAAATATGTTACATGACTGTTACTGCAGTAGTGAAAAGACATGTGAAATGCGCCAAATAACTATAAAAAGAAGACATACTTACGATCTATTTGCCCGTTAAGGTAGGAAATAAGAAAAAGAGATATGTTAGTGATGCACATTTGTTATTGCCTACATTGTTCTTCAGTTTGGTATCGTTAAGTAAAAGTGTCTTGTTAATGGAACAGCCAATAGTATGACTACGCATCCTATTACACTTGCCACAACTGTTGGGTATTTCAATGGTTGCCATGTTGGCAGTCAGTGGGGAAGTCTGACCAGATAAGAGTCTTCAACATGCTGTCAGCCACCAATAGTAAAAAGGACATTTTGCCAAAGTATAACTCTTGGCCGAAATCAAAAATATTAATTGGGGCGAAAACTATACCGCTTCATTGTAAGTAAAGCGTTTTTCTTTTACAAATCTACTCTTTCGCAAAAATGATGATAATTATGAAGAGAGTCTAACACATGATGACTGCCGAATAGTACCTGGTTTGTTAGAAATGTGAAAATGAATAACGAAAAGTAAAGAAAAAGCTACTTACGACCTGTTATGTCAATGAGACGTTGGTGAACCCGATG